AGGATTGCAACTCGTTGATTCTGTGGTTGGCTGATTCGAGCTGGCTGTTCTTGTCATTCAACTCGTGCTGGACATTCTTGAGTTGTTCTTCCAGTTGACCCTTGTGGCTGTTGGATCCATCGAGCCAGGATTGCAGCTCGTTGATCCGATGGTTGGCTGATTCGAGCTGGCTGTTCTTGTCATTCAACTCGTGCTGGACATTCTTGAGTTGCTCTTCCAGTTGACCCTTGTGGCTGTTGGATCCATCGAGCCAGGATTGCAGCTCGTTGATCCGATGGTTGGCTGATTCGAGCTGGCTGTTCTTGTCATTCAACTCGTGCTGGACATTCTTGAGTTGCTCTTCCAGTTGACCCTTGTGGCTGTTGGATCCATCAAGCCAGGATTGCAACTCGTTGATCCGGTGGTTGGCTGATTCGAGCTGGCTGTTCTTATCATTCAACTCGTGCTGGACATTCTTGAGTTGTTCTTCCAGTTGACCCTTGTGGCTGTTGGATCCATCGAGCCAGGATTGCAACTCGTTGATCCGATGGTTGGCTGATTCGAGCTGGCTGTTCTTGTCATTCAACTCGTGCTGGACATTCTTGAGTTGCTCTTCCAGTTGACCCTTGTGGCTGTTGGATCCATCAAGCCAGGATTGCAACTCGTTGATTCTGTGGTTGGCTGATTCGAGCTGGCTGTTCTTGTCATTCAACTCGTGCTGGACATTCTTGAGTTGTTCTTCCAGTTGACCCTTGTGGCTGTTGGATCCATCGAGCCAGGATTGCAGCTCGTTGATCCGATGGTTGGCTGATTCGAGCTGGCTGTTCTTGTCATTCAACTCGTGCTGGACATTCTTGAGTTGCTCTTCCAGTTGACCCTTGTGGCTGTTGGATCCATCGAGCCAGGATTGCAGCTCGTTGATCCGATGGTTGGCTGATTCGAGCTGGCTGTTCTTGTCATTCAACTCGTGCTGGACATTCTTGAGTTGCTCTTCCAGTTGACCCTTGTGGCTGTTGGATCCATCAAGCCAGGATTGCAACTCGTTGATTCTGTGGTTGGCTGATTCGAGCTGGCTGTTCTTGTCATTCAACTCGTGCTGGACATTCTTGAGTTGCTCTTCCAGTTGACCCTTGTGGCTGTTGGATCCATCGAGCCAGGATTGCAGCTCGTTGATCCGATGGTTGGCTGATTCGAGCTGGCTGTTCTTGTCATTCAACTCGTGCTGGACATTCTTGAGTTGCTCTTCCAGTTGACCCTTGTGGCTGTTGGATCCATCAAGCCAGGATTGCAACTCGTTGATTCTGTGGTTGGCTGATTCGAGCTGGCTGTTCTTGTCATTCAACTCGTGCTGGACATTCTTGAGTTGTTCTTCCAGTTGACCCTTGTGGCTGTTGGATCCATCGAGCCAGGATTGCAGCTCGTTGATTCTGTGGTTGGCTTCCTCCAGCGTTTTTTTCCATTGCGCCTCCGATGTTTTCAGTTCCCTGAGCTCCTCCTTCATCTCCTCTATATGTCTCCTCAATTGAGGATCACTCCCGTTCTCACCTCGTGTTGCGTCATTCGCGATGGCTCCCTCTTGATTCCGTCCGCCGTCGCTTTCCCCCTTGTCGTCCCCATTTCCTTTGTCGCTGGAATTTATACCTCCATCTCCCTCTAATTCATCCCTCTCACATTCGTATCCACTTATCTTGATCTCCATTGGAGCCTCTGTCGCTTGATCGCCGCCTTCATCTTCCTCACTGTGCTTCAGTTTGAGTGTATCGATTATCAGAGAGCTTTCTGCGAGTTCTCGCTTTAGCGATAGCGCCTCGATTCTCTGTAGCCGCAGCTGCGTTTCAAGGTCCTTCGTTCGCTTCTCTGCAATATTTCGAAGTCGTTTGCTCTCCATCATTTCACTTTTCAATGAGCGTATTAGCTCGCTCACATCTTCATCTGGCGGTCCGGTATTCTCGATTGTTGATTTGGCCTCACTTCCCTGGGTTTCGTGGATCAACGCGCTGTCTTTTCTTGGATCGGTTTCAGGCAAGGTCCCATCATTTTCACATACGGCATTGGAAGATTGCTTTGTCGGCGTTCCTCCTCGGGAGCCCGTTCCTCTCCGGACCTTGAGTCAATCATGGACATTATCAGTGTTACATAAGGTATACATCAGCTGACGAAAATGCGGTGTCTGGCTTACCAAGCCCCGGACTCGTTCGGATAGACTTGGTCGATGACTGAGACCTCCGGCCTGGGACTCGCGGGAGAGATGAAACTATCGTTGTTTACTGTTAGTTCAATGCATGAGCTTCATATCGTTCCTTCCTCTGCCTTGGGCCATTCTTCTTTACCTCTGTGGATGCGTCCACCCATACATCCGCCGAGCCTTCAACCTCGCTTTGGCTGCAAGCCGAGAGTACGCTTGTGCGTCTGCTGTGTCGATCATCGTTTGCCATTGAATCCCTTGCTGTGACATCATCGAGGGCGTCCTCGCACTCGCCTTCGACCACGAGTAGCTCATTCCAAGGCTCACGGGATAATACGCTTGCGTTTTTGAGATAGTCAACCGGCCGCTTGCCTTCCTTGTCTTGTATGGAGATATCTGCCCCAAATGAAACTAGGATCCGAGCAATGTCGAGACTTGCTTCGGCCGCAGCTAGATGCAAGGCCGTCCTGATGCGGTGTGCATTCTGTCGGTGAGTTCCTGGGTCGAAGACGCGCAGACCCACATATCGAATCACGGGCGCTGCACAACCGGTGTGATAGAATCTCCCCTCTGCGTGCGCACTTACTGGCCCTCGTAATTTCGCTTATTGCAGGTCTTGAGTCTGCTGCACAGATATCCCACAAGCCCAGGCATTTGCAGACGGGTCGCGTGGTGGAGCAGGGTAAAGCCGGTCTGCCAAAACCAGGGCATCATGGGTCTCAGATACGACGAGCTCGGCTGGTTATCGCACAGCAGCTTGACATCATCCACTTGTTTGTTCGTGGGAATCCTACCTTGTCGATAACGGTAATCGAGGCTTGGTGTTCAACGAGATACTTGAACAGCTCCTCTTGCCCGCCCAGCAATGCGTAGTGGAGAGCGCTGCATCCATAAACATCAATCAAATCCACGTCGGCAGAGTTGTTGACAAGCAGCTCTGTAATTGCTCTGTTTCCGTTGATACATGCCTGTGGGAAAGCGTGGTGAGTTTCAAGTTCTGAGACCCCTGTGTCATCTATGCCATTCACATTTCGTCGCATAGCAAGATCAAATACCATACTGGATTGCCACGCAATACCCTATTCCCGCTGCACAATGCCGACAAACACGGGCCCGGCAGCCGACGAGCGAGTATGCGAGACGCGGAGACAAGTGGAAACCAGGCTGCAGACTCACCTGTATCAGCGGAGTGCGTCCTTCGGCGTCCCGGGCATCTGGATTGACCTTCTTCAGATAGAGCTCGCGCTTGTTTGCCGGGGTATATTCGAGCAGGAACTTTGCAATGTCCAGGAGGTCTTTCTGGACGGCAATGTGCAGAGCAGTGAAGCGATGGAAGGTGTCGACTTTGTTGATATCGCGTGAGCGCTGTAGAAGCAGCTTCTTGCATCGCTCGATGTTGTTCTCGTACACGGCCTTTTGCAGCGAGTTGAGTTTCTTTGGGGTAATTGGCGAGGGTGTCTTGAGGGTATCCTTGGTGAAGGCCAGGAAGTCGGCGGCAACAGAGGTGTCGATGGCGAGCCCGGATTTGCGCATGCGCTGCGTCCCAGACGACGGACCAACCTCGGGGAAGGATGTCACGGACGACGAGCGAGATGACCGGAAGATCGAGAATGAGCCAAAGCGGCTGGCGGCCCGCGAGCCACCTCCCTGCACCGAGCCAGCCGTCACAAAGTCGTCGACAGAGCCGTTGACGCTGCCCTCGGCCAGCTTGCTTCGAGACGCCGAGAGCGCACTGCCGGCCTGGAGTTCATGCGTGCTGCCCAGGCCCTCTCGCATGCTTCGGGCGTGAGCAAAAGTAGTGGTTGCGCTGGTAGCCGTGAGAATATCGGGCGGCTGTTTTGCGTGCTGGTGAGACGGCCGAAGAATAATGCGAAAAGGCTGGTGCTGCAAACCTGGCCCCCACGCCACCGGAGCAAATCGACCGGAAGCGCCATTGCTGTCCTCGCTGCATTCCCACGGAATCAGTTCGTGCTCGGAAGTGACGCAGAGTGCCTCCATAGAGACAATCAGTCAAGAATGATGCCAATCTTGCCAATCATGACTGCTGCAGTGCCAAAACAATGCTACAGCCAATATGCTGTTTGGCGGTGCCAGTGCAGATCAAGTCAGTGTTTTGGGTTGCGAGACATGTAGTCAACGCCATCCAAACCGGGACATACGGGTAATGATTTGTTGTCTCCAAGCATCACACGCTGGTCGTGGCCGTCTGGGAAAGCCTGCCTCCATCATCAGTGTGTCCAAGAGCAACACAATCACAGTCTACAGGGCAATTGCGAAAATCAGAGGGCGATTGTGGAGACGAGAGGATGACCCACGGCCTTCGCTCGCACGTTGCCAAAGTGATCAGCTCTGATCCCTGGTAAACTACATGTTCGATTAATGGGAGGATGCCTCGCTTTTTTTCTGAATACGTTGAATGGACTATGGAAAGCAGTGGACGCAGAGACCCATCGGCTTTGACATCACATCGTGCTTGGCCAGCGTTCGGGCTATGGTTTCAGTCTCTCCCACCGCCACGTTGATTCGAGCAGCGATTTCGAATCGTTCCAGAGCATTCCGAGCCATTCCGAGCCATTCCGAGACGGCACAGGCGCACAGCGAGAGCGATGCTCTCTACCCTATGTGACGCTGTGCAACAAGTGCCGACCAGAGAGACATCTAAGGCATGTCCTAGTTCGGCTCAAGGTGAGATGTGGTCCGGCGCTGACACAACTACCCGCTGCGCTGGACTGGAAAAAGTCACTGTGCTGTAGATTGAGACTGATATACATGCAGACGTAGCTGCTTGGGTGCGGAAGGAGGGGATCTGCCACATTGACGACGAGTCGGAGGTGGTTCACTTGTCCAGGGCCGTCGCCAGACACTAGAATACCGATGCAGACAATAGTCAGTGCGATTGTGCGGGCTTCCAGGGGGCTGTCTGTGTCGATTCGGACGGCCTGATGGGGCCGAGGCAATCCGACGCTGCAGCCACAACCTTACCTGATTGACGACATCCAGCAGATGGCTGTTCTCCAGGGCAGCTGCCACTCGTTCCTTGTCATTCAGCTGCTTGTTGACTATGACAAACAGGGCGGTCAAAGCGAGACGCAGGATGCGTTCGTCAGCAGAGGACCATGCACAAATCAAAGCAGTGCAGACTGCAGGCATCGTGGGCGCTCGACGGCAATGACGCTCGGTGGGTCACCCGAACGAAAATACAAAGCAGCTCTGATGGTAAGATCTATGCCCCCTCCTCGGACTCGATCGGAGCGAGTTCCCACCTGCTGCTTCGGATTGATGGGTTCCTTCTCGAACGTAAATATCGATCTTGAGGACAATAGCGCCGGGTGGCGGTCAGATGGCTGAGGTTCGTCTCTTGATCCACACGATGGCTGCATGATGATCCGCTGCAGCCTTTTGCAAAACTGGACCGCCTCTCCAACCGGCGGTCTTGAACGAGCCGCCCTGGATTGCCATGTCCCGTCCAGCCCCGACCTGTGCCTGGGGCCAGAGAGGAAATCACACACCCACACACGCGCCCACCTTGAATCGATCCGGGAGCGATCGCAGCAGTCGCACCCGGATGCACAGTCCGATCAGGGTTGCCATGGAGCAGTGTGGGATCGTCGGAGTGAAGCGAATGTTGACATGGTTCTTGGCCAAGTCGACGTCGATGAGCTCGAGCTGAGTGATGTTGAGCTGCTCGAGTGTCAACTGGCGACGGCCCAGGCGGAGGAAACCAAGGCCGAGAGCGAGCGGGTTAGTATCCATCTGGTGCATTGTGTCCATTTCAGTCGCACTCAGAGAGAGTCTCGGAATTGGATGGGACAATGGCGTGGCCTGCCCGGGGGCTTACGGGATGCTCGGGATCATTGATGTGTCGGATCAGCTCTGTCGGCGGCAGCGTTCTGGATCAGTATCGACCTGGGATCGGGCCCATAGTCCACGGACTGCAGGACAGGACGGCCGTATCAAGCAGTCGGCCGACACAAGGGACAGGGACCAGCGCCCATACCAAAGATCTCCTCGGCGTCCAGCGGGTCCGGAGTGGACTCGTCGGCGTCCTCGGAGCGCACGGGACGCACCCGCTTTTCGCGGACTTCGTAGACCGTTGGGTTGGCGTTGATCAGCTCGTCAGGCATGTCGGGAGAGGAGCAGGAGGGAGAGATGGGGGGAGGGGGCGGTGCACGATTCGCTCTGTCGGGCCACGGATCTCGGGCGAGGGGAAGCTCCAGACGGGGGAAGCTGCAGATGGGGACCAGCGTCGGCGGGAGAATGGATTTGCGCAACAGCAGAATTTGTCATTGTTTTCGGAGGCGGCCCCAGATAGCACCCATCACGTGCGCGGCTGCGCGACGGTTCGCCCGACTGCCGTCGGTGGCGATGCGCGTGGCGAGCATGTGGCAGGCGGTGGCGGGATGTGGCGTCTGTGCTACAGCGGGAACGCAAGCCACAGCGACTGGCCCTGGACCTGCCACAAAGCCCCCCTGGTCGGCCCCGCGTCGCGCCGGTGGGCCAGCTGCTGCTGGAGGATCGCCAGCCGGGTCTGCAGAGCCGTCTGCTGCTCGACGAGGACGCGCAGAAGCAGGTCCTTGGAGCATGCCCCGTCGCCGTCGGGGGCCGTGCAGGTCTTGGTGCCGTCCGAGCCCGTGGGTGGGTCGGGTGTCGCAGCGCAGGCTCTGTCCTTGGTCTGGGCGGCCTGGAGCATCTGCACCTGCGCCGCCAGGGTCTGGCATCGCTCCTGAAGAGCAGCAGCGGCATCGAGGCTCTCCGCCAGTCGCTCACCGAGGATCTTGAGGCGGGTATTCTTTTCGGCAACACGCCCCGAGAGCACCGCCTGCAGCTTCCCGACAATGTCTTTGACCTGTTCCCTGGCGCCTTGCTCTGGGTTGGGGCTCTCGATGAACAGAGACTCTCCGTCGACAGAGAGGCCGTTCAGCTCCTCCAACATCAGCGCCACAAGGCCGTCGTGGTGATGGCTCTTGAACAGCCTCGAGAGCCCACCGAGCAGCCGGCCGCGATCCTGTCTGTGTTCGGCGGTCGTCTTTTCGAATCATTTGCGGGAGGCACCAGTCAGTCGTCCATCCAATCCATTCCTCAGCCCCGGCCCTCCGGATACCCTCCCGCGTGGAGCCACTTTGCCAAGCAGGGTATCTCCCACAGGCGAGGGTATCTGCTGGCTCTAATACCCCCCGCGTGCCAGCCCAGCAATCCGTACATGGAGACTGCACCGCAGTGTCGGCTGACATCGCTGCACCACGCATCCCGCACTTGGACCTCGCCAAAGACTGGTCTCGCCTCAGCCGCGAAGGGTATCCTACCTCGGACGGGGGTGTGACTCGCGCAGAAGCAAGGGCCGCAGGAGGCGGATGCGAAAGCTGATCGAGGCCTGTGGCTGACCGCTCGGCGATAGCCTCGAGATTGCTGGGGCCAGGAAACGACGAGGGCTGTTCGATGCGGCCCGATCCGGTGCCGGCGTCGGTATTGGTGTCGGTGATGGCATCGGTGATGGTCGGAGTGGGACAGACGACGACCGCTTTCGCACGGATCGTGCTATCTGTGCCAACATGGGTGATCGAGCAGGCTCCAGCGACAGCACCGTCTGGTGTCGTTGTGCTCGGCTTGGTGGCATTCGTGTCGGCGAGGCCTCGCTCCTTGCGTATTTTCTCTCCAGTGTCGGCGGGCTCCTGGGCGAACTCAGATCCTTCTGGCTGAGACAGAGGGCCAGCCGGCCCGATCGGGGCAGGCAGATGGGGTGGTGATGTCGCCTGGACCTCGCCCTTGTCTGGGGTCACAAGTGGTGTCCGGGCCAAAGTACCAGCGATCGCCGCGCTGGTGCGAGACGACTGATGAAACATGGGAGGCGGATCGGAATAGGTGGGGTACCGAGCCAACACCGCCTGGAGGGTCCGCAGAGTGTCGGATGGGCCATCACCGTCGGTCCTCGGCAGCAGGTCCGAAGGTACCTGTCCGATGCGATCGGCAATGTCCATATCGGCCCCAGCCGAGACGAGCAGTTCGACTAGCGGTACGCTGCCGGCCTTGAATGCCAGATGCAGAGGGGTCCTGCAACAGTACCGACGAGCGGCCAAAGATACGTAAGCCTGCTGGATCTGATTCAATTGACCCGGAAGTCGACCCGACGAACGGATCTCGAGCCACACCACTCGAGATGGTCCGATCCGGCCGGCCTTTCCCACCCGTTCCCACGACTCTCTGTGAGGGAGCGCCGTCTTGCCAAAATAACGGTGCGAGGGACTTACTGTCCAGAGTTGTCTTGGCGATTGACAAGTGACTCGATGCCGTCAGAGTGATCCAGAACAAATTTGCACATTTCGGACGAGTCCTGGCGAACGGCGTGGTGGAGGAGCGTCGAGCCAGCCTGGGAACGGCACATGGCCATTTCAGGTAAGCAGCAAAACTTGGGGAGGACAGACCCAAGCCGATCGGAAGGAGAGTATGGCAGCAGGAGCCCGGTCCGGATGCGATTGCGACATGTTCCCTCGCCACTCCGATGCTCACCGGATCCACCAGCGCAGGAATGGGACCTTGGCCGGCAAGCAGCTCGAGAAGCCCTTGGTTCCTTATCAGCACAGCATAGTGGAAGGCCGTGAGCCCGCAGTGGTCGGCAATGCCAATGTCCGCCTTGGTCTGGACGAGGAGACTGGCGATCTCAGTGTGTCCCAGGAGGACAGCCTGGCAAGACAAGTACAGGGAAGGTTCAGGACCAGCGATCCCATGACCCGATTCTGCGGAGGCAGATACGACGCATGACCGAGGCAGGCTGCAACTGGTGCAATCTGGTCTCATCCTGGGCAAATGGAATGCACAGCCCACGGATTGCGGAGCGGGTGGATTGACGTTCGATGGCTGGTGGGATCAATGACCAACGACGGTCCTGGCCCACATGATACGCGGTGGTCAAACCGCCGTGAGACAGATCGTCTCCTTTGCCGGGGTTGGTCGATTCAGCTCGGGGCAGAAGGTCGGAGCCATTCGCAGGCGCAATCGCTCTCGGTTGGAGAGTCGGAGAGCACATCCCACTGCCCTCCCCGAGCCGTGAGAACGAACAGGGCCCCCCCTCGCCCCTTATTCCTCGGAAAGTACATACCCAGGTGAGGGCTGTCCGCCCGATGGCGTCGGGGAGGTTCACATCTGTCGTCTTCATGGCGGGACCCTTGAGTTTCGACCTTGACGAGGCGTCCCAGCGGTACTCCACCAGAAAGCGGACACACTCGGGCAGCTGCCTCCAGACGGCCAGATGCAGAGGGGTACAGCCGTGACGGGAATCCAGTTTGTTAATGTCCCTGCTGGCGTCGTAGAGCAGCTTGGTCATCTTTTTGATGTCGCCGTGGAAGACGGCTCGGTGGAGGGTATTGAGACTGGCCGGGTCGACGGATGGCGACTGCCGCAGCACCTCCAGAGGCAGTCCGAGAACACTGGCAAGCCGCTCGGCAGGGGCGAGATCGGGCTGCTGACCGGCGAGAGGCTCTGACACTGAGCGCTGCCGCGCCTTGGGGAGGATGCTATCGGAGAGGGAAGAGATGCTGATTTTGCGCCGGAGGGAAAGACGCCTTGACTCGGTCGGGGCTCCTGAGCAGACCGAGGCTGACCGAGTATGCTGCTGCTGCTGACCCGAGCGCATGACTTTTGGGCCAGACCTTGAGAGCCGCTGGTGCGAGGGCTAGTGAGACCTGTGTTTCCAGAGCGACGCACACACTCGGCGCAAATTGTAGCGGTATAACACAGGGAAGGTTCGCCCAATAACCGGTTCGGGAGTTGTTTGCTCGAGGACACCCAGCGGGACAGCAACGGCGACGGCGAAGGACGAAGGCGAAGGCCGCTGCTGAGGCTGTGCTGATGACCATCGCGACAATCACAACAATCACCACGATCACGGCAATCACGGCTGCGGCTGCCGCGGCATATGTGCGCGCTGCCGACCTGGACGAGCGAGACGGATGGAGAGGCATACGGAGCGAGGCCGCGATCGAGATTTCCTCGCTGCTTGGGCGTATTGCGCGCTGGAGCCCTGTGCAGGAGATGGTTCTTTGTCAAGGGCCGCCTCCATGGCACCGACCAGCCGAGGTGAGCAAGCATGGACAAGGAACGGAGCGAATCGCCCCATTCCCCCTCCCCAACAAGCGGCAGCCGCGATACGGGCTTGCGACTCGGGGGAACAAGAGAGCGTCGCCTCCCCCTCCTCGCAGGCCCTCACAGGGAAGGCGGCGTAACGTCCCGCCTGCTCCCTCGCTCCTTGCCGCGGCCAGATGGATTTGTGCTCGGGCTGGCTCGCGGTGTATCGCCGCCAGCCGGCACAATGTCCACAGCCCGATCAGCAGGCGGGCCGACCCATGGCCAATCCATGGCCGATGCCTGCGTCGAATCGATGCTCGAGCACCTCTGTCGGGTATCTGCTCAAATGACTGCGTCGAGCTCCGGCTCTGCTCGCTCCCCCTCGCCAAACAAGGTCCGTTGGGAGATATCCCCGTCCATACAGACCTGGTTGGTGCCCATTGATACCCCGTTGGCTGCTCGGTCGGCCGGCCAGCCAGCACGTTCACAGACCATGGCCGCCTGTCCAATGGCACTGCGCGGCTGTGCCTCCCTCGCTCGCTCCCGCGTCGATGTCCCGAATCGCATATAAAAAGGCCATCCTGGTCCTGCTGCAGGACATGGCCAAGACACGCTCCTCAGTCTCTCCCTTCTATCGACACCCAGCCTCTGCGCTCATCCCTGACCTCGTAATGCATCCTCGCTTTCGTTCCTCGACCGGCTCGTCCTCATACCCGGGATTCTCTTGGTCGAGCAGCTCACAGTCCATCCCCATCCCCGTCCCCATCCCTGCCTTTTCCTCGTCCCGCTCGTTCGTGCTGCAGGATTATCACAGTTGCTACGATAACTGCCGGCATCGCAGCGACCCAAACCACTGCTCCCAGACCCACCGGAGCTATTCGGGCGGCCAGAACGGCTCCCCCATGACCCCTCACGAACCTGTCGCTCAGGCGCCGGCCCGCATCCAATCCTGTGACTCGTATACCCATGAGATGCCGGCCGACTCGCAAGCCCAGGTCCATTTCTCGGATGCCTGCCAAGACGGCTGCACAACCCTCTACCCGGAGAATGCCCGGGCTACTCAGAGCGCCCACAGACTCCATCACCAGACGCACCCGCACCCGCACCATCCCTTTCACCAATCTCAGTTCGATGGATGCCATTCCGGCACGTCCGGGCTCCCGTTTCCTGTCGACAACAGCCAGTACACCGGCGCGCCAACCCGCCCGGCGAGCGAGCCTCTCATGCCGCCCAGCCCGTCGCCCGACCTGTCGTCGCTACCATCTCCACAGAGCACCATCGATGACGACTTTGGTGCAAGCCCGCTGCTGTCTTCTCCCACCAGCAGCACCGAGGTCGCGACCGAAGTCGAGATCGGTTCACCGCGACCGTACGAGTGCCCGACCTGCCATATCCGGTTCCAGCGCCGCCATGATCTGAATCGTCACTGCAACATTCACTCGAAGGAGCGACCGTTTTTCTGCTCTCGCTGCCAGCGCCGGTTCGTCCGCCGAGATGCCCTCAGGCGTCATCAGCGGATGAAGAACGAGACCCGCCGGTTCCGATGCGTCGCAACACCGCAGTGAGCGTCGCCTCGTTGTCCCTCGGCCACCGCCAGCAGGATGTCTGCGCTCCAAAGCAGGCCTCGATCCTCAGCCCCGCTCCGCTGCTCTGGTACACATTCCCGTTCCACATCATTTCCTCTGGCGAGTGCGCCTCTCCCCCACCACCGTCTGCGCCCAGCCCATTGCATGTACTTGCCAGCATACCATCTTTCGTCTGCATTTCTTTGGCCCTCTCTAAAGCAACAGTAACAACAGTAACAACACCAATAGCTCTCTGATAGAATCAGCACCGAAACCATAGTCAGTCAGATCGCTTTTCTTTTCCTTCTCTCCGTTTTTTTGTATTGGCATGCTTTCTGTTGTAAAAAAAAAAGTGGAGATCCCCTGGTCTCCAGCAACAGATCAATAAACAACATGCTGTAGTGACACCGCTCGCTCTTGGCCTCGATGCCATGCCACGACATGCCACGACATGCCATGCCACGTCGCTGCAGACAGGGGTGGTTGCTTACACGCATCGGCTGATCTTTGCCGCTGTGCTCCCTGGCGGGCTGGAAGCCCGCGCGTCGCCAGGCTTCTTGCCACGCGTCGGTCTGGCGATGCCGGACAACAAGGCGGACCTGCCGCCCTTGTCGCCGGGGCGCCAAAGGGGCGAAATGTGCGTCTGTGCGAGCCTGGCCGTCCTGCTGTTTCCTGCGAACTTGGGGCTGGGCGGCCTTGTTCGGTGCAGAGACACGGACCCTCCCTGCAACGAAGCGGGAATGGGCGTGGCAATCAGCCTGATTGACGAGGGAGGACGGGAAGGTGGCGGATCCGAGCTTTGTTGTTGAGGTCACGGAAACCGAGCGCATCACACATGTATGGATGCGCTCCGGACTGCAAGGTGCATCGCACCACGGCTCGGGCGCACGACGTGGAGGGCAGTGCTAATGCGGTGGCGGTGCTGGTTTAAGCTGGTGCTGGTGCTTAAGTTGGTGCTGGTGCTTAAGTTGGTGCTGGTGCTTAAGTTGGTGCTGGTGCTTAAGTTGGTGCTCGTGCTGGTGCTGGTGCTCGTGCTGGTGCTGACGCCTTGCAGAACGGCGGCCGCTGCTCCAAACAGCGACGCCGACTCTCTGGCCTTTCCCCCAGGCGGCCGAGACTGGGCACGCCTCTCCACAGTTCAGGGTGGGAACAAATCATCCACCAGGGTCATATTGCTCTTGTGCTGGGCTGGCCCTTCAAGCCACGTCCGTCGGCATGGGCGGTCCTGGACAGCGACGGCCCCGGGCCAACGGTGGCGGTTCTTGCCCCCTGTGTTGGTGCCGGTGGCTTGTGCCTGGTCGCACCTCTCTGAGCCCAAGGCGGCTGCTCAGCTGCTCGCTTGCTTCTCGGCTTGCTCCTCGGCTTGCTCCTCGGCTTGCTCCTCGGCTTGCTCGATTGCTCCTTTGCTCGATTGCTCCTTTGCCTGCCTGCTGTGGCTGCGACTCTCCAATCGTGTTTCGTCTTGGCGGTGGATCAGCTGTCCACGGCAACGGCCGAGCACGCATCGCACCGCCGGCAGAGGTTGACCTCGTCTCCTCTCGCTGTGCACGGCCCTGGCAGCGAGGCTTGGCTGTCAACCCAGCCACCCCAGCCAGGAGGATGCGGCCAGCCCCCCTTGTCGCCACCAACAGCCACGCCGATTTTGCCGACTTGCCGATAGCCGCCGCTCGGATGGAAGGCGGACGAGCTTGTTGTCATTGTGACTGGTGCGGGACACCCACCGGCGTCGCTCGCAGCGAAAAAGGAGCTACAATTGGACTCTGGATGACAGGCTCGTGGGATGTTGGCTACTGGCCCTCGAGCTGCTTCGAGGCGTCCGTCAGCGGCACGTAGCGAACATCCATCCACCTCTGCTTGGTGATTTCGCCTCGCTCGTTCTTGGTGTAGATGAACACGGCCTGGTCGCCGCGGCATGGGCCGACAGGGACCATCATGCGGCCACCGACCTTGAGCTGGTCGAGCAGCTGTCGGCCAGCAACCCGTAGAGCATCCGCAGGCCATGGGAAGGGGCAAACGGGAAAGGGCCGTGTGTTAGAGGTTGCGGGGGGGGGTGGCAGAAACGCAGAGGCCGATCAGTGCATGAGCGCCGTGGGCCATGCTCCACCACTCGTCCCTCCCCTCATCCACATTCAGCCTTCCGTGGTGCGTCGGCTGCGTCTTGCTGGCAATCGTCAGCGGCCAACGACACCCGCTCCCGCATCCCGCAGCCCCAGTGCTTACCGCCTGTGGGACGGGGTATGCCGCCGCCCCGACGTGGATGGCTTCGTATGGGGCCTCCGCCGCGTACCCGTTCCTGCCGTCGCCCTGGACAATGTCCACGCGGCCGTTCTCGAGCAGCTCGGGGTGGTCCTTGGCAATGTTATGTTGGCTCAGTTGCACCTGGCCGCAGACGACGGGTGAGCACTGATGAAACATGCGGTCGCCGAGCGCACCAGAGACGGCACCCCGGTCCTGCCAGACCAGCCGAGCCAGTCAGGCACACCGCACAGGATGCCATACGCGCCGAGAGATCATGCAACCGGGCCCCAGGGCCGCCACCGCTGTTGGCCCACGTTTCTCGCCGCATCAACATCAACCAGAGGAAGCTCGAACCGCTCACCAGTTGAGGGATATGCTCGATCCCGACGACCTTGCCGGTCTCTCCGGCCAGAGCGGCAAAGCATGCCGTGAGATAGCCACTTCCGCAGCCAACATCTGCAGTTCCAGAGGGTGAGTGATTGGACCTGGAGGCTGCTCTAGCATTAGCGAACAGATGTGCGAGACTCACCCAGGACGCGGCTGCCTTCATGAATCACATCGCAGAGGGCCTCGAGGGCAAAGGCATGCATGTGAGGGGCCGATATGGTTGCTCCTGGTGAGTTGGGTCGCAGACCGGGTGGTTGAGCCGTTGGTAAGTATTGGAAAGGCGCACACTGGCTCACGGTTCACCCTATCGCTCGCTGCAACAATCCCTCGGGCGGATAGGATCGGTTGCCTCGCTATTCCTTGAATGGACTCATGCCTACCATACTGAATCTGCGGTTTGTCCATCGCAACGTATCCAGGCCACCACGTTTGGTGCGGCAAACGTTAGGCAAGTTGCAGCATGTATCCTACGCAACCACAGCTGTAGACACAAACGCAGCCGCCGCGGAAATGCAAGACTTGCTCTCCCCCCGCCTCCTCCCTGGCGATCAAAGCAGTGCATAATCCACCAAACAAGTCCAGGCTTTACCGAGAACGGGGCGTCCTGTGTTGGGCATGTGTCCATGTGGATACAGACCATGGCCGAGACATGGTGAGCAATCGTTTTCCAAATGCTTGAGCACCCCTCACTTCCCGGCCCGCTGTGATATGCAGCAGGAGCAGACCGACACTCGTGTAGTAGCAGCAGCACCAGGATGGACTGCTCGATCATATACCGTGTATGGCTGATGGGAACAATAGTTGGCCCGGTCGACCTGGGTGCGGAGGAGCAGCCAAAGGTGAGACGACTGGCTGGTTGGAGGCGGGTGGTTGATGCTACGTCCCTGGCGGACATGCTGGCGGCTCCATTGGCGCTCGATAGCGAACGGAGGATCTCCAGAGTCACTTACGGCGAGCATTGCCTGTTCGACTGCGGGTTTGGTGATGATGCGGGCTCCTGTCCGCCAGAGAGATGCGATGAGCCGGGTGAGCTTGGCTGGGGCCATCGGCGCTGACGTCCCTTGCAAGCGAGAGACCTGCACATGAACTTGGCTGGTCTCCTGGCCCAGACACTCGGACTCGCTGCACCGATCGGTTCTCGGCAGCGGCTGCGACTCCATCCGACGAGGCCTTGCACGCAGCGCCCGAATATCCAAGATCGCTCTGAGCCCCATCCTGCTGCTGAGACAAACACCGCTCGCCTCCTCCGCCCCCCACCAAGCCAAACGACCGTGCACATACTGGCCAGATTCCTGACGAGCTCAGCGTTGGACGATCCGGTGCATCTCCAGGCCATCGTTCGTGTGTTAGGGGATAGATAGGTGAGGGGGGGGTATGTGGATTTCAGACAAGCGAAACTTCTCTCGTTGCTGGCGGAGCGATGGATTTGAAACCCCGACGGAGAGCGCCCTGGAATCGTCTCGGTGCTGCTTCCAGGGGCTGGCTCTGTTGCTCCGGCCAGGGCAGAGTGTGGCTGGCCACGCTCAGCGCCACAGTGCTGCGCAGTCATGTGCGGCATGCAGAAAAAAAAAGTCCGCCTGGTTTTCAGCGCGGTGGATGCCATTGGCAACGATCGGAGCAGATCCGAATCGCACCCTGGATCCGAATCGCATTCCCATCGTCGTTGCAAGCGGTGCAAGAGAGAAAGAAAGGAAAAAAAGATACAAGTGGGTCGATGGTCGTGCGGCTGCGCCGGGGCTACGCAAGGGCATCGCTGCCTCAAACGCACATCGCTCTCACGGCTCACGGCTGCATCATTCCTGCCGCAGGTCATCTTGGCACACGAGCAAACTCGAAATGGTTCTGTACATTGTTGGACTGGGTCTTGCTGACGAGTACGACATCACCCTGAAGGGGCTGGAGGCGTCAAGTCGTGCGACCGGGTGTATCTGGAGGCATACACTTCGATCCTGATGGTCGGCAAGGAGAAGCTGGTATGTTTTTGCCATCCGGGCCGTGCCCAAGACTGATCCATCGGGACACAGCATCGAGAGAAAAGCTGGCGGACCGGCTCGGAACCGATGGGCCCACTGCGAATACGTCGGGGCCGATGGACTGACTCGTTGGCTGGGTGCTTGCTGGCTGGTAGGAGGCGCTCTATGGGAAGGAAATCATTGTCGCCGACCGAGAGACGGTCGAATCCGAAGCCGACTCGATCCTGGCCAATGCCGATAAGATCAACGTCGCCTTTTTGGTCGTTGGCGATCCATACGGGTAAGTCTGCGGCTCGCATGACTGAGGAGCGTGGGACACAACGCCGAGCGGGCGATCGACGATACCAAGAGCCCCCTCTTGAGCAAGAGCGCATTCGGTCCCAAGAGATCTGCAAAGGGCGGTTCGGTCGTGTGTCTCCAGTCTCGGCCTCGCTGCTGGCTTGCAATGGCCATGCTGTCTCAGTCCAAGATCGTTGGGTCTGCCGGACTTGCTCGGTCTATCTGAATGCTGACGCACTCGACTCGCCCGGCTCGCTCTGCCGACGCTGCAACCTGACGTTGGATCCGTGGTGTCAGCGCCACCACCCACATCGACCTCGTCATCCGGGCCAAGGAGCTGTCCATTCCCGTAGTCTCGATCCACAACGCCTCCATCATGAATGCCATCGGCTCGTGCGGACTGCAGCTGTACAACTATGGCCAGGCCGTGTCGATTGTCTTCTTCACCGAGACTTGGAGACCCGATAGCTTCTACGACAAGATCAAGCAGAACCGGGCCATCAACCTGCACACCCTGTGTTTGCTCGGTAAGTCTCGGGGAGGGAGGACGACGACGGAGGTGTTGGCAAAATCTCGGCGCGGTTGCTGATGGACTGCGGATGGCGCTGGATTCTCAGATATCAAGGTGAAGGAGCAGAGCATCGAAAACATGGCCAGGTAAGCTTGTGTCGCAGAACATGGCCCTCGATGGAACGGCATGGTTTCCCCCCCCCCAAGAAACCGACTCTGTCGCCCGGTACGACTGACCGTATTCCGTGTCTTGTCAACAGGGGCAGAAAGATCTATGAGCCTCCACGCTACATGACCGTCAACCAGGCTGTCGAGCAGCTGCTCGAAGTCGAGGAGCGCCGGGGCGAGAATGGTACGTTTGCATGCAAGGGAGAGGGAGAGGGAGAGGGAGAGGGAGAGGGCACCAAGACTCAGACGAGGGTAGGGCTTGTCCTTGAAACTAACCCGCTCGCTGCGATACGCACACAGTGTACGGACCCAACACCATCGCCGTGGGCATGGCCCGCGTCGGTGCAAACGACCAGAAGATCATCTCGGGCACCCTGGCCGAGCTGAAGGAGTGCGACTTTGGCGGCCCGCTGCACTCGCTGATCATCGCGGGACAGATGCACTTTTTGGAGGCCGATCTGGTCAAGTCGTTCGCGGTCAACCCGGAGAGCTTTCAGAAGCACGCGGATGTCTCGGACCACTAGACGCTGATGCGAAAGCCGGTGCGCCATGAACCTGCGCCCAGAGTCAATACATGAGATTTGGCGCAATCGGCAGTGCAGAAGGCTGGCCGACCCAAGGAAACGGGGCGGGGCAGCAAGCGTGTTGACGCACAGCGGTATCAAACCAAAACAGTGGTCGGCTGCGGGTCCTGGTCGATGACCCAACAAGCACCCTGATCCGTCCTGTGTTGATGCCGGATCGCGCCGTGTGCGAAGACAGCAAGGGGGTCGTGTGCAGTGCTGTGTCGCACTAGGGTCGTGCTGACACGGCCCTGCCACACGGTGTGACCAGATTGTGGCCGCTTGCTGGCTTGTGCGTGGCGGCGGCGGGTTCAGTTGGGCCGAGAGACACTGTGCCGTGCTTGGTTGCACAGCGTTATGCAGAGTGGGTCTGTGGCTTGGGGCAGTGTGCTGTTGTGCTGTGTGCTGTGGATTGCAGCGTTACTGTGCAGCACGACTGTGCCATACAGTGCCGTTGCCACCGCTGTGCTCCCGATTGATCAACAGGTCGCACACATGTCACACGGACCCGCGCCCCCGCACGCCACCGCCCAGCTCGGCACGGCCACTGCGACTGCAGCTCCAGCATTGTGTCTGTCGACGGCGTGCTGTCGCCGCGGCTGTGTCGCCTCTTTGCTCGGCGGCAAGATTGGCCAGAAATGCCCTTGCTTTTTTCTCTTGGTCCCGTCCTGGCTTGCGACTGGCTTGAAACTGGCTTGCAACTGGCTTGGATCTTGCGTGTTTGATACCTTGCTGGGCCGAGGACTTGCTCGCTCGCCCGATTGCCGATAGACTCGCTCGTTCACTTATCCGCTCGCTGGTGGACTTGCTCGCTCTATTGCCTGCCTCGCTCGCTCGCTCGCTACCCTGTGCCCTTGCTTGCCAGACAGCCCGCTTATTCGCTCGCTCGTTCGTTCGTGGTCGTATTTGCCAGGCCGGCTGGTCTTGTCTTATCAGCCCAGTTGCACCCTTTTCTTCTGCCTCTGCTTCTGTCGTTGCCCTGTCCTTCTCCCTCCTTCCTCCCCGCGATCGATAGTTCCCGAATCTCTTCTCCCTCCATCCCTGCGTCTCCCCAATTAGCTCCCTCTCCTGCTTGAAGTCGCCCTTTGCCTGTTTGACGCCATGGTCCCCCAGAAATCCAGACCCATCTTGGTCGCCAACTCGTCGTCAAGTCACCATCGCCGCTCAGCACCCATCAACATGGCGTTTTCGGACACGGCCTCGGAGGAGTCCTTCTCGTCCATCTCGACGTCGCTTTCGTCGGCAAAGAATAAAAGAATCGCCGTCGTGCCGGCTCCGTTGGGCGACTATGCCCCCAACGTCGTTTCGCTCGACGACTATGCCGCTCGCCACAACCATCCTGCTCATGTCTCGGGCTCGCTGTCGTCGTCGGCGTCGGCCTCTGTCGTCGCCCCTGGAAAAAAGAACCGCATCGTGGTATCGACGTCGCCGTCCATGCTGGAAGCCGGCCGCACGCCCAGCGTCAAAGTGGTATGTGTCCAAGGCTTGCCTCGATCCTCCTTCGATCCTCCTTCGATCCTGCCTCGATCCTCCTTCGATCTTGCCCTGTCTGTCCCTCGATCTTGCCGCTCTGCTCCCTCCTCTCGTTCCTCCCCCAACCGCTGTCCTACGCTTGCCGTCCTGTTCGATCCTTGTGACGGCCCTCCTGTCCCGGCGTGTTCCTCGCACGATGACTCTCCTCGCCTCGCCGCCATCCAACGTGTCGTTGTGCGTCACCCTGCGTGCTCGACTCCATTCTCCCACCCTCAACGGACTCAAAAGGAGTGCCTACCTCCCTCTGCTCTGGACTTGACACATCCAGCCACAAGCTATCACTCCATCACGGCGATGACGAGGCTGTACCCACCCATCACTCTCTCTCGACGCCACCCACCTTCATAGCCCCCCCTCCCCCGAATGTCACATTCGCACCTGGACCCGCGCTCTAACCATCCGCCTCGCATCGTGCTGCGACATGCTCTGCAGCGGGCCACTCATGCTCCAAAGAAACCGATCGTGGCCGACCCGGCGTTGGCTGAGGATGCTGCTGCTGCTGCTGCGGCGGCGGCGGCCTCGTCGGGCATCTGCCAGCACTGCCGACAGCATCTCGGACACAAAAGCAGCGCCTCCGATGCCCAGCTCAACGACCGCACCATGCGCAAGGTAGGTTTGCAACCATCTAGCTGTGCAAGCGCCGACCAGGCTGGGCCATATGCGCGCCAAGCCAACTCCGTGGCAGAACGTGTGCGTCAGCGACCGGCTGCAACGGCACGATACCCGATTCGCCGTTCTCCGAGATCGCATGCACATACGACTGGCCACAAGCATATCGCTGTCGAGTCCGTTGCCTCTCCGCCAACCGCTGACCATCTGCTGTGTTCGTACCCCCCCCCCAGATGATGGATTTGGAAATCTCAAACACCTCCCTGCTGGCTGTCAACGCCTCGCTCGAGTCGACGATCCGGCAGCAAGCCCAGTCGATCGAACGACTAAAGCGCAAGCTGGAGAGGTTAGCAGTCTGTCTGCCACGTTGGGATCTGGCTTCCCTTTCTTCCAAGCGCATGTGCTGACTGAGTTTACTTTGGCCCGCGCGGGCTCTCCAATCCCCACAGGAGACGCCGAGACAGCGGTGGCGAGCCCTCCGAGGAAGAACTGGACTCTGTTCGGTCTGAAGAGGTAAGAACAGCCACCACAGCCGTGCTCATCAATGGCCGATGCAGCTGTGCTCCCCTATTGCGACACAGCCCTCTGATCCTCCAATCTCACTCCCATGCTCCTCCCGTTTGTGCCTAGAACCCCGCCTCCCCTTCGTCGGAGCCCTCGGACGACTGCACATACGAGACCATGGCTGCTGAGGCATCTGCAGCCCCTGCCGAATCTGTACAAAGCCCGGAGCCGGCCGAGGACGTGGGATCCAACGAGCCTGAGCTGGATCCCAATGTCGAGTTGATCTACTCCCGAATCTGCCTGACGTTCAAACAGCTGATCGACGATGCCGAGCGCGCTGTTCACTACCGGGCACCCCTGTCGATTGTTCCCGAAGAAGGTTTGTAAAGACGTGCAAGACTCGCCCCCGACGAGATTGCTCGGCATGCGCGGTCCCTGCATTCACGCCGTGATATTGGCGCGTCCGCTGGAGGATGGATCGGCTGGACTGTGCCGCTTGAAGCTTACCCGAATCCATGCAATCTCCGTACTTGCTGTAGAGCGGCCCAGGCGCGAGAAGCTCTCGTTTGAAAACTCGGCGACGTGGCACTGGATGAATTCTCGAGCCAATGTCCCGGTTGCCGGCGATGTGTCCGACGACTATACTCAATCGGACCAAGAGTCGATTGCCGGCTCAGTACCGCCGGCATCCCTGATGGATGTGTCGTTTGTCGATGTTCCGCCTCCGGCCGAGATGTCCACATCGCCGCCCACCAGCACACCCTCCATGTCACGCCAAAAGTCCAAGGTGTCGACACTGTCGAGCGCACTCAAATCACGGTCGGGCGACCCGCTTGTGTCCAAGAAAAAGTCAAGCGAGCACAACAGCACCACCGCCACAATCACAGCCACACCCCTGAAGAAGAAGAGCAGCTGGCCCCAGGCCAGCACTGGACCCAGCACGACATCGCTTTCGTCGTCGCCGTCGCCGTCGTCGTCGCCGCTGACCTCTGCAAGTGCCGCAGTCCGGGGTGGCGCCAAGTCGCTTACGGGACTGTTTTCCAAGCCGCACTCTGCGCGAACAGGAACCGTCGGTCGGCTGACATCGTCCGGCGGCGTTACTCCGCAGCGGATTCGGAGCTCGGCCGGCGGCAACCAGCTTGCTGGAAGCGCAGCCTCGCCGTCGGCGCGGCAGGCCTCTGCCGGCGAATATCCGGCCGGTGGCTCTGCCCAGCAACTCGACCCAAAGGCCACGGCGCTGCTCAAGGAGCGACTGGAAACAGCCATGGTGCTGCATGGAATCACCGAGACCACCTATCCAGATGCCGGGACGCTTGGGAACGACGGGTTTGTGTCGATACCCACCGAGATCTTGGATCAGTTTGTGCAACTCCTGGCTGCAAACGGCAAGCCGTCCCTCCAGAGCGCACACCAGCCTGTCATCAAGTCCAAGAAGCCCGCCCCGTCCACAGGGCACTATCTGGATGACCCCTATCTCGACCTGGACTCGCACCACAAACGGCAGTGAACCAACCATCCCAAGCAAGTCCGGTACTTTCGTATCCCTGACGGTCGTTTTTGGGCTACCTAGCTCTGGGACCCAATTCCGACCACACATCTGCCACCTCAGCGGCAACACCCGCTCTCGCCCCTCAAGTGCAAAGCGGCCAAAGCAGCGCTCGCCAAGTGCCCTTGCTCCCCCACCGCTATGCTCGGGACGGGATAGTCTGGAGCGCTGTCGATTAGCCTTGACCCGCGTTGCCGCATATTCCCTGCCCATGTTGATCGGGCATCCCACTCATGCTGACGGTGTCTCCTGCCGCACTGTCTTGTCCGTTTATTATCTTTTTTTCTGTTTTCCTCTGGCTACATTCACCTCCTTCTCCCAAGCGTTTCTCGTCATGTTCTGCGGACGAGCGGTATTGATGAACCCGATAAGGTGCCACCGAGCGCGGCACCCTCCTCCTTCTCTTCCAACCTTCCTTCCACCCGTTGCTATCGATGTTTTGGATGCCTTCTTGGAACGACAGCAGAGATCTGCAAGGCGGATGTTGCTACTGCTGCTTCTGCTGCTGCTGCTGTGCATGTGTATGTGTGCGTGTATCTATCGAGGCTGAGGGCTGTGACGAGTTGGCAAGCCGAGTTGGCAAGCCGAGTTGGCAAGCCGAGTCTCGGGATCACAGGCTCTCCTGCTCTGGCGAACAGTCCGCGCTTCTCCCCTATTCCTTCTCCCTCCCCTGTCCATTTCTCACTCCCATGTGCTGCCAAGCCCTGTCCATAGTTGCCACAAACTGACTGAACAAAATACACACATAAATCCAGAAAAGCGATCCTCGAGCTAGATGAACTGTCCAAGTTGGCCCTGCGCGGCGACGGCACAACTGCTTGCCTTGGTTTCGTCATTGGCAGGTTGGCCTCCGGCATCGTCCCAGGCCGCCGCGATGCAGACGAGCGGGCTGTCTCCCGCCTCGGAAACCGCCATTGTTGGCGATCGGGGAGACACTCTCCCGCTTCGCGGGTCACGCATCGCCCTGGTGGTCCCTCCTCCAGACCCGCCTCTGCTGCTCGGCATGCAACCCGCCTGTTGCAAGCGCTCGAAGGGTGTACGTCAGCTGAACCTTTGTGGATGTTTGATGCTGGTCTTGGCCGATCGCCGAGCGAGCTGCGGATGAAGGAGGGTGTCGACTGACTGGCGATTATTGCGATGGAATGCGCCTGGATTGGCCGTGGCTGGCTGCTCGGCGACAGTTGATCGGTCCCAGGCAATCACCCTGGGGGCGAGTGGGCATTCCGGCGAGGCGCTCTCCAGGTACTCTCCGCAACTCACTCGTTTATCGGCCCTTGTGGATCGGATTGCTCCCGCCAGCACCACCACCACCACCACCACCACCACCACGCAGCCATTGTCGCCGGCGGAATAGTGATGCTGATACTGAGTAGTAAACCTTGCCGATACTCCCACGATATTCAACATGATCGATCCCAGCCCGACTTGCAACTCGCATGATCGCTGCCACAGCTATCGCCATCCGTCGAGCTGCGTCCTCGATGCTTTCCCTCGCACCCATCCCCCAGTCCCCCGTTGCTGCCCTCCGCCTCCCCGCTCCATCCGTCCCCCAGCCCGCTGGGCTCTCGCCTGGGATGATGCCTCCAATCCATCCGGATCCCTCTCCCCGCTGATCGCGCTTTCTCCCTCCTCCTTCCTCGCCTATCCCCCGTCCTAACTGCTGCTGGCGCCTTTTCCCGCAACACCGGCCTCGGCAACAGTGGCCACGCTCCCTCCCGGGCCTCCCGGTACATATTGTCCGCGCTGCCCCCTCCCACCCTTTCCCTCTCCCGCCTGCGTCTCACGCCTCCCGTCCAGCATCCTCGATCTTCTGCTTGCTTGCTCATCTGCTTGCTTGCTCATCTGCTTGCTTCCTCGCCCATCGGCTCCTTCGACTTCCATTCTCGTTGCTGGCTCTGCACCCCAGTCCTGCGTACTCATCTCTCATAGCTCCCCGCCCCCCGCCTCTTGCTGTACTTTCCGCTGCTCCTGTCGTTTCGCGTCGAACCACTTCCTCCCCACACACGATCGTCCCTTTTGGTCTTCCCGCCCTTCTACTTCTCTGTCGGCGAGCCCAACCACTCGAGGAGACTCGCAGTGGCTCCGCTGGCACTTGCCCTGTTTCCATAGACATTGATAGAATTAGAACCGTCGTCCATCATACACACATATACATTTCACCAGCCGTTAGCCCCCGGACACTCTAGACCTTGTTGTTGACCCGACAACAATACCGCTCGTAAGCCTACAGTTCGAACCCCCGCTGGCGCTCCTTCGAATCGCTCGCTCTTCGTCGTCTCTTGAACCGCCCAGCGCTCGTCCAAACCCGCATCCGTCGCCACGACAGCAGGCTATCGACAAGCGAGCGACCCCGCCCCACCCCACCCCCAGAATCCGTCGTTGTACTCGGAGCGGTGAGTGCGATCGCTGCTTCCCACCAAATCCCAATCCCAGCCGACATTGGCTCTCTCCCTGCTTTCCCGCCACGGCATCCTTGCGCACCGATGCAAAGACGCCCTCCGATACCCACACTCCTTGACTTGCACCATGCGGCCATCATCATCATCATCATCTTGTTTCTGGACCTGAGCCAAATGCACCCTTTGGTGACGTGGCCCCGATGCTGTTTTCATGTCGCCGCACACTCCGATGCCGCTTCCATGCTGCTTCCATGTTGTTTCCATGCTGCCATGCTGTCGCACCACCAATGCGGCTTCCATGTCCCGCTCAATGCCAGTGCCAATACCCGCTTGCTCGTGCTTCTCGTCGTCCGTCTAAACCTCTCGCTGCCCTGGTTGCATCCGCCGCAGACCAGGATTGTCTCTGGTGTTCTCGCCAGAAGAACCTGAAGGTGCCTCCTGCCTCCACATATCTCCGTGTCGGCTTTGCCTCAATCATTCTTGGATCCCACACAACCATCCAGCAACACCCCTGACCCGCACCACCTTTTGGCCGTAACCCAGTATTGCATCTTTTGCATCGCACACCTCGCTCGCAGCACACCACACACCTCGCATATCCCTCACATCCCAGGCCCACTCCCACCCGCACGCTCGAGTCCGTCACTTGTTCCCGCTTGAATGGCTCAGTACGCTCCCGTCACCCAGCCAAGGACATATGATCTTTGGCCCAAGACCCAGCCGGCCTCGGCCGCTGTCCTGTCGCCCCAAACCCAATCTGCTCCTGTCGGCTCGCCGGCACAATACGCGTCCGTCGTTGCGAACATGCCAGCGCCCCCAGGCCCGGCACTGGATACCGAGATTGCCAGCGCCGTCGGGCGGTTCTTGCCGGCCAAGGACACCGTAGAACGCTCCAAGTCAATCTCGTCCCCGCGTACCGAAAAGATCCAGAGCCCGTCCTCTGCCAACCTCAAGATCGCCAGCCATTCGCACTATCGCCCACACTCTGCCCTCATCGAGACGCCCTATCTGCCGGGCTACTACCACATCCCCTATCAGCCTGTGATGACGATCCATCCGTCGGTGTCGCCCTCTGGCCTTTCGTATCTGCCCGAGGGCTCTGTGCCTTGGATAGACTCCAAGGGCTACATGTCGCCCTATCCCGCCCCACACTACTCGCCTGCGCTTGCTGCTGCCCCAGGCTCGCGCGCCGACTCGACGTATTCCATCTATCCGCTGGTTGGCAAGCATCCGGTCTATATGTCTGTCGCGCCACCCGGCGCTGCCGGACTCGAGTTCAAGGAAGGGGTATGTTTGCCGGTATACGGCGAGTGCCTTGCCTTTCGGTGGTGGTTGGCCTCGAGTGCGTCGACCGTCGTCGCTTGCGGTGGTTGCTGTTGTCCGCTTCTGCTCTCGGATTGCACCATTCTCTTCTCTGCCTGGCCCGGCCTGGTCTGGCCTGGTCTGGTCTGGCCTGGTCTGGTCTGGTCTGGCCTGCATTGCACCATTCCTCTGCCCCCACTCCTCTTCCCAGAGCCTGGCCGTGTCTGCAGCCTATTAGCCCACTAGTCCACTAGTCCACTGCCATGGCTGACCAGACTCGCCCCCGACTCCGCATTGTCGTAGGACATTGTCTTGGTTGCCAGCAAGACCTCCCCTGCGTCGCCGCGATCTGCTGCAATGGTGAGTCCTCGTTCCGTCCGCCAGAGGTGCTTCGATTCGGTCCCCCATATCTTTGGTGCCACGCCGTCTCTTGCTCACATTGTATCCAGGCGATGCTGACCGTGCTTATTGGGCGGGCTGTGCTTCCCAGATTGTCTCGCCCCGGTTTGCCGACGGCCACCTGCCATCCCCCAAGCCCGGCGAGTATCTGCTCCAGCTGTTCGAGGATTTGAAATTGTAGGTCGCCGCTGTCTGCCTCTTCCGGGATTCCTGCCGTGCTGGATCGGCCGACGGACGGCCCCGCGTCTGCGCGGCTCGGTCGCTGTCGTCGCAGACACAGCATTCCTCCCGAATGCTCGGCAGCGAGCACCAGACCACGGGCGCGCCGGCCTATCGGGCCCCATGTGCCGCATGGGACAAGGCGCCTCCTGTTGGGCCACGCTGCCTCCTTGCTTGCTTCTGCTCACCCCTCCCTTTTCCATCCGCCTTCCTCCACGGCCTCTCGTCCACTGCTTCTCTTCCGTCTCGCTTGTCCGCTCCTCCATCGGACCCGTCGACTGCTTGCCCTTCTGCAACCCATACCCTTTGTTCGATCTCAGCATCATTGCCACACCCCGCGATATGGTTCCCTTCAATCCCAAGAGCTCGTCCAGCCCGTCGCCGCATGAGGCGGGCAGCCTCGGCATCGACCGAGCACTCGAGTACATCAACACCGGCATCCTGCCCGAGGGCTTCTCCAGCTCCTCAGCCAAGGCCGCCGCGGCTGCTGCCCCCAACCACCCGCTGTCACTCGGCCGGCGCACCGTCTATCCGGCTGCCAAGGCGGGCGTTGCTGTTGCCTCGTCCAAAGCTACTTTCGAGGCATCCGTTCCCGTGCCTGGTGTCGCCAAAAACAACACCAGCATCAATACCAGCACCTCCACCCCGGTGGGGGTCGCTGCGACGCACACCGCTAATGCCAATGGCAGTACCGCAGCCCCAGCTGCCTCGCAGCCCAAGTCGGCTTCGCTCAAGAGAGGTGCAGGAGCCTCCTCGGGCGGAACAGCCAAGCGCACGCGCTCGACCTGGGCGCTCGACAAGGCCATCTACTCGATCGGCGACGACGAGGAACTGCGAAAGATGGGCATCGCCATGAGCGACGACTCGGACGACGACGATCTCGGGCACAGTCTGGCTCTGTCCGCGACGAGCAGACGGTCGGCGCCCCAGCCGTCCACCGAATCTGGCCGTGTGCTTGCCAGGAAGAGCGACGGAGTCTCCAAGAGCGAACCAGAATCGAGGGCTCGAGCAGCCTCTGCGGTTTCGGCCGAGCTATCTGCCGAAACCCTTGTCGGAGGCTCTGGCACCCAGTCCGGCCCAATGTCGGCTGCCACCGGCGAGCTGCGGCGACCTCGGCGCTGCCCTGGAGCCCTGTCGCTGGAATCGCATGCTCCCGCCGAGAAGGAGCATGTCTCGGTCGAGAGCATGACCAGCAATGGCTCCTCCGCTGCCCACAAGTCCGAAGCTTCTGCTGCGGGCTCCAAGCCTGCCAAGCGTCTGACCCGGTCGACCAACGTTCCACCGCCACTCGTCATCTCGACCTCGCCGGCCGCCACAAGCTCCAGCGATTATCCCACCCCCGTCACGGCCACCTGTTCCAAGCGGACCCGAACAAACTCGCAGTCGTCTCTGGGATCTCCTTTGCAAACGACGACACCCACCAGCGCGCGACCGCAGCGACAGAGTGCTCTGCACCAACATGCCCGTCTCTCCGCAAGCCCCTCCGTTCCGTCGGCGACGTCGGATTACAGCTCCATCGGGAGCACGGTGCCAAGCACCGACGGCCGAGACGACGTCGGCGACACGACGCCATCGTACATGCGCAAGCGAGCCAAACCCACAAACACGTCTCCGAAAAAGATCAGCTTCACCTCGACCATCAGCAGCCTCTCCGGTGGTCTCGGCACCCGAGCAGCGTCCGTGGACCGGAACAGCCAAGGCCTCTCCCGGCTGGGAGGAGAGTCGTCTTCGGATCTGCCGAAATCCGAATCGCGGTTCTGCAGCAACACATCCAATGGGCTCAGTCCCTTGGAGCTCTATCGAGACTCGTGTCTCATCGACGAGGCCACCGGCAGCCTTCTCTGTGCCGAGAAGCGCAGGCTCCTGCTGCAAGACATCAAGTCCAAGATCTCGGATATGCAAAAGCAATACAACCACATCCGTAGCCAGCGCGATGCAGGCAAGATCGGTCGTCGGGCCGCGCAAGGACGTACACTCAAGCAGCGCCAGAACTGGGCCCAAGGACTGACGAGGATCGTGCAAGAGTCCCATGACGCCCGCTCGGAAGACGACGCCTTCTACTCCAGCCCGCAAGAGTACGCCAAGAGACAAAAGCTCATGATACACTGTGACTGCTGCGTCTGATTTGGTGTGGGCGATGCCTCCGTTCCCACCCCCTCCCTCCCCCCTGGCGGCAAACCTGTGTCCGACACTGCTCTGCCTGTCTGCCATCCACTCTTTTGTATCTTCTCGCTGCGACGCCTCAATGCCTGTGTATATTTCGATATCTGCTGTTTCTTTCTGTACTTGACCGACATCCGCGCCTTCACTAATATGTCCGCGCGGCAGCCCGATCTGTTGGGAATTTGGCATTTTTTCATAACGAAGCGTCCCGCCATTTGTTATGCTTTATCAATGTCCGCCTCTCCGTTGTTGTACGCCAATACATCAGTGAAAATACTGGGTCGTAACGGATGCACGCAAACTAGAGTGGCGCTTGAGGGGGACGAGGGGAAGCCCGGCGGATCCCTTGCGGCCAAACTGCAAGGCTTGGAGTATGGCGGACGGAGGCATCGGCTGTGCATAATTGGCAGTGCAAGACGGCACCGTCGGCTACATGCTCCACTCGGTGTTCCAGGCGGTCGACTGGTGCAGAACGCTTGTGTTTTGGAAGGTCTGATTCCAGTGGAGCGATTGATTGATGTCCCGTACCCAGTAGCCACCGCCGTCACGCCGGCCGATCGAGGGAATCGGATAGGCCGACATCTTGACCTGACCAAGGCGATTGAAGCAGTTGAGAACCGAGGGGCAGAGTCAGCAGCCGGATAGAGGAGAACTCATGCGCTAGGCCTGTTCAATACGGGAACCACTGTCCAATGGACAGTGCCCGTAGACTGCATCGCATGGCTGGCTGCATCGCATGGCTGGCTGCATCGCATGGCTGGCTGCATTGCATGGCTGACTGGCCGCTCTCTATTGCAAAATTGCGAAAGATGATCTGTCAACACGCACCTCGAGGATATCGCCCTTGTCAAAGTTGAGGTGCAGGCCATCGACCGAGACATCGGCCGTTCCGCGACTGTTGGGCGAGAGCTGGGTCGGAAGAAACGCCAACCGAAGGGCCATCGGTGTGAGATGGCGTCGCTTATTGTCGTCACAAACAGAGGTCACCGGAAGTAGTGGGCCGCACAGCCGAGCCTTGGTTTTGGGTTTGGAACTCCAGTCGAGTGGCCAGAGGGCGGACCCACAGATGTCTTGGTCCTCAATGCAACAGCCTCCACATCTGCAGCTCGGAATGAGGCCAGTTGAACATCCGCCCCTATTGCGACGCCCCAAGATCTCACCTTGAGTCTGACAACCTCATTAGGCGGCAAGAGCACCGGCCGGAACGAAAGCGATCTTGGACAAATCGGGGTCAGCAAGATACTCTGCACGGCCGGGTGCACGATGGAGCCGCCTTGATCGCGTCAGTTGATCCATCGATGGTGGCGGTTGATGGCACAAGAAAGCGCACTTGTTAAAGCCTGAATACAAGTCCGTTGGCGATATCCATCGAGACGATGGGATGACGGGCTGTTGAACTATTGTGCAGAGACACTCACCCGACGACAGTGAATATGCTGTGGAGCCTGTTGGGGTGGCCACAATCAGTCTGGGAATGAAGTAAAGGCCGCATCAGCATTCGCACACTGATCCACCGAGCGGACTTGTGCTCTGAGAACGATCCAGGTTTGAGAGCGAGGCCGTATGCTTGGGATCGCCGAGCCAACGTGGAGACTTGGTGACTATCCCGAACTCCCTTGCGGACTGCCCAGGTGCGGATGGAACTTACCCGTCCCCCTGTGAACAATGGCGTGGCAGCAAGTTAAACCGGCTGTTGTATTGTCTGCTGCACACAGCCAGGACGAACTATCAAGCCAGACGGATGGCAGCGCCAACAGCAATATCACTCACCAATGCATCCGTCAGCCGATCGGCGCCGACATAGCACTCGATCGACGTCAAATGAGGCGAGCGACCACGGTGGAGGGTGATGTCGTTCATGGCTTGTAACTCTATACATCACAGATATGTGGGAGCAAGGGGGACAAATGTTCAGCAAGAGCCGAGCCCACCACCCGCTCACGCCCAAGCCTGCTCCGCATCTCTTAGCAGCCCAAACTTACGATCGATGCCGTCCTCAAATGCATCAGGCTCTGCATTCCCAGCACGCCAGAAGGAGCAGGCAAGCCTCATTCTCAGCGTGAGAGGAACCAAGCCGTTCATGACGATCCGGATGGCGGGCTTGTGATGGTTGAAGCCTGCGTCCAACGATGGTGATGGGAGAGAGTACCCAACCTTTTCAGCAAAGACACAGGCCGATATTGGTGATCTACCGAGTGGGAGAGCGGGCCGATGCGGCTGCTGATCACCAGTGCCCCTACCGAATGGCACAAGGAACCCAAGACTGCCCAGGGAAAACGATAGGATCGGCGGCACTGCCTTCTTGAAGAGCGACGACACATGCAGAATTGTCCCGTCTCCGCCGAGGGTCACCACAAAGTCAACGACCCTGGAGAACTCTTGGAACTCGCATCCTGGGGGACAGCGATCGTTTGAGGCCAGGGAAGATTGAGGAGTACGCGCCGGGACAAACAGCGAAGAGGCGACATGTTATGGCCGGCCTCGGAGAAGTGAATAAACGAGCAACACCGAGCACATCTGCGGCTCCTGTGCTGTCCTGCATCGCTCGAAGCGCCGCGCGATGCAAATGGGTGAATCCCATGAAGCCTACCAGACGGGGCAGTGATGAGGAACGGATACTCCTTTCGATACTTCTCCCATATCACGGGCTCAACGACGATATTGAGATCCGGGAACTCGTCCTTTATCCAGCTGAGAAGAGTCGGGCGCCACCATGAGTCCTTGGCCGAGCCGGCGACAGCAGCGGCAACATTTCGAGCATCAGCAAGCGTCCTGAACTGCACACCTCGTTAGCTCCCTGAAGGACTCGTTGACCTTGGGATCATCTGGCTTCAGGATCACAAGCGCCGTCCGAGGGGCTGCTGTCCACTGGAGCCTGTGCTCTGGTCTGAGACGTGGAGGCATAATGTGCATAATGAGCACACTGCCTGACACAGCGCCATTGCATATGCAGCGAGCACGGGACTCCTTCTCGGGCTTTGCGATGGCAGCGCTGCAACGTACGGTCCTGCCCGGACGGTAGACAAACGGATCTCGGACTGGGGCGTGCTGGTGTCCACTGTCGGGACGGAATGGACATGAGCACATGCAAGGGTCCCGAGACGAGCACGAAAGCGCCAACACACTGCTTGACCCTGCGTTGGCATTTGTGTCTGTGTCTGTGTCCGTGTCTGCATCTGCGCCTGAGTCTGGGTCTGAGTCTGATTCGGCGTGCGGAGAGCTGCCGGGCCTACCTTCGGGTGCTCGACCAACCTCAAAGCAGCTCAGCGACACTTTCTCGGGGAGGGAAAGTGTGCTGTTGGTGCGCACAGGCAGCAGTCGGAATGGAGAGACGGCAGCGAGCGGACGGGCTGATCGCCGATGGCACCGCCCAAGTGCACCGGCCAGATTCAGGAACACATGCCGGCCGATCATGATGCGACAGGCAAGGCAGGCAAGCAGGCAGGCAGGCAAGGCAGGCGAGATGAGGCGAGACCTCTGTCGACCAGGACGGGATTTGAGACCAGGAGCCAGAGGCAGTGCGCAGCCCGTGCGCAGCCGATCGCATCACATGCGACTCACAGCCGTTCTGAACATGGGCCAGGACGAATGTTCTGAACATGGCCGAGCCGGACATCAGCGAGGGCGAGACAAAGGCTGTCCTCGCAGACCACCGGCCCGCCCAATTGGCGCGGCTTGCCCATCCTTTCGTTGCAGGGGGCCGCGCGCCGCATGGTGCATATCCACAGCGAGCTCCTCACTCGCGACTCGTGATCTGGCGACAGATGCATGAACAGCACATCTCTTCGGCAGCATCGCCGCCCGATGCAGCGGTGGAGCTTGATTCCACCCCGTCTTTCCACCAGATATTGGTCCGCTGGGTGCCTCCGGCATGCACGGCGCACCCGCCGAGCCATCCCAGCAGCAGACGACCCGCCTGGTTGGTATCGAGACTCCTCGCGGCGATCAGGTGCCGCTGAGGCGCTCGCAGTGGCTTCTGGTCACACCCCATCCGCACCCGCTAGTTGGTCGTTCGCAAGCACTGCATGGCGGCACGGCCATGTGAAATCAAGCGGCTCTCTCATCGAGGCCGTCAACCGGACGACTGCCGTGAAAAGCGGAAAGTAGACATGTGAATGATACATGTGATGAAGGCTCCGGTGCTCCCTCCCGTGACGATTCTCCTCGATCGGCGAATCCCGCCGGCAGCCCAGCGGAATCCCATATCTAGGATGGATTCCGCATGCACCTCAACCGGCATCCCCCCCCCACCGCCTTGCCACGGCGACTTATCCTGCGACCCTGGTCCTTGATACGCAATCTCGGTCCCGTCCTATTCGCCAGCAGCATGAAAGCAGCCCTTGCAAGCATATGTCTCCTCGGACTCTTGTTGGCCGGCCCGTCGTGTGCCGTCCCGCTGGCACCTGCCCGCCGCAGCGCCAATGCAAGTACTTCCAGCAGCACCAGTTCCAGTTGGAGCAGCTCCTTGTACAGCAACCAAAACATCTCCAACTGCCAGCCGCTTGCACCCCGTGCCGCTCCCACGAGTGTGCACGATCTCAGGGCCGACGACATCCGAGTCGTTGCGGCCCTTGGTGACAGGTGAGGACTCGCTGCTCGTGGCAATTGCTTTGACCCGAGCGATGAGCCAACTCACCCCAGCTTCGGTGCTGTTGTTCGCCAGTATCACTGCTGCTTTCGGCGCCGACGGTCGTACTCCAGGCCAGCCTTTGTTCATCGAAAACCTGAACGAAAACAGAGGAGTACGTCTGCCAGCCATGCTTCCACATCGAATACGCCGCTATGCATCAATCCTGCTGTTGCCCATTTTGCGCTGCCAGCGAACCGCCGTCTGCATGGTGTGAAGGTTCCATGTCGACGCCGCCGCGAATCCATACACTGACCTGTCATCACATACGCTAGGTGTCCTTCTTCATGGGCGGAGATCCAGGAGCCATCACCGTCGCCAACTTTGTGCACAACTACAAGCCGTCGCTCACCGGAAGCAGCTACGGCACTCACGTCACCGAGCTCTGGTATGGCTGATGCGATTCATGAACGAGTCCTGCTCAGACGAAGCGAGTCTCTAGCGACACTTCGCTCTCGACCCAGCGCTAACGCAACCTCTCATAGCTACGGGCTGCTCTGTCCCCCTCTCCAGTACCACCCTGTGCAGGATCGGCTCAATGCGGCCCAGACAGGGGCCATGGCGCTTAACCTGCAGCACGAGCTAAACTACCTCATCAACGAAATGCAGCAAAACAGCCAAGTCGACATGAAAAATGATTTCAAGGTGAGCTGGTGCCATGGATGACAGATTTATATCCTCAAAGCCCCAGCAGAGTGCTCATGGCTAACTTTCGGCCCTACAACTCTCACACTTTGTTAGCTCCTGAACATCTTTATCGGCAATAACGATGCCTGCTCGGGGTGTGATCCCATCTCGGGATCTCTTTGGCTGTCGCCAGATGTGTTTGAAAGCGCCATCCGCGACATCTTGAGCCAAATCCAAGCCAACATTCCTCGTACCGTTGTCAACATCGTCCAGCAGTTCAACATTTCGCAGGTGAGTGGCCCTGACGATCGATCGGGAGGGGGTCGTAGGCTGGACATGCCAAACTGCTGCTAGGCTAAAAAAAAACTTCGGTTTTCAGGTCTGGGACTTGACTCACAACGACTCGTACTGCAGCACCATCCGAAGCGAGGGGCTCACGTTTGAATGGTACGTCAAGTGCAGAGCGCCGCGTCGTCGAGCATGAACATGCTCACACTTGATGGCAATGCATCCTATCGCAAAACCAGCATCCACTTCACAGCTAATTGAACCCATGTCTGGGCAACGTCAGTACTTGTGCCTTCCTGCCTGGGGAACTTGGTACCTTGACACGACAGAGGATGGATGACCTCATCCAGGAGTACAACGGGAGGCTGTATGCCATCTGGAAGGACTACCAAGCCCAGACCCCTGATCCAAGCTTTGCAGTGGTGCTCGATCCCTCGTTTACCCAGATCACCATCGGTGCCTGGCCAATTCAGATGTTGAGCGATGTCGATTGCTTCCATCCCTCGGTCCGCGCACACGAACTCATGGCCGTCAGCATGTGGTCAGTTGCTGTTTACAACCACTTGTTCGCTCATGAGTGGCGAGAGGAACTACGAACTATGCTGATATTGGGACTGACCATGGGGCGCTGCATCACAGGAACAATCTCTTCCGTCCCTTTAGCAACAAGACCACCCAGGCCAATCCGTACAACCCCGGCGCCATCTTTTGCCCCAGCGACGACTCGCGCATCATGACCAACTGAGTTGGCATGGCCGCAGATCTCCGGAGGGGACAAGCCACCGATAATGAAGTAGTCGGCTTGGACTGCATCTATTCCACACCAATGTCCCGGAAGTCACCACCAGATTCCACGATTCAACATGCTCGAGGCGAGACGGGGCGGTGTGTCCCTGAGTGTCTTTCGTATCAGCCTCTGCTTGCTATCTGCTGGGAGAGCTCAGTCTTGAATACATATGATCGATCTTCTATGACACTGGTATCGCGATGCAGGAGTGTAGAGCATGCATTCGCTAAGGTAATTGGGTCGAGCATGTCGCTCGCCGAGTGTTCTGGGCATTGGGCCTGTGGCCATGGCGGGCGATTGATGGCTGTGTATTCGGAATCCGGAGGTGGCATCAGAACGGCTTGTGGTGCACGCGTGTCGTTCCGACCGCCTTCGGAAGACTGGTCTGGCCGCTGCAAGTTCCCGCCGCTGTTGCCCATTTTGCCGCTTGCCTGCACCCGGTCTGCCGATCGACTGCATCTCCTTCTCGACATCCAAGCCAGGTGAGTCGCCCCGGCGCCCCGAACCGATTGCTGCCATCGCCTGGCATCCGACTGTCGTTTCTCATCGCTCGGCGTCTCGCATCTGTTGTTCGTGGTTGCTGTCTCTCCCACCAGCATGAGCCGCCTTGCCAACAAGATCGTCCTCGTCACCGGCGCTTCCTCGGGCATCGGCGAGGCCACTGCCCGCGAGTTTGCCCGTGCCGGATCGCACTTGATCGTGACTGCCCGTCGAGTCGAGCGTCTCCAGGACCTCAAGAACAAGCTCAGCCAGGAGTTCCCGGCGATCCGGGTTCTGCCCGTTGAAATGGACGTTCGATCGCGAGACCGGGTCTTCAAGGCGATCGAGGACCTGCCTGTCGATTTCAAGGACATTGATGTCCTCGTCAACAATGCCGGTAGGGCTGATCGTGGTCTCCCAGAGGCCATCCCCGATGCAACTCTGTGTCGCTGTTTGGCTGCTCTGTCCCAGCAGCCTCGGGGAGATTGCTTCTGCATTCCTCGACGACTCTGGCTTGATCCGCTTTGGCCATCCCTATGCTACATACGATAGCGCTTGCTGCAGGGTCCCTTGGAAATCTCTGTGGCAACCTCCCGCCGGGTCATTTGGCTATTGTGTGCCCCGCGGCGAACGGCAGTGTTGTCTTGAGCAGTGCTGACTCTGCTTCCATCCAGGACTTGTCATCGGCATGGATACGATCGAGAACGTCAAGCCCGAAGCAATCGACACCATGATCGACACCAACGTCAAAGGCCTGCTGAACGTAACCCAGGCGGTTCTGCCTGGCATGAAACACCGTAAGCGCGGCCATATCATCAACATCTCCTCTATCGCTGGTACCGAGGCGTATGCCAATGGTGGCATCTACTGTGCATCCAAGCATGCCGTCCAGGCCATCACCCGATCCTTGCGAATGGAGCTCGTCGGCACTCCTCTCAATGTCACCAGCATCGAGCCTGGGCTGGTCGAGACAGAGGCAAGTATCTGCACCGCTGCTGCCACAGGATCAATTTCAGCAACGATGGTAATGCGGGCTCGATGAATGGCGTTGCCTCTAACGCCTTACTGCCATCTGATTGTCCCAATCCAAATATCCAAACATCCAGTTCTCGGTTGTGCGCTTCGGAGGCGACAAGAGCGTAAGTTTGTGTGGCTGCAGTCCGAACCGTGCCGTTCGTCGCTCTCCAGAATATGAGAACTGACCCTTGTCTCTGTAACGCTGCAGAAAGCCGACAGAGTCTATGAGGGTCTCGAGCCCCTCACAGGGCAGGACATTGCCGAGGTAAGTCTGCATCGCATGCGCATCCCGCTGGCTCGACAGTCCCGTTCTGACTCGAAGCCCCTGCTTGTTCATTCTGCACCTCCAGACTGTTGTCTTTGCCGCCGGCCGACCGCCGCATGTGCAGATTGCCTCGATGGTCGTCTTTCCCACCTCCCAGGCGGCCGTCCACGTCGTCTCTCGTCAGTAAACAGGCCTGCAGACTTGCGCGATCGAGCGGCAGATGCTGCGTCTCGGGGGAATGTGCTGGATCGACACTCAGTTGTGTGTCCGTGTGGCATGAGAGTGACCGCACGCAAGGATGCGAATATACATGGTCAACCAGTGGTCCAAGGAGATCGACGCCGGAGATGTCTCCGGGAGTGCCTCGTGGAGATACTCATCGAGCTGGGACTGCAGCATTGCAGTGCAGCGATAGGCGAGTGTATTCAGGACCCATGAAGTGCGATAGTCCCGTCTCCAAACTGGGTGTCCCTCTTCGCTTTGGGTGCGCTGCAACTCACCGGCGAAGAGCATCCGTCGCTGGCGATGGCCGCAGGCCCGGCCGATCCTTGGTCGGATCAAGCTGCCCCCGGCCTATGCCGACTGCGTTGCCGCAACGGCGCTGAAACAGTCGCAGTGGCAAAATGAGTAACCCAAGCCGCTACAATCATCGTGACGAGTGACATCATCGGCCCGGTCAGCTCTCCTCACAATCACACTCGAAAGAGTGAGAAACTGACCTCGCCGTGGAGCAAGCGCTGCAAGGTGGTTGGGCATAGAGGGGCAAGCACAAGCAGAGGCCAGCCTTGCCCAGCCTTGCCCAGCCGCTGGTCAACACACTGGTACTCCAAGATCGGCGCTTTCCCTCCGTCATTATCGTCTCCGTGGACACCGGCCGATAGATTATGAGTCTTCGAGATGTGTGGGACAGATGAAATCGCCGCCGAAGAACGCAAGCGGAGCAAGCTGATCGACCAGAAGCTCAAGGAGGACCACCGGCAAGAGGAGTCTCTCAAGACCATCAAGCTGCTCCTGCTAGGTGGCCACGCTGCTATGATTGTTCGCGCAGCGATATGCTCCCGGAACCCAACCGTCGCGTCGTTAATGTGTTCGACCAATGCCATCATGGATGGGCGAAAGCCGAGCACGGCAACCGAGCCTGACCATCCAACTCGTTTCCGTGTGTGTGCCAGGCTCTGGAGAATCCGGCAAGTCCACCGTCCTCAAGCAATTCAAACTCCTGTACGGCACGGGATTCACCGACACCGACCTGAACGTCTTCCGGTCGGCCGCGCTTGGGAATCTTGTTGGGTGCATGAAGGTCCTCATCACCGAGTCGCAGACACGGGGCTTTGCATTCGAGAACCCTGGAGCAGAGGTAACGCTCGGTGCTGATGCAATCAAGGCTTTGCTTGGGCTCACTGGACGGTTGTGAGCAATGCCGCCAGCAGAGGCTGGCCGGTCGGTGGTGACTGTCTTGAATCGGAGAGAGGAGGCAAATCGAGTCTCACCACGCGGCTCTTGACATACTGGCTACTGTGGCAACGACAACGGCAACGGCAACGACGCAGGATTTGTGCAAAATGGTCCTCGATCTGCCGTACTTGTTTTCGACCACGGCCGGGCAGGAAACCATGTCAAAAGCAGTCAGCGATGCCATCGAGGCTCTGTGGAAAGACAGCGCCATTCAAAGCACATTCAAACTCTCACACGAATTCCAGCTGCCAGACTGTTGCGAATAGTAAGATGTCCCTCTGCGGCGAAGCTTACAGAGCGTTGCGCGCAATGCAGTGGATCTTGGCGACGGAGGGCATCCACAAGTGACCCATCCCGCATCTGCATCTCTGACTTGGGTTTGGGCTCGGGCGGGGGGTTGCTGCTTTACCAGCTTCATGCAAAACTGCAGCAGAATCTGCAGCCCAGACTTCCAACCCACACATCAAGATGCGCTGTTTGTAAGGATCATGACCTCGACCATCTCCGAGAACCGATTTACGATCAACGGAATGCAATACCGAATATACGACGTGGGCGGGCAGCGCAGCGAGAGGCGAAAGTGGATGCACTACTTTGACGACGTCAAGGCGGTACTGTTTGTGTCGGCCATAGGATCCTACGATCAGACAATATCAGAGGACAAGGCCACCAACCGGAGTAAGCTTCAGCCGATAACCCTTCTGGGGACGGGAGAGCCGGTGCTGCGTTTGTTATTGGCCAAATGCACCGGCTCAACGCCTATTGTCCCGAGTGGATTGACTCGCGGACAACGATGCAGAGCCGACCGTTGTGTCGCGGATACTGAGTCTGTCTGATGCACCATCGCAGTGGTCGAGTCGATAAATGTCTTTCAGAACATCTGCAACAACCCGTTGATGATCAAGACCCCGATGCTCATCTTCTTCAACAAAATTGACCTTCTGGCGCCAAAGCTCAAAGATCCGACAAAGCCGCTGAACAAGTACTTCCCAGAGTTCACAGGTATCCGAACGTCTCATACCCCCACAATCTGGCGAAAGAGCTGAACTCGCCCTGCAGATGATGCTTTGGCGGCTGTGATTGTTTCTTGTGCACGCTGCCGACTGACGATGGCGCTCTCCCGGCGAACCAAGGGCGCAACGAGATTGAGGCAGTAAAAACCTTCTTCCGGGCCAAGTTCGATGCAGTGAACCAAACGCCCGAGCGCATCATCTATTACTACTACACCCACGCCACCGACACCAACCAGATCAAATCCATCCTGAAGGTCGTGACGTTGGTGATCATGCAGATGAATCTGGCCACGGCGGGCTACATGTAAATTGTATTCACAAAAGACAGGGCCTGGATCGGGGCTGGCATATTGACTGTTCTCCGCCGAGTCTACCCTGCCGAGTTCGTCACAGGCAACCAGGAAGGGGAGGGGAGGGGCAGCGAATGGCGAGGCCGCCAGGATGCACGGCGAGCGCGAATGAAGAGACAGACCAGGCGAGAGAGGAAAGACGATCCGACGACGACGACACTTACAAGAGTGGCGGTCCGTGTTGGCGACCGTGACCCGCGAAGCAGCTTATCGACAGAAGAAAGCCCGGGACAGTCGACAGGACTGCCAAAACATCGTGTGGGATGGTGGTCTGAATATGTGTGTGTGCAGCGGAAAAGGAGGCAGGAGCCGCTGCTTCCGATCTATTGCGAGATGTCCATCGAGTCTTCCAGCTGCTTCGTCAGCGCGCGGACGAGATCCTTGGCCTTCTCGGGCGAGACATGTTCCGAGTTCTTGATGGCATTGACAACAAGGACAATGTGTCTGGATGATCCGGCATTGACCCAGACGCGGCCGTTCATGCCAACGGCGATCTCAAACGGTATCCGCTCGCCGAGGGCAGACAGTACGGCGTTCTCGGCCTTTAGCAGGCTGTAGCGAGCGAGAAGGGCGGGGATCGCAGGTTTAGAGCTTGAGCGGCAGTCGCTACAATGTACCAAACAGCTCACAGATCCAGCATGCCGCGATGCGACCGAGAGGCAGAATGCATGGACTTACTTGCGTGCCAAGGCAAGCGAGCAGTTGAACGAAAACCCGTCCTTGACTTCGCCGTATCCGTCGGCCTTGCCGCTGTTGGGGCTGATGCACTCGAGCTCGGGCTCCATATCTTTGTTGGCGACGCTGATCCGGGCATAGACCAAAGCGCCGACCTGGTTGGCAAACGCAGTGTCGCAAGGAGAGACATGGCGTGAAGAGCGTCAGGCACCGCTCTGGATGATCTGGTGTTTCAAATGTGCCTCCTTCCCGGGAGGGGGGCAGTACTTGGTATATCCCAAGCACTCTGATGACTGAATGCCGGTGGCCCTGGGGTCGAAGTGAATCCCGCTCCCAGATACCGCCAGGCCATCCACGATGCGGTGCCGCTATCACAATCGAGATCTTCTCTCACCTCCAGAGTCGGGCGGTTTTTCTTGGTTGCACCCTCAAAGGCAAACGCCGACAGCTGGGCGGGATGGGCGGCACCGATATCAACTCGGTAGCCCTCGACGTTTCGGGCCGTGATGATGCCAAGGACGTTTTCGCCCGCCGACGGGATATACTGAGTGGGATGGATGCGGTCGATTCAAGGTTAGAGTGGGCACAACAAGTCCATCGGCAGCAGGCACAGAGATCCGATAGACAGGCCCCTCCCCCTCGCTGCATCCAGATGTCCTGTTGGATCCATCTGCCGCCGTTCAAGCCCTCATCGCGACAGGATCCGGCCTGGATGGATCTCACCATGGCGGCTTGCAATTGCGCTTACCCTCTTCTGGGAGCTCTCGATCCACCACTTTCCGTTGCTGGAGCTCTTGAGGACTCCGGCCTTGATGGCGATGACATCATCGCGGTCCTGGACCAAGCCGGGCCCGATCCGGATGCTCGACGCCTTCTCCTCGTCTGGATTGCTCTGATAGTCAATCTTGTCGCCCGGAAGCACCACCGTTGCCGAGGCCATTTGCAGGTATTCAGGAGGGACGAGAATGACAGGAAGAGAAGAGGCTGAGGCCGGGACGGTGGATTGTCTGGCACGAACGATCGGCGATGTGACGATCAGCAACTGGACACGATCAGCACCCAGACCCAAATGGAGGCCAGACACGATCAAAAAAAGTGAAGGGGAGGGCTCAAGCCGGCTCGAGCCAGGCCGCTGGCTGGAGTGTGCCCGACACATGGACCAGGCTCGACGTTTCGGGAATCTTGAGAGCAAAACGTGTTGAATAAACAATGGGACGCACCGTCTCATCCGGACAGGCGGCGTAGTCGGGTCATATCACAAGCGGGTCATAATTTCCCTGTGTGAGGGATGCATGGAGTCGCTCCGTCCATGATTCCAATCTCTGCGGTCGATATCGCATCGACAGAGTCCACCACAACAATCAAGGCAGGCCACACTCGACTCCCCAGGGACAGACGGTTTGTTGCTTCGGGCCTCATGGGACAGTGTCGAGATGTTGCTGCCTGATGGATCTTCACCGCCATGGATCCGAGGCGGGGCCTTGGCCTGTGGTGTCCTGTGTGAGGGATATGCATGGCGTGAGTGGGTACGACGGGACCAGCGAGCCGCTGCAGATGCAGTCACTGTAGGTCAGAGCAAGAAGACATACCTGGGATGAAGGAGGAAGACGCAGGGAAAAGAGCAATATCGCCAGAGGACATCGACGAGCGGATTATATGGGGGTGCCGATCAAAGTCGTCTGGTTCAGACAAGTTATCCGTATGGGAAGATGTTCCGTTTGCTGCAAACCCATCCAACCAGCTTATCGAAGAGTCATGCCAGCGGCGAATCCTGCGGTGTCCCAACCCCCCGGAGGCGCGGTCCCTATAGAAGGCCAGCTCGCCATCTTTCTGCCCCCTGACCTCGAGACCCTCATCGACAAGGCCCTCAAACAGGCCTGCAAGGAACGAGGTCTCGCAGTTAACGGGTCCAAGAAAGACCGAGAGAACCGCCTCAACCAATGGAAGCTGAGCCGAGGGGTCAACCTGGCCCAAGAGAACACCCCGCAGAGGCCGACCAGCCTCCAGTCGAAGCCGAAGCCGCTGACTTCGAAGACATGGCCGAGCATCCCGGCCAGGAACAGACCGTTGCCCGTCCGCCCGCCTCGACCACTCCAACTCTCATAGAGAGAAGGCCTGAAGCGGCTGGGGACCGAAGTGGACAGTACACTTTGAGCCTGGCACAACTCGGATCCTCTCCCTCTCCAAAAGTTGGACAAGAGGCCTCAGGCGAGCGGACGGACAGGTGATGGCTTTTTCCTGATCGGAGTCCTCGGTCAGGTCTTCGAAGTCGAAAGCTTCGGTTGGGGGGCGAATCGGCCTCGGCGGGGAGGGTGTCCTCTTGAGCCAGGCTTTTTTCCCGGCTCGATTTTCATTCGTTGAGGCGGTTCTCCCGGTCTTTCTTGGACCCAGTGACGACGAGGCTTGTTCCTTGCAGACCTGTTTGAGGGCCTTGTCGGTAAGGATTCCGAGGTCAGGGGGCAGAAAGATGGCGAGCTGGCCTTCTACAGGGACCGCGCCTCCGGGGGGTTGGGACACCGCAGGATTCGCCGCTGGCGTGACTCTTCGATATGCTGGTTGGATGGGTCGGGACCAGTCCCTCTGCGAAGGAGGAGTCGCCGGGGGGAGGTGTGAGGTTTCCTGTCACGGCGGGATCTCCCGAGATTTCCGGAAAGTCGAGATCAGGCGAAGGCTTGTTTGGGCAGACGGGTGCCGCCAGTTCTGTTCTGGGCAAACTGCACAGGGAGCACGGCAGCGCCACAGCGACAGCGTCTGCTCACTACTTACTGATGCCCACACCCCATGCATATCCCTGTTCACGCAGGACGGACACCCAGGGAGGTGAGCTGGCTCCCTCGCTCGTTGTTGGCCGAGTAGGATATGATCGGACCACGGCATGCGTTTGTCCAAACGAGACTGCGTCTCACTGTCTTTTGAGCACGCTCTATTCTTGACCAGAAATCAGGGGGGTTTCCTCAACAGGGGCAGTGCCGGAGCCCGAGACTGAGCCTGGGGCTTTCAGAGTCGAGCTTTCTTGGTGGGTGCTCTGGAGAGCGGAACCAAAGTCGAGCCAGACGACGCAGTTTTGCTGCCCTTCTTCACGGCAAACAGCCACGATTTTTCGAGAGTCCATTTGCAGGGCCGAGATGCATCCCAGCCGAAGATCAATCGAGAAGAGTGGCTGCAAGGTCTTGGCCGTCCACACTGACACACGAGTTTGCGTCAGCCTGCATCGAGGGGGTGGGAGCGATCTGGAGCCATTGGGAGCAATTGGATTCCGGGATGCAGTCGATGGTTGTGTCCATGTCAATGCAACCAGACATACCTTTGACGGCACCATCCCAACCGCCGCTAGCGACTCTGGTGCTTGAGGCGCACACGACCTTGACCCATTCCGAGTGAGCTTTTTGCACCAAGAGGCAACGCCCCGAGACCAAATCCCACTCTGTACATCGGCAAGGGCATCGAGCGGGATGGAGAGCAAAAACGAGTCAGCACTACCGCGGACTTGCACCCCCCCCCGAATCTGCAAAATTACACGCAGCCCATTGCAGAACAATGCGACGATGCTGGATCAACGACTCGAGCGAGATCAGGTGCCAGAGAAGGCAGTGTACTGACGTCGGATGGTCTTGTCGAGGGAGCCGCTGTATAGACGGCTGTCGACGACACTCAGGCAGGATACCCCTTCTGTATGGCCGTACAGAGTCCGTTCGCATGTCCCCGTGCGCATGTTCCATATCTGTCAGAGGGCCCGTGGGAATCGTCAGTGAGACTTTCAGAAAGCAACGCCCAGGGAGCTAATCGAGGCAGCATATAAAATACGACGGTGGATAGATGGCGGTTGTCGATATGGGGTACAGGTCCTCCCCCTCCCTTCCCGTTAACACAGTCCAGCCGACCCAGTCCAGTCAGCCAGCCTAGCCCATCACGCCGATTCTAAAGCCAGCTCTATCTGCAACTCGGACGATCAAGCACCCACCTTGATCGAGCGATCAAGAGAGCCCGTGATGACACAATGAGTTCCGAGGGCCTGCACGCAAAAAATGTCTTTCGAGTGGGCACCGACGGACAGAGTGTTGTGGATGGAGACCAGCTCGGGGCTCGAGATGCCGGCCTGGGCTTTTCCGAATCTGAACCGCTTTCCCTCGAACACTACTGACAGGAGCGGGCCTGAGAGCTTTGGCGTCGCCAGCCGCGACGGGTTCTTGATTTTGTTGATCATGTTGGAGAGCATAATCTTGGATCGGTAGGTGCGTTTGGTGCCCGGCCTCTCCTGCGTGCTGTGTCTCAGAATGCCGGGCTTGGGGCCAGGGTGGGCATCGCGCGGGTTTGGATGGGGCAAAATGGTATCGCAGTGCTCCGAACAGATCTCCACATCCCGCAGGGGCGATGCGGGCGATGACTTGAGCTCGGGCACTGGCTGGGACTGGAGCAACGGTGAGCCCACAAGCTGCTTTGTTGCGGCACTTGAACCGTCATGGTCATCCTCTGAAGGCTTGGGCCTCCGAAAGGGATTGCGCTTGGTGGGCAACTGGGATGCCGGCTCGTGGGTGTTGGCAAGGACGTCAAAGCTCTTGAGGACCCCATCAACCCCGCAGGTAATCAGCTTGGAACCGCCGCCGACAACGGCAATGCAGCTGATGCCACCGGGATGGACTTGCTCAAAGACGCCGAGGTTCTTGCCCGTAAACGTGTTCCAGAGTGTCAGATCGCCATTCAGGTCGCCCGTGGCCAGCAGGCTCCCCGCGAGCGGATCAAAATCGAGGGCAACGATCCGCGACGAGTGTGTTTGTGGTGAAAAGGTAATGTCGGGCGCGAGGGTTTCTTGGCCGTCGCTGCGAACGCATGAAAGCGCTGAAGCCAGCGGGCCGCTTTGGGAGCCGAGCCGGAAGAGCAGCAGATCGTGTCGTCTCGTTCCCACGATCAGCTTGTCCTGGTCGAACTTGAAGCTGCTTGCAAGACCAGAGATGCAGGCGGCGATTCGGAATCATAAGCACAGCGATAGGAGCATGGGGCGGTCCTCGCTTGTATCTGCCGCCAAGCGTACAGACGGCATCTCGACATGCCGGTTGGCAACAGAGTCTATCGGGGCTTGGCCAACGTACCAGGTGATAGAGTCGCGCACGTTCACCACCGGAAGGATGTGCATCCGCCAGTGACCTTCTCGCCAGTTGTGCTTGAGGCGATATCCGTCCTTGTAGATCTCCTTCCACCAGCTCTCCCTGTCCTGGCAAGTCTCGAGGATCTGTGTGTTTTCGGGACCAATGTCGATTCCGTCGCGGAGACAAAAGCTCTGCCAGATGATGGGATCGAGTGCTGCCCGATACCAGCATCTGGACACTAGCGAGAGCCGGATAAGTTCGCGCGGATCAAAGTACTGGAAAACATGCAGATGGATGCCCGAGTCCAGCGACACGTTGGGCACAAAGGTTTGCAACACTAAGTCGTCCTCAGTGCAGGCATCGGTGCCAGAGAGGAGAGTAATGTGCGACGGGTCACAGGTGCTGGTGATGGAGAAGAGCTCGAGACTCGACAGATTCAGGAAGGTCTTGGAGGACGATGCGATCTTGAGCATCTTTGCGAGCCTTGAAGAGCAGGCGGGTGCGGGTAGCGAGTGGGCGTGGGCGACGGGCATGGGTGTCGGTGTCGAAACGACATGGTCAGCACAAGAGAGCGGGAAGGTTCAATGAGCGTCCAAGCACCCTGGCGCGCAGGGTCTCACGCCGATAAAGCACACGGCGGAGCAGTGGACCCAGCGCGAAGATGCAATCGGTGTGTGCATTGCTTGCGAGCGACCCTGTCGGATGGTGCGAGTGCGAGGCGCTGGCTGAAGCGAAAGCTCGCTGCGGCTGCCAGGGGCGTTGTATGGGATCTCCAAAGGAGAGCCTCGCCGACGGGACCGAATGGCGATGGCCGGAACGACATACATTGCTTTCTGGAGTGTCTCGAGGACCCGGGGGGAAAAGCTGCGGTATGCCGCTGGTTTGCGGGGCTGGCGGCGTTCATTCCTGGCCGAAAACATCAAATGCGACGGTGCCCGGGCCAGTATAGGAGAGGGCGTGGGTCAAGAAAGAGACAGCGGATCGCTGGAGAAGATATGGCAAGTGATTGAGTGGGGGGGGGTGTGGGCGAGCGAGCGGGGGAATGCTCCAAGCACACAAACAGCAAGGGTGCTGGATTTCCTGGCCGATGCAATCGTTTGGGTTCGTGATTGCGCACACACTCACGTACGCATCCCATGGATCATCCGCGACGTATCCAATTCCTGCGTCCGCCGTGAATTGAGGTTTGGATGTGGCATGGCTTGTGGTGCGAAGGTCGGATCGGTGCAGCCGGTGAATGTCGCAGAGCGCAGTCCAGACCATCGTCTCCGCTCATTCGTCTTGATTTGTGTCACAGACAGACCGAACGACAGGCTCGGCGGATGATGTCTGGAGCACAGCGTCACAAGAATGGGTTGGGCATGACACCCGTCAAACTCGCACCCGTCACCCCTGCAATTGACTGGCCCAGGCGACCGAGGCGGCAGCGGCGTGGCTGTTATATGTACAGTATATTACTCAAGTATCATGTCAAAAACAAGCGCGGTGGCGCTTGTGGGCATATTTGCTGGGAGGCGCTGCACTTGGGCAGACACCGGCGGAGGACGAGACAATTAGTTGGCAAGGGCGAGGTACTGGAACTCGTTGTTGTAGACCTCGGATCTGTCGTAGGCAAAGGCGATACCGTCACCAATGGTGGGGCTGTGGATCGAAAGAGGAGACAGGTATCAGCGGCAAGTGCGGATGGGCATGCGAGGCAACAACGCAAGGTGGCGCCCAGAGTGCGCAACGGCAGAGCGCGGCATGATCTGTCGACTTACCCGGCCTTTCCGGGCTGGACACCGCCCTGGTACTGGGTGCGGGCAATGAAGAGGGGAGAGCCATCGGCCTCACGGCCACCATCGACGGGGTGGTTGTTGTGAGGAGCGTTGAGGGTGTTGCGGTGAGGGATCCATCGGACGGCGTTGGGGTAGCCGACGAGGACCTCGTAGTTCTGGACACGGATGGCCTCACCGCCCCAGCTGATGTAGGCACCAGTGGCGGGGCTCAGCTTGCCAACGTGGACACCGTCGCTGAAGGACAAGAGACGTTGGTGGGTTAGCAAGTTTGCCAGTCGAAGATGGGTCACGGACGCGTGGACAGAGAGCGACGACCAAGTACTCACTTGTAGAAAGCACGGATGGTGAAGAGGGGAGTGCCATCGGCCTCGTTGCCGGTCTGGATGGCGTTGTTGGGGACATAGCCGCCCTCAGCGTAGGCCCAGTGGACGGGAGGGAGCTCCTGGCCAGAGTTGGTGGCGTCCTCGAGGGCACGGCGGCGGTTCTGGGAGTCCTGCTGCCAAGAGTTGGCGGTCCAGGCGGTCTCCTGGCGGTGACGCTGTTGACCGAGATCGAAGAGGGGCGAGGGAGAAGGGTGAGTACTGGGACGACATGGGGATACGGAACATGGTTGCAGAGGCGACGGCCACGGTGATCCGGGGCCGATGCGGCCGGCTGGAGCCTGTCAAGATCGGCACACAGACGACGGCGACGACATGGACGCTCACCTCGTGCTCACGGTACTCGTGGACACCAAAGGCGACCAGGCCGATGGCGGCAGCGCCGGCGACGATCTTGCCACCAGTGCTCCAGGAAGCAGGGTTGTCCCAGGTGCGCTGCTGGTGGTGGTTGTTGCCGAAGAGGCCGCGTTCGTTTTCCTGGGGCTGCTGGTAGGACATGGCGAGAGAAGAAGGCGAGTAGAGTGGGCGAGGACGAGGAGCTGTGGGATGGAGATGGCGGAGGGAGCAGGGCAGGCGGGGTATTTATATCCACGCGATGGCAAGCCTCGCGATGGGAGGTGGTGGAGGACGGAGCACCGGGGCCAAGGGCATGCGCAAGGGCGTGTATCCGAGTCATGCCCGGTGGCGGTCCAGCGGGCTCGCGTCAAGCGAGGAGCGAGCGAGGGCGGGCGAGGAGCGGGCGAGGAGCGGGCGAGAAGGCGCGTGTGGGGGAGATCGGCGGAGAGAGCGAGGGCGGGCGAGAGGCGCAGAGAGCACCACCGAGACGCGGCCGAGAGCGCCGCCGAGAGAACGTGTGAATGTGGCGCAGTGCGCAGCCGCGCCGTGGCGACGCAGCAACAAGGCCGGCGCGGCAGTGCACGACAGCAAGGGCCGCGCAGCGGCACACACAAACAGCGGCGGCAGGTCGCAGCAACAAGCGCGCACACACACACACACAGCCAGCGCCGCCAGCCAATCAACAAGCGCGCCAGCCACAGGCCCCGGCGCGCCGCGCCCATCCACCCGCTCGGCTGGCCAATCGCCGCGCGCGCCTGCCCCGAGCCGCTGCGCTCGGCCGCGATTGGTCCGCGGAGGATGGCGACACACAGCCGCGGCTTCCCATTGGCGTCAGCCACCTTGGTGCAGGCGCGTGGGGGGCCGAAGGCGGCCTGCGCGACGCCCAGGGCCGGCCAAGACATGGGTGGATGCAAACAGGCAGGCGGGCAGGCGGGCAGGCAGCCAAGCCCGACATGCAGACAGGCAGGCCCGTCTGCGAAATCCAATCGCCAGGTCGGATACCTCCCCCGGTCTTGCAGGTGGTCGCCGCCAGAGCCTGCCTCCTCATCCATGCTCGTTCGCACACCATCGGCCGCGCCGCCGATCGCATCATGGCCACCGCGGCAGGCTGGGGAAATGAGGCAATGGGCGTGGTGTTATTTGTCGATTGCGGACAAATGTCGCTGTCTCGGCGCAGACTCTCGTCAGAGGCACGCCCGATGGCATCGACCCGATGGGCATGGTGCAAGTTGTCAGCACGGCTACCTGCTCGTTACTCGCTACTCGTAGCTTGTCACTGGCCTCGCTCGCTCGCTGCTCGCTTCAGCAGCTCAAACGACTGCTCGCCCGTCTCCTTGCACATCTTCCAGAACCAGCCGTGGCCCTCGATCGCCAGCAGCTCGCGCGGGCTGCCGTACTCCACCACCCGTCCTTCGTCCAGAACCAGGATCCGGTCGTAGTCGATGATGGTGTTGAGCCGGTGCGCGATCGTAAAGACCGTCGAGTCCTTGAAGATGGTCCGGACGCTGTCCTGGATCAGCCGGTCCGTCTGCATGTCGACCGCCGAGGTGGCCTCGTCCATGACAATGATCTTGCTGGCCCGGAGCAGCGCGCGAGCCAGGCAAATGAGCTGCCGCTCGCCAAAGCTCCAGTTGGATCCGTTCTCGGAGATGTGGGTCTCGAGGTCGGATCCCACCCGGGTCTTGAGCGAGACGAGCTCGAGGGCCGACCAGATCTCGGCGTCGGTGTACTTGTTGAAGGGGTCCAGGTTGAATCGGACGGTGCCGTTGAAACAGAAGGGCTCCTGCGGGATGATCGAGATGGACGAGCGCAGATCCGCCAGTCCCAGGGCACTCGTCGACACGCCGTCGACCATGATGGAGTTCTCGGGGGTTGGCTCCACCAGGCGGAAGAGTGCCTGGATGATGGACGATTTCTGGAGAGGGAACCGCGGGAGCGTTGCCGATATTGTCAGTGTCGTTGGCGGTGTGCTGGCCGCAAGTACCCAGCATCGGACTGGTCGGAACCACACCGACCCACCACACCGACCCACCGCACCAGCACCATCGTCACTCGTGCATGTGCCCTGCTTACCCCAGCTCCGGTACGGCCAACCACGCCGATCTTGGTGCCGCCCTGGATGTCGACGCTGATCGCCTTCAGTGCGTCCCACGAGCTTCCGGGATATCGCAGTGTCATATCCTTCATGGCAACGTTGCCCTTGCTGGGCCAACCTTTCTCGGGGCGCACATGGGTGTACTCGGCCGCCTCCGGGGCCAGGCGGGTGTACTCGAGGATGCGCTCGCAGCTGATCATCAGGTTCTCGACCTCGGTGCTCTGTCGGATCGTCCATTGCGAACAGCCGGCCAGCTGCAGGGCATAGCTCAGGATCAGACCGACCGTGCCCCCAGACAGACCCAGGCTCGACTTGAGGACGACACACAGGAGGCCAAGCACAAAGATGAATGCCGATGCAGACATGTCCAGGCGAATGCCGAGCCATCTCCCCGACGAGAGATAGGCAAAGAACCTGGAGAGCGCAGCGATCCCGTCGGCAACATTAGCAAGCGGCACTTCATCCCACCCAGCCACCATCGGCCCTCACTCTACTTTCACCCTCACTCGATTCCGACTCTGCTGTCCCTGAAGAATTCTCACGCCAGCCACGCTCTCTCAGGCAAACAGCGCACAACCTACAGTCGTGTGTTGTCGTTCTGCAGCTTGATGAATTCGTTGAGGAACATGGACTGTCGGCCATAGGCTCGGACGAGGGCCAGTCCGTCCAGCGAGGTTGTGATGAACGAGTACACGGGCGACCGCGACACATTCTCCATGCGCTTGATCTGCCGGGCAGTCAGCAGGTAGAAGCGCTGGATTCGCACAAAGCCGTAGACGATCGGCGGGATGAACAGCAGCAGATACGGGATCGTGCCAGTGACACCCAGCGTGCCCAGGATAATGAATGCGAACTGGGTAAAGTCAAAGAACGTCATCGGCAGGTTGTCGTCCATCAGGTTGATGTCCTTGGCGAAGCGGCTGCGGATAAGCAGAAGCACGATGACAGCAGAGACAGACGTGCATGTTAGTCGATGGACAATCCGTCAGAAAGCCAGTGCTGGCACAGTGTGTCCCGCAGAGTCGAAAATGGTCGCCGAGGCGGTCGATGGATCGCTGACTGCCGTCCTTGAATCGCAAGAGTGGAACTGTGGTGTACACCACTACGCGGAGCCTACTACCAAACCGGGAACACACCCAGAACCCCGTGGGTCAAGCATCGGGATACCTACTTCATGATTCGGCCGTGCGGGTTGTTCTGGAAGAATGTCATTGGTGCTCGGAGCACAGCGTTGAGCATCTTCTTGAAGAGACCCCTCGAGGCGTTCAGGCAGATCCAGTAGAACAGCAGGGCTCGCGACAGGGCCAGCACCAGGACGCATCCCGCAAGGCCGACGTAAATGTACAGGTTCTGGGGGTTGCGCTGGTCCGTGAACGTCTCGGAGGACCAGCGGGACAGCCACCAGTCCGTCATCAGACTGCACACCTGGGCCAGCACCACCAGGACGATGCACACAACCGTCCAGGAAACGCCTCCGCCGGTGCGGAAGTAGTCGACATAGACCTGGGTCGAGAGCGTGCCCTGCTCGCTCTGCTCGGCCGCCAGCTCCTTCTTCTGGAAGTTCATCTCGGGCACCTCGTCTTCGATCACGAGAACTTCATCGGCTGCGCTGGCGCCTTGGTCTTGGGCTGCTGTCTGTTGGATGTTGGATGCCGCAGCCTCAAAGTCCTGAAGCACCTTGGCAAAGACCGAGTCGGGTGCTTGGCAGACCTCCCGATAGCTTCCAAAGCCGGCGACTCTGCCGCGCTCGAGCAAGATGACACGGTCACAGTGACTGACAAACTGGAGCTGGTGCGTGGCCAGGAAGATCGTCTTGCCCTTGAGTACGCCACGGATGCATTCGTTGAATAGATGTCTGGGGGGGGGGCACGATAGCGAGAAAATGGTCTGTATGAGAAACTCGAGCAGCATACGCCCTAGTGCCCAGGCTCCACGATGGACAATATCGACGACACAGACATCACAGCGACCTCTATCGGTACAAGCATTCATGCGACTGCTATCGATAAGCATCCATGGCGACACCGACCGTCATCGATAGCAGCGCGGACGCTCATTCGCTCGGGACAATGCAGCCGATACTGTGCTCAGACACATACCTTCCGACCCGGGCATCGACAGCACTCAGAGGATCGTCCAGGAAGATAATGTCGGCGTCGGCGTAGACCGCACGGGCCAGTGCAATGCGGGCTCGCTGGCCACCCGACAGAGTCACGCCTCGTTCGCCGACCACAGTCTCCTCGCCTTCGGGGAAGCGGCCAAGATCGTGCTCGAGGGCGCAGGCCTTGACGACGGTGCGGAACCACTGCTCTCGATACGGGGCACCAAAGAGGACGTTGTCGCGGATTGTACCGGAGAGGATCCACGGCTGCTGCGATGCATAGGCCATCTTGCGCGAGCGCGTGTGAATGGTTCCGGCTCTGATCTCCATCTCGCCGAGGAGGGCGTTCAGCAGACTGGTCTTGCCGGCGCCGACTGGTCCGACGATGCCCACGAGCTCACCGGTGTTGGCCTGGAACGAGATGCTGTTGAGGATGCACACGTCTTCCTTCTTCTCGAGGCTGGGCACTGGCGTCGCTGTTTTGGACGGAGACTTTGGCGGTGCTTTCCGACCACCCAAGGGAGTCGTGCCCCACGCAAGGGAGGCGTCGCTGACCAAGACCGCCAGCTTGGGGTCGACCGAGTCCAGATGGGCCACATCGGCGCTGTGGCTGGCGAGGCGATCAATCTCAGGCAGAGACAGGAACTCCTGGATTCGCTGGAGTGACACGCGAGCCTCGGTAACAAACTGCACGGCCTTGGGAATGAAATTGGTCATGTCGAGTCGGATGATGTTGAACAAAGGAATGGACGTGAAGATCTTGGCCGGGGTAAGGGCTTCGCCGAGGGCATAGGTCGTTCCAAAGGCCAGGAGAGCAATCAGGGTGGGCGAAACAAAGTAGATCGAGTCGTTGATGGCACGGAGGAGCGAGCTCTTGGTCATCTGGTGGACTTCGTGTGAGCGCAGGTCGTTGACGTTGTCTATAAACGGTCGCTCCCAGGCATAGAGCTTGATGACCTGGATGCCGCTGAGCAGGTCGGAGAGACTGCTGATGCGCTTATCACGGAACTTGTTGGTTTCGCGGCGGATTGCACCAAACATCTTGCCGAACTGCGACTGGAGCGGAACGAGGAGGGCTGGACGGATCGAGACCAGATGGGGGTGTGGTCCGCAGAGGCTCAGCGTTAGAAACCATGGTCAAGCGCGGTGCAGCGGCAGCGATAGCCATGCCGAGCAGGAAAAGGCGACAGCGAATAGGGAGAGTGGCACTCGAATCGAACAGCATGCGTGGGAAGGACGGTGCCCTTGATGCACAACGGGATCTCTGCAGGCCGCAACATGGACAACCAGAACCTTGGCCACTCGGCATGGCACGAGAGCATAGCAGAGGAGGGCATAGCAGAGGAGGGCAGAGCGTAGCAGAGGAGGGCAGAAGCTCGAAGGCAAGCAACAAGCAGGTCTGAGAACAACTGTGGGCTGTGCGTCAAGTACTTAGCAGCCAGCCAACACTCACCAAGACCGAGCATGCCTGCCAGGCTCGAGACGCCGATCTGCTCCCACAGACAGTAGAGCACAAGAGCAAACTCAAACGGCGCCAGGATCAGATAGATAGCATAGATACAGGTGTCCTCGAGACGCTGAACATCGGCCGAGATCATGTTGACGATCACACCGGTGCTGGAGGTGTGGCCGATAGAGAGATTCAGGCACTTGCGGTACATGGTTGCGATGAAGCTGATGCGGAGGTTCATGCCCGTGCGGGTGGTTGTGAAGACGTTGAAATGCGAAAAGAACTGGGAGAGGGCAAGGACGATCGACAGAAGCACCACCCAAACGTAGCCCATGTATGCTGGGCTGGTGCCAATGTCCTGGAACCAAACTAGAAGCTGGCTGGAGACACGGAGGGAGACACGGAGAAGGGTCAGGAAGGCTGATGCAGCATGCCGCTGCCCATTCGGTACCGCTGGTGTTTCGGTCGTCGGCGACATGGGCGAGGATGTCGTGGTCGACACTCGCAAGCACTCACCCGAGAAGGAGGGCGTTCCCGACTCTCAGTACACAGACAAGGAACACTAGCAAAACGGATTGTCGGTAACTGATCCACATTACTCGCATCTAGACAGGGTGAGTCGATACATGGGATGAGAGGAAGTGAGAGACGAGGCGAGGATCAAAGGGTGATCGGAGGCAAGTGTGGCCTCGGCCAATGCACATTGACAGACGACTCCAGCGATCGGATGCAAGGGGCAAGGCGGCTACCATGACTTTCCAGAGCTTGGGCGACGGCTTCTTGGCCTCCCTCTCCCATTCACGGAGAAGACGTTCGGAAGTGGCGTTGCAGTCATCGCTGGGTCTGGGAGATGGACGACACAAGCGATCCGACGAGGTTAAATCACGGAGCCGATGGCCAGAGAGAGCGATGCTGGGTCATTGCTTTGCCGTGCTCTGAGCCAGCGCGAGATCCCTCCCCGGAGAGCGAATGGCGGCGGGATGGCAGCGAAGCGGCAGCGTACTCGATGGGGGCAAAGTTCTTCAGAGAGAGCGTATTCTTGGCGCCGTGGGAGAAGAGAAAGGTCATGTGCGAATAGAACCCCTTTTGCAGAGGGTTCATGCTGTGGTGCGGAGGAGCGACCTTGGAGGACGGGTCCTCTTTTTTCTGGTCCTCAGGGGACTTCTTGGGCCAATTGAAGGGCATGCTTGTCGGATACGAAAAATGAGATATAGAGGACAATCGATGCGATTAGGGAGCAGGGGGGGGGATTAAGAGGAATAGTTCCGATGTTACGGACGACACGAATGAGGGGGTGAAAGTGCGCTGAGCTGAAGCGGAGGCTTCCAGGACCGGGTCGAGTGAGCCTTCTCGGATAGAGCCGAGCCGAAGCAGGGCGATGAAACAGGGGGAGTTTCTGGTGCGATGCGGATTTTAATGCTCCGGGATCGACGTTTGTGCCCCGGACTCGCAGGATGTATTGGGGCGATGGAATTGGGAAATTGCAGACAACAGGCGCTGCAGCCTCTGTATGGGGGGTATCCAGAGAGGTTCTTGGCCGTGGAGCTGAGGCGCTAGCCTCGGGGATGTAGCAGAATGTTAAGGGAGAAGGGGGATGGACGGCGAGAGGCCTGTGGCTCGTGGCTGCTGAGGGGTGCACTGTCTGGGGGAGAAAGAAGACGATATGGTGCGAAGAGGCCCGAAGAAGCAAATATATATGTGGTTGAGGGGGACCTTGGAGGGCCGGACAGGCAGGATGGTCGTGGGAGCCACAGGCCGGATGAGCAGAGCAGCTCCGGAGCGGGAAGCGGATGGCCCTGACATTTTTTCCATGGCTCTGTTTTTTTTGTCAGCGAAAGGGTGAGGCCCGGCCTCCACAGCCACAAAGGGCCATTGGGCCAACAAGCCGAGGCAGGTGACTGGGCATGCGCAGCACATGGCGGGTCGGTTCCATCGGATTTTGCCGTGGAACAGCGGCTGGTGGCGATCTGCGGCTGCGCTGGCGGGATGTTCGACGAAACAGAAGCCCTGGCGGCGAAACGGAAGGAGAAGCACGGAGGCACAGACGCCGATCCGATCCGATCCGATCCGATCCGGTGTGCGTGAAGCGTGGAGACATAGGGCTGATGCTGATGCTGATGCTGGTGCTGATGCTGGCAAATACTTGGCATCGTCTGCACTTGGTTTCGCCTCCGGCTCAGTCCGCAAATCGCTCATCCACAAGTCGTTGGCACACCAACGCCGCTGCAGCAATCAAAGCAGAACATCATGGGCTCTATTGTTGCGGGTGCCCCGAAGCACTGACGATCGGTCGCAGTTCCATCTGCACATTCACGAGCAGCAGCGGCAGGACTTGTGATCATGCCCCACATCCACCTTGAGCAGACAGCACCAACAGCCGACAGGGCAAGACACACAAAAAAAGTAATAACGGCAAAATCACAGAAGAAATGAAGTCGAGAAGGGGTGGGGTAGGGTGGGAAGACCGGAGGACGAGGAAGACCAGGGAGGAAGGTACAATTGGCAGCAGGGTAGCGGTGGTCGTCAGTACAGAGTCTCGAGTTGTTGCTGCCAAGGATGGCCGGCTCTGCGCTGTGGTGGGTCGGGCCGGCGGCGAAAGTTACTGCAGGCGCCCGTTACGTTTTCATCGTGGTCGAATCGTTTTCTCTCATTCTCAGCTCGTCGTCAATGTCCATCGCGCCGGTATCGTCGGCCATCTCCTCCTCACGAGGAATGTTGCCGATCGTGTCGCGCGAGGGTCCGGAGAGACTGCGGCGGGACCATCCAGTCAGGGTATCGGCGAGCGAGGAGTAGTCAGTGAGTGCGCAGATGACGCATTGTTCGCATGCTTTGCAGTGCATGTGAAGCGATCAGGTAATAGGAGAAGCACACATACATTTCGGTGGGACGCCGTAGTGGCGCCTTCATCTGGGCCATCTTTTGCAGCTTGAACTCCATGATTTCGCCCACGATCATCTCTGCGGATGTGGAAAACAGATAGCCACATGAGTGTTGTGTGCCGTGTGTCGGGTATACTGGGTGCGGTAGACTGACGGACGATTGACAAGCAAGCCGGAGCCATGTGCAGCGGTATGGCACGGGGATTACGGAGTTTCGACAATTCGCGATGCACCAAGACGTCACTCACTCTTCATGTCATCAATGCCCTCGACAGCCTCGAAAGAAAAGTCAAAGAGCATCGGGTGTGTGGGCTCGTCCTCGACATCGTGGTAGGCCTCCATGTACGGATGCTCGAGCGCCTGCTCGACGGTCATGCGGATGGCTGGGTCAAACGTCAGCAGCTTGTCCAGGAGGTCCAGGGCTGGAGGTGGCGGCACCGCAATCGACAATGGATGCATGTTAACACTGGCAATGGAAACCAAGAGACGATATGCGTCGCAGCCACAGTCACAGCACAGCTCCGTCCCAGCTCCACGGTTCTATCCTGATACACCCGTGGTACTGTTCGCATAACTCACCGATGGGATTGGTCTTGGGGAATAGGTGTGAGAATGGCACCTTTGGCGTTTTGCGGAGGCTTCGGATGTAGAGCTGGGCCTTTGGAGCCACAACAGCCAGGGGGTTCAGTTACAATATCGCTGGCACACCGGCTCGCCGTGGTCGTGTGTGAGTCAGCCGCTCTGTGTTTGCCTCCCTCGCTGCTCGAGCATCCGCCAAGGGGAAACAAACGTCGCATTACCCGTTCGCTTCCTATCCTGTTCAAAGTCGAGTCATCTGGAGTGCCCAGGACATTCAGAATCAAGTTGAGCTGATCCACATCTGAACATGAGTTGGGGGAGTTTGTTATCAAGAGAGCAGTCCGTTAGCGGAGGCGACAGAGTCTTGGAACCATAGGATCGCCAAAGCCCGGATCGACCCGTGCATGCTGAGTGGTGATGCTTCTCTCCTTTGTCGCCCTGCGAGGGCTGTCCCAGGCTTCACTTACAATCGCGTCCTTTGAACAGCGGCTTCCCACCCAACAGCTCTGCAAATATGCATCCCACCGACCACATGTCGACTGGTGGGAGCGAGACACGGTCCAGGTTAGCAACCATGAGTGTCAATGGCAAGGAGCGAGCGAAAGGGCGGATTGGGAGTTATCAGAGGTTGGGAGCAAGTGAGTCTGTCAGAGGGGACGGTTTCGTCGTGGCAGTCACATATTCGGTCCAGCAGGACCAACAGCCTCGACGACTTCGGCCGCGGGTACTCACTGGCTTTGCTATAGCTCTTGAAGGACAGCATGATTTCGGGAGCACGATACCAGCGAGTCGCGACGTATTCAGTCATGAAGCCAACGTTGTTCTCGGGCTCGTCCGAATGGCCACGGGCCAAGCCAAAATCGCAGATCTAGACCAGGTTGCGGGGATCAGGAGAAAGAAGGATGTGAGAAGAGCGGGAAGAGGGAGAAGGAAGAGGAGGAGGAGGAGGAGGAGGAGGAGGAGGAGAGGTGCGTTTTCAGATGTGGTAGATTGACTGGAGGACATCGCTGGACTCAGTGCCGGCTCCCACTCCTCCGCGTCGTAGGACACTCTGGTGCCAACCAGCCAAGAGTATGCACATACTTTGAGCTCGCAGTCTGCGTTGACGAGCAGATTTCCTGAAAAGCGGCCAGTTTGGCGTTGCCATCGATACGGGTCAGTGACTGACAAAGGTGGGAAGGAGAGAGGATGGAATCGCCTGATATGCTAGACGGCCCGATGAGAGAAAGGGCGAGGAACCAAGTCATGTCCTCGACTCGGGCGCACCTGGCTTCAGATCGCGATGGAGGACGCCTGCCGAGTGGATATACTTGAGGCCTCGACAGATTTGGTAGACAAAGTACTGGAAGTGTGCATCCGTCAGCGGCTGTTCCGATCGGACGATCTGATGAAGGTCGGCCTCCATCAGCTCCTGGACCAGATACCTGTGACCATGGCGATGGACAGAACAAGTTGGATCAATGAGGGCTGCAATATGCGGCTCCGTTGGGATCCTTGGTCGACTTGGGTTTGTTCCAGCGCCCGAACCATGCACGGCGGTGGAGACAGGGCGAAATTCGAGAGCAAAGGCGGCGGTGCACCGACACACTCTCTCAGGAGTACAGAAACGGACACTCACACTTCGTTAAAGTCGTTTGGGTTGATGATCTCCATATCGAAAATCGAGGTAATCTGAAATGCAGAGCGACACACACCGTCAGCCGATCTGACCCGGTCTGACCCGACCCGACCAGAGCCGCGTGTGCCACCGGTGGGGAGGAGCTGGACAGCGGCGCCCCTGGGAGCCACAGATCCCACAAGCCGTGGGAGGGGTAGCATGCACACCCAGGCATCAGTCTGGACGGCCAATGTCTCGGCGCACCAATGTCCACCGCGGGTGCAGGCAGCGGCAGACGACACCGGATTGCGGGCGGTCCTACGTTTTCATGTCCATTAAAGTGCCGGAGCAGTTTGATTTCTCGCAGTGCGCGCTTGGCCAGGATGGGCTTGTCAAAGACCTTGGTGACCTTCTTGATTGCAACATCTTGGCCGGTCTCCATGCACCGCGCGGCGCTGTCGGCAAGGGTGCAGGTGGCGGACAGAAAAGTGTAAGAATCCTGCCGATGAAGGCAACGAAGGTGGGAATGGGGATAAGGGGGAGAATGAAGGTGCATTCGGCGAGCGCGTTCGGGCCAACGATGCCTTCCAGTCGAGAGAGATGCATTTGGATGCGGAGATGGCCAATGCAAGGCTTGACTCCAGCCTCGATGCATTCGACGATTGGGTGTGATATGCCCGACATCTGGTGGGATGTGTCTCACGGATAGAAGGCTCCGTGAATGTGCATTCGAAAGCAATCATCCGTGCATCATTGAGGAAGCGTCAACGGCAGCTGGGTCGGCTGAGGGAAAAGGGGAGGGAGAGTGGAACGAGGGAGGAGGGACTGGAAAGCCCGAGTGGCGGAAGGAGGAGGAGAGGGGCAGCGGTGGCCAAAGCGATCCAGATGACGCCCTTAATTACCAGACAACGCCGTATGCGCCCTGTCCCAGCTCCCGAATGAACCGGTATTTTTGATCGACAATGTTGGGCAGCTGCGCGGGCGGCATGACGACGGAGACGCTTGTTCCGGGGGGGAGGTAGGGAGAAGGATGAGCAGCGGAGAGGATGCGAAGGGGGGGGAGGAGTTATGCAGGCTTGGGATGGCGAGGGCGCGAGGCGGCCGCTTCAAGGAGGTGGATGAAGACAGGCACGAGGGGCGGCGGCAGCGGCCGAGCGGTCGACAATGCCAAAAGTCTAGAAAGCTGAGGGCGTCTTTGGCCGCACGCGCAGTGGGGGTCGCTGTGATTGCGGGCTGTGGCACAGATCCACGCCGACCACGCGACGCTGGATATCGGCCGCAGCGGCTTGCTTGCGGCCAGAGGATGTTGCCCTGGCGCCGGTCATGCAACCGCGTGGTGTGGGCCGGGGCGATGGAGCGGAGCGCATGCTGCGTGCAGCACATCATAGCCATGCTCCTGGCTGCGTCGGTGGACCTCGTGCTTGATCAATACACGGCGGGACACAAGCCAAAGGTGTGTTTGGGAACCCCGTACTCTTGGACACATCGGTTGGACACATCGGTTGGGCACATCGGTTGGACATCGGTGTACTCAGAAACCAGAACAGACGGCCAAAGGCACTCCAGGAAACAGGACATCCTGCCTCATGTGACGAGTGCCATGAAGAAAAGAGTGGGCAATAGAAAGAAGAGGGGAGGGGCTGGGAATCGTAGCAATCGCAGGGACGTATCGGCACAAAAGGAGAGGATCACGCAAAGAGATGTAGATTATGCTGGTGGATCGGCGGTAGCCGGGCCCCGCCAGATCAGAATAATTACTCTAGAAGAACGCAATGCGCGCCCCCCAAAAAACCGACACCGCATGGCGGAGAGGCAAGTAGCAAGAGTTGTCCGAGACGGCTATGTACATGGGAGGCGTAGTGGGAGGGAGCGGGAAGCCTAGTTCTCTCTTCTGCGAAGCTCAGCATCGACGTCCATTCCGCTCGAGGGATCCAAGCCTTCCTTGTCGCGAGGTACTCGGGAAGTGCTCTCGCGGTCTGGGCCAGGCAGGCTACACGCAGGAACAACGAGACAGGAGACACAGTGAGCAAGGAGCCTGCCACATGGCAGAGAACGCATCGATCACCCGGCTGGCTCGTGGCAATCGCCGATTCCAACGTTACTTACGGCTCGGCGGGTCGGGGCAGGGTCGAGGTCGACGAGGGCTGCTTCTGGGCCTTGAACTCGACGACTTCACGCAGGATCATTTCTGGTTCACGGCGGGGAGGAGATTGGCATCAGAACCAGTGGACCGAGAACCAGTGGCTTGGGCCCATGCAAACAGAATGCTCGGCGGAACAGCCTCATTGCAGGTGCGGTCGCAGACACTCACTGCGCATGTCCTCCATCGAGTCGACAGCCTCGAACGAAAAGTCAAAGTGATGCTCGTGCGAGGGCTCGTCGTCGACATCATGGTAGGCCTCCAGGTAAGGATGGGCCAGGGCCTCCTCGACAGTGATGCGGGCGGCGGGGTCGAACTTTAGCAGCTTCTCGAGGAGATCCAGGGCTGGGTATTGGCGGGAAGGGTCAGCGGTTTTCAGTCCAGGGCAACTGTGCTCGAGCAGTGACTGCAAGGGATGGGGCTACAAGCTCACCGTTAGGGGTAGCCTTGGGGTAGAGCTTGTGGAAGTGGACCTTGGGCATGCGAGGCAAGCTTCGGATGTAGAGCTGAGCCTGCAAAACAGCCAAGCGCGAGCAGGGGAGCATGGGCTGTCAGCTGCGGGGTGGAAATAGCGGAGACGGGAGCGATGATCTGGAAATGCTTCAGAGCTGCTGCAGGAGTAACCACCAGCTATTGAAACGCACCCGCTCACTGCCGATTCTTCGGAGGGTGGCGTCATCGGGGGTGCCAAGGATGCTGAGAATCTGGTTGAGCTGGTCGACGTCTGTTGGGGACAGCAAGATCGATGGATCGGTCAGCAGTCCGCTCGCTGCGAACGGTGTGCTCCGCCGAGGCACAGCGGAAGCAGGGGCGATGGAGTCGAGACCAGCAAACAGACAGACTCACAGTCGCGTCCCTTGAACAGAGGCTTGCCACCAAGCAGCTCGGCAAATATGCAGCCGATCGACCACATGTCGACTGGAGTCGGGGAGAGGCAGAGAGACAAAGGGACAAATCAGTGAGAGCTTGGGGCAACCAACAGGATCGACTGAATCGACTGAATCGACCAGATCCACCCGATCAGCCAGGTCAGATTGACAGCCGACTGCCAGGACAGGTGGCGTCAGCGACCCTGAACGACGACCACCAGCATATCAAGGGCCGGCATCGAGGCAAGCTGGTCTATCCACGAAAGGCAAAGCCCAACCAATGCAGCCAGTTTCGAAAGCGGGCACTGAGCCAAGGCGAGACGACAACTCACTGGCTTTGGTGTAGCTCCGGAACGAAAGCATGATCTCGGGAGCGCGGTACCATCGGGTGGCGACGTATTCGGTCATGAATCCCGCGTTGTTGTCCGAGCTGTCCGAATATCCACGAGCCAGGCCAAAGTCACAGATCTGTGCGAGTGGAGCGACGCGACAGGTGGCTTGGTTAGGGCTGTACTGGGGGGGGGGATCGGACCGGGATGGGCCAGCGGGCCGAGGGCCATCGAACAGACGCAGCCACCCATACCCACCTTGAGCTCGCAGTCAGCGTTGACGAGGAGGTTTCCTGAGCAGCAAGAGAGACAAAGATGAGCATCGAGAGCGAAACAAAAGCAGAGACACGCAGTGGCTGGTACCGGCTCCTACCAGGCTTGAGATCTCTGTGGAGGACGTTGGCCGAGTGGATGTATTTGAGGCCACGGCACATTTGGTAGACAAAGTACTGGAAGTGGTCGTCGGTCAGGGGCTGCTCGGAGCGGATGATTTGGTGCAAATCGGCCTCCATGAGCTCCTGGACCAAGAAGCTGTATCGGGGGGGATTTCGGCAGTGGACAGAGCCAAGCGCGGTCAGAGCGCCGTGGGGTTCGAGATATGCGAGGAGACACTCTCGTTTGCGATGAACGACGACAGAGACTGCATATGCAGATGGCAGATCGGGCCGGACGATATGCGGGATCGCAGTTCCGGGCCTGTCCAGACGACGGCTGGGTTACTCACACTTCGTTGAACTGGTTGGTGTCGGCAATCTCCATATCAAGAATGGATGTGATCTGGGGCACAAGTGGGAGTAGCAAGCGTGAGCAAAGGGACATTGTCGAGAGCTGAGAGAGTGGAGACGGACACTCCAACATAACAACGGTCCGCAGGTGTTGGCGGCCATTTGCCTCCCATCGGATTGCGCGCCGACGAGGAGAGAATGCCGGCCGCAATGCCGCAGTGTTGCCGGCGACGGACAGAGGCTTACGTTCTCGTGTCCGTTGAAGTGACGGAGCAGCTTGATTTCGCGCAGGGCTCGCTTGGCGAGGATGGCTTTGTCAAAGACCTTGGTGACCTTCTTGATGGCAACTTCCTGGCCGGTCTCGATGTTGCGTGCAGCGCTGGGGAGGGGATGAGAGCGACGGGGTGAGATGCGAGTTGGGCTGCAGGCGACCGCACGGACATGCCGGGCTGATGGGAATCGCGACAGCACCAGGACAGCCGAGCGACGATCGTAGGTGTCGGGATAGGCAAGGGCTGGCCAACTCGATGGCGAGATGGCCGATGGAGCGGGAGACCTTACCACACAACACCGTAGGCGCCCTGGCCAAGCTCGCGGATGAACTTGTAGCGGGAGTCGATGATTTCGGGGAACTGGGGAGGATGCGATCGGCTCATGGTGGGCAGGAGAGGCGGGGAGCAGGACGGCGATGGCGGGCAAGATCGGGCAAAGGATGGACGATGCCAGAGGAGGCTGGAGCGCAGACCCAAGACCAGGAGCGCCGGCGAAGCGACCCGAGGCCGGCGTGCGTGTGTGTGTGCGCGGAGGGGGACTGCAGGAGTGGGACTGGCGTGCTGCGGGCGGGAGAGAACACTGGGCGAGGGAACAGCGACGAACACGACAGCAGCGCGGACGAGGGGCGCACAAGCGAGCGACGAACATGGGAGGGGGAGGGCGTTGGGACAGCAGCAGCGACCGGACAAGCGAGGACAAGCAAGGACAAGCGAGGCGGATCCCAAGGACGCGAGCACTGAGCCGAGAACCACGAACGCATTCTGTCGGAGTCGCCGAGGTGCGATGATGCCAAGTGGTGGTGATGCCAAGCGGTGATGATATCAAGTCGTGATGGCACCAAGCAGAGAGCATTGGGCACACCGCATCGATCGCACCCACAGCAACGGCACCCACAGCAGCAACAGCACCCACAGCAGCGCCAGTGGCACCACGGGCAGCCCAGCGCTGGTTGTTGTGCGCCCATGTCCCCACAGTCTGTGTATCGCCCACCGCCACATGTCCCTGCCTCGTTGGCGTCCCCGTCCACACAGGCGGTGCTGTCGTTTCCTTTTCGGGCCCGCTGTGCCGGCTCTCAAGGGCGAAAAGGCAATGCCCGTCGCACACGGCACGCCCCCCCGCCGTCGCCACCGACACGACCCCGCTGCGCACTGGCTGAACGTGGTTGCCGATTCGATGGCCCAGAAGAGCCGGCGTGCCTTGGACTGGGCGCCGCCGGCATGCCGAGAGCGATTCGATTCGTCTGGCTGCGGGTGTGGGCCAGGTGCCGCTGGCGTGGACGGCGCTGGTCCAAATGCGAGTCTCAAGTGCCGGTCCAAGGTGCTGGGCCCAAGCGCCGGACCAAATCGCCGGACCAGCGCTCTGGTCCTGTCGCTGGTCTGCTCCTTCTGTCTTGCTCCAACATGACCCCTGACACTCGCATGTGTTGCTTCGTGCGTGCCTCGCACCAAGTGTCGCGCCAAAACCGCCATGTCCCTTGCTCCTCCTTCTCCCCGCGCTGCAGCAGCCTCGCGCTTGCAGATCCTCTTCACGCCTCGGCCATTCATCCGCCACTCGCCCCATCCTCCCCAGCGACACCGGCTGCCACCCGTCCATGTCGTTTCCTGTCCAAGTTGCGTTGCGGGTACGCAGCTGTCTCGCCCCGTGGTTGCACTTGCGCCGGCACCACGCTCGCTCGCCACCGCCCACCTCCTTGCTGCACCACCACGTTCGCCTCTCACCACATTGCCCTGCGGATGATTGCCCTTCATCGGCTGAACACATGCGCGTTCGTTCCCTGCCAGATCCGGCCGACCAGCACCGATGCGTCGCTGCCGCACCGGCCGCTTGTCCTGGGCGTCGTGCAGGGCCATCCAACCCAAGTCACTCTCTCGACGCCCAGCCACCACTACACCAACAACCTCAACAGCAGCGGTGGCCGATGCTTCACCTTCGACCACGTCTTTGACCAGCCCACGCTTCAGGAGCATCTCTACAACCGCGTGTGCCGCTCGCTGGTCGAGCAGTTCCTCGATGGCTTCAATGTCACCATTCTCGCATAGTAAGTCGACGCCACAGCAGCGCTTTTCACAGTCGGCCAGACTCGCTAAACTGTAACCATCGCATTGAATTGCGCTGCATCCACCCCCACCCCACCCCATCCGTTCCACCGCACGGTTCCCTGCTTGCCTTTGCCAGCGGCCAGACTTCCAGCGGCAAGACCTTCACCATGGGCTCGGCCGAGCCGGACCAGAACCATCTGCGCGGAATCATCCCACGCGTGATCCAGCAAATCTTTGAATCGCCACAGGTTCGACCATGACAGGCATCCGGCGACTCGCAGTCGGGACAGATCGGTGTCTGACATCCTCGTGCCCTGTGCTCGTTGCGCGATCTGCTCCAGACGAGCGACCCGTCGTCGTTCAATCTCAAGGTGTCCTTTGTTGAGATCTACCAGGAGCAGGTACATCCGACGCGAGCGTATCTGCATCCCGGCCGACACGGACATGGCGATCGGTTGGCTGACACCGCACCTCCACAACCGGGCAATCCAAACGACGCTATGGGATATGCATGAAGCTACGCGATCTCCTCTCGGGTGAAGGCGAGAATCGAGAGATTGCCATCCGCGAAGACCGGACTGGCGCCATCAATCTCTCGGGAGTCTCTGAGCCTCAGATCCGGTCCGCCGACGATGCCCTCAAGTTAGTAATCTAACATGGGATCCACATCCATGCTGAGGACCCGTGCGTGTGGCTGAGACACCAGAGGCTAGAGCATCAGAGGCAGAGGCCAGAGCATCAGAGGCAGTACATGTTTCCCCTCTTGGTCCAGACATGAGCACCGCCTCAACAGGCCATGCCATCGTTGGGGCTGCCAAGGCACTCATGTGCCACCACTCACTCATGTGCCACCGCCCATGTGCCATCGCTGCCGTTCTTGTTTCAGATTCGTTCGAACAGGCTCGCAAGCACGTACTACCGGAGACACTCAGATGCATCTCTACTCGTCCCGTTCGCACGCCATCTTCACATTGACCCTCCAACAGCGCTGCCCAAAGTCCGACACCGACGGTTCGTCCAAGATCCTCAAATACTCCAAAATCCATCTGGTCGACCTCGCAGGGAGCGAACGTGCCAAGAGAACTGGTGCGGAGGGCCTGCGGTTCAAAGAGTCGATCAAGGTAAGCCAGAGGGGCCACATAGTGTCGCCGCCGCAGTTGCGCATCTCCAGGACAACGTGTCTTTGTCCACCGCTGGTTAACAGCAAGAACATTGCCCCCTCCCAAGATCAACTCGGGCCTGCTCGCACTGGGCAATGTCATCAGCATCCTAGGAGGAGACCGGCCCAGCAGCGAGGCCGCAGATCGACACATTCCATACCGTGACTCGAAGCTCACCAGGTAAGCTCGATGTTCCCTACCTCCGGCAGTGGAAACGTTCGGTTCGCCTGCGAAGATATAGCTGGAGATCAGTCGTGAGATTGATGCCCTCAAGAGCCCAGCGTCGGCGAGCTCACGTCGTGGTGTTGGTGCTCCTAGGCTGCTGCAAGATTCTCTGGGTGGGAACGCCAAGGCAAGTGCATCGGGTGGATCAAAGATGCTGCTGCAAACTGTGCCGAACACTTCGTCCCCGTGATAACTGTTTGCTTATTGAATTGGCTGCTCGGGGCTGCAGACGCTCATGATTGCCTGCGTGAGGTGAGTCAGCCATCTCAGGGGCGCCATGAGCACGCCATTGTGTGCGGAGCAATAGTTCTTCGTGAACATGCCACCCGCTGATTGCATTGAGTCATCGGCACCACTCGCATGCGACGTAATCTCCTGCTCCTGGCATCCTCGATTCCAGTCCACTGGAAGATGATTACGAAGAAACCCTCAACACTCTCAAGTATGTTATGGGCGCTCGCCTTGACACCGTATGTCCCAACGATCCGCCCCTTGCTGTTGGCCAAGTGCCAATCGACTCACCGCAGCGATAAACTACCACAGATATGCCTATCGTGCCCGTCGGATCCAGAACAAGCCAATCATCAACCAACTCCAGGAAGAGGTGCGTTGCAGTGCCATCACGCAAGCGATATACCTTATATGAAACATTTGTGGCTGCGCTGGTTCTCATAGCACAACTCCAACCTCGCCGCATCATCGATTCGACCGCTGTCGCCATGACAGAGCTCCAAGATCCAAGATATGCAGAGCAAGATTGACCAACTGGAGAGCATGATGAAAGCCTATTCCTCCGAGTCCACGGAGGGCACGGGGCCGGCAATTGCCCCTGCTGCCGAAGGCGACCCCGGCCACCCAAAGATCAGAGCCCTGCGACCTGCCAGTGCAACCGAGGAGCTCGACGACTTGGACAACGAGAGTTGGATGGCCGTCTTTGTGCAGGAAGCCAAGAAGAGAACATCCAAAGCAGCCCGTAAGTTGGAGGGGAGCTGGATGCAGCAGCGGTTGCTGTATCAGGTGCATGCACACTGGAATTTGTCCGTTTGGCGATGCTCTTCCGGGTCACGTCCGCATCTCAAGAGTCACCGGCACGATGTTACTTGTTCCTTGACCACAGGTGCCTATCGGGAGCTGATTGCGGCCAGAAGGACCATCCAAGACGAGCGTGCCCGGACCCGCCAACTGGAGGAGCATTTGATGGTAGGGGCTCAGCGGCAGCGCAACCATGCCACCCACAACTGTGATTTCAGAGCATGGGGATCAGGTATCGGCGCAACCCCACGCCATACACCACACCGTGTCCATATCTCTTACTCTCCCCCCCCGGACCTATGATCGGCCTTCGTGTGTCCGCCCTTCTCAAAATGCAGAAACTCAAGGCAGAACAGGCAGATATGCAGTTCCAACTCGAGTCCTTGGCAACTGAACACAATCGACTGAGCGACCAAATGTCGGCCATCAACGCTGAGCTGGAGGAACTCATCGATCCGCTCGATGTAGTCCTTCGCGGCATGCTCTGGGATGACGAGCAGCAGGACATTGTGGTGCGCTTCCTGACCCACAGAAGACCCAGCGCGTATGGGTATGCGGTGACTTTGAGCGAGTGCATATGCATCCGGATGTCTGTGATACTGCCGACCGACATGCCTTCATTACTTGGAAGAGTGGGGACTTGCGTGAATGCTGAATGGTGACTTGGCTGATAAACTTGCAACGACGGATCGAAGCAGAACAGCGACCGCACACGACGGCACCGATCTCGAACACCGATCTGTTCGTAGAGTAAGCCTCGATCTTCATTTCCGGCCAAACGACAGCACCATGCTATTGTTGATGTTTGGTGGACTCACGAGTGTCGCACCCCTCCCCCTTTCAGAGCCCGAGACCGCAAACGCATCTTGCTGGATCACCGGCGCCAACGGTGCTACGAACGAGACACTCAAGGTAGGAGCCACCGTAGCTCAGCACAATACAGCTTGCCGGACTTTGAGTGTCCCTCCGTACAAATCATGACATGCCATGACGTGGGGCCACTCAATCTAACTGTGTGGCTGCTCGTTCCGCCGCCAGCGCTCACCAGCGAGACGAGGAGTGCGAAAAGCAAAAGCTTGAGGTCCTTCGTCTGGAAGACGAGCTGCTCGAGTCCAGTAAAGTCATCAAGAGCCTGAAGGACGAGATCCAAGTTTTGAAGATGCAGTTTATTGCCGAGGAAACACTCTGCCAAGCCAGAAGCACCATGCTCGAGAAGATGGAGCGGTATGACTCGATCTCGGGGGGTTCTGTTGTTGTGGCTCAATGTATTTCGATTCAACTGAGGTGCCTGAGACTATTGGGAGCCGGAATATTGATCAATATGAGGACCGAGATTCGCTTTCTCGCATCCTACTCACTCACTCACTCACTTTGCATTCGCCGGGGGCCAATCCCACAGAAGGAACAAAGAGCAGCGCCTCGAGATCGACGCCTTGCGGGACAGAGTCGCTCAGCTCGAATCCCTGGACAGGTCCCTGGAGAGGCAATTCGACGTGCGCCGTCCCAAAACAATGGCCTCGATCAATTATCGCGACGAGCGCGGGCTGCGGATGCAGATGGGTGATCCAGACGATGCTCGCCTGAGCGAGGACCAGCTTCGGTCCATCGCCGATCAGCGCAGCTCTCGCGCTGAGAGCCGGCACGATGTGGAAGATGCTGAAGGCGCAGAAAGTGTGGGCGGACAAGCAAAGACGATGGCAGCCAGGTAAACTGTCATATCGAGGGACTGTCGGCCCATTCGTTACACTGGGGGAACTCCAAGATCGAATAATAGCACGAACGCATATCCTTAGTGTCGCGAGCTGATGGCTCCCCCACTATCACCACAGTGCCGGTTTTAGGGCTGAGACTGCTTCGGTCGGTGTCGACGCAGACCAAGCCGGCGAAGATCCAGACAACGATTCACAGCGCGAGCTCAACATCGCCATGAAAGCCAAGGTCGATGCAGTCAAGGATCTATCAAGGATGGGCAAAGAGTAAGCCCCCGGCTTGCAGTATCACTCGATAGAGCAGCTATGAGGGGAGAAATGAAAGCGAGGCGGGCTGCAAACTGTGCAAACTGTGCAAACTGTGCAAACTCTGCGAGCTGTGCTGAGTCACTTGGTCGCATACTGATGGCACGACAAATCGGCGATACTGCCTTGCGCAGGATGGATAAGCTCAAATCGCAGTTCACAGAAAAATCCATGCGTCTGGAGAAGCACATCGAGGCGCTCTCCCGCGACAACGCCAAGCTGGACAAGGACCTGGCGGATCTGGAGCAGGTTCGACGCGAGGTTATCGTGGGAAAGCGCAATGGGTGTATCATTTTAGGTCGTCGAAGGAATCCCACACGAAGGAGCCGCACATCCTGAGCGTTCTCGATCGGTGCACAGATCAAAGAAAGGCAGAAGGACGAGTACGAGAGAAAAATCAAGCAGCTGGAGACCCAGGTGAGCCACGCCGGCGGTGTCGTGGGATGTTCCGATGCTCGACCTGAGTCTGGATCCGATTGATCTGGGTGCAAATCGAGTCGATCGGCACCATTCCGGCCAAGACTGGCTTGCTATTGTTTGTGCTGGGGGTGGAGTTCCTCTGAAACTCACATTGCAGCACATGGGACAGATATACAAGCTACGAAACAAGAAGAAGGAGGGCGATCGCTTGTCCAAAGACAAAGAATCACTTGAGAAGCGGATCAGCGACCTGCAGCAAGAGGTCGAACGAGCAGGCAGTTCTCATTCGCTGCTCAAGAAAAAGCTCAAAGACGGTCAGTGCTTGCGTGCGAGCTGATGGGGCTTCCGTGAATGCCACATCAAATGACGGCGAAAGCTGTGGTGACAGACACCTTCCAGCTCTCGTACTGCTGATGTACTCACTGACCACACATCACCCAGACCAAGACAAGCTCAGTGACATGGAACAGCGACTGGGCAAGGAGACAGCTGCACTCAACAAGCAGCACGAGGACGACATGAAAAAGATCCGGCATCTCGAGGTGCAGTACGAGATGTGCCGGAAGAAGCTCGACCGCAAGACCGAGGAGATCGCTGTGCTGGTCAAGAAGATCAAGGACGGAGCTCTGATGGGCGGCACAAAGCCCCGCGAGAAATTCGCAGCGACTGTGGCGGATGGGTAAGCCGGAAGACCTTTATCTCCCTCACAGCATATCCTCGCGACTCTTGGGCGAAACCACGGTGCGTCAGACTCTGATTTCTATTGTGGCTGCTCAGATCCTCGCCAGTGCCACCGAAAGAGGGCGGCGGGAATCAAGAGCCTCCAGCGAACATGACCGAGACAGCAAACAAGAGCATCAAGCTTTCCGACGCCGATGTCGAGGAACTCCGGAGGGATCTAGGTCATCTCAATGGGAGCAAGGAGCTCATCGCATCTCTGGTGAGTGACCGAATCAGCAGACGACCGAGCGATCGAAGAGCACCGTCACTCGACAACGTGAGATCGCCCCACGGAGCACGAATGATGTGCGTGTTAGCCATTTCTGATGGCCCACACTTTCGACAATTCTGGCAGAGCGACCAACCCGAGTGCGACCGTATCAAGGCCTGGACTGCGTTTGTGAGCCGGGTGACAAAGTCGCCAGAGAATGCAGAATCGACGACTCAGACGGAGAGGTAGGCGCAGAGATAGTTCAAAGACATTCACCCCCCGGCACAATTCGTGGTTGTTGCCAGGGAGCCTGGCCAACCGATATCACGTTCAAACTAACAACATGATCCGTCTGCGCAGCTGGGCCGAGATATTCGAGATCCCTTTCGCAGCAATCCAGAAGGATCTATATTTTTGTACGTGCAAAGGCTTACACTCGATGGCACTGCGCTGCTTCCGGATGCACATTTGTTCGGCCGACAACCCGCTGACTGTGTTGGTTCGTTGCTCTCGGCCAGATCGACAGACATCGAAGGATCTCAAGGCCAAACTGAGAGAGGTCGTCGCCATCAATCAACGACTGACGGGTGCTCCCGAGCATACCAAAAGTATCTCGGCAGCTTGCTGAGACAAGCCGGGGGCCATGCCGTCCAGTCCCCATCCGAATGCAGATCCGTTCCGAGACCAGATTCCGGATGAGTTTGAGAAATACAACGTACTTTTGCTGCAAATCATCTGTGGGCCGATACCCTCGCGATGGGCAACGAGGTGTCGACGGGGACCCTGATACTGTCCCTCTGGATACATTTCTTTACCTTTACCTTTAACTCTACCATTCCCTTCTCCATGATGCACCAGTTGCGCCAGAGAGATACAGCACATCGACCGGTTTTTTGGCTGATTCTTTGGGTTGCGATCCAGTGGCCCCGATATCGATAACAGGGCGGCTCGTTTCATGTGGCAGGCGCAGTCGCAGAGGGTTTCTCACTTCATTTGACGGGCCTTGGAGGCGAACCGATTGAATGATTGGAGTGGCAGCGCTCAAGCGACACCGGAATTCCCGATTCCATTTGCACGCTCTTTCCTTTGGGAGTATCCCTCGCCATCGCTTCTTCCGTTCCATCACTCTCTCCAAAGACCCGATTCAATCCAGACGCTCACGCACACGTTCCTATACCGTTCGGCGGACAGAGCCATGGCCGCCACTGACTCCAATACCAACGCCACGACCGTCCAGGTCACGATCGACGCGAGCAAACCCGGATCTGGCTCGCGCTTTGTCGTTTCGTCAGAGGGCGGGGTGATCCAGCCCCTGCCATCGCTCAACCGACTCCCGCGCGTCGGCAACAACTCCAAGAACACAAGCAACCCGGTGTTTCGGTTTGGGGGATCTATGGATTTCCCAGAGGGTGAGTCTGGCCAAGGGAATATGGAAAGGAGAGGAAGGAGGGAAAGGAAAGGAAAGAAGCCACTGCGCTTGGGGACAAGTGGTTGGGATCCCTAAGATATACGGAGAGTCGGGAAGTTGGTGTCCTTTCTCCTGCTCCAGGAGCCATGGCGTCGCCCAAGAGGAGTAGTGTGCTTGAGCTGACCAGCGGGTGCCCGTCAAATGCCATCACGTATCAGATGTTCGTCGATACAAGGTCGAGGTTGCAGCAGAAGCCAAGATCCAGAGGCAAGACGAGCGTGAGAAACGGGCTGTCCGATACCAGCAGCGAAGGTGAGTGGTGTCCAGGTACTTTTGCTATACCTCGGAGACGAATGCGGAAGGGGACACACCTCCCTGGCACTATATTCCTGTTGCGCTGGACAACATGAAGCGCTATGGGAGGGAGGACTGCCCGTCAAAGCTAAACCCGCATTGACCGATATCCGCCTGGACCGGATGATCCATATCTGGATTCAACCATTCATGCGTCGATACCTCAATGTCTTGCTGTTGGCTGACCTCGGACTTACTCCGCAAAGGGAATGGTGCGTCACTACAAATGCATATCTGACCTTGGATCATTGAGTATCTGGGACACGGATGGACGGATACATGGATGCGCATTTGCGCTGACCTGCATGGAGCTGATTCTCGCCATGAATGCTCTCTGTCTTGAGCATGAGTCACCCGCGATCTTCTCACCTCAACCACTCACCCGCTTCTTCCTCCGACCACCCTCGGATGGCCAGGCTCGAGGAGATTGAGAAGCAGCGATGGCAAAATATGTCAATCCATAACCAGCGCCAAGAAGAAACATGGAATTTCAAGCACAAGCGGGCTCAAATCGGCAAGAACAGGTGAGCAGGATGGTGCATCGGCAAGACAGGCTCGGGACGAGGGGCCAGCCGAGCCGAACCGAATCGGGTCCGGTTGTTGACTCAATGCCTGGGGGTGTTGGTCCTATTCTCGATACAGCGTTCACTACAATCCCATCACGCTGGCATACCACAACGACAGCCAAGGCACCAAGCTGGCGACAGATGATCGCGAATCGATTGTAAGGCGTATTCCATGCTGGTGCTCGATGGATGGAAACGGGCCAGAGAGCACTCGTCTTCGGTCGCTCACCAGCATCGTCACTCTTGCTGCCGCCGCCAGTACCGAACATCACTGCGGGCCGCCCACCTGTATCTCAAAAACAACACCTTTGATCCGCTACTCTGCAAGGACATTCCGCGGGCACTTTCGGAGCCGTTGAAGGCTCCGCCCCAGCCCAGCCAGCCACGCACGAGGCGCATTGGCTTCAACGACGACGGGGAGAGACGGTCGGCTCTCAAGACCGAGAGCCTGGGCACCAGCAATGTGCCGCAGATGCTGATGCGTGTCGCCGCCCAGAACGGTGCGGTCCTGGGGGCTCCGACGACTGGCCTGCCGATGGGAGGGGGGTCGATCTCGGACGGGATGCTCAGCGTCGACTCCGACATTGGCCGCAAGCACCAGTGGAGACGGCATTACTGAGCGGCAGGGCGGCGAGGCGGATCGAACATTTACGGATGACACCTTTATCTCTGCAACAACGACAGACCTGCCGTGTGGGTTTGCGTCATCAGGGTTGTTCGGGCGGACGAGTCGCTTGGGTGCACCATCCCTAGCTTTTTGCTTCTATGGGGTGATGGCCATTGTGGACGAGGGATGCGTGTGGGCTCCAGCCCAAAATCAATATCACCCAAAAGTATAGACAGAGTGTGCCCTCCGCCTTCATTTAGCGATGTAGTGGCCCGTGAACGGTGTCTGGACCGGCGTGAAGATCGGCGGCTGTCATGGCGAGACATGTATTGAGCTGTGGAGCGTTGGTAGTGGGGGGATGATCGGATGGGAGAGATACAGGCGCCTTCTATTGTATGTCTGGGCAAGAGGAGTGTCGCGAATGAGGAAGCGGAAGACATTGAGGAGCAGCAAAGTAGTGTGTAGATGCAAGCAACAGAGTGAGGGGTGAGAGAGCGAGGGCATGTCATAATTCACGGAGGAGCGCCTAGCCTAGCAGGAGACTCCGGATGCTCATGGATCGATTTGCCGAGTCAGTGAGACCATCGGATCGTCCAGGGGCATCGGAGGGCGGTGTAACCCGGTCGCTGGGGTTCGATTGCGGCACGGTCAAGTTGAAGGCTTGGGACGGTGCTGAGGCCGAGACTGAGGCCGAGACTGATACTGAGACTGAATCGGGCGACATGGCCGAGGGACGAACACCACGCGAGAGCATGGTTGGCGGGTCAAATGAAGCACCGAGTCCATGGCGATTCGCCAGGGCATGGGCCGGGACTGGATGGACCACTGGATGGACGCCAGGCGGTTGGTGGTGGGCAGCTGGTCGCGGCGAAGTATCGGGAGACGGCAGGACGAGGGCCGGGCTATGCTTGTGTTGTTGCTGCTGCTGCTGTTGCTGCTGCTGTTGCTGTTGTTGCTGGGGGTACTGCGGTGGGTGTTGCGAGTGAGGGTGGAGGTGCTGTGGATGTCGTTGCTGATGAGGGTTTGGTTGTTGATGAAGGTGCGGCTGTTGATGAGGGTGTGGCTGTTGAGGATACAGCTGAGTATGCGGTTGAGAAGGATGCGACTGTTGGGGATGCTGGGGATGCTGGGGATGGTATGGACTTGGGCTTGGTCCTGGATGTGGGTAGTATTGCGGCGGAGGAGCTTGTCCCGACTGGGCCGGAGAGTACGTCGGGTGATGAGATGGGCTGGGATTGAACGAAGCCGGAGGAGCAGGCTGCGGGGCGCTATGAGAAGCCTGAGGATGAGGAGGAATCGGGGCCGAGTAGACGCTCTGGTGGGCGAGGCGGTACTCTGGTGCAGCAGCACCGGCAGCAGCAGCGGCAGTCGCAGCCGCTGGCGAGGCTTCTTGCAGCCGCCGCGAGAGATCCCAGATCTTGGCGTGGAGTTCGTGGATGTAATCGACGGTGCACTCGAGAATGACAGCCTTTTGGATGTTGCGGTGGGTGGTGCAGGTGGGAACGAGGTCTCGGAGCTCAAGAATCTTTTGCTGGATCTTTTCCCGACGACGCCGCTCGACGGCGGTGTGGGCGATTTTGCGATGCTCGATGCGCTCCTCGGAGCTGAGGCCGCTGCGCTTGCGTTTCTTTGGCGACCCGTTGGGCGAGTGGTCCGAGTGCATGGCGGACGAGTATGCCGCGTCCGGGTACTCGCTCTTGATAGGGAGCGAGCCAAAGTCGGTGTCGGAGACGTCGTCACTCTCGCTGTAGCCGGGCGAGGATCGGAAGGTGGCCATGGCTGGGCGGGAGAGCGGGTCAGGCGAGCAGGGATTGCTGGCGGGGAAGGCGGTGGGGTCTGGAATGGACCGGAGTCGGCAGAGATGTGCTCTGGGTGGCTGGGAGACAGCGAGGGTTCTGCGCAGGATGGCAGGGCTCGGGTGAGATCGGGATGGGTGCAACGGGTCTGGCCGGTGGGCGCGCGAATGCCATGGCAGGAGCAGGAGCAGGAGCAAGAGCAAGAGCAGGAGCCGTACCTGAGACGAGAACAAGACCAGGAGCAGGACCAGGAGCAGGACCAAGAGCAGGAGCGACGGGCTGGCGAGGCGAATTGCGTACGTGTCCAGAAATAAATAGCGGCGGGCGGGGGCGATGGAGCTGTTTGCGACGCCGACGCAACGGGACAGGGCACAGCGCCGGCAGGTTTATCTCGGGGCGATGGGACGGCGAGAGCGAGCAGCCAGGCGGCGGGCGACCGAGAATATGTACGTGGCTGTGGACGACACGCAAACATGCCTATAAAGGTGGTGAGAGTTTCAAGAACGCACCGGCGCCGAAAGCCAGCAGCGCGGAGAAGCCTTGTTGGCCGGTGCGCAAACGACCAGGCGGCCGACACCAATCGCAGGGGCAGGAGCAGCGAGGCAAGTGGTCCGTGGGCCGGCCATGGACATCCCCAGTCGCACAGGGTTGGAGCTCGGAAACGCAAACAAAACGGAGGCGGATGGGCACACCAAGCGCGGCCTGCTTGTGCTCGCGTGCGGCGGGCCACCGAGGGACAGGGCAGCGCTGGCGAGCCTGGCACCGAGTGGTGCACGGGAGCAGCGCGGGCGGGTGGGAATGGCGGCTGCTGAGCGACGGGTGTCGGGCGACAGCCACGAGTAACAATGCGAGTAACGATGCGATTAACGATGCGAGTAACAATGCGATTAACAATGCAAGTGTTAATTGCAAAGTGCCCACACCCCAGATGGCAGTCCCACGCAGCAAGGCCAAACCACTGCAATCCACCCCTCCCCAAACAGACCACGGCGCATCCACACGTACATTCCCACCCACCTAGATCCGGCTATTCCCCCACCTGCGCCCGCGCTTGCAGACCCCCGTCCCGCATCGCAGGGGCCTTGTCGGCGGCGTCGCTGGGACGCATCAGGACGTCAGAGATTGCGCAGAACATGGGCCTGGCGACTCGCTCGGGACAAGGGCGTCGCTGACGAGAGGCTCGGCCTGCCGGCGTGCACCCGCCCTCTGCCTTGTGGCCCCTGACGATGCCATTTGGCAGCAGCGCGTCTGTGGCCGCGTGCGGGGTGCCGCTGTGCTGTTGGGACTGTGTGGTGGGGCCTGGTGGTGCCGTTCAGCAGGCGACAATTGCACATCCATCACATTCATTGCACATATATTCGCATCCATCACATCCATCACATCCATCACATCCATCACATCCATCACATCCATCACATCCATCACATCCATCACATCCATCACATCCATCACATCCATCACATCCATCACATATATTCACATCCATCACATACGTCGCATGCACCACCACGACTCCCACACTCTCAGTGCCCCCCCTGCCACAGACAGTGGTGAGTCGCACCGCGTGTCGCGGTCATCTGCTGCGACTGCCTGTTTGGGCTCTGTGGCAGCGTGCACCCTTTGCCACCGTGACGTCTGTGCTGCCCTTGTCCGACAGCCGACAGCCATGGAACTTTTTTTCGCCTCCACCTCCGCACCCAAGGCCGCGTCGCTCATCCGCGTGCGGTGCGCGCCTGGTGGTTGGCTGGCGGGCGCGCCGCTGTGCGAGTGTGGCCCGTGGGCGACGCGGCCATGCGGTCGCCGCCGCCACGCCGCAGGCACGAGTCCAGGCGACGGCAGGCGCCGCGCGCTGCCTGTGCCCGGCAGCTGGTCGCACAGCACATATTGCGCACCCCGCCTTGCTGGCCACCGCCACCGCCACCGCCACAGATGCCTTCATCCGCCGCACAAGGCTCATTTGCCAGAGTCGCCTCCAGGGCCGCTGCCAGACTGAGAGCCAGAGCCAGACCGATAGCCAGAGTTGCTGCAGGTTCCCGACACAACGACTCGGGTGCCGCGCTCGATAGATGCAGGGAGCGGCACCCGCAGACGGGGCCTGAGCATCGCAGCGCGGGGCAGCCATACGCTGATCACCTGCGCCAGGCCTCGGCCGAGTGGTTTGTCTGCCCTCGGCCAGTGGGCCACTGCACCCGGGTGGGGGAAGGATGTGTCCCAGTCAGCTGCATGGACCACACCCGCCGCCCTCCGGCTGTGTGGTCTGCGCCTGGTCATCTGCGGTCATCTGCGGTCATCTGTGCCTGTCTCGCGGTCGTTGATCGCCTGCTTGGGATCGGGCCAGACCCAATCCAGACGCAACCTGTGACCCACAGGAGTGATCAGCAGGAGTGACCACAGGAGTGACCGTGGCACTTCCTGGCATAGCCGCCGACCCTCGTCGCAGCCAAAGCAGTCCCGTCCCGTTCTCTGCCACCCGGTCCGTCGCAAGTTTTGGCCTATCGTCTACTGTATTGGATCTATCGCGATTCCGGACGCGCCGCCAGAGGGCATCGTCGTCCATCATCGGCTCTTTCTTGGTGGCTCTAGATACCACACTGTACTGCGTAAAGGTTTACCAAAGGTCATAGAAACGAAAGGAGCGGAACGGAGAAGCATCCAGCAAAGGGAAACTTGCAAGCGTCGAGGAATTCGCATGGGCAGGCCGTGGAAGGCCAGCGGGTCAACGACTGGCATCACAGCCAGCTGCAGGTCGGATCCGTCTCGACTGGGTCGGAGAGCAAGGCCAAAGCCTGCGTCGGTCCGGGGGTTGGTCAATCTGGCAGCAATCCGGTGGGATCGGCTGAACACGGGTGGGCGCTGTAGAGCCAGCCTGCTGGCAGAGAAGTAGAGCTCATCCTCACGATGGTGCGCGAGAAACTGCGATAGCAGGTCAAGCTCCAGCGAACCACCCGTGCTAATCGATGATATTGTGGATGCTGGCGGGTTTGTAGGAGCCCGGTACGGGCAAGACCGCAGGCCAACCCTGCTCGTCGCCTGGGCCGTAAGGATGCATCTGCGGGCGCGGTTCTCCGTGAACTTGGACGACTGGCCGGCCATAGTGGTCCAGCACCGGCGACTTGGGCGGCGAGTGAGGCGAGACAGCATGGACAAAGCCCGAGCCAGGCTGCTGGCCAGCCGGATGGGCATACACGCCGACATCTTCAAACCGGGCAAAGTGATGCTCCGGAGCCAACAGCGAGACGCCGCGATAGTCCTGGACTGCACTGTGCTGGTGGCCGACGGCCCGAGGCAGAGGACCGCCGTGTCGCTGCGACGGCGGCTGAGGAGGAGGTACTTGGGCATACGGGTGCGAATACGGGCGGGCGAAGCGGGTGTGGGATGCTGGGGGCTCCGACAGCGCCGCCAGACGGAGCTGCAAGTCGCGGATGTACTCGACCGTCTTCTCCAGGACCGAGACCTTCTGGATGCTCTCCTGGCTGGCGCAGGATGGAACCAGGGTGCGGAGCTCGAGGATTTTTTGGTTGATGCGCTCCCGCCGCTTCTTTTCGATGGCGGTGTGGGTGATCTTGCGGCGGGACTCGCGGTCAAGGGCCGCTGCCGAGGACCCGGGGCGGCCGCTGCGGCTGCGAACCGTCGGCGAGGGCGATGTGGGATGCTTGTCAGAGGAGTCTGAGTAGCTGTCGGACAGGTCGTGCTGCGAGGGTTCGGTCTTGACTGCGATTTCGGGCACTAGAGGAGCGGGGAACGACATGACGCGGATGTGGGTTGATGGAGCCGGGGAAGTGGTAGTGGAGCAGCGTGCGAAAATGGTGCTGGCGGGGTCTGTGCTTGTGCCAAACTGGACTCTGGTGCAGGAATGGGGCGCAGGACCAGGGCAGAGGAGGCTCGAATGGGTGAGGAGGCGCTTGGGCTGGGGCCGACCTGGGCGATGCAATGCTTGAATGGGCGAGGGCGAGGCGGGGCGATGGAGCCGCTGATATAGGCCGGTGGAGAGCGGCCTTTTGGGGAAGCCGAGTCGACCAGCGGCAAGGGAAGGCCGCCGAAATGGACCAAGGTAACCCAGATTGCGAATCAGTAAGCGCAATGGGAGCATGGGGAGCGTGGAGAGCAAGTGCAGGAGCAAGCAGGCGGCGGCACAAAGGGCAGTTTGAGCTTGCACCTTGGCAACCCAATACAAGCGGCGTGCTGGACGACACAAACAAGCAGCAGCACCGATGAGACCGAAATGAATCGCAGCCGCCTTGCGACCCACTGTGCATGAGCGAGCGGACCGCTCCGTGACGCTCTTGTTTGATAAGGGCAAGGCGCCGACAAGGACGGTGTGCGATGGTGGTGGTGGTGGTGGTGGTTGCGCGAGTGCGTGCAGGCGTGCGAGTGGGCTGCACTCGGCTGCCTGGGCGACACCAACGACGATGTAGCAGCAGCAGGACGGCAACGGGATGCGCAGAGCGCAGACGAGAATGGGCCGCCGCGAGACCCGCCATGGAAATGCGGCCGGGACGACGCTGCTGCAGCTGCAATAACGGACGCAGCGCGACGATCGGCGGTTGTCAAGATGGTCGGGAGTCTTGTCAGGAGGGTCGGCGGTCTTGTCGGGAGTCTTGTTTGCCCTGCTGGTCACTTGGTTTGGAAGCGCACGTCGGCTCCTTCGGGCACGACCCAGCCCGCAACCAGCCCGGCACGGCACTTGCCATCCAGCCGAGACAACCTGCCGGCTGCTGCTCGGCAGAGAACCAACGGCAATGCGGATGGAGTGCAATTCATGGGGGGTCGAAGTACGCTTTCTCCAAGCACATCGCAATCGTTAAGCATTGCCAAGTATCGCCCTGCCTGTACTCGACACCCAGTGCATTGCATCGCACTGCATCGCCCCAAACACAGCGCTGCTCGCTGTCCACCCCAACCCTCGGCAGCACGGTGCCCCTGTGGTGCCTTGTCGTGCGCCCTCCGTCGCCACAAGGGGCTGCCACACATTCCTGTCGCGCCGGGGCCTTGTCGGCTGTGCGCCTGTCCTCGCGCCTGCTGCGTGCGGCTCCGTGGTGTCGGCCGGGCCTGGGCTTGCCTCCGCCTGGGCGCCTGCTGCCGCGCAGGTGCTTTGTCGCAGGTGTTTGTCGACACGGCTCATCCAATCCCAGCGCCGCACCTGCGACGTCTTGATTGCATCTGCTGCCGCCAGAGCAAGGCCGTGCGTTGTTTGGGCCCAGTGCTTCCCCGTCTTCTGGCCATTTTTTTTTCCTACTCATGTCCGCGCCTGCTCCTTGTCGCTCCCCGTCGGCCCAATCGAGCCTGCAGCGCTGTTCCATGGCCATCGCCGTCGGATCGCCGCCGTGGACACTGCTGCCCTTGATACCCGGCCGCATGGCCGTCGCTCCCCGGAGCCACGATCCCTGTTGCAGTCCAAGGCCGGTGCGCTGGGGGAGCTTTCCGCGCTGGCCCATGCTCGCGCTGCCGGGGTCATGAGATACCAGCTTCCGTGCCCGTGGCGGTACACGCCTCGTCGGGGAAACTGGCCTGGTTGCAGCTCTCCGGCCATGCCGCATTCGGAAGGGGCAGATCAAAGCACTTTCGGCAGTTTGACAAAAGTCATGACCAGCATAGCCGACTGTGGCCGTGCTCGACCATGGCCGTGTCCGACCGAGACTGTGGCCGTGCCCGGCTGGTCTGCTCCGTGTCCTGCGTCCTCCGGCTCATCCCACAGACGCTGGTTCTCACGACAGCACTTGTGTGTTGGCATCGCAAGGCCCCCCCCTGTTTCGTGGGCATGCTGCGCGGCGTGACCTGTGCAGGGGTGCCTGACCACGTGGGTGCCGAGAATAGCAGCATAGCCGCGCTGGATCGAATGCATTCCGATGGCTGTGGCCTGGCTGCTTCTGGCCGCGGGGTGATTGGGAACAACCAGGCGCCCAGCACTGACGACGCCGATGCTGCCCTTGATCCTCCGTCGGCTTGCAGACCCAAGCATTCGTCTCGCCAGCGGCACCAGCGACGCCAGGGCATCTTGATCAGCCCCCATCCCGGACTCTGCCTCCGGCCGACTTTGTCTGTCTGACCATCGGCAACCCCGCTCGTCGTCTCTCCAAGTCTCACTCTTTCCCCTGTTCCCGCTCCCTTCTTCGGCATGCTTCTCCGGCACTGCCACGCCGTTTGTCTTGGGATCCTTGCGCTTGCGCTGGGCCTTCTGCCTCGGACGCTCGCCGAGCTGGTCGCTCCCGGCCAGCATGTGCTGGACCACCAGCTGTTCCATTACTACGCCATCCAGGTCAAGTCATCCCCCGATCCGGTTTCTCAAGCCAAGGCCGTTGCCGACCGTCTGGGCTTCCAGTTCGTTGGCCGTGTCGGCGAGCTGGACGACTACTTTCTGCTCGCCTCCGAAAAGCCATCGGAGCACCGGTCTGCCGATGCCGACCATCCCGCTGTCGCCGACCACCATGCCAGAGTCAAGAAGCGCTTTGCCGAGGAGGATCATGTTCTGTGGGTCAACGAGCAAGTTCCCAAGCGACGGCTCTTCAAGCGGACGGGCATGCCTGCCGACCCTCTTTCCCCGCGCAGCTCGCCCGAGCAGCAATTTGGTATCAAGGATCCCGATTTCGTACACCAGTGGCATCTGGTATGAGCTTCTCTGGCCCATTGCTTCTGGTCTCGTCCCGACGGCCATAGCCGTCCCGTGTCGATCGCGATTTGATCCATGGCGATTCAGCCAGCGGTCAGTCCCAGAGGAGCGGCAGCTGGGCAGTTCTCCACCATCCGCCCAATGCTGTTTCGATACGACGGCGTGCTTGTGGTCGCATATCTCAATACAAGACCTAACTGGGCCACGTCTGGCTCTGATTCGTGACGCCGGGCTGTCCATGATCGTCATCCAGGTGAACCGAGCCAATCGTGGAAACGACATCAACGTCACCGGCATCTGGGCCAAGGGCTACCATGGCCGGGGGGCAACCGTGTGCTTCATTGACGACGGACTGGACTACGAGCATCCCGATCTGAAGCCCAACTTTGTAAGCCCACTGTTCTCGTTGTTGCTGCCGTTACTTCTCGCCTGCTCTGGGAACCGCCGCACCGGACTCTCTAACTCCAGTTCTACCCAACGGATCGTATTTCGTAGTACGCCGCAGGCTCATATGACTACAATGTCCACACCGCCCTGCCCAAACCTACCCTCAGCGACGACAACCACGGCACCCGATGTGCTGGAGAAGTCGCGGCTATCAGCAACGATGTTTGTGGAGTCGGAATCGCCTGGAAAGCCCGAGTATCGGGTGGGTGTTTCCCGCTGATGCCTGGTCTCGGAATCCTGGATCCTCGGCCGTGCTGATCATCGCCGGATCGCCGGGCTCTCGCGATGCCAAAGTATGGCCAGAGCGCCTTTCGCTGACCCAGCCGGACGGATTCCTCCCTTCACCATCTTCTCCAGGCGTCCGCATTCTCTCGGGCGAGCTGACCGAAGTCGACGAGGCAGCCGCCATCAACTACGACTTCCAAAACAACCACATCTACTCGTGCAGCTGGGGACCTGCCGACAATGGCAAGGAGATGGATGCCCCGCCCAAGATTGTCAAGGACGCAGTCCTGAACGGCATCCAGAACGGCCGCCACGGACTGGGCTCCATCTTTGTTTTTGCCTCGGGCAACGGGCGGGCCAACCGAGACAACTGGTAGGACGCCATGCATCCATCTTATCCCATGCATCCTATCCATGCATCTTATCCCATCCATCCTATCCATGCATCCATCCTATCCATGCATCCGCAACGGCGAGCCTGCTGGTTGGTGAGCGCTGTATCGCGACGTATGGGCGACGAGCTACTTGTGCTGCTCGAAAGCGTCCGTCACAACCTCCCTCGGCTGACACATGCCCCTTCCTTCGTGCCGCCAGCAACTTTGATGGCTATACCAACAGCATCTACACAGTCACCGTCGCCGCCATTGACTCGGAAAACAACCACCCGTACTACTCGGAAGAGTGCTCTGCAAACATGGTGTCTACCTATAGCAGCGGAGCCGGCAACGCCATTGTAAGTGCGTGTGGCTGTGTGGAGGCCCCGCTGTTGTAGACCGACCGAATGCGAGCCCTGGGGCAGCAGTGATGCTGTTATCACGGCGGACGTGGGAGTCGCTTCCAGTGCTGGCACAGATAGAGTCTAAAGGTGCACTAGGTCATGTGAGTGTCGACAAGACAGCCCACCGGACTGACGCTCTGCATGGTTTTCTTCCTGATCAGTACACGACTAGCTGGCCGGAACAGTGCACCTCGCGGCACGGCGGAACCTCGGCGGCCGCACCTATTGTCTCGGGCATCTATGCGCTTGCTCTAGGCGTTCGGTATGTCCCTCGGAGGAATAGCATCTCGTGGACGTCGCATGGGCATATTCTCTCTGGAGACAGCAGCCTCGCCCTGGAAGTAACCGCGGAGAGCTGGCACGGCGTATGCCAAGTGGATAGTCCTGCAACGCGCATGATTTTTGACTCGACGATACCGAATCGCTGATTATCCTGTGAATGCGGTCGCCGCACAACCCCCAACTCTCTCGCGCGGTGCGCAACGATTCTTCACAGGCCCGAATTGACCTGGCGCGACATTCAGCATCTCACCGTCCAAACAGCAATCCCCATCACGGTCGGCGATCCTGACTGGGATACTGTGGCCCTGGGACGCAAGTACAACCACAAGTTTGGATTCGGCAAGATCGACGCCTACCACTTTGTGATCAAGGCGCTGACCCATGTGGTGATCAATCCTCAGGTTCATTTTGCCAGCCCCGTCACGGTGGTTTCCAAGGCGATCCCCCAGGAGTCGGCCGAAGGGCCATCCCACGGCATCGCCTCATCCTTTGAGCTCACCCGCCAGGATATGGACGACAGCGACATGAAGCGCCTGGAGCACATCACCGTCACCGTCAACATCCATCACCAGCGTCGAGGTGACGTCGAGGTCACCCTGACGTCCCCACACAATGTCACCTCGCAGCTGGCTGTACGTCGAGACCTCGATACCAACACGGCTGGCTTCCAGAACTGGACCTTCATGACGGTCAAGCACTGGTATGTGGATTGGGAGTGGTGACGGCGATGTAACACGTTCAGAGATCATGTCAGCAGGCCGTCTTGATCGCTGCTGGATCTGGCGTGCTCGAGTTGCTGTGGGATGCTTCGAGGTTTCGCAACTGAAGTCAATCATCACCATGCCTGGTTGCAGGGAAGAGGATCCGGTTGGTGTGTGGACACTGCGTGTCTTTGACCGGTACTCCGAAGAAGCACACGGGTTCTTTGACTCCTGGAAAATGACTTTCTGGGGCGAGTCCCACCCCAAGCACAGGGGCGGCAGCAGCAAGGCACACACAAGCAGCACGCTCCATCTCGCTTCATCGGCGAGCTCGGCCGACACAGCAACGCATCCTGCGATCGTGTCGACATCCGCCGCGCCTCTTGCGCCGTCCTCGATCGAGTCGACGATATCTTCGGCGTCGCCCGGTGCCACGGCCAATCCCGAACCCGAACTGATTGCCGTCACAGAGCCCGCTGGCGCCAAGCCCACCGAGACCTACCCGAGCGAGGATGCGTCCGATACCCCGACCTACCACGACGCCTCGCCGACATCGACGGCAGCCGGAAACTGGGTGCCGCCGAGCCATACCCGGTCCAGCGTGGCCATCTCGGTCGCATCGCTCGTATCGGCGGCCACACTGTGCGGACTCGTCTTTGTCTTCCGCGGCAAGATTTGCGGCGCCATCAAGCGCACGACGTTCTCACGGCGGGCAAATGCGCGATACAGCGGCACGCGCGGGATGGACTATGAGTTTGTGGAGATGCTCGGGCCGGACCAAGACGACGAGGGCGGCCACGGCGGCGCCAGCGCTAGCGCTGAGGACGACGACGACGGAGATCTGGGATACACCCGCTATGCCGATCCGCGGCAGAATCTGATTGCAACGGCCCTTGGCGGACCGCGCTTCGACGTCGAGAGCTTTGAAGTGGATGCCGATCTCGACGAGGAGCTGGAGCGGTTTTCAGTTTGAGTGTGCTGTTGCCTTGGGAAGAAATGTTGTGCCCGGAGCTGGCTGCTCGAGGGTTTCGACAAATGAAGTATCCGCCATCCAGCAGCAGCTAATATGCATTTACTCGACTGGGCCATGTTGACATATTCGACGACCCTCTCTCTCCCTTTCTCTTCCTCTCGAAGGCTTTGCTACTGTGGCAAGTGACTTGCAGCGATGAAGGGCGAGCGTCGAGCGTGGCGGGCTCGCCTGCTTCTAGAACGCAACACGCTCTCATTCGCACACATGGCTGCTCTGGAACTTTGTAGTCAGATAGATAGAGAGATGTATTTGACAGTTTGGTGGAGACGCGGCTCGGATGCCAGCTATACACACAGATGCACCCGGGCCGCTTGCTCTGGCTCTTGATTGATAGTGTTGTCGCTTTGATAGTCCACATTCCCGCCGCCATGGAGGGACAGGGAGGGAGTGCGGGGATATAGATCACACGCATGCCGCTGCCGAGTGTCTCTATCCGGCCTCATTGTCTTTCTTTGTTCACTTTTCGTCCCCCTTTACCCCTCCTGCTCATCATCCTCTGTGATCCCTCCCCCCCCCCACTCCTCTTCCCTGAGCAGAGCTACTCCAGCAGATTATTGATCCTCAACGACTCTTCACGGGCCTTTTGTTTGGCGGCGGCCTTGGGTGGAGATGACTCATAGACTTGGCTTGGATGGTGCTGATGTGCTTGAGAATGCACATGCGGATGTGTATGCGGATGTGGATAAGAATACGGATACGGATACGGATACGGATACGGATATGAATGCGACGGCGATCCGTCGGGATCTCGGTCGGGGCCCGAGAGACCGGGTGAAGGGGCAGCAGCGGAGGAGTTGGAAACGATCGGATAGCCCTGGTGGCCCGGATACCCAGAGTATCCGGATGAGTGTCCAGGATGTCCAGGATACCCAGGATGGTTTGGTGTGGGTCCGTGAGAACCTGGTGGCTTGGAGTTGGGCGGCGGGTGCGATTGCGACAGATAGGGCCCCCCGGATCCGTGGCCGAGTGAGCCATGACCAGCTTGCCGTGCCGATTGCGAGGCTGCGGCGGACCCTTGTGGAGGCGGTGGAGTGGACTGAGACTGAGGAGGAAAGTGCACCAGGGACGGCGAAGTCTGGTGGTTGGGCGGAGGCGTCGGGTGAGTTGGATGCGGACCTTGGGTGCGAGACGGCTGGGCCCGAGGCGGTGGTGCATGTGTCCTTGACGACAACAACGCAGGACTACCGCCGTATGGCTGTGGCTGCCCAGATGAATTCGGATGATATGAGTCTGGGTAGTGAGACCATTCGCTCTCAGCGTAAGGTCGGCTGGCAGGTGCGGGTGCCATCCCCGAGGGAGACAGATAGGAGTGGGAATGCTGGGCTTGCGGTTGTAACGGCTGGGACTGAGACTGCACTTGAGGCTGGGGCGGCCGATGTATCAGAGGCGAGGTTGGGTGCGGAGGGAGCTTCGACGGCGGCTGCAGATGGAGCTGCGGCTGCGGCGGGGTTGGTGTGAAGCCCTGATTGCCTCGCCAGTCCGGGACATTTTCGTTGTGCTCGCTCTCAGGATGAGACGAATACCGGATGTGCTCGCTTGCTGCAGAGGCGCATCAGCACAGGCGGGGCAATGGAGGGCAATGGAGGGCAATGGAGGGCAATGGACGAGAAGGACCAGGGTCAGCGCACGACGATCAAATGGACCAGGATCAGGAGCCAGCGGCGCGGGACCAGCGCTTTGCTCCCTGCTGCGATACCCGGACGGGGAAATCCCGAACAAGTGCCTGCTCCCAAACAATCGCCAGACAAAGAAAGGACAGCAGCGACCAAGCACTGGCAGCCGACAATGAGGCCGGGGACAAAGCAGCTCGGGCCGAATTGGAAAGGAGGGCCATGGTGGAGGGGGCGAGGGAGACCATGGTGGAGCGGGTGGGCGAGTGGGAGATCATGGGGAGAGCGGGGGGAAGGGGTGGGTCGCCATCGCGGACATTGGAATAATGGACGGGTGGCAGTGAACGACCGAGCCGGTACAAGTAAGGGTGGAACGCAGAGGCCGGGGGGAATATGGGGGGACGGGGCGACATGGAGTGTGTCAACCCGATGAGAGGCCGAGACGAACGAATACTGGGCCGAGACGATGAATACTGGGCCGAGGCGAAAATAACAGGACGGAGTGGAAAGGGAAGCAAGGACAAGCAGGGCGGGGGGCAGTGTGTGGGATCAAGCAGTCAGGTTGCCAAGAACGCAGGGCTCGGCGAGAGGGAGAAATACTCCACACGAGCCGCGCAGAAGATATGCAATCGACCAGATGCCCGACCGACGACTGCAGAGGACACACAACCGACGGCTGAACAAGATGCATAATCAGCCAGCAAGGCACACAACTGAGGAAGAGTCAAGGAGCGGGGCACACGGTCCATGCCAGGACAACAAACATGCGACCAGCCATGGTGGTCTTCCCGACACATGAAATGTAAAAATCGCCTTTATCGCCAGTGCCACTGCTGTTGCCGATCCGGTCGAGTGGGAGAAGGGGTGAAGAGGGTGAAGGGGAGAAGGGAACAAAGTAAAACAGAAAACAAAATAAAGCAGCAACAATCGCCATCGGCCAACAGACCCAATAAGCCCGTGGACAGACAACGGTACTGGAAGACGGTCACTTACGAGAATACGGAGTGGAGCGGACCGGCCAGCTGTCAGGATTCGAGCGATTCAAGTACGCCGGGCGTTGGTGGGAGACAGACGGATCGGCAAACTGGTAGTGCGAGTTGTAGAGGCTCCTGGAAGGGGTATCGCCGCCAGCGGCGGGCATGGCTGGATTCGAGGAATGGCCCGATGAGGAATCCAATGGAGCGAGGCTCGATTTCTCGAGGGTAGCGAGCCTGGCGTGTAGTTCGTGGATGTAGTCGACCGTCTTCTCGAGAATGGTCACCTTCTGGATGTTTTCTTGCGAGGCACACGAGGGTACCAAGTGCCGGAGCTCGAGCACCTTTTGCCGGATCTTTTCGCGACGGGTGCGCTCGATGGCGGTGTGGGCGGCCTTGCGCAAAGACTCTCGCTCCTCAAGCCGATTGGAGAGATGGGAATGCTGGTCGGCCAGATCCCGCTGGACGCCCCGGCTGCCAAGGCGACCGCGATGCGTCCTCTTGCGATGCGACGACGATGACGGCGGTGTGGGCGAAGCGGCCGAATGCTCGTCAAAGTCCGGCTCGGCATCGTAGTCATCGGCCATGTCGACAGATTCGAGAGTTTCGCCGGTGCTCGGTGCTGTCTCGGAGTGAAAGAGCGCAGGAGACGAGTCCTTTATGTACAGTTGCGATTGCGGCGGCGGCGGCGGCGGTGGTGGTGGTGGTGGTGATTGCTGGGGTGGTGGCGTGGGATCTGAGCGAGATGGATCCATATCGGCTGCTCGAGCGGGTCGAGAACGAGCAGGACAGGTGAGCGGGCGGGGGGACCAGCGTCGGTGGCCGGTGTCGGTGCCGGCGTTGGTGCCGGTGTTAGGCAGGCAGCGGGAGAAAGGAGGGGGCTGAGAGAGCCGGGGATCTGTGGGAAGGAGCGAAGGGGACGGGGCTGTGGCAGCGACGAAACAGAGCGGGGCAGAAGGGCGTGATAGCGACACCCAGGAGAAACTAACTCTGGCGGCGGGGCGGTACCACGGCGTGTTTATGTATATGGCGAGCCGGTGTGCCTTGGTGGCTCCTTGGGCCGATCGGCGATGCAGTGGATTCCCACCACGGCGACAACGGAAAGAAGAAAGGAGGAGGGGGCGGGGGGCGATCGAGTGCTGGCGATGCGAGGATGCACTTTGGCAGCGAAGCGCCTGTCTTGGGCCTTGCTGGCTCGCTGGCTTGCTGGGAGTCGATGGGAGTCGATGGGAGCTTGCTGAAGCTGGCTGGCTGGCTGGTTGGTTGGTTGGCCGGCCTGGCTGCTTGCTGCAGGCGGTTTTGTCGCGGGGACCAAAGTGCAAGCAGCTCCAGACTGGCTCCAGGCTGGCCCGATGTTACAGCGAGATCTTGCCGAGGGCAAGCGACGAGCTGTGGGGTGGCTGTGTGGGGAGCCTGTGGCGAGCGAAGGCAAGGCCGGCAACAAGACGACGGGCGAGACAAGGCCGCTGGGTGCAAGGCAACCAGCCCCAAAGGGGGACAATTAGGCTGTTGTGATGGGCGGGCGGCAAGCGCCGAATCGTTCTTTCGGAATGGGACGACGAAACCCGCGGCGCTTGTTGCGGGGGGAGCAGTCGCTGAAGGGGGAGTGAAGTGCCGGCTTGAGTGCTTGCCGGCTGCCTGCTGGCTGCCTGCTGGGTGCTTGCTGGCTGGTGCGGGCAAGAGACGATGTGCGCAGAGTGGCTGCCGAGCAAGGGCCTCGATGAGCACGGCTCCTGGTTGCCATACACTCGCACAAGAGCCCGCCCAGGCACAGGTAATGTCACACGCACCTGCAAAGGAGGTCTGGAGTCGATGGCGACCTGCAGTCGATAGTCGGTCGACAGTCAGTCGATGCTGGACTGGTGTCCACGGTGCAGGTACGGCAGCGCAACTTATCCTCAACGACGATGTGCTAACACTTGCAGCCGGCGGACCGGTACTCGCAGCCGGCGCACCAACATCTGCGACAGGCCCGACGCCGCATGTCCGCTTGAAACATGCACTTGCAACATGTGTTCGCCACCGGTGCGATTGCGACGCGCACATGCCTTTCCACGGGCAGTTGCAACAGACCCGCACAAGCGAAACCCAACGCCAGTGCTCCTGGCGTGAAGGCACGGACCCAAGCCCGCTGACAAGACCTCCGGTAACAACGGGCCGTCGGCTTGCCCCCCCCCATGAGTCTCCGAAGGCCAACGCGCCGGCAGTCATGCTCCTTCGCGGCCGCGGCAGCCAACTGTCCATGCCGAGGCCGGCTGCACCGGGAATCACGCTGACACCACCGGTGGTGGAGAGGAGAATGCTGCTGTTGCCGCTGTTGCTGCTGTTGCTGTTGCTGCTTGTTGGGTCTGCGCTCGTGCCGTGCAGGACATGCCTGACTCGCCGTCACAGAAGCGACGAACTCAATTCCCAGGCTGCAACTGAAAGAAAGCCCACCAACGAGGGCGCCCATGCTCCTTGGTCGGTGGGTGCAGCCAATGCGAGCGCGGCGGCCTGCATGTGCAGAGCCATGCGCTACTGAGCGGGTGGTTACTGGCTCTCCTTGATCGTCGTCCTCTGTCACTTGCTGCATGCTCCGTCGCATGAATCGCCGGCGGGCAGACGGCTCGGCACTGGAGTCGCTGTGCGTCGCCCCCTGAATACTCGCTGCTAGGTTGCCGCGGCCGCCCAGTCTCCCCCATGAGCGCTGTCAGTGGTGCGATTTCGTGTGTGCCAAGGACAAGAAAGTCAAAGTGGGTGGCAACGATATCGCTTGGGACATGTCCTCTCCGTGCAACTAAACTCTCATCCTTGGCCGCCTCGCCTCGCCTCGCTGTTCATACTGGGTCATTGCTCCCCACGGGTGTCTCTGGATCGAGCCCGGTCAAGCGGCCAAAGACCGAGTCAGAAACCACTCGAGGCCGTCCCGGAGGGGTGAAAGCTCAACGAGTACCGCCCGTGGGGAGGAGGAGGCTAGCGCAGAAATCGCTCGTGTGCTATGCGGTCCACTCCGAACCTGTAGGTATTTAGGGCGCTCCCCTTGCCCTTCGGCCGGCCCATTCTGCTGGCCAACGAATGTCGGGGTTTGGGCGACAAAGGTCAGGGCCTGTTGGGTAAGCGGCCTGGCGATGCCCGGTGGTGCTGCGTGCACCACTCTGCGAAAAGGTGCGTGGCCACCATGGATGCCATGAATGCCATGGAATGGCCCATGCGACGGGCCGACCTGCCCCGAAGGCGACACAGGCTCGGGCAGACCACACAGCAGGATCAGGGCCGTGCCCGCTCGAGCGACCACGGAGGAGCAAGCCGAAGGGATCCTGCCAGCAGCGGTGAGCTTCGGGAGACGAATGGGCCGTGTCGACAAGGACTGGGCAGATCAGAAATGGGCCGAGCCTGCATATCCGCGCTCTGTCGAGCTGGGAGCACGCTGTGCCAGGCACTCGCGACCAGGACCGGCTGGCTCGAGGCCGATGTTGCTCAAGATGCGGATGTCAATCCAGAGGCCGATGCAGAAGTCGACACTGTCCAGGCAACTGCTTCCATTGACACTGACGCCTGTCCCTCGAGCGTTTCCCACGCCGGCGCTGGCCTGCTGGCTCGCAGCAAGTGGAGCCGCCAGGCGCTCGCTGAGGGCTGAGGGAGGGGGAAGGTACCGACAAAGCATCCTTGTGGCCCCATGGGCAAGCATGCAGCGAGATGCGGCAGCGGGTGGCAGGTTCAATAGCGACACTCGTGGCGGCAGACATGCAGGTGAGCATGAAGCAGCAGCGAGTGCACAGACCCTCCAGCCACGGCTCAACAGGCCAGCAACGTGCTTGTCGAGACGCCGTCGCTGGCGGGCTTGCGATTTTGCTCACCTGGCCCTTCCCTCCCTGCCTCTCCTCCTCCTCTGCCAGCTCCTCTCTCCAAACGCCATCGATCGCCAGGTGTTTTGCGATCGCCGGGGAAGTCACGCGGTGCAGACGGGCACAGGGCAGCCGCGGCTCTGGTGCGCCTTCCTTTGCTGCCTTTCGAGCTGCAGGAAAAGAAAAGGCCAGCCATCGAGCGAGCACATTGACCGTGCGGCCGACAAGGCCGGCTCCGCATGTGGCCACGATATCAAATCGGGCGATCCATCACCCGAGCACAAGCCTTCCCCAAAAACAAGCCTGGTCAGTCGGTCGCTTTGCTCGCTCGGCGGCCGGCAGGCGGATGCGCCCTGGGCTGCTGCTTGCTACTGTCGGGCGTCCATGCGGTTTCCGCCAGCAGTCGCCGCCGCAGGACAGGCGTCGGATGTCTTTCCTTGGCCAGGCGGCGGTGGATACCCTGATTGGCCCAGGAGTGCACAGCAGGACGAGTCCCCCCACCACCCCAGCGCCATTTGGGTGCTGAGCCAGTCGATGCCTTGCGAGGGTGGGGGAATGAGGGGTCCATGCGAGGATTTCCCCCGTTGGTCGAGGCATGCCTGCACTCGCACGCAGATGACAACCATGCGTCTCGACGATAGTGTGCAGCCGCCGCGAACATCCAATCCAGATCAACGTGTGTCATGGCAGCATGTGGTCGCTTCGAAAGCTCCGACGATCGTATTCAAGTTGCCACCGCAGCATGAGTGAGAGAGGGAATACTTCGCCGTCGCAGTCAGGCATATAGTTCCCCTCTAGTTGAGAACGATGCGTCCCGAGCAGTCAGAGTGGTTCACTTGGTCGGGCCACACCAGCGCCCCTCCGAACTGAGGCAGCCGCAGGTCTGCAAACAGTGCCTCGCGCACCAGAGTGTGGTTGGCAATCGTCCAGTCCTTGGCGATGGACCCGCTATCGGTCTTGCTCTCTTCAAAGTTGATGACCATCTGGAGCAGCGGAAATTGGTTGATGCTCCCCAGTGACTGGCGCCAGAAGGACTGCCTGACTTGAGCCTCGGTCGCCCCCCGCGGTGATGCCGACGAGCGTGGCAGCTCCAGACCTGGGCAGGGCCATGGGCAGATTGTACTGCTGTGCAAAATGCTGGTAAAAAGTTGCGCGACTCGGCGTCGTAGCGTTTAGTGTTGATGGCGGCGCTGACGGTAGGACCCTGTCCGACGATCCAGTCTTGGAGGTAGGTTGATGCAGGGATGGTGTTTTCGGAAGTGTCGTAGTTGTAGTAGTAGAGCGAGACGCCGACCCAGTCCACGTACTCGCGGCCCGGAAAGAAGGGGCTGTATGGGTCGTCAAGAGCATTGATGGTGCCGTCGCGGTTGGTGTCCAGGAGCGAAAAGTCAACCAAGTTGTCGACAGGCGACTTTGGTGTTGGGGAGGCCGCCCCGGGAGTGGACCACGGATAGCCGACCCCGACGTTGGGAGCCCACATCATGGCTGATTATGAGGGTTTGTGTACTGTCGCATGATACCTGACAGTTTTCGGAACCCGGCAATGTAGCTCGAGGGCCGGTTGCCGTAAACGGTCCAGTCCCTGTAGTTCGATGCAGACAATGGGCTGTCAGAACAAGAGGAGCGCTGCAAACGCAAGGAAGGGATGTGTGCAGCACGACGCCCTCTCTCCGGCACAACTCAGACAGCGATGCCCATGTGTCGACCAAGGATACGAGGCCGGCCAACCCAACCCTGGCTCGAGCTTGGCTTCTGCTGTTCCACCTCGTCTCCTCTCGTCTGAGCCAACGCTCCACCGATGAAGATGGCTTCTTCACACACACACTATCTCTGTCTCTGTCTCTCACCATTCATCTCGTGTGCAAAGCGCAAGATGATAGGCACGCCGCTATTGTTGATGTCGAGACAGGCTTGGGCGATCTGGGTGAATTAGTCGTCGCTGGTGGTGTCGAGTTGGGCCACCATGAGCTCCAGCGTAAACTCGAGGATGCCCCCGACGCGGGCGACTTCCTGTCCATGGGCAAGAGCGCCCGTGCATGGCCGTGCATGCCCCGCACTGCGTCCCAGGGCACAGATGGGGAGGGTGTCAGCACCGCATCATCCAGCAGCCCTGGGTGCACCGGGGCAAGGGTCGACCGCGTCAGGGCGCCGTTCCCAGGCGGTCGGGACTCGGCAGGTATGTGGCGCTGGTGCGCCTGTGCCACTGCGGCTGTGCGTGGTGCAACACATGTGCAACCGCCGCCCGTGCGCAGTGTGGCGCGAGCGTCGCACAGCCTTGTTGCTGGCGCCAATCGCATCTGCGGCATCATGTGGGTTCGACGTGACAGGCCCCCCAAGCCACGCCAGTTTTTCTTTCGTGCGACGCGAAACCCCTATATAGACCGGTCGGGCTCGGGCACTTGCCAGGACATCCCGGCTTGCCTCGATGCTGGCCTATCCATGCCGCTGCGGGTATCCTCTGTTGTTCACCTGCCATTGTCGTTCTCCCGCCTCTCCCATCAGCCACCGACAGGCTTCCCACCAAGTGCGGCCCGTACTCGGCGAGATGCTCTGGCAAGCACGCCCTCCTCCACAAAGCCAGCTGTCTCCAAGCCCCGTCAAGTGCAAGAGAAATCTACCTGGACTCTGCGAGGTTCAACTCCTCGATTGTCTATTTTCCTTCTGTGGAGCCCGCCCCCACACCGCAGGATAGTGACCAAAGGGATGCATCCCTGCCTCTCCTCCTGCCAGGTTTGCTCTCCGCTGTCTGTGCACGATGGTCGGCTGCTTGGTGATGTTGCTGTTTGGAACAGCAGGGGACGCGAAGCGGGTATTGCAAGGATGGGATGTGGTAACGTTCTATTACATTACAGGTGGTTTGCGCTTATAGATGCTACACATGGACAGGTGGTGGCCCTGGGCCCCATAAATATCATCGTTCCCTCGACAGCCCGAACGTACCCTCACATCTCCGCACGGAGAGAAAGAAACCAAAAGAGACTCCAAAAAGAGGAAAGAAAGTCTGGCAAAAGTGGGAAGAAGCAACTGTACAAAAGAAGAGAATCCACGAAACAAATATGCCGGCAGTGCAGCCTCGCAAGAATGTGACGGGAACACCACCAGCACCGAAACAGCGAGTGTACAAGCAGAGCTGCGAGCAAGCAAGGCAAAACTTGATGATGGAGGGGGGGAAGGGATCGGCCCAGAGAAGCAGCAGAAAAACGTGCATGAAAGGTGAGGCAGAAGTGATGATCGAGCGTGGGGAGAGGGGCGGGCGGTGGAAGTTCAAAGCACCGCCATAATTAGTCGGCGACTGTGGCAGGCGTTCCAGACAGGGATTGGAACTATCCTTGGGGCGGCTACAGTCGATTGGTCTGCTGGACCGGTTACGCCGGACACTGCTTTTTGGCTTCTTTCCTTTGCTCTCGCTGTGGCTTTGCTTGTCACCGCTCCAGGACGGCTTTCATCTTCTGCAGCAGCAGTATCTCCTTCTTGCAGACGTTTGGGCTCGAGGTCTGCCGACCGCGCGAGCGCTTCTGGCCAGTCTCGGCGCCGTCGTCTTCTTCGTCGACACTGCTGGCATCGTCGAGATCCTTGAACACGGCGCGGGCCGCCTTGGCTGTCCGTCGCTTTTTGGCCTTGGGAGCGCCGCAGTCGGCATCGCGCTCGCAGTCAAACTGGCAGTTGTTCTCGGATTGGCGCTCGATGGCGTTTGCCTCGATGTGCACCTTTTGCTCATGAGCCTGGATGAATGTGCAATCGCGAGCGACGGAAAGACGGACGCACCACGCCGGATTCAAGACACACATCGTTAGAAGCCATTGGGGGCGGCAGCAGCCACAAATCGCCACGAGGAGAGGCCCGTTGCAGACAAACCCACCTTCAGATTGCCCATTTGGCTGAACGACTTGGCACAGCCGCTGAAGCGGCAGGTGTATGGCTTGGCGCCCATGTGCAGCACCTGGTGGGTCTTCATGTTGCCCATCTGGCTAAACGTCTTGCCGCACCCAGGGAAGGAGCACTGATCGGCCCGCACCAACGGCGTATGCGATACAGCACAGCACAGCGCAGCACAAACACGGCAGAGGCCAGACGCAGCGGCAGGGAACGGTGGAGAAGCCCCAACCCAACAGCGATGCAGCGTCGACAGGAGGCCCAAGGGCATGGCGGAAAAGCAGAGATTGGATGAGCCTTCATCACTTCAAGTCCAAGGCGCAGAGGCAGGGTGACGAGAGGCGGAAGACGAGGCCGCAGCGGCCTCGCTTGCTCGCACACTCCTTTCCCGGGCCTCTGGCCATTGACTTTCCGCTCAGCTGATTCAAGCAAAGCATTTCAACCGCCCTGATGCGGCGCACAGGACGGCCATCTGCAGACTCTCCACCGAGGGCAGGGCCTCACCTTGAAAGGCTTCTCGCCCGAGTGAATACGCTCGTGGGTCTTCAGATTACCCAGCTGTGTGAAGGACTTTCCGCAGTCGGGGAACGAGCACAACTGGAGGAAGGAGAGAGGGGACGAGGTCGATTGAGTCTCACATATTGTGGAACCGAGGTGCTCCCAGAGCGAACAGGAAGCAGGGGGAGACCCAATCATGCAGGGCCGAGGATACGCCGACGGAATCATCAGGAGACTTACGTATGGGCGCTCGCCGCTATGCTTGCGCTGTTGTGGAGAGGGAAGAATTGATCAGCAAGGCAGATCGACCATACGAGCCAGATCCGCAGGGCCCTGTGGGCCGCAAACACAGATCACATCGGATCTCAGCGATGCAAACCTTGTGGATCTTGAGGTGGGCGAGCTGGGTGAACTGCTTGTCGCAGCCGGCGACATCGCAGCTGAAAAGCTTGCCCTCGCGGGAGTTGCGGCGCTTGCGGGCATCGGTTGAGTAGGGTGAGGACGACAGAGGAAGATTTGCTGTGGAGAAGAGCGGGAAGCTGGTCGCCATGAGGGCGGGATTCAGGAGAACGGGCGAGCCATTGATCAGGGGAGCCGCCATTTCGACGGCGGGGCCTGCACCAGGGGCAGGGGATCGACGCGGCAAGGCAGCCACGGCGGCTGTTGCAGCCAGCAGCAGCGAGGGATGGGTCAGGGCCGGGAAGGTCAGCGGAACGGCGGACGGGGGCTTTTGGGGCTTGCTGGGATCGGCGGGGGGCTTGGAGAGCGCTGAAGCGGCAGCCAGACGGAGGAAGGCGTCGAATTGGGCCTTGAAGAGGGACTCGACCGAAGCTGCAGGAGCCGAGGCCGGGGCTGCGGGGGGCGAAGGCTGGGGAGAGACGGGAGATGATACTGGCAGCTTGGGCTGCTGGGCCAGCAGCGAAAGGAGCGGGACCGAGAGGGCCGATGCAGTGGGCGACAATGCCAAGGGCGAGGCAGGCGAAGCGACGGCAGTAGTGGGAGGCGACAGAGGCGGTACCAGCGGGAGGAGCATCGAAAGGAGGGGCAAGGTGGTCGAAGGCAGAGCAGGCGGGCAGGAAGAAGGCCGAGCAGGATCCAAGCCAGGCGACGACAACGGAGGCGAAGCCGGAAGCGAGAGAGGCAGCGAGCCAAGTGTGAGGGGAGTCGACGGGGTGGACGGAAGGCCGGAAGACATGGTGGGACTGCGATAAGAACGGGGATTGGTGTTGCTGCGGAATGCAGAGAGAGCAAAAAGCGAAAGCCAAAGCTGAAAGCTGGAAGTGGATGTCCTTGGCCTGAAAGCAGCGAAAGGACGAGAGAGCGATCAGAGGACGCAAGGGAAGGGCAGGGCGAGGCTGGATAAGGATCGGGGCCGATCGGCAGCAGACGAGCGAGCGAGTAAGTGAGAAGGATCGAAGGAGGATCGGAGGAGGATCGAAGATCGAAGGAGGATCGAGGAAAGGCCAAAGTGAGATCAAAGCAAGACCAAAGCAAGACCAAAGGATGGAAGACCCAAGCCAGATGAGAGGAAGAGAATGCACTGAGCCAAGACAGGAGCGATGCGCAAGGTCAGGAGGGCACTTTGAGCGATTTGCAGACTTGGGACTCTGGCCAGCGAATGCCAAAGACGACCGAGTCGGCCACGCAATCCACGGGGGGCGTGTGGCGCGTGGGCAGCGAGAGCGGGCGAGGGCAGCCGAGGGCCGCCGAGAGCGCGGCGAGAGCGCGGCGAGATGTGGCGGGGAGAGCGCCTGCACACACGCACACATGGAATTCCTGCGGCACTGCCTCCACACAGCAGCAACAGCAGCAACAGCATCAACAACAGCAACAGCATCAACAGCCGCTGCGGAGAAACCACGCACGCTGCACGGATGCGCAGTCGATGTGGCTTGTGTCGGTGCGCAGTCTGTCTGGGCTCGACTCATCGTGTGTCACCTGCACCACGCCACCAATCGCCGGCTCGGGTGCTGGGTCATGGCCTTCCGCATTTGGGGCCTCCTTGCCTGCGGCTGCCCAATGGCGCCGGGCCTGCTTGCTGGCGAACTGGACCAATCGACGCGGGGTGTCGGTGGGACCAGCGGCGCATGCATGTGCACACCTGGAGTGGATGGCGTGATCGTGTTCATGAACATGGCGCCTGATCTTGGGATCTGGCATGGCCCAACCGGGGGACCGGCAGGCGGTGCAGCGACTGGCCATGTCCAGCTCACCGGAGCCACCTGAGCAGCCCCTGGAGCATGCCTAACGGCGACTGCTGGGCCTCGGCCCTGGCTGCCCGATGTGCCGCGCGGTCATCAAAATAGATCCTCATTTCCTGCCGGACCTCTGGGGTTTCGAGATAGATTGGCTTGGGAAGGAGCAGAGTCAGTATAGGTCGGGGAGTCACAGTAGAGGCACGACAGAATCCAACTTACGAGGATGATGGCGGGGAAGAGCTTGACGATAATCATGCCGCCCGAAAAAGTTGGTCGCTGATGTTTCCGATCGCCGTGGAGAGCATGTGGAACTTTGAGGTTGTGAATGCCATGACGAAACCATTGTGATGCGGAGCCCACTTCGACCCACTCGGATGGTGTTGACGGAGTGGAAGCCGCAATGAAGCCACTGGAGCTTTGGCGAGATCGAACAAACTCATGACCCCGACGGACCCAGACGATTTCATCGCCGCCCAGATCACGAGACAGAATCGTCGCATCATCAGGCGAAATGGAAACCGAGAGGATATCGTGGGTGTGACCGACCAGGGTTTGCTTCATCCTACCCGTAATGGCGTCCCATATCTTGATGGTCTCATCCCGAGAGGCAGAGGCAATCCATCTGCCTTCCAGTGCAGTGGCGACTGAGAGCACGTCACCGGTGTGTCTTTCGAGTGACTGGGAAGCCTTGCCCGCGGCTATTTCCCACACCTTGATGATCTCGTCCCGGAATCCTGAGACAATCCACCTGCTGTCTGGTGAGATCGACAAGCTGTAAACACTGGCGATCTGTCCCTCGAGAGTGTACTTCAGTTGCCAGGTAGCAACATCCCATATGTTGATACTGCCGTCAGTGCAGCCAGAAGCAATCCACTTGTGATCCGGCGAGGCCACCACCGACCACACAGCGTCTCTGTGGCCCTCGAGGGTATGCCTCGCCTGGCCAGTGGTTGCATCCCACACCTTGGCGGTATGATCACTGGAGCCGGAGACAATCCACTGGCCATCGGGCGAGATTGCCACGGAGTTGACTGTTCCTTTGTGCCCCTCGAGGGTGTGTTGCACTTGACCCGTGGTGGCATCCCAAACCTTGATGGTGCTATCGTGCGAGCCCGAGACGATCCACTCCCCATTGGGTGCTACCGCCACGGAGGACACATTCCATATGTGTCCTTCGAGGGTGTGCTTCAGCTGGCCCGAGGCGGCATCCCACACCTTGATGGTCTTATCGCTGGAAGCAGAGGCAATCCGCTTGCCGTCGGGTGAGATAGCAACGGAGTTCACACTACCTGCGTGTCCTTCAAGGGTGAACTTCAACTGACCCGTGGTGGCATCCCAGACCTTGATAGAATTATCGCGAGAACCAGAGGTGATCCATCGTCCGTCAGGCGATATAGCCACGGACTTGACTGATCCTGTGTGTCCCTCAAGGGTATGCTTCGCTTGGCCCGTAGCGGCATCCCATACCCTTAGAGTTGAGTCGTTTGAGCCAGAGATAATGCACTTGCCATCAAGCGAAGTCGCCACAGAGTTAACTGCGTAGGTGTGTCCAGTGAGTGTCATCACACACGGATCCCAGGTGGGTGCTGGGCCGGCCGTGACCAGGAACGGGATCTTGTCCTCGAGTTGGTCGGCATATGTCTTGTAGATCGCCGTCTCCTTCGGTGTGAATGCATACCCCGAGTTGTACACCTGTGGTGCACTCTTGATGATCGGATCGGCAAACTCGCGGATGAATCGATACGTGTCCTTGACCAGTTCCTTCGTGGTGTCGTCGAAGATGGTGCTGGGTGCCATGTTGGTCACTCCTCGCAGCACAGCCAGTTGCTCAATGATCGGCTCGACCACATGTGTGAGCGACCCACACTCGAGCCAGAAGAGCACATGCGTCTTGACGAACCGAGTGAGCACCGCTGCCACATCGACCATCTCGAGCGACTGCCACACCGGACTCGACTCGGCCACTCCACCCACACACCACACAAAGTGTGTGATCCAGTGGGCGACGCTGTATCGCAGCGACGGTGTGATCTTGGCTGCGACTCTGTCCTCGAGGTCGGCGATATTGTCGTGAAAGTCGTAGATATCGCAGATGTTGATCACTGGCTCGTGCGAGAGGATCACTCCGAGACATCCCTTGGCAAACACCGTGTGGAACGAGTCCGACACATGCCACGGATGGCCAGTCGATGCGTCGCCGAGGAGATAGTCCGCCACCGACTTGTGGTTGAACTTGACCTCGGTGTTGGTGGACTGGCTGTCTCGGGGATCCAGTCCATTGGCACCAGGATCGAGGACCAGACTGAGGCTCTTGAGACACTCGCAAACGACGCCGATCTCGAGTCCAAACACATCGGCGATGATCTGCGGGGTCAGGATCGACTGGGCCGTGGCGATCGCCGACACCACCATGACCAACTCGGCCGGGTGGTTCGACTGCGGGTGGATCTTGGCGAATGTCTTGTGGTACAGCTGACCGACATCGGCGGCGCTGTCGTTGATGTCCTTGATCGTGGCGAGTGTCACCGGGCCGTCCTTGGATGCTGAATCGACGGTGTTGAGGATCAAGTTGATCCACACGAATGTCTTGGACTGGTCCAGCAGGATGGCGACTGCTTCGGTGCGGTCCGAGTCACTGAGAGTGTCATACACTCGCAGTCGGTGGAGGATGAACACCTCGAGGTCACGGATGTTCTCCTCGCTCGAGGGCTCGATCGTCTTGGTCGGGACTCCATCGAATGCTGCCTTGATGTCGTCCTCGGGTCGGGATGTCAGCAGCAGCTTGAGCCACGGACGGGTCTTGTTCAGTTCGACAAACCGCACGGCAAGCAGACTGAGCAACTGGTCGCGTGGAGAGCACTCGTCGAGTGCATCCACCAGGATCATCACCGATCCCTTGGGTCTGTAGTCGCCGATGGCTTCGAGTGGATCGGCAATCACGGCCTTGAACAGTTCGGGGATGCTCATCTTGTCGAGGTCGTCCTTGGTGTGGCCAGCCTCGAGCAACTTGCGGCCGATCGGTGAGTACCACTTGCACAGTCCATATGCGATGGTATTCAGCACCACTCGTGGATCGCTCTTGCGGATGTCGTTGTACTTGAGGAACAGCGCCGACACCAGCTGGTTGGTGGCTGTGAGGATGTTGGCGATCTGGGCGGCAGCAACAGACTTGCCCACTCCAGCAACGGCATTGACCCACAGGACAGTGTCGGCGGTGTCCTGGTTGACCCAGTCGGTGGTCTGGTTGAACAGCCAATGACGGGTACCCTCGACATACAGATCCTCGAGTGCACGTCTGTCCGTAGTGGAGTCGACAGGATCGAGGAGGGATCGCAGGAGCGAGTCTTGTTCTTTGGTGAATTGGATGGGACTATCCTTGTGGTATGTTGCTCCTTGATCTGCAGCAGTCTTGGTCTTGGTGATCAGGTTTCGGATACTGGGGACGAGCCTGGAGCGGACAGGTCAGGTCAGTATGGCCAAGATTCACTTTGGGTACATCAACAGGCTCCGGAATTCGAGCTACGATTCGTGCCACTCTGATCTCTCTGACGAGCCATGCTCACCTCTTGAGGGCCTTGGTATCGGAGGCGTCGAGAGCCTGGAGTTTCATCAGCTCCTGGATTGTCTGTTCGATCGTCATTGGGCGTCCGTCAAACAATGGGCTCTGCCTATGGATTGGGATGTATTTCGGAAAGTCGCTCACAGGCGGAAAATACTTGATCAACGCTTTTCTCCCGTCGCTCGTGGTCACTGACGACCACATGAAGATCGGCTGTACGATGACCGGTTGGCCGGCGATGTCTCCATCCTTGATACGCTTGAGAGCGTGCTGGATCTGAGATGTACACGAGAGAAGGTGAGTTCGTCTTGCGTTTAACCATATCCACGAGCCTTCGGCGACGATTGCTAGATTTACTACCTCGAGTAACTGGTTGTCTGGCTTGTTATGGGCCTCGAGGGTGCGCTTCAAGCCCTCCTCGGAGAGTAGCAACACTATCACACTCGACCGATACAGCCCGTTGATGAAGCCTTTCTCCCAGTCATTGCCGTCACAGAGACAGAGGCTGTCGAGATAGGGATGAATCACCACCTCACTCCGACTGTTGGCTGCCAGAGCGCCATGGAGGGCGGTGGCTTTGTCAGCCTCGCTACTGACTCGATAGCTGGATGGACGGGTCAACATGTCTGGAGTGTGAGTTTGGGGGGGGGGCGGTTTGTGATGACAAGCACGACCGCATCACCGACCTGATGAACACATCGTGGGTCTGAAAGTCCTTCTGACATCGCCATTCTTCATTAGGAGTCGCCGGTGTATACTCTTGAAAATCCAACACCCGGATTGGTGGGGCGATAATCGGTTGGTGGCTTGAAGAGTCCGTTTGCCTGTGCTGCTGATGAGCCTTCCGTATCCGAACCTTGCCCCCCAAATCAAGACCAGCCTCTTGCATGTCTGCTTCCGACAAGCTGAGGATCTAGAGAATATGGATGTGAGCTTGGAGCAGCTACGTCACTGCACTATGGCCAAAGCGGCGACTCACCAGGTCGGCTCGATCAAGGCCGTTTGCAAGGAACTTGTCCTTGTACCTGACCAGGTCTGCCTTCTCGAGGAACTCGTCGAGAGCATCCATATTGGTAATCACAGAAACGCAGCGCGTTGCACGTCGCCGTTTGTCCGTCGGAAGAGATGAACGAATAGGCCGGGAAAGGGTGGTCGGCTGGGTCGTGGATGAGGAGGAAGGCAAGGAAGGCAAGGAAGGCAAGGGGCGTGTCTGTGGTCCCGTCTTGCTGTTGGCTTGGTTTCCTGACTCTGGCTCGATTCGGCGATGGCTCAATCCAGCAAGCCGTGCTGCGCTGCTGTTCTGACCGGGCGCCACAACCAACCAAAGGACTGCCGCTCGCCATCGACAAGGCGATATGTCGTTCACGCTGACAGGAACTATATTGATGCCATTTATACCTTGGAACGTGTCACATGCGTGGAGGTCGCTGATATTGCTGGCTTCGCAAGCAGCAGCACCCAGTGGTAGCGTACACAACAATGGCGACGCCAAGGCACACACGATTTGTCAGTTGCGGCCGGTGCGGGTGAAGATGCTGACTTCGGGATACTCCTCGTCCTTGAGCTCGCTCGACGGGACTTTGGGCTCGTTCAAGAAGTGGACATGGTAGAGATAAATGAGACACTTCTTGGCGAGCGCCGCGGTCGAGGGACAGGGCGTTGGGTAGATCGAGCGGGTGTTGGCGTTGTCGATCTTGATGGACATGTCCATCATCATGTGCATGAGCGGGAACAGGGCGTTCTTTGCAGCAGATGGGTTGGAGGTGAGAAGGAACTTGAACTTTTCACGAGTTTCAAAGAGGACGGGCCAGCCAAAGGAATTGACAATCTCGAATAGCTTGGTCTCAGAGATGACACTGCGGTGAGTGAGTGAGTGAGTGAGTAATCAGTGTCAGGATCCACCATCCACACCACACCACACCACACCACACCATATCACACACCACAACACACACTCCTCACCTATGCTCCGAGTCGCTGATGTGGAACACAAACTTGGATAGGGACTCCTCCGAGCCGGCAATCTCGGCAACCACCTTGGCGACATGGTCGACGGGATCCATGGTCATCGTGACGAGAGTGGCGTGCGAGGGAGCAACACCGAGTTGGATGCATCCCTTGACATATCGCCAGATGTAGTCATCCGTGTTGGACACTGGAGCGATGGAGGGTGTGAAGGTGTCAGTTGGTGTTAGTTGGTGGACGAGTGCCACTTGATAATCGAGACCATCGATTCATGGCCAGTCCATGGGACGATTGAGACATCTCCACCACATCGCATCACATCACACCACACCACACCACACCACACCACACCACACCACACCACACCACACCACACCACACCACACCACACCACACCACACCACACCACACCACACCACACTCAACTCACCTCCGTACTGGCTGTCGCCGGCAATGACGGCCGGGCGAATGATCGTCACCGGCACTCCCCTCGATCGTGCCTTGTTGACCAGCTGCTCAGAGACCCACTTGGTCTGGCCATACCCGCCAGAGATGTTCCAGGCCGAGTAGATCTTCTCCTTGAGTGGTTCGTTGGAACTCTTGGCCATCGGGATTGTGCCGATGGTCGAGATGTAGTGCAGCGGCTTCAGGTGGTGGGTTGTGGCCAGTCTCAGGGCCGTTGCCGTGCTGAGGACATTGGGTCCCCTGAGTCTGTCATAGTCAAATAGCCAGTGGACCTCGGCGCCGTTGTGAACAATCATGTCGGTCTCCTCGCTGATCTCCTTCCATCGCTCGTCCGAGAGTCCCCACTTGTCCTTCGACAGATCGCCGCACAGTCCGATGAATCGGTCGCGCACATCGTACCGCGGATTTTGTCGATTTCGTGATGCCATCACCAGCCTCGTGGAGTTGTAAAAGATCCGAGTGAATGCATACTGCTCGCTATGGGCTCGAACCACACAATAGATCTTGGCCCGAGGGAACTTGTGGGCCAGCTCAAAGACCAGGAAGGCACCGAGGAACCCAGTGGCACCAGTCAGGACGATGCCGCGAGGGTCCTTGGGATAGACAAACGGAGGAAGACCCTCGGCCGTCACACTCGCATCGTCGAGCTTGGCGGCCTCAGCAGCCAGATCAACAGTCGGGGGAATGAGAGGCTTGTCGTCGAGGATGTCGACAACCAACTGGGCGACATCGAGCGGCGTCATTCCGTTCGACAGCAATATCATCGGTGATATCTCGGCATCAAACTCGTCCTTGATGGCGAGGGCCAGACGACCGACACTCAGCGAGTCAAAGCCGACGCCGCCGATGTAGTAGTTGCGGCCGTCGAGGGCGGGGTTGTCGATGATCTGGCTGCCGATCTGAGATATCTTGGCGGCGGTGCGGGATACCGAGGTGCCGACAATCTGAATAGCTGGATATTCAACCGACTTGCCGAACTGATCGACATTCTCGGCGATGCGCCTGAGCTTCTTGAGGTCGCGCTTGCCCGAGTCGTTGAAGGGGAACTCGTCGAGCTCGAAGCAGTTGTGGATCGGGAACTTGGCGACGTTCTTGAGGGCAAACAGCTCTTCCGCCAACTGGAGTACTTCCCCTGGTGTTGCGTTTAAATCCGATCCCTCTCTGGCCACATAGAGCATCACGATCTTCTTCTCGGAGGTCTGGATGAAGGCACAGTCCGAGATGATGCGGGCCAGGTGAACGTTAACCAGCTCCTCGAGGGCGTTGAGGTCGACATAGACGCCGTTGACCTTGATCTTCTGGTCGAATCTGGAGTGATGGTGTGGAGTGAGGGAGTGGATGGCGTGAGTACTCAGGATACGTGAGTTGGATGTGTCCTCAGGATGCGGGATGTGCATTCGCCATCAATGAGAGTTGCAACACCCAGCCATTGACTCACCTTCCAACCACAGTGAACTGGTTCTCGCCAACCATCTCGACCCAGTCCATGGTGCAGACACGGGGCGAGCCATCCTCGAGGAAGCCGAACGAGGCGAGCTTGTCGTTTGGATCGGCGTTGGCAAAGTTGGGGTGGTTCTTGATGGGATGGTCCTTGTCGACGGCAAAGCCAAGCACGCCGCTCTTGGAGACCTTCTGGTCGACAATGTTGCCCTCCTCGTCAAAGAGGAGACAGCACACACCTGGTTTCATGAGTCGATAGACGAGAGTATTGAGAACATTTGGGTCGTCGGCTGGGATTCGGAAGAGCGAGAATGCCCCGAGCAGACCAGCCTGGGGCACAGATATCCGGGTCGCTCAGATTAGCATGACATCTTAGCATCAGACTCGCCGTAACTGCAGCACGGTACAACACCTCGCTGGATCCATAAACAGATTGAATCTCGGCACCGGGAAACAGATGCCTTGCGTTTTGAATCAGACTGGGAGGCACCAGCTCGGTGCCCAGGAGGAGCCTTCGTAGTGTTTCGTACTTGGCATTTGGGTCGCGAGAACGAGCCACTTCAATGGTCATCTTGGCAAACGACGGCGTCTTATAGCACACTGTCACCATTAGTATGTCTGTATAGTGGAATAAAAAAAAAACACCAGCTCATCGCCAGCTCACCACCTACCAAGAACAAGTGAACGAGACCGTCGTTCAGCATACCCAGGATACTCTTAATCTTTTCCACCGCGTTCGGCGTTGGCTCGGGGATCCAGAGCGATCCCTTGAGGCTCAAAGAACTGAGAAACAGGTTCAAGGTGCCGAGAAATGAAGGCGCCTGCGATGCGACTTGTGTTAGCGCACAGAACTGGGCTCGCCGGTAGAATGCAAGGTCTGAGGACAGACCTGGCAAAGGGCGACACTGGTGTAGAGCGTGCCCACGGTGCTTCGGCCGGTGATCGAGCCAAAGTGGGAATATTTGAACCTGTGGCTCCCGTAAAATGAAGCATAACTTGCTGTTGTCAGTGAAGTGATCCCGGTCGATAGCAGCTCCGTGATTTCGATCGATAGTGGCTCGTAATCTCGGGCAACTTACGACTTTGGGACGCCTGTTGGATCAGTCGAGAATCAGCTCACACGCTTCAATATCGATGGCACCACAACTTCCATCAGCTCATCTGTGATATAGTACCATTCATGGCTTATCGCCATCCCGCTCCCTCTTGCAATGTTGATATCCATCGGACCACTACACATACCTGTCGTTCCGGAGGTACATTGGAAGGTCACAAACTCATCGAGAGGCTCGCAGACTTCAAGAGACGGAGGCGGAACGCTTTCAAGCTTGGGGAAGGTGGTAGCATCGATCAGCGTCACACCCTCGGTGCGGCCGGGTTTGGTGTGATGGTGGAGGATGTACTTGATCGCATGTCTGTCGGTTGATGGTGATGTGAGTGTCAGATCGGGATCGAGCATAGCTGGCTCGATTCAAACCTCGGACCAGCCTGCTCATCCTAACGACAACATGGCAGGGACACACCTCTCGCACAGGGCCTTGCGGGCTGCAGGAGGCAGGTTGAGGGCAAGGTTGAGTGTTTTCCTGGATGGTGTTCAAAAGACAGGTGAAACTCGACCCTTGTCATGGCACGGAGCAAGGGTTGAATATGTCCCTTGCTTGATCCGATCTTCATGACCCCATATCACATCACATCACACCGCACCAATAGCGGATACTCACTTGCCCAGCATCCACACAGCGAACGAGTAGATCACCCAGCTGGCTTCGGACTCGCAGAAGGTGCCGATGACGTCGTGGCCGTCGTCGCTCCAGCCAGGGAGAGCCTTGAGAGCCTGGGCGACCGAGTACGCCTGCTTCCACACCTGGAGATAGCTGAGTCGCTCCGAGGCGCCGCTCTCGTAGGTGTTGATCAGGAGGGCATCGGGCTCGTCGCGGGCAGTGTTGATGAGACACTCGACGGGATGGAGCCAAGGGCCAAACGGATCGGGCGGAGGAGGGAACTTTGGCTGTTGGGAGACAGGGGTCTGCGAGGAGACATCTCGGTCGTCGACCGGGTCTGTGAACCCTCCAAAACAACAGGAGATGGCCCTGAGCATGGCTGGGCAGTGGAATGAGAGAGTCAAGGGACTTTTGATGCCAAAGACGTGAAGATGAGGCCAGGGGGGGGGAGCAACGAGGGAGTTGAAAAGGCAGCTGGGTGGGGGCCAACGAGGGGCGGCCGACAGGGGCAGATGATGTGCCTTGACTTGCACGCGGCTTTCTTCTCATTGCGGGCTGGGCCTTGCATGTCTTTCGAGCATCCCATGGGCGCTCGTTCGGGGTCATTCGCCGAAACCAAGCGACATGCACGCAGCCCTCGTGTCTAAGCACGCATCCCATATCCGAGCACGCACTAGCCAGAAAGCACACCGTTCGCACGCTCCTCAGATGCCAAGGGGTACAACTGTATTTGGATTGACTCTTGCCGATTGCTCCTCTGGCTGGATGGCGTTGATTGTTCGCGCTGTTGCGATGAGCTCGACCGATTAACTCAACAACTCCGTTTGGAACTAAGCTGGCCACCTCGCCAACCTCCGAGCGAAGACCGCGGTCGCTCCCCGAGTGCTGAAGATGGAGGCAACCTGTTCCTGATGATCATGGCCAGGGCGATGTTACGAGGCAACTAATTATTTGGTTGGCCAAGAGACTGGATGTCCCATTTGCCATCACATCGACTCTACAGCCTTGCCTGACATCGTCGGTGTGCTAGCCAGCCTGCCCAGATCCACATCACCGCCCCCAGTCCCGCTCGCCAGGCCGCTCCAATCCACACCGCCTGTCGGACGGTTTCCAGCTCGCTGCCTTCTTGATGGAAACCAGCCAGCTGTTTCGCCCCGAGAGCCATGCTCAGGACCAGCTGCATATCATAGTGGCTGAATCCCACCGACACATATTGCTCCAGAGGATCGTCCAGGTTCTTGAGCAGATCGCGAGTGATCCGCAGCGTGATACCCCAGAGCCCCAGTCTGGATCGATCGGCTGGCTCGGCAGGGTCACCGCTGGGAAGCCAGATACCAAAGTAGATCAGTTCTCCCACGGAAACGTCAATCATTTGCCGGAGCATGACTTGTTTCCAGCCCAAGGTCGGAATCGGGCTTGCGGCTTGCTGGGTGCGTCGGTGCCGTGAGCGAGGCTCTGGGAAGAACAAGCGCGACAGAGGCCTGGGAATCCGATATCGGCATTCGCGGATCCGTTGTCTGGCTCTGGTCAAAAAGAAGTCGATGGGCACCCAGTGGGCCGATGCTACCTCAGACTCTTGCAGCTGCAGCGGCGGTGTTGCTCTACATATCTGCAAAAACACTGCGGCCCAGAACAAGAACCATCATTGCAAACATCAATGCAAGCGTCAGTACACAGTCCTGTGGCTCGGCTTGCTGGTATTGTACAAGCAGTGGCGACCTACCAAACGGACAGAGAACCATCAACACGGTACGGCCCGTCGGATCTTGGATCTCTCGATCATCGAGAGCCCCGAGCGAGACAAATCTGTGGGCGGCATGACGGCAAGTCGAAGTGAGCCGCTGCATCCTGGACGGGCGCTTTCGTCTTGGCGCTCTCGATGGCCGTTTGGACTGGCCATTTGAACTGGCCATTTGAACTGGTCATTTGGACTGGTCGCCATCCTTTCCTCGACGACCTTGAGGACAACTCACCCATCCTGCAAGTCCAGGCCGATTTCCTCTTGCGTCTCTCGGATCGCCGTTTCGATATCGGTTTCCCCAGGCTCCTGCTTGCCACCCGGAAATGCAGTCTGTGCCGCAGAACCGAGTGGAGAGAGCGAGGGAGAGACAGTTCATCCAGGATATACGGTAGAATCAGTGACGGGCGCTTTCCATCGCAAATCATGGATGCCCTGGCTGGACGAGAACCTACATGCCCGCTCCACCGGTCTCCCAGCCGCTCGGCTCGCTTGATATAGAGGACCTCGAGATCGGCGTCGCGGAGAGTGTCTGTAGCAAGCCATATCCGCATCAAAAGAGGCGATCCTGAGTCCGAACCCCGGGTGACTGGCTATCATCGCCCGGACTTGCTTGGACATCAGCGCCATCGTGTTTGCCTGGAGCAGACTCGAACCTTTCCATGCTTTGTATGCCTGATGAGGGAGCTTGGATTGTCTCGATCGCAGGACAACGGCTACGCTGGCCCGTCGCGAGCACGTATAGAGCTTCAACGGCGTCGCCTGCAACGAAGATCATTGTTGGTGTGTTTGACTGCATCGTCTGCATCATCTGCATCGTCTGCATCATCTGCATCGTCTGCATCATCTGCATCATCTGCATCACCGGTATCGGCGTGCTTGGTGACGTCCGCGGCTTATATCGCCATACCGAAGAGAGTGTGTCGAGCAGCAGGGACTCGCAGGCCATCGTGGAGTATGGGCCTTCCGTGTCTGGGAGTGGCGGGCATGCGATCAGGAAGGCAGACCCTGGCAAGAAAGCCGCCATCCCAACCGAACAAAGCCCCAACAGGCAATCCGAGGACCACCAGCTCCCGAGCAGCGAGGGCAATGGTGTGCTCTCTGACCACCAACCTACCATCTTGACCCTTGGCTCAATCGCCCTCACATATCCTCATACACTCGAAGCGCCCCCCGCGATCTGACGCTGCCGACGCACCCATGTCTCGCCGAGCCGCCACCCAGATCGGCCTCCTGTTTGCCCACGACCTCATGTCCCATCGTGGCGGCAGCCTCGAGCGTGTTGAGAACACCTTGGCGGCCTTCCGATACTCTGCCCAGCAGCTCAAGGTGCCGCTGCTTGAGCTGGACGTCCAGCTGACTCGGTAGGTCCATCTCCACACGTCGCTCCATAGAGGAGGAGCTTTCCAATGGCTGCGTCATTGCACCAAGCGAGCAGGCACCGCTCAGATTGAAGCGAGACGGAATTCGTTGCAGCCCGCTTGGACGATACTGGCTAACCAACTCGCCGACGTGCTCTGTCTCGCTTGGGTAGGGACGGCCAAGTCGTTATTTTCCATGACCAGAACATGGAGCGTCTCACCGGCATTCCCAACGTTCGGATTCAAGACTATGACTATGCCGACCTGCCGCCTCTCCTGGTCCGCAAGGAGCTTGCCAATGTCCCTGGGCTGACCCAGGAGCGAGATGCCACGCGCATTCCGCTGCTCGAGGAGCTTCTGAAAGAGTTTCCAAAGTACCCGATGCAGATCGACGTTAAGACCGGGCCGGAGGAGCTGGTGGTCAAGGTCGGCCGGCTCCTGCGCAAGTACGAGCGAGAGGTGAGCAAACGGCCGTTTGGAGGCCGATGCTGTCCGCAGGATTGGCTCGGCTTGTCGATCTGTCCGTGGCCGTGGGTCGCTTTCCGTTGCATTCGATGCGGCTCTGCACTCCCGACCGAACTCGAGCATGCCACCGCTTCTCTGACTCTCCAGGGCTTCCTCACCGTCCCGCTATCGTCACGGATGCCTGGCAACGGCTCCATTCGATTCGATACCTGCCCTCGGTCTTGTGCCGGCTGCTGTACAGAACGTCACCGTCTGGGGATCCTTCCGCCATCCCGTCAACTCCTGCTGCCATCACCACTTTCCCGATATCCCGCTCTTCTTTTCCTTCCAGCGGGCCCTGACTTCCTTTGCCCTCTACCACCTGGGCCTGGGTTGGATCATGACCTACTACGAGTCGGCCCTGATCCTGCCGGACATGTGGCTTTTCCTCCGTCCAGGGTGGTTTCGATACCTGAACCGACACGGCATCTCCGTGATTGTGTTTGGGTCCGGGAGTGGGTCTATCAACGACGTTGCCGGCTGGGAGCGAGTCCGGGCCGCTGGGGTGAACGGCATCTGCTCGGACCGGCCGTCGCTGCTGCAGGAATGGCTCGAGACCCATCCTCTGGCTGGGGTCAGCGACGTCCGGAAGCAAGACTAGATCCAACTTGTCCGTCGGTGGGCCCTGGCTGGCCAAGCCCCAGGGCCTCGGACCATCGATCGACGCAGACCAACACGGCATTCTCGCCCCATGCGAGCGCAGGTGCAGATGCAGGAGGGTGCAGGTCGGGCGGACGATGGCCAGCAGCATCGCCGGGGCATGGCATGGCATGGCGGCCATGAGCAGCGCCGGGTTTCCTCTGCCGGCGCTGTCGAATGAGCCCAGCGACGGGTTGCGAGTCGGCGGCTGGATCGCAGCCCAGAGACGTCCAGCCCAGCCGTCGGCAGCCCACCCCATCTCTCGCCCGATCTGCTCTGTCCGGTCTGCATCCAGCCGCCGGCCCATCCCCGCCTGCAGGCCGCCTCCGTCACCTCGGCCGATCCTCCTTCTTGGCCGGCCCGCTGCCATCCTGACGACCCGTCTGTGCCGGCCCACTTCCCCACGGGCTGGTCTCGCCCTGCATCTGCCGCTGGCCCGGTCCCAAATACCCTCCATCCCCTGGCCGTCCATCCATCTGCTCCATCTGCCCCATCTGCCCCATCGGCCATCGCCAGGCCGCTCCTTGGCCCTCCTTCCCCCGATATCCCCGACCGGCTTCAAATCCACGCATTGCCGATCCCTGGCTCCATCCACAGCGATAGCTTCTCGGCCCTGTCGGCTCAGCGGAATATACATTCGTCCTATTCCGCGCCCAACAACCCAATTCATTCCACGCTTGCTCTGATCGTCTGTCCTGCCTCCTTTCACGAACCTGAGCGCATCTGAGCGCATCTGAACGCACTTGAACGCATCCGAATATATCTGAACACACTTGAACGCACCTGCATTCCCCTCGTCAGACAAGCCCTGTCATCTGGGACACCACCATGTCATTCATCAGCTCGATATTTGGAGGATCCAAGGTTGGTTGCATCGATTCCTCTGCTGCCACACTCGCGAGAGCATTTCTGCATGCAATGCCCAGATTGCATCCGTAGCCCTGTCCAGAGCTCCGCGAGAGTGTTGGGCGACACTGGCGCTCGCTCTCGAACTCGCTTCGGCTGCTTCCGCTGTCTCTGGCATTATGCAACATTATGCGGCATTTGCTTGTGCTGCACAGATCCGGAACCCACATGGCCATGGTATCGAGCCGGGCACTAACCGACGCTACCACGCCAACTTTGCCCCCTTTCTGCTGGCTGGCTCCCTGACTGACTGGCCGGCCTGCCGCCTCAGACTTCCCTGCAATCTCGGCCCGGCGAGCCAGACGAAGGCGAGGAGCGATACTTTGGGCTGGAAAACGTGAGCAGCGAATGCTTTCTCGTACTTCGCCGGCCTTGACCGAGTCGGCACTCGCGATACGCTTGCCCACACCCCAATGCTGATACCATGCACCTTGTTTCTTCATCTCTGCCACTCGGTATATGGTATATTAGTATGGCAACACCTGGTGAGTCGCCGCTCAGCGAGTCGTGCAATCTGCATCATTCGGATGGCGCCTCGTCGACAGCGAATTCTCCGTACGGATGATCGAATGGCCGCTGTTGGCGGTCGGTGATCGCCGCCAGCCGCGCGGGGCCGCTAACCAACCACATATGGTGTTCGTCAGTTACTGCAATTCGGTGCTCCAGGCCCTGTACTTTTGCAAGCCCTTCCGAGACTGTCTCCAGCACTACAGTTACCCACGGTCGGCCGCCTTCCTCGCTGCCACATACGAGGGCATTCCTCTGAAAGCCCAGGGCTCCACCCCCACGGCCGGTATCTCGCCGCTGCCACCAGCGTCATCGACATCGCCATCTGGAACGGCATTACCAGCGGCACCGTCGGGCCCAAAGCCCAACAGTACCGGAAATGTCATCCAGACCATTCTCAAGCCCAGCAGCGGCGGCGCTAAGTTGATCAAGGCCAAGTCCAAGTCTGCGAAATCGCTATGGGGCAACAAGACGGACGTCGAAATTGAAGCGGCTCCGTCTCAATCCTCCCAGGCGACACCCGAGCCGGAGCTGGATCTCGAGCACGAGCCCCCGACAATGCTGCCTGTGTCTCTCGAGAACATCCTCGACACTCCGATGGAGAATCAAACAGCCTCGTTGATGACGAGCCTGCAGGACATGTTCCTCAAGATCCGGTCACAGAAAAAACGCACGGGTGTCTTTGGGCCAAAGGAGTTTATCCAGACGCTGAAGAGTGAGAACGGTAGGCAATATCTTTCCCAGACACGGCGCACGCATTAAATGATGCGGCACGGAATACCCCCCGTGCCGCGACTATATGAATGCAGATGCATCCGTCCGCTAGCAATGCCATCCTGTTCACCCTCAACTCTCAATGCCCATGGCGCATCGATTGCACCGCGTGGCAACTTTGCTTGGGCTGTCTCCAGAACTCTTTCGCGGTGCTCAGCAGCAAGACGCACAAGAGTTCCTGAACTACCTGTTGAACGCCATTGCCGAGATTTTGGTCAAGCAGCAGAAAGAGTATATTCGCAAGATCCGATCCGAGTACGAGAGAGTCAACCGAGATATGCAATCGCGGCTGGCCACGACCGGATCGGGATCCGCAGAAGGTGAGTGGAGTGGATTTGGTACAGCCAAGGACCCGCTCGGAAGCATTAGAAGAATGTGCACCGAGCCTGTGCAACTAGCTTGTCGTCCATGGAGGACCTGCTCCCCCCCCCAAGCTTGCGACTGGTCCGTGGGCATATCGTGGCTTTCCCGACGCACCAACAAATACGCTCTACCCTCCTATACCTGCAATGGCTTTGGAAACGCCGAGCAGATCAGCCAAAGGATAATGTCGAGCCGAACCAGCCTGCTAGCTGGGTCCACGCTATCTTCGAGGGGGTCTTGACGAACGAAACCAAGTGTCTCACTTGCGAAACGGTGCGTGAGTTGTCGTCGTTTGGAGTGGACGCCAGCGTTGGCGCAGGCTCCACCCCAGGAGAGCAGCCTGTCCATGCGCTTCGAGGACTGGCGCCATATCCGGACTGCCTCTGTTTGGCAGTCCCATCGATGGCGATTTCGATTGCATCCTGGCATATGTGGCGGGCAGAACAGCTTCTGAGTGGACATGCCAAAGTAGTGTCCTGCGGCAGTCATTGATGCCGCATCCTGTTTCTAACGCGGCCGTGCCTGGCTTCGATGCTGTTATTTTGGTCTGTGAAACAGGTCACCAACCGTGACGAGGCTTTCTTGGATCTGTCCGTCGACATTGAACAGCACTCCTCTGTCAGCAGCTGTTTGCGGAACTTTTCGTCGTCCGAAACTCTATGTCACAAAAACAAATTCTTTTGCGACACGTGCGGCAGTCTGCAAGAGGCCGAAAAGCGGTAGGCTCGGCAGTGAGCTGGCGCTGGGTTTGCAGCTGCCGTCCGCCTTGTCCTTCCAGACGCACAGTGCTCCGTATTTTGTCAGCATCTCTTCGACGCCGATTCCTTTGTGGCTGACCCCGGTGCTCTCCAAAGGATGAAGATCAAGCGTCCACCCAACGTCTTGGCCATCCACCTCAAGCGATTCAAGTATCAAGAGCGAGTGCAGAGATACGTCAAACTGTGCCATCGTGTTTCATTTCCACTGGAGCTGCGACTCTTCAACATGGTATGCTGCGCGGACTTTGTGAGAATGCGCCTCAATCGGGGGAGAAGCGAGCGTGGCATCTGGACCGATCCGACTGTTGCTGCCGTGGCTCAGATGCGATTCGGTGCCTGACAGTCGCGATGCCAATTCATCCATTCTCTGTCATCCTGCAGGTCGACGATGTCGACGATGTGAGCCGACTCTATAGTCTCAGCGCTGTCATCGTTCACCTGGGCAGGTAGGTCCAAGTTACCCTGTGGCATTCTCTGTCGCTCTCGCAGCTGTTATCTGTGACGGAATGCGTGGCGTTGGCATTGTATCTCATCCATCAACTTGTACCTGTGCAGCGGCCCGTATCACGGCCATTACATTGCACTCGTAAAGAGCAACTCGCGTTGGCTGTGTTTTGATGATGAGCATGTGACGGTATGAGACGCTTGCCGCAACCTCGTTTCAAAGCAAGGCTGGAAGACGGTGATGGTGCTGATAGAGAACTGGATGCAACCGCGCTGAGGGTTGTCGGTAGTGATCTGCCGCTCGGCGTGGTGCCTCTGATATGTCCAACTAGCCCGCCAGTGTCTTGGCTGCTGCTGATGCTACTGCTGATGCCCTCCCAGGTCGTCGAGCCGCACGAACTCAACAAATACTTTGGTGATCACACGAGTCAAGGGACAGGATACATATTCTTTTACGAGGTATGTCGGTCTCGCTTCTGCTTGTTATTGCGCAGATCGGGCCCTGCCCAACTACCGACCGCTGGGCCGCCATGCAGCCCTGCGATGACGGCGATCGTGTTGCCCCGACACAGCGGATATGCCCACTGCATCGCAGTCGCCACACTTCAAACTGACCTGCCCACCCTATTAAACACTACCACCGACACCAGCTGCAGTCATTCTCCAGTACCGATGCCATGCAGCTCGTTCGAGCTATGGGCACCAAGACCGAAGAAGCACCGGCGGCGAACGGCCTCCAACACATTACTTCAGAGAGCGAGCCCAACTTGGCTGTGCATGCCAACCACAACGACGCCGAGTCAATCAGCAGTTCGAACACAGGCGGCACCAAGAACAACGACAGCACCTCCGTTACGGGCAGCAGCGGTCATGGTCAGGGAGCGGCTGGGGCCGCGAACACCAAGGCAACACAGCTGGCTGAACAGGACAAAAAGAGACGCAACAGGAACAAACGGCCATCACTCCCTCAGCTTTCGCCGAGCCATGCTCCGCAGAGCTCAGTCCACAATCCACCAGACGAGGACCCATACCCGCTGCCAGCGTATCGGTCCAACACGATCCCTGCCTCTGCACCCGCTTCGGCACATCCCAACAAGGACGAAGGCTTCAAGCTGCCAGATCCGCCTTCGTTGCAGCCCAGCAGCGAGCTCAAGGAAAAGGAGGGCTGGAACTGGCCGTTTGGGCGCAAGGGAAAGGCGACTTGAAGCAACATCCACTGGCGTGAGTATCGGCATCCCCAAGCATGGCGCATCCATATCTCTGTCCCACCCCATCCTGCCCATGCACATTTGAGGCAATACACATCGATAGACTGCAGTCCGTTCGCGATTCGGTACAACAGAAATGACATCGATGGCTGAGTGCGCCATAACAGCACACCCAAGGCTGTGTTCAACGCCACCCAGGACAGATCGAGACCAACAGCTGGTCTCGACTGCAGCAGTTGGTCTTGACTGCAGCAGCCAGAGGGTATATTGTGGTCGAGAGGAGAGCCAGGATGATCGAAGGGCAATGGTAGATACGAAGTGCTGGTGGGGAGGGGGAGCGGGCAATACCTCGCGGGGATCAGAGCAGGTGTGTTTTATAGGAGTAGATGCGCAAAGCAGTTGCGGATCACGGCGAAAGTGTTGACGGCCAACTCGATCGCATGCTGAACAGAGCGAGCAGCGTGGCCAGGTTGGGCTACTTTGGTAGTAGCATCAGGCCTTACAGTCCAAACGGATTCTTCATCATCGATTGAAGCGACGGCTGAGGGGGAGTGGGTTGCGGCTGCTGAGGCTGCGGGGTGGCTCGGCCACTGAGCGGATCGAGGCTGGCAAAGGCGTTTGCATGGACGTTACTGTTTCCGAAGGGGTTGCCAAAGGTTCCTCGACCGTTATTAGCCAAACCAGCGGTTGTGGCTTGTTGAAGGTCTGCGGGGCTGCCGCCCATCATCGCAATGCTGTTTGTGGATGGCGAGGATGTGAAGCTGCGAGGTACCATCGAGGGAGATGGCTGCAGGGGACTGAGCGATCAAGAGCCACAGAGAGTGTGAGCAGAAGTAAGGTATTAGGCTGCCGCTGTACAAGAGTGCAAGAGAGTGCAAGAGAGTGCAAGATGCGTCTACCACTCGCAAGGCCGACGCAGAACCTACTTTGCACCGACGGCCGCGACAAAAGGCTGTAGACAACGAGCAGGAGTCGAGAGGGCAAGACGAAGATAGTGAGTAAGATGCCTCGCATGATAAGTACAGCGTGTGTTCGCACGATGCGGCTTGGGACTGCACTCACGCTTCCTGTCCGCGCGGGCTGGAGGGGCACTTGGTTCTGCTGCTGAGCGAACTGCTGAGCGCCACCAAAGCCGCCGGTGCCGACGCCCGGGGATGCAAATGGATTTTGCTGAGCCTGGACCGGGGCAGTGGCAAAGGGGTTTTGCTGCTGAGGAACAGTGGCTTGGGTTCCAAAGGGATTTATGGGCATTTGGGCCCCGCTTGGAACAAATGCGCCGCTGGCCGCGGGTTGCTGCGGGTTGGCTCGGAAGAGAGACATGATGGATGCCTTGTCTGCACCAGCCCCTTGGGCTGTGGGAAATAGCACGCAAATTGGGATGCACGAGCAACCATCGCAATTCAAAGTCAGTCTCGATCGAAGAGAGGCCAGCGTACTCACAGCGAGCATACATGCCTTCAGGCACGTTATGTGTGAGCTGCCGCTGACATACCTGGGGCGGCCGTTTGGTTGGATGCGGGTGCAGCAAAGAGCGATTCCAAGTCATTAAGCTGGGACTTGGGCTGCACTGCTGCGGCCGAAGAAAACGGATCGCCGGCCTGCTGGAAAAGCGCCTGGGGGCCTGAGTTTGCTTGTTGTTGCTGTAGGAGCTGCTGCTGGGCCTGTTGCTGGAGGAGGAGCTGCTGCTGCTGCTGAGCTTGCTGTTGAAGAAACTGCTGCTGCTGGAAGGCCAATTGCTGCTGCTGTTGCTGCTGCGGCGAGGCCTGCTGGGCAAACGCATACTGTTGCTGGGCCTGCTGCGGGGCTTGTTGGCCATAGGGCTGTCGACTCGATTGACGGCTGTGGGATGCCGAGGTGGGTCTTGGCAGCTGCGGTGCAAATTGCTGTTGTTGCTGAGAGGCAAACTGCTGCTGCTGCTGTGGTCCTTGCTGGAAGGTTGTGGCCTGGCCAAAGGGATCGCCAGCGAATCCGCTCTCGGGATGCTCGGCAATCGAACCAAACAGGTCCATCTGAGGCGCTGCAGCAACTGATCTGGCAGCGGCAATGGCGTTCTGGTTGAGCGAAGATCGGCGTCGCTTCTGGTCGAGGAGGATGTTGGCGGCCGCTTCGATGGAGCCGTTGGCCTGTCTTAGAGCCTGTTTGCACTCCTCGCTGTCGCTGAAGCCCATGGCACGCAGCTTGGCGATAGCATCGTCCAGGACTCTCATGAGGGCCTCGCGCGCATCTGTCGAAGGGCCAGACTGGCTTGTGTTTGGAGCCGGGTTGGGAGAGCCCGAGGCAGACGCATCGGCCATATTCACGAGAATGTCGACGGCTTGGTCCAGGGCACCCTTGGCCCGCTTGAGAGCATAGACGCACTTGTTTTGGTCCGTAAAGCCCATCCCCGCAAGCGTCTTGATCTGGTAAGAGTACATGCTGAGCTCGGCTTGGGTGGGGGGCTCGACATAGTTCTAGCGGTGTCAAGTCCATTCGAAACGAGGGGGTGTTAACGATCGGAAGCGCTCCTGAAGCGGATCGCTGAGCTGCGACGGCGATCGGGGATACCTTGCTGCGTGCCCCGGGGTTGGCCAGAGTCCTTTTTTCGTATTTTGTTCGGATAAAGTACTCGATTTCCCTGGAGAGCGAGAGCGTGAAGGAAAGGAGCGCCATGTCGACGAATGAGCTCGCAATACACTGCGCGAGAGGCAACGAGCCATGTATGCACTTCCTTCGACGGGCCTGCAAGACACAAATACAGACCCATCGCTGGCATTCGGAGGAGGCAGAGCATTGGTGGGGTTGTACATCTCTTGCACTTTCCTGTTGCCATGCTGAACCATAACCTGTGGCAAATATGTCAAGCGGTTATGCACAGATACGAACATGTGGATACCGGGTGTTCAAAGTCAAGAAGCCAGAGCACAGCAAGTCCATTGTTGGTGGACATAAGCGGGGCAAACGAAGGCACCACCATCGGCCAGGCGACCGACCTGGATCTGCTCAGGTGTCCAAGAGTCGAGGGTGATGGACTTGATCTTGGAGATGTGTGTGCCCATTTTGCGATGCAATCCAGCACAGCGGATACCTGTTGCCAGTGCGTCTTGGCTGTTAGTATCCCCGAGATGAAGGCTGCGGCACGCACCCTGATGTCGACTCTCGGACAATTCGCGGTCAACAAATAGCAAGCATAGAGTCTATCGTCCGCGATCGCACTGATTCCAATATCCAGGACCCATTCTAGCCCAAACCCTAGTATGCTCGGCGAAGCTCACACAGGAAGCATCCGATCGTAGCTGAGGCCCATCTTGGTCCTGTGGGTGTGAGTGCGAGTGTCAGCGATGAGAGCCAACGAGCGTAACGTGGTGTTGGGCTTCCGAATCTGAGAGCCCATGCAACTGGCTTTTGGCTGCCCCCTTGCACTCGACTTTGCTCGGATAACCACAGAGCCATCTTGCCTGAGGTGCCACAGTCAGCACAATACTGGTTCTCTGGGAGCGAGACGAGCTGTTGGAGGACCTTGATGTTGGCCTCGTCTTGCTTCTTCTTTTCGCGCTCGGTCAGTTGGCTCATCGTGCCGAAGGAGAGTGGTTTCGATGCGGACGGTGATAGCAGACGGAGAAAGGCACTCGCTTGGATCCAAAGGAGTTCGAGCAACAGCAACTTATCGTCTATAGGTCGATATGTATATACGGTAGAGTCTCGCCGTGCTTTGCTCTGAATACTATCCGAGCGATTTGCGACTATCAGAACACTTGCACTTGGTCTTGCGGGTGCTAGAAGGGTGGAGCAGACACGTGGGAACGAGAAAGTGGGGCGGCCTGGTAAGTGGCGAACTAATCACTCGAAACCAAGCGGAGAGTTAGATATAAGTGCGTGGACGAAGGACAGGAGCCCAAAGTACCTTGGGTGGATAGAGAGGAGCGCAAGCACCGAGCAGAGCGAAGCCGGGCAAAGTGAGTCTTTGGCGAGACGAGTCTGGGCTCTTGCAATGCGCTGCGACTGATCGCGACCCGGAGACACAGACCGGCTTGACAGAAGCTTCTGTCGACAGCGGCAAGCCGATCGGGAAACCACAATGACGTCGCAGCCGTCCACGATCGCTCTGTCGCGACTCTGTTTGATTGATTAAGGACGCAGGAGAGCAACAATGTGCTTCGGCTGATTGGCCAAGCCCCCGGATTGCACCTCGTCCATATTGAAATGAGACACAGCGACAATGCATCTCGGCCTTGACATCGTGCAGCGACAGCTTCTGCAGCAACTCGCTGGCCGTGGCCTTCGCTTTTCACTGCATTTACTGCAGTCCCACCACCAGAGGAAGAGTCGACTGCACTGAAGCATCAAGATGGGCTCATGGTGCAGTTGGACGGAGTTGATGCAGAGCGATCCATTGAAACACAAATCAACAAAGCCAGGAGCATGCCATGGTGCACAGGTCGATCACTGGGACCCATGTATACGCAGCTCAGGACGAACTGGACAACGATTTGCGGCATCGGCAGCGGCGAAGACGAGGGAGATACTTCCCACTGACGAGCCCCACGACGGCTACAGCAATGGGGGTGGACTATTCGGGAATCCCACCCGTTGTCTGAGCGGGACCTGCGAGCATGTCGATTGTGGAGACCGGAGAGCGACCGGTGGTGTTCACTCGGAGGCTGCCAAAGTGATCTGATATATTTCTTATGGCATAGTTGGACGCATGCCATCACAGACTACGCTGACATATGGGTTGTGGGCAAGTGTCCCATTTCCCTCCTGTGTAAAGTGTAAGAGACAGGACTTGTCACGCAGCCATCCAGAGACGAGTCAAATCGCGTTCTGGCGAGGTGGTTTGAGTGGAGATGGGTGTGGTGGGGGGGGGCGGGGATCGTTCAGTAATGAGTCTGATGGAGTAGCGATCGATGAAGCAGAGCAGAATATCTCGCCGCAGGCTTGACAGAGCGGTGGCCCGCAGCAGATCCGTTCGGCTGGCCAAGGCCAGGTAGTTCAGGAGAGTAAGCAGACCGAGAAGCGGTAGGCTGCGTCAAGGGCAGTCAGTGGAGCCGTTGGTGCAGCACATGGCTTGGGATCATCGCTGATTAGAGGGTGGGCGGGACTCCGAGGGAGGGCCGATATGCAGGCTGGTGCTCCTGGCCATCAGCCACTCGGCAGGCTCGGCAGACGGAATCCGGTCAATCTGCACTTCGCCCGACTGCACCGAAGTCGAGCGTACTGAGCCAGAGATTGCGCTTTCGATTTGTGAGTCGTATTGAATCATGTCGTCACGGCCTTCCATGACATCCTTGAAAATGGTTGTGGTCAGTTCGCCACGAGCACGGCTTGTTTGGTCGGGCGATTCGATTCGACTCTTCTCGGGGGCCACGGTTTGAATCGGGGACATGGGTGGCGAGCTGACCTGACTCATCAGCCGGAGCTGGGGCGAGTTTGTGGTGATGGGTTTGTTGGGCTGATTGTGGTTGTAGAACGTAGCGGGTCTGGTGTAGTCGTAGAGCTTGAAGTGTGATTCCATATACTGGTACTGCGGCGGCAAGACAACGCTGGGATCTAATCGGCAGAGACGGGGGTGAGGACTCAGGAACACAAAGCCACCATACCAACTCGGCGACCCATATGGTGCTCGGCATTCGAGAGGATATCACGAGCGGACCGTACCTCGCTTAATGTTTTTGTTACGTCGGTTGCGCTTGTCGGTAAGGGGGCGATCGGTCAATAGCAGCTCCTCAAGCTCGTGTTCGACTGCAAAATTGGGCCGCTGGGACTAAGAGTCGCAAGCAAATTGGACATAACGGAAGCATATTGAATCAGATTGAAGCCGGTGCAGACAGATCAGCATCCGCATTTACCGGCGATCAGCGACGGAGGTACATAGACCCCCCCCCACTAATGGCGATAACTAATTCCCAGCCACAGAAGAACGACGACTCCTCTTCCGAACCCACATCAATCAAGTCCTTACATCGGGAACATATGGCGACGTCAGCTTCTTCTGCACGAGCAGGTCCCAGTTGATGTCGTTGAAGAACGAGTGCTGCTTCAGAGCCTCGAACCCGCCTGCTGATCGTGATCCGATTCGTTTGTGTGAATCACGGGACAGGAGCTTGAGCCAGGATGGGCCACGACGCTATGGATTAGATCTAGGCGAAGCGCAAGCTGCAGGCGATCTACGGGCGTGGAGCGGGGCCCGAGATGCTATGGGCACTGGCACAATCTCACGGACGATACCTTGCGGATGAAATCAAGACACTCTTCTCCGACAGGGCTCTTTGGGAATGGTATATCGTTGTAGATGATGGCACGTTGAAGAAGCTCGGTCGACTTTGTTGCATAGGGTCTCTGCGATGGGTACCGGTGTTAACGTACCGATTGTGCACTGGTTAGCGAGAGCCCATGGAATCTGATGCTGAGAGACCAACAACGTCGACTGCTAGTTGCTGCTGATTGACCGATAGCAGAGAGCGGCGGTTGGCGACGGTGTCTTACCCGACCATAGGTGCACTCGTATAGGATGATGCCCAGGCTCCACCAATCCACCGATGCATCATATCCAAGCCGTGCAAGAACCTCCGGGGCTGTGACAATCGAGACGGGCAGCAGTCACCGTGGATTAGACCGCAGTCAGCGTGCGTTAAGCAGCAGTCAGGAGCACGTACGGATGTCGACAGCGGCGATATTACCGATGCCGCCGATGCATCAGTGCTTACCCATATATGCCAGACTTCCGACCACCGAGGTGAGCGGTCGATGGTCTTTGTAAAACGTTGCGATGTTGAAGTCGGTAATATGGGCGTGGCCGTGCTCATCGAACAGAACTGTTCCAGCCGGAAAGTCAGCAGCGAGCCGAGCCCATCCCTCTGGCCGGCAGTTCATCGAGCGCTTAACCATCATAAGAATACTCAGACGGACGCTTACTGTTGCTGGGTTTCAGATCTCTGTGCACGATATTCCTCGAGTGGAGGTACTGCAGGGCGTGGGAGAGCTCGGCCGCATAGAACTGGACCATGGGCTCCGTCAAGGCACCCCGCCGGTCCAGCAGGAATCGCATATCGCCGCCCATCATCAAGTCCAGGACCATGTAGAGATGCTCCTCGTCCTGGAAGGCATATCGTAGGTTGCTTGTGAAGAGAAAGAACCGCAGCAGACCATGTTTCCAGGGGAGTAATGGGCCGAGGAGTCAGCGATGGTGGTTTGGATGCACATGGCGATGGTTGTGAGGTTGCGGAGGACAGGATCAACCGTCGGCACAGGCTTCTGAGCCGACGAGTCAGCCGGCAGCGCCCGAATACTCGCAGCGTGGACGGACAGCCGGACGAAATGCTTACCAGACAAACGGCGAGCTGATTCGCTCAAGCAGACGGCGCTCCATGATGATGTTCTCAACCGACCTCGACTTGACACATCGCTCTTTGTCGATATACTTGAGGGCGTAGTATTTATGGGTCTTCTTGTGCTGAACAACTCGGACCTAGCGAAGCGGATATCCGGCAGGATCAGAAGGGGTCGAGACAGGGACGCAAACGAGCCCGCTCCTTTCCCGAGGAAGCCGACCATTCCGTGCCAGCCCGACGGCGGACTCACCTTTCCAAAAGCACCCTTGCCGATGACATTCATCAGGTGAAAGTGGTAAAGCTCCACTGGTGATCGGAGCGGGCGGCGTTGGAGAGTCAGAGGCAGGTTAGCTATCAGACGAGCCCGCATCGCTGGGCCGATGGCAGGTGCCGCCGCGACGCTTAGAATGTGCTGCAAGCCAGAATGATACGGGGCAGACAACGAGCAAGCAACGAGGACGGGCGATGGCAGCGGAAAGGCGTCGGTCCAGAAAGAGGAAGGACACCCACCATCGTCGTCAAAGTCGATCTGCTCGGACTTGCACAGAAGGCCGCCCATGATTGTGCAAACGGCTCTCGGGAGGGGCAAGCAGGTGGACCGGATCAAGCCAAAAGTCGCAGGAGCAGCAGGACAGACGAAGGGCGAGAGGAAGCACCGTCAGGACAAAGGGTGGGCGAGGGACAGGCAGAGCGAGGCGGGGCGGGCGGGGAGCGCACAAGCGGGGGGGAGGCGGCTGTGGCGCCGAGAGAGCCACAGTGCACTGTGTGCTGTTGCGCACATTGTGCATGTCGATAGCAACAGCACAAATGCAGTGTGCCGACCTTGGTGTCGCCGTGTAACAGTCGCGGCGTCGGACAACATGCACGGCAAGGAGACATGCTGCTGCTGAGCAGCCACAGAGACTGTGTGTTCCCGAACAGCCGCGCGAGTGGGCCGTTGGGCAGGGATGGGGCACAACAGACAGTACCACAGCGGGCAGCAGCGCGGCACAAGCACAGAGACACAAGGCGCAAGAGAAAAGGCTATCGGCAGCAGCAGCACATGTGCGGGCACAACGGCCGGTAGTGCGACCCGTCCACAAGGGCGATCCGGGATTCCGTATCGCAGCGAGGAGCGACAACAGGCAGGCAGGCGGCATCGCGGCAGCCGCATTTCGGTCTTGCGCCGGGGTTTGTGTGGCCGGCATGCGCGCCAGGTGCTGCCGACCCCGCCCATGTTGGCCGCGGATGGCGCCTTCGATGGCGGCGGTGGGTGCTTGATGGACTGTGCCAACAGCCAAGCCAACAGCTGGTCCACCCCAGAGCCGAGAGCCAGTCCACCCGCCGCAACCAGCCGCGCACCAGCGGCACCATCCACAAGGCGGATTGCTGCGGCCTGCGAACGCGTGCGCCTGTATCAGCCGTGGCACATGGGATATCAGAAAATGTTCATTCCTGTCAACGGCGAGTTGGCCGAAGATACCCGGCTCGGAAGGGCTGTGTTCTCTGCTCCACACCCTCGCCCGGGTCCTGCTTCTGCGCTGTGCGATCAGCTCGGATGCCTTGCTGTTGCCCCGTCAATCAACCGACCCCCTCGACCCAAACTTGCTGGACTACTGTGACCATGAGCGAACCACAAGCGCTCGATGCGGCCTCGGCTGCTTCTTTGCCCGGCTGTCGCTGGTTTCCATCACCGCAAAGCTCCCACCACCGCAAATCCAGCCCATCGAGGCTTTGGTCGACGGGCTTGTGCGGGGCCATCAGACCTGGTTCTCCTTGTTCTCGCCTTCGTCTTGGCTGAGCTGGCCTTCCGCCGCCATCACCTCGTCTTCCCGTCCTTCCATGACATCGCGGTGCATCGAGCTGCGCTCATCAAAGCCCGATCGGCTTTCCTCAGTCTTTTCTGCGATCTTGGCGCCGGAATCGCCGTGGCAAACGCTCAGAGCGATCGCAGGCACGCCCGGAGCCGGAGGAGCAAGGACCTGCGACTTTCGGTGCTTGGGCTTGGTGTAGTCGTAGAGCAGGAACTTGTCCTCCATGATCTGCATTTCCTTCGAAAGAGGCTTTCCACCTGAATTTGACGGGAGGTTCATTCCGGTTGGTGAGCATGAATGCGTAAAGAAATCGGAGCATGTCGGCGGCTCATAAAGCACGATGCTCGCATCTGCTGCCTCGCTCTGCACTGACCATCGCCGCCATTTTCCTTGTTCTTCTTTCTTGGCTTCGCCTTGAGGGGATTGTCCTCCAGAAGCAGCTCCTCCAGCTCGTGGGTGGCATCAAAGTTGGCTTTCTTGGACTGGGACATATGCCAAGTACCGAGCGGCGTCAGTACGAGTCGAGCGTCATAGTCACAGACAGCATCAAGACCGCCAATTCGATCATGCAAGCCACGGGCAGCCCAGGCGAGGACGAAACATGAATCGACATTCAAGCCAAGCCCCCTTCCCGCAGCGCCCTGCACTCGCCAGTCATCGCGGCGCCGGCTCTGGCACTCACATCAGGGGTGAACGGCGGCGTGCCTTTCTTCTCCTCAATCAGAGCCCAGTCGTACTCCTTGAACCACGGATGTGCTCGCAGGACGGGAATGCCGCCGCTTTCTTTGGCTCCCAGTCTCTTGGTGACATCTCGTTCGATAAGCTGCGGCGGGAAGTCGAGCAAAGGATGGATAGTCAGCCTACCATTCCATCACCCAAGCTGCAGACGGCCATGAATGGTGCAGACCTGTGATAAACAGCTTAGGCAGTCTCCGCTGGGAGTGGCTCCCGCTGGATGATCAGGAAAGATCAGTGGCTCGGTGTTGATGGCAACTTGCAAAGCCTCGTTTGTCTTTGCCCTGAACGGGCGCTAGGAAGGGCACCGATGTATTAGACAGCCAGATCAGGTATCTGGGCTCGCATGCAGTGCGGAGCAGTAGAGCTGCGTTTGCACCCTTTGCCGAATCAACTGACCCACCTTGCCGAATGTGAGCTCGTACATCATGACGCCTAGACTCCACCAGTCAACGGCAGAGAAGTACCCCTTCTTTTGCAAAACCTCGGGAGCTGCGGGGCAGGGTGGCGAGTGATAGACGCTTCATCAGCGTACGGGTTGTTGAGGGGAAGGGCAATCCGTCTGGCTGTCTCCGCAACGGCCGGAGGAGCCTTGAGGGATCTGAGGGTCGCCATGGTGTGCTTCAAATCGAGGCATGTTGCTATGCCGGAACAGTGCAGACTCATCAGCCGGTGATACACACCCATGTACGCCATACTGCCGGCCACTGCCGTCAGCGGCTTTTCTTCGCGGTAGTGAACAGCAATGTTGAAGTCTGTTAAATGTGCATGTCCGTTCTCGTCCAGGAGGACTGGAAAGGTGGAGACGATGGATCAGAGGCATGGTTTGCTTGAGCGACTCACGTATTCCGTTGGGCAATCGGCCGTCGCATTCACACGCGACCGCCACATAGACGGACCCGCAGCGCCTACCGTTGTCCGGCTTTAAATCTCGATGAACGATGCGTTTTGAGTGCAAATATCCGAGCCCGCATGCAATCTCGGCAGTGTAGAACTTGACCATGGATTCTTTGAAGGTTCCCATGCGATCGAGGTGGAATCGCAGATCACCGCCGAGCATCAGATCGAGTATCATGAACATGTTTTCATCGTCTTGGAAGGCATACCGCAGATTGCTTTGGCGACAGAGATACGATGGAAGAGCGGCAGATGGTGTCAGTTGGCCGGGCACGGCGCGCTATTCAAGAACCGAAGGAAGATCCAAGCTCAAAAACGGAGGTGGTAAAGAGGAACGAGCACTGCTCCGAGTGGACTGTGCTGCCTACCAAACAAACGGGCTATGCACTTCCTCCAGTAGTCGTCGTTCTTGAATGATGTTCTCAACAGCTCTCATCTTGATGCATTTATCTTTGTTGATGTACTTCAAGGCATAGATTTGATTGCTCTGCTTGTGCTGAACCACTCGGACCTGCGCGATATCCATATGAGAAGCGCATATCCAAAGGCATCAGTCACTGTGATATCGTGCGCTTTGCGGTTGACGACATGCTCGATCAGCGGCAGGCATAGTCATACCTTGCCGAATGCACCTTTTCCGACCGATCGAAGCAGGTTGAAGTGGTTGAGCTCGACTGGGAGGATTGTTTACAGGTGTTGGGTATGCCATAAGGATGAATGAGTCAAGCGCGACCGATGATCCCAGCAATGACTACGCGGCTGTCGTCATCACCCCGGTGCACAGACGCCCACAATGGCAGGCACGGAGGAGTGCGTAGTCTGGACAGTCAACCAGCGACTTGTGAAGCGTCAGTATCAACGTGGCCGCTTACCTTCCTGCGAAAAGTCGATCTCCTCCTCTTTGCAGCATGCTCCACCCATTTAGCGCGACAAAGGACGTGTGAAGCTTGGGAGCGGCTGAGGAACTGTCTCTTCCAGAGTTTGCTGTTGCGGGCTCTAACATAATCGTGCATAAGTATACATGCGTATCTCGTAGACCTTTCTGGCTCCATAGTAATCGGCTGGTCGGCCAGCTATGGCTCAGATACACCGATGCATCCGTGTCGAATGCCATGGAGCGACGAGGCTATCAAATGCCATAGCCATCTCCACAGCACCTCCGCCTGCGCGCTTGCCTCGTTGTTCATTCGCTTCGCCAGGAAGAGGCTCCTCTTACCTATGTCCTCCGTGGGTCTCGAACGAACAGTGAGATTGGATGCTATTGCCGTGCGATCCCGAGTTCAGAGCCGGTCGCGAGAATGCGATTTTGGAGAAACGGCGATCGAGCACCTGTTGTGCTGTGAGCAGACAATGGATACGGCTCATGAGAATACGGAGAGACTATGGCCATTTGCGTGTCATGCAAACCCTTCTTTTTCTTCAGCGGTGGCATCTGCTCTCCAGCGCGAGTCAGACCTCGATGCGTTGCCGATCGATACCCATCCTCCCATCCTGCCATCCTGCTATCCATCGAGCACCACCACCTTTGACGAGATAACCACTCCGATATAGGTCAAGGGTGTCTATATAAGCCGATCACAGCCGCCCGACGTCTCGTCTTTGTCTCAGATATCCACCGCGACGCTGCACGTTCCTCATAGCCTATCCCTGAAGCTGCTCGGCTTTATCGCGCTGAGTGAGGCCCAAGACGGCGTGCTCGCGCATGTAGGGAGTAACGGGACAATTACACCCGAAGACGACGCCGACGCCGACGAACCTACCAGTCCCGCAAATGAGTCTGCTGCTCGTCTCAGCCGGCGATGCGATAGTCAGAGAAATTGAAGGGGTCGTTTTAGAGTGGTCGCTGGCGACCGTCTCAGCCGGTTCAGGTGAGGGAGTTTCGATGGGGATTATGCCTTCAAATTTGGAACGCTTCTTTCGGCAACAAACGGGCTTTTTGAAATGAGGGACGAGCGGCTGTCGTCGCGTGGGAAAGCGAGGGACGCTGGGGTTGAAGCACGGCGGAGATCCCTGGGACTGAGCAGCAAACGCAAGCACCCCGGCAAGTTTCGAGCGCGCAGGTTGAGAGGCCAGGGGCGACAGAAACCACGAGGGGGGATGCATCGGTCAGTCGCCGAGAGTAAGCGAGTGCATATGCAAACGGGAGAGGCTGGTGCAGATGGATGGAGGTGCGGGAAGGGCCCCCGCCTCCTTTTGGTGGTATTACCGTTGGTCTGTCGCTCACCAGGCGGCTTGTTGTGGTTCTGAAAGCAGCCAGAAAGTCGCTTGCTCTCGTCGGGAGAGGTTCAAAGGCAGGAGGCGCCTTCGACTTTGGCCGGTTAGCACAGCCCCTCCTCTCCTCCCCTCGGCAGCGAGTTCCCGCATCGACAATGCGAGTGACGTTGCTGGCGCGATTCGATTGTTCGCCAGCAGCAGCGAGCCCTCACTGTCGTCCGTGGGCGACGGCGACCTGAATCGAATCAGGTCTCTGGGCGAGATTGAGAGCGTCCGGCAAGCCGAGTACATATGCACAGCGCAGCGGGGATCCTGGTGCTGTGAAGATCCAAGGGCTGCCTGAGGAGACGGAGCTGTCACTGCCAGAGCCCGCATCGATACCGGCCGCATCACCACATCGACATTGTGTGATGGAGACTCTTTGGCTGGGGAAGTGGCAGCCTGCGCAGGGATTGTTGGAACCGGGGGGGGGGAGAAGTGCCACCATCCCGCACAAGCATCTCCGTCCAGACCCGCCCAACGTTGTCTGCTCTCTATCGGTCCTTTTGTCGCTCCCAGCCGGACCCCAAGATGTATCGTATCGCAAGACTATCGGCTCCAATCGGCCGAAAGCACCTCCTGCCAGTCATCGCCGTTCGTCAGCCAGGGCTCGCCTACCGGCTCATGTCCGGCTCGCTTCCGGACCCGAAGGAGCAGCCGCCCATCTACTCGATCCCAAAGGACCCCATGGCCGATCTCTCCGAGCAGGAAAAGATTGCCATCAAGAAGGACATTGAGTTCCAAGCCCGACGAGCGCACTCGATCTCATACGCGATCCTGGGCGGAGGTATCGGGGCGATCGTAAGTGCTGTTCTTCCTGCAGGGCCATCTCCTGTGGTGCTGGACGGTTACCAAGACTCCGTATCCCATCTTGGCGCTGGGCGGTTACCAAAGCTCCGTATCCCATCTGCCCCCAGACCTCTTACCGGCCCGTGCCCTCTCTCTGCTCCAGCTCCTGGGAATCTATGTGTTCACGAGCCCATCGCCTCGCTCAACGACTGTTTAGCCACCAGCAAACGACCTCATGTCCTCACCCGAGCACACTGTTCGTCCGGACTGGCTTCCTCTACGATCGACAGCCAGCTCGGCATTTTGAAATACACGCCGCCCAAGCGGACGACCTTATTGCGTTCATATGTTTGAGGAAATGCACAATCTCTATGGAGGATCATAAAGCGCGGACGATGGTATTGCTGTCCATTCAAGACTGCCAGAGCGGGCGGCACCGGCAGCGTTGCTCACCCTGCGGGGCTCGAGCAGCTAGTTTGGATACGGCGTGGTTCGCAGGTAGGGCTTGATGATCTTGAAGCCCGGAAACAGCTTGGCGGCCTCGTCGTTGTTGAGCGAGTTGTGGACAATGACATCGTCGCCGACGTTCCAGTTGGCCGGGGTGGCGATTTTCTTGCGGTCGCCGAGCTGCAGCGAGTCGACAACTCGCAGGATCTCGTTAAAGTTGCGTCCGGTCGAGGCCGGATAGGTGATGACGGCCCGGATGATGTTCTTGGTATCGACGATGAAGACGGAACGCACGGTCAGCGGCATGCCCTGCTTGTCAACGTTGGTGGGATCTTGATGGTCAAGCATGTCGTAGAGGGTGGCAACTCGGCGATCAGCATCAGCGATGATCGGAAAGCGCACGTCGGCGTCCTGGGTCTCGTTGATGTCCCTGATCCATTCGTGGTGGCTCTCGAGTGTGTTGACCGAGAGGCCGATGACCTTGACGTTGCGCTTCTCCCACTCTGCCGACAGCCTTGCTACGGCACCGAGCTCAGTTGTGCAGACGGGGGCTTGGGCGGGCCAGCGGAGACAGCCAGAACGATGCAATACGAACATGACGATGAGTAGCCGATCAGACCATTCGGTGGGCGAGACGAAGCAAGCGACTCCCAATAGGACTCATTATAGGGCAACTCACTAAAGTCCTCCGGATGCGAGAACAGGATGGCCCATGAATCCTGTTTGAACTGGTGAAAGTCGATAGGGCCCTGGGTGGTGTTGGCCTGGAAGTTGGGGGCAATCGAGCCGAGGCGAAGACTCATGGTGCGGGTTGGGTTGGGTTGGGTTGGCTGGAGGCGGCAGCGAGATGCTGGAGAGAGACCGGGGAGCCTGTTGGTGTTGGCGAACAGATCCATCAGGACTGGCGCTCACCACCAGCAACGACCGATTGCCCACCCAGCAAACGATCCAACCAGCAAGATACGCGATATCCAGAGCAAGCCAGGGCACTGTCTCGTTTCGATGGAACATATCGTCAGCAATGACCAGCAAATCATTTGGTCGGTGATCGGACACCTGGGTCCCGCTGTTTTTTTGGATGGGCATGATGAACAGGAGGTTTATTCAATGTCCCAAGCGTGGGGACAGCTACAACAGACGGAGGCCGTAGCGGATCACCGAGACGGCGCTGTGATCAAAGCAGGTCGATAGCGATCAGAGTCAGCTGCATCGTCAGTACGTACTGATGCTTGCAACGCAGAAGTCTCGGACCCGCAGAATAGAGGGTCCAGGACTGCAAGCACAGAGGCGATCACTGCCAGAGGCACGGCGACCGGCCGGGTCCTTACCACAGAGTGAAGATCAAGCCGGCTGGCATGAACTTGCCTGCATGAACAAGTCTCGGGTCAGTATCGATGCTGCAGCCATGCAAAGCCAGTCTCTATTGCTTCGGGTCGCGGATAGGCTCTCACCAGACTTGAAGAAACGGGAGCCCATGACTGTGCCCAGGACCAGGCTCAGAAGAAGGAGCACTCTGAAGTTCCTGGGGTTGGCGCTGACCTGGAAAGCAGAAAAGAGAAGACCCAGACCAAAGCCGAGGCCGGCGGCGAGCGAGGCGATGCTGCCCGCCTGTAGGCCGAGAGACCAACATGTTTCCGGGCGGGGTAAGCATTCGCACCAGTCAAGGTGATTGTTCATGGGTCCCGCTGCCGTTGCCAGGGAGCGAAGGCCCGGGACATATACTCGCCTTCAGATAGCCGATGAGCCCGCCGCCGATGACGGCAGAGGAGAAGGCAAAGGCAAAGTAGTCGGTCGACATGTCGGTGGTTCGGCCGTGGTCGCTGGGCGAGGAGTAGATGAGACGAAGCAGGGCAAGGCGGCAGGCGATCCAGGCCGTTTGGGATGGCAAGTTTGGGGTTCTCGCCCTTCTCTCGCCGAGATTGCAGTCAGCGTATTGCCCTGCAAGTGCCGCTGAGGGAACTCGCCGACTCAAGCCCGAGCACGATGGTGGATCTGGCAATCGAGATCTATGACCCTGCCTTCTCGTTCGCCTTGGTCGAGGTGGTGCTGGCATCGAGGGCCTCCGAGTCGCACTGCAGGATCGTCCATCTGTACCGCAGCGAACATGCTGCCGGTGCAGATCCCGGCTCGGTTGCCGACTCGTTCATGCCGCCGCCCCGGAGCCCGTTTCCCAGCACCGATCTCGACATTGGCCCAGGCCGCATGGCCGGCTCAGGTATGGCATCCCTGCCTGGGAATTCGGTGGTCGTCGGAGCTCAGCTTGCTCATCGAGCGTCGCCGTCTCCAGCGTCTGTGGCCGGCCTGCAAGGGCCAAGCGGCGATCCTGGTATTCCACAGGACGACACCGCCGACGCAAGACCCCACAGCTTCTTCTTGGGCTCGGTCGCTGTGGCTTCGTATCTGTCCGTGCTGGTAGCCTGCCAGGATTGCCTCAACAAGATCGTCGTCGTTCGTTTTGTCCAAGAGCCGGTTTCGTCCTGGATCGGCCTGTTCCAGTCCCCGCTGTCGTTCTATCCGATCGACCACCTTCACCAAGGCCCCATTCCGTTGAAATGGACCTTTTTGCTGAGGTCCCCCGATTGGACGCCACAGAACAGCATCGACCGTTGGGATAGCGATGAGGCCGTGCGCATCCGACATCGGCTCTGGAGCCCAGCGGGCCCGATGGCCGTAACTTCCCGCGAAACTGACGAACGCATCCGGCGCCAGTCGTGCTTCAGCGACCTCAAGCGCTTCTATGACCGGTCTCGGATGCTTGAGCCGGTGAGTCGGTGGAGGTGGCCCGCACAGCCAGCATACATTTGGTGGTGCTCATGCGGCGATAGCGGCGAAGCCCGCGACAATCACTAATCGGCTCTGTATCCCAGCACAAGATCGACGATGTTGAAGGCATCTTGCGTCGCTTCGTAGATGGCAAGTGCACCGATCAGACACCTCGGCTCCCCATTGCCGGCGACCCTGGGCGAGTGGCTCCGGATCCCGGGCTCCAGAGTGCTCTGACATCTGACTGACATTCATTCCGACCGGCTCTGATTCCCACGAATAGTCCTGCTGCACCAAGTAGTGCCAACGGCCCCTGTTCCGACGCTCAAGGAGCTCTCGTTCGTCCATCTCAGCAGCGAGGATCTCTCATATGTGCAGCGCTCTGGACCAAACGCATGAGCTGCGACGACGAGCCGACGCGGGCCCAGCCGGCTGCTACCACTGCTGCTGCTTCGAGGGATGTGCACATCTGCGTAACTCCATGTCGATTGAAAAGCGACAGAAAGCTTATAATGATGCGCTTGTTCGATGTTCCCCCCGGACTGTCGGAGCCTTCCATTGGTTCGGAAGACGCCTATTGATAGTACCAGGGGGGTTTGTCGCCGGGTGCCGGACTGCGGCAGCACAATGAGCGATGTGCAGAGAGTAGCTCGCCGAGAGGCCAATGCAGTCGGATCCGACAGGAAACATATGCCATGGTGTGATGTGCGTATAAATATTAACGAAGCAAGAAAAAAACAGAAAGCAGCTGTACCAGAGAGATCGAGATGGGACTGATACGCAGAATATGCACAGGCGGCGACATGCGGATTGGCGAAAGAGGATGCGAGCTTATTCAGACTTCTTTTTCTTCTTCTTTGGCTTCTCCTCCGCGTCGTCTGCCGATCGCTTCTTCTTCTTTTCAGCTTTAACTGTAGTACGGCATGGGTGAGACGGATCAGTAAGCTGATACTCATGCTACACTGCAAGTCCGCAAAGTGGCTGGACAGGGAGGACCCACAGCACACAGATCCTAAGATGCCGTCCCGCAGGCTTCCCGTCGCCGTGACTGGTCACCGCGGCCGCCGTAGCCACCTGTGGTTACTGAGTCGGGTGCTGTCTGTGCCATACCATCATCATCGCCCTCAGACTCCTTGGCCTTCTTCTCCTTCTTCTCTTTCTTCTCCTTCTTCTCCTTCTTCTCCTTCTTGGGCTTTTCGTCCTCCTCGTCCTCCTCCTCGTCCCTGACCTTCTTGCTCTTCTTCTCAGCAGTTTCCGACACCTCTTCCTTCTCGGCGACACCGGCGGTGTCCGAAGCAGCGTTGAATGTCTTGGTGCTGTGGTACATTCGCAAGAGATGAATGGTTCAGCATTGGGGCCGCAGATGCACATACCAATCTGGTCATACACATGTCTACTTACGGAGTAGCTTGGAACTTCTTTTGTCCAGGCTTGCCCTTGGCAGCCTTGGCGTTGGCACCCTTGATGGCCTTGCCTTCGAGCTGGCGCAGACGGGCCTCAACCTTGGCGCGCTGCTCCAAGCCGATCTCGGGAGTGTCCTTGTCGCCGAGGGCATCGCAGCGGATCGACAGAGCCGCCTTGGTGGCCACAGCGCGGGCAATCTTGCCCTTGATCTTGGGACCGGCCTGGCCAACCAGCGAAGCGTGGTAGATGAGCCCATACTTGGGGGTATCGTGTTTCGTCTTGAGAGCACGGAAGAGCGCCTTTTCGGCACCGAGGATCTGAACAGTCGAGGCAGGGTGCTTGGCCAGGTTGAGGAGCGAGCCGGCGTGGGCAATCAGGCGGGCGCCGACAAGCTCGCCGACAAGGCAGGTCAGGTTGGGGGCAATGGCAGCCATGCGGTTCTTCAGGTAGTCGTACAGCTGGGCGCGGTATTCGGAGATGGAGATGATCTGGTCGCACAGGAAGGTGATGTTCTCGATATCCTCGTCGGAAATCTCGGTGCCCATCGAGATCTCGGCGGCAGCCTTGACTTCCTCCTCGAGGTCCTCGGGGAGGATCGAGGACAGGTCCGAGGTGGCGGCGTTGGTGCGGAAGCCCATGGTCTTGATGGTCTTGGCATAGGCCACATTGTCGACCAGGATCTTGGTCATCTCAGGGAAGTGCCAGCCGTACCACTCCTTGGCGCGCATGGCGTATGTGTTGAGCTCCTTGTCGAGGTCGTCCAGCAGAGCAATGGCCTGGATGATCATGGTGTCGACCTTGTCGGGCGAGAATTTCAGCTTGAATCGTGACAGCGAGTGCGAGAGACCGAGAACCATGGCGCTCATGTCCTGCTCCGAAATGCCCGAGATCAACGAGCTGATCTGGTTGCGGATTCCTCTCATCAGCTCCTGGACAGCATCATTCGAGACAACGTTGAGGCTGAGCTTCTTGGCAATCGAGGCAGCTTTGTAGTGGCAAAGGGAGAGAGAGAAGGCGATACAGGTTGTCAGACGGTGATTGCGCGTGGCTGCCACTGCACACCCAATACGAGCAGCATACAAAAACAGAGCCCCAGGCGGTGATCGGAGCCCAGATGCAGACACTGCAGACACCTGGCCGCGGTCGCATGGATCGACATCACAAGCAGAGCACCGAGCACCAAGCACCAAACACCGAATAGGATCGTGGATCGATCTGTACCTAGCTTCGAGTCGCCGACGGCCAGCTTCTCCTTGAGATCCTTTCCCTTGATCTCGTCGGAGAGGAAGGTCTTGAGGTTGGACGAGACCTGTCCCTCGACCAAAGCGGTCACGGCCGAGAGCGCATCCGTTGTGTTTTCGAATTTCGAGAAGGCCTTCAGCTTGATGCTGCGGTGGGGTCGTTGTATGGTTTGCGGGAGTAGATGCGGTTAGCTGTCTGCGGCGATGATTGCAAAGTCAGGGGCAGACAGGCCCCTCTGAGCGACTCGATCGGTGCCAGCATCCGCCCGATCTGCACCGTGCTCTTGCCCAGGCCCCGCCGTCAGCTCGCCAAGATTGCCGCAGCGACACGTTACGTTTTGTTGGCGGACGCGGGGGACTCGAACTCTTTCCAGAGATCATCGGGCCGATCCAGCTTTCCGTCGTCCAGCAGCTTGAAGAGGGCATAGCCCGCAGGGGTCTCGAACAGCACCAACATCTTTCCTTCAGTCCTGCGCTACCGTGCGGGTTCCAGAAGAGATTGTGTCGAGCAAAAGCCGGTGGGTCTGCTCCGGGTCTGGTTGAAGCAAGAGCGCCGGCCCAGAGAAAAAAAGCGCTTCTCAAAAAAAAAGCGCTGTCGCACAGCGGGAATGAAATTCATATAAAGTGGGCAAAGGGTCGTGCGCTTACGTAACATGATCCACGTGATCGGCGAGCCACATCCGTCCCGGCGGGCGCAGCGCCACCGGCACTGTGTCACATAGCTGGGAAGCAGCCGGGGCAAGCACATACAGGATGCTGTGAGCAGACGCAGAGACATGCAGCGCCCGATTCACGGAGATGCAAACAGCAGCAGCAGCCGCCGCGATGAGTTGTCGCTGTCTTTTCATTAACATTCGGCTTGCCCAGAGGACAGGTGTCGAGGATATTCCCGGATTCTGCCACATTGTCGCCACCCCTTTCGACCGCAGACATCGGCGGCAACTGACAGGCGGACTGTCGGCTCTTGCTTTGGCTCTGACTCGGCCAGCTCATTTCGGTGACTCCAAGATGACTCATCTGTGCGATCGGATGTTAAATAGCCGTTTGGGCAGCCAAGAGCGCCTGACTCAGCCGCCAGATCGCTTGACAGAGTCTGCAGATGACTACCCAAGTTCAGGTAGTTGCTGCTGTTGCTGCCCGCACCAGGGTCGTGGGATCATCCGCTTGTGCTGACACACTGTGCTTCGCCCAGAAAACGCCGGTGCTACCCACTTTCAAGCAGTCGCTGAACTTGGTGCAGAACTTGCTCGGAACGAGCATCGGCGCCATCACGTACCTGGTGGGAGGACTGTCGACTGTTGCTGCAGCGGTCGACCCGAGGCGCGGCTGCTTGCTCCTCGACCAAGATTTATAGCTGACCCTACCGTGCACTCTGCAGCGGATGCTGTTTCCAGAGGAGAACTACAAAGACACATCTCTGAATGGACTCGCCATCAAGTCGCTGCGTCGAGACTACTCCTTTGAGGCAGACGAGCTCATAGACTGGATTGTAAGTGTTTGTCGCTTCGTGCGCTGCTTCATCCAACAACTCGGCTCTCGAAAGATGCCGACTTGATTCTGAGACAGACGCGACGTTGATTTTCCGTTCCACTGCCCCGCTCTCAGGAACATGGTGTTTACGATGCCCTCGAGAAGCGATACCTCAAAACGATGGTATTCTTCATTTTCTACGATCCGAGCGACCCATGCAACATGTACGTGGTGCACATGTGCTCGCCCAAAGCCCAGGTGTACAGTAACGCTAACCCGCCGCAGAATCGAGAGCTACACTTTCAGTTTCTCCTATCCCTCAGAGCGCCAGATGCACGTCTCTTTCCACATGGACGATCACCAGGTTTATGCTCTCAAGACCAAGGACGAGATCATGAAGGCCACAAGCGAGATGTTGCGTCGGCTGTTGGTGCTGACGCAGACTCTCAAGGTTGGTCAGCCATTGGAATCGAGGCTTGCACCGATCGCCCGAATCTGATGTGCCACTGCTGCCCGACATCCCGCTTCTCCTCCAGCCTCTCCCCGAAAGCGCCTACATTTCCATCCGGCTCTTCTATTACGATGAGGTCACCCCATCCGATTACGAGCCACCGTGCTTCAGGCCCGAGTCGTCGGGAGAGCAGTTGTTTTTCCCTTACCAGCCCGAAAAGATCCGCATTGGAGATGTCTTGACGCCATTTCATGCCGTCAATCTGCAAATCCGGACCGCCACGGACTCGCTGATCTCGCGCAGCGGGAAGTCAGCGCTGCCTGGCTCTTCAGGATCTCGATTTGCCCATGACCACGACGAAGAGTGGTTCTCTTCAGGTGATTCTTCGGGCAGCCACAACGACCCGGTTACCACCATGACCCAATGGATCACATGAACTTATATCACCTATTCGTCAACAGCACCTCGCCAACAGCACCCCACCAACCCCGACCCAGAGCAAACTGCCAAGTCGAGTCCAGCAATCCCATCAGTATCAGAGGAGCAGAATGCCGATGAATCCAACACTAGAGGTTGGGTGATTACCGAGCGCGATCCTTTGCAGCATCTTGTGGCGAGTCGATGTGACAGATGCATGACAGATGCATGACAGATGCATGACAGATCCACGAGTCCTAAACCTCATGCTTCCGTGTCCCAGTCCCCCGTTTGAGCCACCACCAGGACGTGCTCAACACAACCCAAGAGTTGATCGAGGGGCTCAGGTTGGGTGTCGTGCAAGATGTCCACCCAGTTGCCGCTCGACAGACCTCCGTCGCCAGCAGCAAGCCCAGTGTCGACACTGAGGACGGCGTTCAAAGCACTCAGAGCTCTGGCCTCGAATCTGTCTTGAGTGGCAGTGCATCGCCGAGCACACTGGATTGCCCTTGCGGCACCAACCAGGTCTGTGTTGCAAACCGATCGTGTCTGAGGGATGCAATATGGCAGCATTCCCAATGCACAGTGTTTTGATACACAGCACTGTGAGTCTAAGTCGATAGCCCTCCAACTTGCCTTCCCAGGATGACTCGGACACAATCCAGTGCCTGCGCTGCCGTACATGGGGCCACTTGTGTTGTTTTGGATTCCGCTCCCGCGACGACCCCAGGATCCCAAAGGACCACTACTGCTTCAAGTGCGTTGACGCACTCAAAGGCAGGTCCAATTGGCCAGGAGCGCATCGAAATGCAATTTTCCGGAGGTGCTTGAATGTGGTCCTGGAAGAAGGCATGGAAGGTGTGCAATGGCTTGCCAGCAGATTGGGTAAGTACTACCAAAGCAGAATGATTGAATGAGCGCCACTATCGGCCATGCATTCACATCCTTGTGGACTTTAGGAATCAAATACCCAATCGCCTGTCGGTTAACTGGCCGCCTTCAGAGGGAGGGCTTCATCGAAAAAGTCCCAAACACTCGCGCGAAGGCAAAGGCCGAATACAGAGTCAAGCCTATGAACGAAATCCAGGAATGCTTTCACAGGTGGATGACTCCTCTGCCGATCGAGCTCCCGATTCCGTCGAAAGACTGTCCGCCCGAACACCGGTCCGATGGCTGCAGAAACGCCGTGGCTCGTGCGAGTTTGAACATCAGCGATCAGCAGAGTACTGGTCACAGGAGCCATCGGTTGGGCTCGGGGGCAGATATCACTCCGAGCGAGACCATGGGGGCTACATCCCGCGACCAGATTGTGCCGTGTAGCTCAAAGGCCGAGGCAGTATTCGTTCCATGTAGTCAGACAAGTCAGACAAATCAGATGGACTATATCGTTGCAGCGACGCCCCCGAGCTCAATTCTGCCCAAGCAGCCTGGAGGCGCACTGGCAGGTCATGCCGTCAAGAGAAGGAAGGTGTCAGCCCCCCGGAAGGAACTGGCAGTGTTATAGCTGGCAGTCTATAGCTGCGACAACAGCCGAGCTCTTTGGGGATAGGGAACCATCTTAACCGAAGCAATGCCTCTACGAGTATCACTAAAGCCAGCGCCTTGGAGAAGATATCGTACTGCGACGCCGAAAGCCATTTCGTTTGGCCAACTCGACCACATGAAGCGCGGACATCGACCACATGAAACGTGGATATGTGCGGCTCTGTTTCTCGCTCTACGTTCGCTCATGTGCAGATGCAATTCTCCATGCCCAACACGCTTCTCCATATTCATCCCACTTTACTCGGAGCAGTGCTCGGCCTGATCGCTCAGAGGGCCCGACCTCGATGTTCAGTGCGCTGCGCCGCCGATGATCATGATGTCGTTGTCCTCCTGTTGCTGTGGAGCAGGATGCGGGTTAGACTTGTGGCAGCAGCGGTCAAAGACTCGCATCATCTCTTATCGCTAGTGGCCCACCACACTCACCTTCTTGTCTGCCGTCTTGGGCCGTTTGGAGGTCGTCGAAGGAGCCTTTTCCTGGTAGAGCTTCATGTTCTCGTTCTTGTCTGAAGGCTTGCTCTGTAAACGGTTGGGTGCAAGGGCGGTGAGCTATCAGCCACATCAAGTCATTGACGCTCTCCCGCCGCCATTGAGCGATCGGCCACCCCTCGCTCGATCAAACATGCCGATATTCGGGCTATTCGGTGACACTCACGCTGGCCGCCGATGAGCTACCATGGCTGTAAATGGCGCTTGCGTTCTGTGGCATGATTGGTTTGCGCGATTGAGCAGGCGGTGGTTCTTTATAGAGCTTGGAGAGCGCTGTGTTTGCATCGTCCAGCTTAGAATACAAGGAGATCTGTGTGGCAATACCGCGATTAGGACTGATACTGGTGTGGCACTGAATCCGAGCTGCTGTCCACACATCAACACTGCCCGACAGGTGCCTCCGGATTCACCTTTTGCCACGGGCCAGTTTCTCTCGCCAGCTGGTCGACGTTCGAATTCGGCACCAGTGCTCCTGTGGGAAGGATTCGAAAGTCGCCTGTGGCAAATGCCTTCGACAGGGTCTTGAATCGCTTGAGGTAACTGTGGGACAGTGGGAGCCAAGGTGAGCGAGAGTTGGGCCAAACAGCCAACCGTTACGCTCGAACGCGGCAGAACTCAAGCAAACTTACGAATAGCCGCGCTCGATGTCCGCCTTCCTTTCGACCGATTCAACTTGAGAATCGTAGTCAGCCTTATCCTGAATCGCAAATCGATGTCGACGTGGCAAGTAAGCGCGCTGCCCGTGGCGCCGATATCGCTCTCACTCAGCCAGCAAGCGACACCATGATCCGGATGCACAGTGAAGTGGTGTGCCCCTGTCACATGCATTCCTCGTATCGCTTGCTCCCAGACTTACTCCGACTTCAGGGATCCTTGCCCGAAGCACGCCTTGGGTGTTGAGGCTGAGCGAAACCATGGTCGACTCTCTTGATTTGCGGCACCAGCAACATCAGTGCAGAAATCAGTTTCAGTAGCCACAATCAAGGCAAGATCGAATATCACTTACTTGGGCGGCCTTTTCTCCTGCTCATCGCTCATCTCTGTTACAGTGAAGAGGTGGTTGGAGCACTGTCAGACTGCATCCATGGCGACCACGTCCAGCCACAAACGGCTTGATGAATGCCATACCATGTCGTTTCAGCAGCAACCGCGCTCGATCTCGGCGAGCCTGGCGCGCACGTCCCTCGAGGAAACTCTCAAAGGTTCTGGTCTGAGGCATATCAAAGGCGTGATGAGAGTCGATGAAGTCTGGGTCCGTTTGCCCATCATGCACTGATCACACGCATGTTTTTATCCTGGCTTTGCAAGACTGCTTGGTGGCGGCTCTGCCATACCATGGTTTCATACTCGTCTGTTCGCCGCTTCAGTTCGCCCTCGAGGTACTCGACAAAGAGCTCTCTGTCTCGTAGTTTCTTGGCGAGGATCTGGTTTTTGGACGACATATCGTCGTATTTGTTGCTGAGACCGTCAAAGTCCATGTGCAATTCGGTGGTTTCCTGGACGTGAGCGTGGCTGTAAGTACGAGATCTTGTCTGGCTCTTGTTGTCTCCCCCCAACCACAAGCCGCAGATGCGCCAACATTTGCCCACATAGCTCAATTTCAAGCACTTCGTAGCAAAAGTCATATGGACTCTTGGTAGATTGATATTACGACAGAGACAAGCGACACTCGATCGACTATTGGCGACATACCCGACTGATGCGCTTGAGCATGTTCTCAATCGAGTTCTCGCCCTCGCCTTTGGCATTGAGGTTGAGTCGGATCACCTTGTGACGCAAATGCTCCTTCTCTTGGCTGAGGATGTTGATGCGGTTGTTGGCGTCGTTGAGTTTTTTCTGTGCCAAGCCACAGAAGCGGTTATTGGCTGGGTCCAAGTCGCAATGCGGTTTCTTGAGTCGCAAAGTGCTGGTTCTGTCTTCCGTCAGCCCACAAGCCGACGCGCATATTTCCATACCATGTACTCGGCCTCCATCGATATTCGGAACTCCTCCCGCTCGCTCAGGGTCTTGTTCTTTTGCTCCACCGTGGCGACCAGCTCCTTGACACGCGCCTCCAGAGTCTTGACATATGTCTGCAGCTTGGTGCACTTGCTTTCGAGAGAGACGTTTTGCCGCTGAAGGAGGGAGATCAAGTTCTTTTGCTCGGACTCCTGATCCGACTTGACCCGTTCGATCTCTCTCCCATGTTCTTTTCTCAGGGCCTCAATGTCCTGCAGCCACATGGATGCGAAGCCATCAGTATCCAGTGAGCTGTATCGTTTCGTCGGTATCGTGGCGCTGGCGCAAGATTTGCGAGGTGCGGCAGTTCCCACCATCTCATGCTTCTGCATCAAGCTCTGCAAGTCGCTGCCCTCGATCAGGCTGAGAATCTTGGCATCCTTGGAAACCATCAGCTCGGCGTAAAATCGCTCTTTGGCCTGAATGACATAGAGGATCTCTTGTTCGTATCGCACCGCCTGCGAGGACAGCTCGTCCTCCAGCTTGGAGATCTCGCCGTTGAACAGGAACTCTGCTGTGGTTCTGTATTCGTCGTACTGGGCCTGCATCGACAACAAAAGACCCTGCAGCAGGACAACGGAGCATGAGGGGAACGGGCTTGGTATGGATGGTCAAAGACCATGCTGCACAACATACACCACATGCTGCCCATGTGCCGCACCTGATACTCCATCATCAGTCGCTTCTTCTCCTCGAACTGGATCATTTTGTGCTGCTCAAAGGTCTGTCGCAGGCTTTCGTACTCTGCCTGCTGACTGGCTCGATAAGTGTCGTTCTCCATCTTTGTGATTCGAATAAACTCGTCGTACTCTCGCCTGATGCTCTCGAGGATCTATGCTCCATGCGGGCATCGGACGTGGAGTTAGCGGACCGCAAGCACATGGAGTTCGAGTGGATATGCGTCCGCTGCGGAATACATACAGACTCGATTCCTTGAAGCTGGCTCTGCTGATCATTGTGCTTTCGACTGGCTTCCATCGCTGTGTCGATCACTTGCGTCTTGAACTGTTGACACAGCGCCTCGCTGCGCTGAAGCTTCTCTCTCAGGATGGTGACCTCCTCGGACACCTGTATGGTCGCTGTGGCGCCAACAGAGTCTCGCTGTCAGTCGAAGAGTCATCGTTGGGAGAATGCGCAAAGACCAACTAGTCCCAACCATTTTTCTTGAGCGTGTTGGCGTTGTCCTTGGTTGAGTTTGATCGCTGCGACTTGAGGTCACGTAGCTCTTCCATCGCCTCCATGAGCTCCTTCTCGAGCTGGTCTAGTTGTTGAAATCATAGCCAGTTGATTGTGAGTGACCAAGACGATGCTGGGGCACAGCCAGGAGAGTCAACTTGCCTATGGACTCTTTCTGCTGCTCGATTCGCTCGTTGGCTCGGACATGCTCGTCCTTGAGCTTCCGAAGCTCCTCCGTTCTCTTTTCCAGGACAAACAGCGCTTCTTGAAGGTCTTTGGAGGCTCCAGCTATCGCGCTATCCTGAGTCGCCATCCGAGAGGAGAGCGGTTCAAAGCCAAGTTGGTTCAGCATGGCTTCTGAAGGTGACCGGAGTATCGGCCATCGACAGGGCACAATGTGTCCTCTATCGAGCTGCCGGGTGCAGGATCAGCCGTCCCACAACTGAACGACTTTCTCACCAGCTCCTCAGGAGTCTTCAAAATCGATCTTTGCCGAAGCTGCGTCTATTCAATCGGAGGCGTCAGTGATGGGCATGATGGACGCGATGGGTACCATGAGCACGATGAGCGCTCGGAATCCATCGTTCCGTGGACTCGCGATTCACATGCAGTTTGCAGGCCGTTTCTCACGCTGGGTCTCGATCTTATTGGCTCCGCGTCTTCCTCTAGCTTCTCCTTGAGCTGGCGAATTTCGTCTTCTGCGCTTTCATATTGAGCTGTTTTGTTGTAGAGCTAGAGTCAAGACACAGTAATGTTACTAAATCACGCCAACTCGCTTTGGACTCGAATGCATCATTCGCAGCTATGCAATGGCCCCAGATCAGATAGGATGAGAGGCACTGGTGGCACTTGCCTCTCGCTGCAGAAAGCTGATTTTGCCTCGCAGCTCCCCGTTCTCGCGGAAGAGCTGCCGAAGTAAATCGGCATCGGTTTTGTCCATATCGGTGGAGGGCCAGGGCCGGTGTCGCAAGGTCGGGCACAATCGGAATGAACACCAGCTCCAAGGCGTTGAAGGGGTGGCTAAGCGTGCACGATGATGGAATGAAATGAAGCGGCGGACCCAAAGGGCGACAGGCCAGAGCTGTGCTGCCGGATGAGCCGCCGTATGCTGATCCCCAATGGCGCACCGCCGGTCTGATTGCTGCCTCGAATCGGCGCTCTTGAATCGCTCAGAGATTCCGCGCACCCTTTCTGGGCGCTGCTCATCCCTCTCGTTCATTTGCTCGGGATCGGCGACAGCAAGCGTGGTCATCATGTTCAGACGCGTAACAACCGAGCGCTTCCGGCGGTTTGGCGAGGCATATGGCTCTCCTGAGGTTTCCCCCGAGAAGGGCATTCGGGGTGAGCGTCTTCAAGCACACAACTACGCTGTGCGGCTGACGCGGGATGCATTTGGGTCTGGATCTGGGTCTGGGTCGGGGCATCTCAAGCACCGAGCAAGCTTCGCTGCAAGCCACAGACTCGGCGACGGCTGTATGGGCGAGTAATGTGTCCAAGGACCGCCTGGACTGACGCCAAGAATATCTCGCCTACTTGATCTTGCAGCGATGGACGCCTCCCTCGGCGCTCCCAATATCCGATTTGCCAACCGCAGAATCGTCGTTGTGACGCTGAAGCAATGCCTGGCGGTTGATATTCCAATATCAAACTTTGACGTGCATCCGGTCGCCCGGCTGTTTGTATTCTGCTCGGCCAAAGTCGTGTATCTGTGGAATATGGACTCGCAGACGCTGCTTCACAAGGTGAGACGTCCCGGTCTCGCTGTGAGGACGAGAAAACTGCAGTTGGCGTTCACTGGACAGGTTTGGCGACATTCTGCTGACTCTTATGGTACCTGCAAGTTTGGTCGAGTCAGCGGCAGCGTCCACCGAGGTAACGACGCAAATTAATGATCGTACTGCTTTTGTGTGCGCCGATGCTGATACGTACTCTAAACTCGTCGTGCCATAGACAACATCCGAACTTGCGTTTTTGATCACAAGGCCAAGTACATTTCCAGTGCTGGCGAAGACAAGCGAATCGTGGTGTGGAGTCTCAAAACATTCCGAGCCGAAAAGTCAGTGTCGTTGTCGTTGTCGTTGTCGTTGTCGTTGTCGTTGTCGTTGTCGTTGTCGTTGTCGTTGTCGTCGCAATGGTGGTCATTCAGTGGCAGCAGGCACGATAGCCAGGAAGTCGTCGTTGTACTGGCAAGTAGACTGATCGTGCCCGGCGCCTGGAGACAGGGTCATGGAAGGTCACAAGGGCATCGTCTACCAGGTCAAGTTCTCGGACGACGATGAAAAGATCTTCTCTGCCTCGGACGACGGCCGCCTGCTTGTGTGGGAGTGGAAGACGGGCACGATTTTGGCATCGTTCATGCGACACTCGTCGGCAATCCGCACGTTCGATTTTGGGCATGAGGCACGAATAGTGTGCGGTCGAAACGATGGCCAGATGACCACTTGGGACACCAGCCGCATGTCGCACATCGACAACATCCTGCCTGATCCAGACTGGTATGAGCAAGCATCGAGAGCGAGTCGTTGGGGGGGGGTGCCTGAGCGCCTCGTACGGGTCTGACAAGTGATGATATTCCTCTCTGAACCTCCGAAATCGCCAGGGAGAAGCCTCAGGAGAGCACGGATAGCAGCTTGCTTGGATGGGCAGATGAAACCAAGCATCACACTGGTATGCTCCAGGGCATCTCTGGGATGCGGGTCGCTGCTCATCGCTGATGGCATGCTCACTGCCAACGCCGTTGGACACAGGATCGATCTTGTGTGTCAAGGTCTCTCCAAACTTCCGGCTTCTGGCGTCAGGAGCCACGGACCACACTTGCAAGCTGTGGTCAATTGTGTCGTATATGAGAGACACGGACGAGGTGGAGCAGGAACTCGAGGCAAGTTTCCGGCACCGAGTTTTAGGGCGGATGACCGAGATGCGATGCGATTGGAAGTTGGTGGTGTGTACACCGAGCATGCCGCCACAGCGGACGGCTGATGTCGCAACATCCTCGATTTGAGGCCCGATAGGAAGCCGAGATTATGCGCGAAAAGCTCGAGAAGTGCATCGACATCCTCGAGACCAGCTACGATGTCCAGATTCCCATGAGAGACTTTACCGGCGTCAAGATCGGCGAAGTCCCAATCCCATTGGCATTCCATGCGGATCTCCTGTTTACTTTCTGCCACGACGCGCCGGTCCTTTCCGTCCAGTTCAACAGCATGTCTGAGTGAGTATACGCAGCCATCATGTCGATAAGAGTCGGAAGACTTACCTGTCGGATCGAAGAATCTGATGGGTAGATTGTGGCATTGAATTGAAGGGAGCGTTGGCAACTCCTCTCGATTGCCGCCATCGATGCAGAGCATGCTGACGGAAGCAGGAAGGAAGGATGTGATATCCTTGGGCATGTCTGATCCAAACTTTTCCATCGATGTCCTGCAACAGCATTGTGATCACTGGCTCAATGGACTCGACCTGTCGACTGTGGTCGGCAAGACGAGGCGATCTCCTGTTTCAAATCAACACGCCAGCGCCAGTCTCGTGCCTGCTGATGACCTCACCGAGCACGCTGATGTGTGTCTGCCTGAATCGAGTGTTGGTACGATATATCTTCTGCAATGAAATCGCATGCAACGAGGACTGTCTCCTGCCACGATGGTGCTGAAACTTGTGTGCAGTACTGTTATCCATGCATGACTTGTTAACGTATGCGATTTTTGGATGTCACAGACGTTTGAGATCAAGGCTCATCAGAAGGAAGAAGAGCTGCCGCCATACTGGTTTGTGCTTTCGATAGAGAAGGATGGTATATCACTATCAAGAAATCGCAACCTAATCACGCCTCCAACTTTAGGCAGCGCAAGGGATACCTGGCCGAAATGAAGCTAATGGCTGAGGACTATGCGAAGATGACGGTGAGGGGGCTGGTGGTCCTCACACTCACACTCACACTCACACTCACACTCACACTCACACTCACACTCACACTCACACTCACACTCACACTCACTTATCCATGTGCCTCTCCTCGCCGCTGGCTCAGAATACCGATCTGGAGACCATGGAGCCCATGGACGACACTGTGTATCGCCATCCCATGGTTTTGTTCAAGCCAGGCGAGCCCGGGATGATTGCCCGCGGCCTGGAGCCCCAACAGAGTGGGTGGTTCCGCCCTGGTCTTTCAGACCCTCCTCCCTCCGCCAGCCCATACATGGTGGATTGCTCGCACTGCGTTTCTTGACTTTGTTGGGGTGGGGGGTCATCAAACCTGTCGCCGGCGCTCATGATCACCAATGTCGCTCACTCCATACTCGATCGCGAACCCCGTCCCAAAACACCTCTTCGCAGAGATCCACATGCCCGAGCTGCGCCGGCTCATATCCCATGGGCTTATCAATCCTCAGTTCCTCGAAACTCTCTTGGACCAGTACAAGCACATTGATTCGGAGACTTTGGCGAGCAACATGAAACGGGTAAGGGCGACAGAATCGAGCCGCAGAGCTGGGAGATGCCAGTATGTTTCAACGAGCCATGGAGCCACACATGTGTCCGCATGAGTCCTTTCCCCCCCCCTGTTCTCACCGGGCTTGGGGGCTCTACCTCCTTCTCTTGATCGACTTGCAGCATCGAATGCCCGTCAATCAAATCCTCAAGCTGCTTGTGAACTACAACTTTCATCCGAAGGATATCTTGCACATGCTCTCACGCCGCAAGAACTCGGACAGTATCTTTGATATGATCAAGCAGGTGCGGCACGGACCGTCAGAGTGAATCGACTTGCCTCGACACCGGATAGGACCCCAGTTAGGAGCAAAATCGATGCCGACCTCGATATGTGTATATTTGCTAGCTGGGCATACTTTGTGGTGTTGCGGTTTGATCAATCGGTTCGCCCGTGTGCCACCCGTACTCATAACGAACGATGTTCAACTGTCACATGTAGGGAAGGTCCATCACTCAGTACATGATTTCGGAGGGCTACAAACCCGTACCTGATGATGACCAGGACGGTATGGCGCTTGGAACCACCGAATCGTCATCGCATCGCTGCGCTTGCGCTTGCGCCTTCATGTTCACACCGCCTATGGGAACTTTCTTTATCTGAAGAGTCCAACGCCATCTTCTTGAACTACCGAGATCTTCTGCCGCCCTCTGAGGGCCATTGGGGCCATCGATGTACGAAAGAGTACCATTTGTGCGTGCTGTGATGAGGGGTCGCAGATAGTACATGCCTTTGTGGGTTTGCTGACCAGAGTATGCTCTGCCAGTGTCGCAGGAGGGCATGCACGCCGTCAGCGACTACGAAGCCATCGATGGGATATATGGCCACGGACAGGGTGTCGTGCCTCGTGGACAGCGAGCAGCTACAAACTACGACTACATCGAAGAGTATGATGAGGAGTACGACGACGAGAGCATGTACTTCCAGGAAGGGTCGAGATACATGCCACCAAAGGGCAAGATCATCCACTTTATTCCCTCGGAGCAGCTCAAGTTGCTGAAAGGTAAGCTCTGTGAAAGGCTGCTGAAGGAATGACGGCGTTCGCAGGAGAGATAAAGAAAGAAAGAAAAAGCGAAGCAACATGTCATCGCGGATCGTGTGCTACAGAGCTGAGTCTAGGGAGCCATCAAAATCGCTGCAGAATCGAGATTTGCTCGCTTGTGCTTGTGGTTGTGGTTGTGTTTGTGTTTGAGTGTGGCCGATAATGATTATTTATTCACCTCGGCTTTGCACTGCGGCCACGGATAGACTACCAGGCCAACCGGGAACTCAAGTCCATTTTCTTGCAGCAGTTAGTCCTGGATGCCCATCCGGTCCAGTTTCCAAACTTCAATATCGAGTCTGAAACGGTTGATCGCAAGGTGAGCGCCTTGTTGAGACGTTGAGAGGGCGATAAGGAGGGGAAGGGGAGAGAAGGGAAGGCAGAATCGAGACTCGATGAAACCCAGCAGCGGCGATGATGGTGGTGATTGTATCGACAGGGCCTCGCTGTCTTGATAACCATGGCGCCGCAACATTGCATGTGCCACTCACTCACTCACTCACTCACTCACTCACTCACTCACTCACCCCCGCCAGCCGGTCGTCGACAAGAAAACATTTCCCAAAAGCGGGATCCGGTTCAATGAGAGGTTTGCCGTCGCAGCAGTCTGAATCGTATCAGCAGTAACAATCAGTTACAGCCCCCCTCCACCTCCCCGAATGCTTCCAGATATCGAACTACCAGACTCACCGACATATTCTCCCTCCTGCCTCCTCCACTCCCTTCCCCATCGTGTGGTGCTTGGGATGCAGCGTTCCGGTCCCTGGACGAAGACGGCCTGGGGCCCAGCAAACGGACCTCGCGAACCGGTTCGACTTTAGCCCGCTCCTGACACATGGACGGGGGAATGCCAGAGAGTCTCAATCGACTGAGGTACTTATGATGGGAGGGGGGATCGAGGGCCTCAATGCGTTGGAGCGCAGAACAGCGCGGCGGGTGTGAACGGCTGCAATAACGACGGCGTCTCCTTGCGATTCCAGGGAACGCAGTTCTATTCTCCAGCCCCGATCACCCGCAAGTTTGCCAAGGGCTCCTTCAGCAGCTCCAACACCATCTTCAAGCCCGAAAGGTGCGGAGAGTGCGATCGCTGTGTGCCAAGCGGATGGGCGGGCAGAGTTGCATGGGCGGGACGGCATCCGAAAGGCCTCTCTGCTGATACTCTGCTAAATACTCTGCTGCCAGATATCTCCACACACGAGGGCTGAACGTTAGCTTTGGACAGCAACGGGGTGGGCGATCCGGTTTGTCGCAGAGGGTATTCACACAGCCGATTATGATCCAGAAGGCAGGCTCAAGGGTAGGTCGCCCGCCGGCACATGAACAGTCGATTGACAGGAATGTGGCTGGATAATGTGGCTCACGACGGCGGCATGTATGGCATCCGAATTCAGGATCTTGGACAGCAACTCATCGTCGGCAAGTCCGTGGGGATCGGCGAAAAGATCTTGAACATTGACGGCGACGACGACGACGACAGGGAGTGATGGTGGGGTGGGGGCTGGCACCGGCAAGCGCAAGAAACCAGCACGGATCGCCGCGGGCAAGGAGCAATTCTTACGAGAGTATATTCAGTCATAGCTATCGCGACAGAGCCGCGCGGGGGTTCATAGAGTTAGCAGAGGAGGAAGGGGGCGGGGGGCAGAGCGAAACAGGAATCAAGTTTATGGCATGCCTCTTTAGAGCTCTAATATACTCGGAAGGTGGGTTGGGTGGGCAGGAAAGTATATGGGAACAGGGCAAGCCCCGACGACGAAATTAGTAGACAATGTTGAGGACGGGCGACTCCCACTGCTGGTAGCTGGAGGTGTGGTTTTGGTTGCCAAAGACGCGGACGGCAGAGACACGGAGCTTGTAGCTGCCGGCGGGGAGCTGGGTGATGTTGACGGAAGAGAGCGACGGGACAATGCCACCAGCCCAGATGCCCATGCTCGAGGTGACGACACTCTGGCCCTTGGTGCGGGTGTTGCGGCCGCGCTCGCCACTGACGGTCGAGGGGTTGAAGGTGCTGAGGTCGTAGAGGATGGCATAGCCGAGCGAGTCGTGGAAGAGCTTGGACAGGTCGTTCTTGGCGGGGTGCTTGCTCTTCTCGGCATAGACAACATCAACAACGACGTTGTGGGAGGTGAAGGCGGTGGCAACACGGGAGATGATGCCGGTGGAGGTGGCATTGACGGTGACGGTGTCGGTGACAACGTTGCCGGTGTTGGGGTCAAGGAGGGCGGTGGTGTCAAAGGCCGAGGTCTTGACAAGAACGCTGGCCTTCTCGACGTGGCCAACGACGCCGGCGTAGGGGACCGAGACGATGCTCTCGTCCTGGCACGACTTGAACTGGATGTAGCCAGAGTAAACGGGGAGGGCGTTGGCGTCGGCACCGGCGGGGGGCTTGATGACGACCTGAATCTTCTTGCTGCCGTGAGGGGGGATGGTGACGGTGTTGTCGCTGGGGAGGCCGCGGAAGAGAGCGGTAGCAGCCTGGTCGGCGTACTGGATACTCTCAATCAGCTGGTCATCGCCCTGCTGGACGTTGTTGATGAGAGCAGCGGGCAGGTGCGAGAGGGTGACGGCGGTCTTCTTGTCGCCGGTGTTGGTGATGGTCAGGGTGAAGGTCTTGGTCTGGCTGAGGTAGCCATCCTTGAGGGTGACGCGCGAGGGCGAGACGGTCAGGAAGTTGTTGGTGATGGCCTGGTAGACGTTGACGAGACCCGAGCCCTGGAGGCCAACGGTGTTGGGGAGGGTGGTGTTGTAGGCAAGGGTGACCTTGGCGTTGTTCTGGAAGGCAGTGCGGACGTCCTCGAACTTGGGGCCGGTCTTGCCGTTCTTGCGGTAGCCCTCGAGGAAGAGGGCGATCGAGCCAGAGAAGTAGGGGGTGGCCATGGAGGTACCATCGTAGACGGCATAGTCGTTCATGACCGACTTGCTGGTCTGGGCAGCAAACTGGCTGATGGTGGAGAGGATGCGACCACCGGGAGCGCCAATGTCGGGCTTGATCTCGAGCTCGGCGCCAATGCCTCCGGAGCTGAAGGACGAGACGGTGCCGGCAGTGAGCTGAGGGAAGGCCTGGATGTCACTGGAGAAGGTGAACTGGGCGTTGGCGTTGGTGGCAAGGGCAGCAAAGATCTTCTTGGCGTCGACACCGGTGATGGCACCACCGGGGAGGGCGGCGTTGCCGTTGATGCTTCCAGAGCCATCGTTGAAGTAAGCGAGGCAGCCAATGGCACCGGCCTTGAAGACGTTCAGGCAGCGGGAGACACTGCCACAGGCGCTTCCGGCGGGAGGGAAGGCGACAAAGGCGACGTTGCCCTTGACGGCGGGGTTGACATAGGTGCAGGCATCGCCGAGGTTGCTGTCGTCGCCAAAGGCGGTAGCGTTGTTGGGGACGATCTGGGCAACGGTGTGGTTCCAGCCGCCGCCGAGGGCCGAGGGGGTGTAGGCAACAGGGGTGCCGTCGGGCAGGTAGATCACCTCGCTCAGGGCCTGAGCACCGTCGAAAGAGGCGATACCAAAGCCGCCGGCAGCGATACCGGGCGAGCTGGGAACAAAGAGACCGTGGCCACCGTCGTTGCCGAGGGCAGCAACGACGATGGAGCCCTGCTGGCCGACGCGGGTGGCGGCAACAGAGTCAACATCGGTGTTGAAGGTGGGGCCACCACCGAGGGACAAGCTGATGATGTCGGAGCCATCCTGGTGGGCGCGGTAGATGGCAGCGGTGATGATGTCGGTGCCGGTGTTGTCGGCAGGGCAGCCAAAGACACGGTAGGCACCAAGGGTGGCACCAGGGGCAACACCAACGAAGGGCAGGGGAGGGGCAAACTCGCCAGTGAGCGAAGCGGTGGCATTGCCGCCGACGATACCGGCAACGTGGGTGCCGTGGGACTCGGTGGAGCAGTTGTCGATGGGATCGGGATCAGGGACAACGGTGCTGTTGGCAGCGCCGTAGTTGTCGCCGACGAGATCGTAGCCGTAGGCAACCTTGTAGCCGGGGCCGAAGCCGCCGCCGAGAGCAGCGTGCTTGTAGTAGACACCCGAGTCAATGATGGCGACCTTGATGCCCTTGCCGGTGAGGCCGAGCTCCTCATGGACCTTGTTGACACCGGTGAGGGTGTGCTGCCAGTCCTGGGAGGGAGGGACCGAGTAGGTAGCAACGGGCTTGAGGGCAGGGACGGAGCGGACGGGCCAGACGTTGACGGCATCGGGGATGTTGAGGATGTCATCGACGGTGTGGTCGCCAGTCACCTGGATGGAGACACCGTTGAAGAGGGGGGTGTCGACGGTGGTGCGGACAGTGGTGGTGAAGACGGGGCTGTCGCTGCTGGCGAAGGAGCTGACGGCCGAGCCGGGAGTGAACGAGGCTCCGGGCTTGAGCTCGATCATGTAAGTGTTGGGGATGACGGGGCGCGATTCAGAGGGGAGGGCGGGGAACCAGTTGGCCTGGGCGTTGACCGAGGAGGCCAACAGCGCCGAGGCAAGAAGCATAGACTTGACCAGCATAGTGAGGAGACAGACGGCTTCGAGGACGGAGGGATGAAGGTCGTGCTGGGCGAAAGAGAGGGAGATGGGGGGGGGATTAAATACGCGGCGACGGGGGAAACCGGCAGGGAGTCACCAGGAGCGACCGGGCGAACGACTGGCGAGGACGGCTGGGGAGAAGGCTGGGGAGAAGGGCTGGCAAAAGACGCGATCGGCGCGATTGCGCACGACAGAAGGACGGGCGACAAGGAGGGTCTGAAAGTCTGTCCTGTTGGATCGGTGTGGTTGTCTTTGATGCGATTTGCCATTGCCGCGATTGCTGGATGTGCTGCAGTGTCTGGAGGTGTGTGTGGAAGTGTGTCTGGAGGTGTCTGGAAGTGTGTCGCAATTTGCAGCAAGGAGAAGCGAATCAACGACAGCGCAGCAAGGGACAGCGAACAGGCAGAAAGGGGGGTTGTCGATGAAACCCCGCCAGGCTGGTGGAACCGCATGATCCCGAGACGGGAGCACGGCGAGGAAGGAGGCACCCTGCGACTGGTTCGTGCGGCGCGGCAGGGCCCGAAAACGCAAGGTGGCACCCCCCCGGAAAGGCGCGACATGGGCGGCTGGGGCAACGCTCCCGAGTGGGCCCGGCGGCGCGGCTGGCTTGTTGGTGCTGTGGAATGTCGCGCAGGTTTGCGTGCCAGTGCGCGTCCGTGCGCGCCGACGGCGTGCCCCGTGGGTGCTCTGTGCGCGCACGGCCCACCAACCCAGCAGCACAAGGCACGCGTGGCCACGCCTGTGCGCCCCCGGCGCGCCTGCGGTGGCGCGCAGCCTCCGCTGCGGCGTGTCGGCCCCTTGCCTGGTCGCCAGCAAGGCGCATCATGTGCCTCGGAACAATGCGCTGTTGGCCGATGCTGTCGATGTTGCTGCTGTCGATGCTGCTGCTGTCGATGCTGTCAATGTTGGTATAGACAGCCCCCGCGCTCGAGCTTGGCGACATGGCCGTTTCTCGTCTCCGAAGCCCCCCAGCAAGCCGGGCCTTCTGCGCAGCGGACCCCTTTGCCTCTGGATCGAGATGTTTGTGCCAGCCCCCGCTTGTCCACGGCAATCACATGGCCCATCCACACCAGCCCAGTCCGCACAAGCTCGACGGCGTTGTCGTGCACCACCCTCTGTGTCGGGAGTGCCAGCCCTGCGCGCACAGAGTCCGCCATGGACTGGCCGTCTGTCCAGCGATCTTGCAAGGGGGCCCGGGAGGCGCATAGGTCCGTCCAGGACACGCTGGTGTCTCCTGTATCCGAGGCGGCCCAGCCCTCCCCGCCAGACCAAGGACAGGAACAAGACTTTGAGCGACCTTCCAGCCTGTGATCGCCGAACGACCCGAACAACGCAGCAGCAAGGGCATCCGCTGACCCTTGGTATCGAATGCTGCCCTTCGCGACCAGATCCGCGTCTCGCCTCGTCGTCGCTGTCGTCATCGTCAAATGATTTGCAATGCCCCTCCCCAGCCCACAGCCCCACCCTCAGCGACAACTTTGGTGCGTGTCGCCGCTCTCCTGCGATGGCGAGATCCCCGTCGCCACCAGTGAGCACTCTGATCGCGCGCCCACCTCGTGGCTCGACCAATGAAACGAGGCGCCAGACACACCAATTGCTGGCGAGATAGCACGTGACTGGTTAGACACTGGATCGAGTGTATGTGGATCGAGTGAGTGTGGATCGAATGCACTCGACCCGCACTCCTTCATTCGATCCACTCACTCGACCCGCATTCCTTCATTCGATCCACTCACTCGACCCGCACTCCTTCATTCGATCCACTCACTCGACCCGCTCTCATTCGATCCAGCACGCCACACCTTCACACCATCCAATCGCAAATCGGCTTTGTGGGAAAGCACGCGCCACCGTGCCCTGGCCCGACACGCTCCCGAATGAACTTCTCGTCGAATAAGACTGGCGACAACCGTCGTGGCCCGGCTCTCCGACGTCATCGATTGGTCCGGCTGGCCCTCGTGCGTGCGCCATGGCGCTGGTAAGCGGTGGATTTGCCGGGCATCAGCAAGCCCGTGCTCGTCGGCTGTACCGAAGGGGACAACCCTGCCGCAGCGGCCCTCTTGCCCATGTCATCTTGTCTCCGTCGCTGTGCTGCCTGCCACTCTCTGCGATCATCGATTCGTCCAATCCATATGCACGCGCTCGGTCAGCCGGAAGACTCAGCTCGTTCCGCCAGCCGCGGCGCCGAAGCCAGAAGCACGACGCCAAGAACGGCGAGTCGAGAGAACGGAGATGGTTGCAGTCGAGAACAGGGATGATCGCAGTCGAGAACAAGCGTGTGAGGTCAGGAACTCATGGATCAGGGACTCCCATGAAGCCAATGTCGCCTGCTCTCCTGATCGCTTCCTCTTCATGACCCCTCCTCTTCATGGCTCGCTTGCTCGGTCCACATCTCCGGCGACGGGGCAGAAAACACCTCGGATAGAATCTGCGTGGCCAGCGAATCGCCCGTCTCTCGCTTCGTAATCCCATCTTTGCTCGCCGATCTCCCGGACAGGGCTGAGGCAAAAACGTGCCAGTCTCTCGTGCCCCTCCCTGTTTAGCGTGAACAGCGGCCGCATGCTCTTCCTCTCGGTGGTGGGGGCCGGCACCACCGAACGCGTGCACATTCCCACTGTTTCTCACGGCCCGCCCCTCGAGTCCCCGAGGCCGAGGCCAGAACATGGACATGCGCATAAATACGAGGGCTGCGGGCAACCATCCCTGTCTGCATCGCCCAAGACTCGCTCGATCGCCCCAGTTGCCCTGCCCACGATGATTGCCAAGTCTGTCGCCTTCCTCGCTGCTGCCGCCTCGGCCTACGGCGCTTACCTCCCCTACAAGTGCGTTCCCAACCCCCCCACTCCCGGCTACTCCTTCGACCATGTCGTCCTGATCTCGGTCGATGGCATGCACCAGCTTGACCTGGTCAACTACGTTGCCGCCAAGCCCAACAGTAAGTCAGCTCTGTTGATGCACATTGCACATTGCACATTGCACATTGCACATTGCACATTGCACATTGCACATTGCACATTGCACATTGCACATTGCACATTGCACATTGCACATTGCACACTCACACCTACCATCCGTCGATGCACAGGCGCCTTCGCCACCCTCGTCAACTCTGGCGTCCAGTTCACCAACGCCCAGGTATGCCCAGCGCCATCGACCGGCTCTCGTGTCTATCCGTTTGCCCAGCGCCAACTGCCCCGCTCTGCACCTCGGATCCCTTCTCATGCTTGCTGCCTCCCTTCCAGACCAGCTTCCCCTCCGACTCGTTCCCTGGTCTTGCTGCCCAGCTCACCGGTGCCACCGTCAAGACCCACGGTGTCTGGTACGACGACTCGTACGATACCTCCCTCTACGCCCCCCACTCCAACTGCACCGGAGGTGCTGGTACCGAGGTTCTCCTCGATGAGACTGTCGACTACGACCTCTCCCTCGTCTCGGGCGGTGGCATCAACCCTGCCAACCTCCCCATGCGCCTCGACCAGTACGGCCAGTGCGTTCCCGTCTGGCCCCACGAGTACTTCACCGCCAACAACATCTTCGAGATCGTCAAGAAGTACGGCAAGGGCACCACCGCCTGGACCGACAAGCACCCCACCTACGAGTGGGTCAACGGTCCCTCGGGCACCGGCTGTGACGACACCTTCTTCCCCGATATCAACTCGGATCCTTATGGCACTGACAACGTCACCCTTGTCGGTCTTTACGACGAGCTCCACATGAACGCCATCCTCAACTGGATCGGCGGCACCAAGGCCAACAGCTCTGGTGCTTTCAGCGTTCCTGCTGTCTTTGGCGGCAACCTCCAGTCCGTCTCCGTTGGCCAGAAGCTCACCGCCGGTGGTTACCTCGTAAGTTGCACGTTCATGACTTTCTTGCGCCGACGCGATGGAGCAGCTCAGATTGCACGCAGCCTATCTGGTATCGGTTAGTCCTTTGCTAACACTCGGATTCGTCGATATTCTTCACCACCCCTGCTATCATCATCATTTGCCATATCAGAATGCCAACGGCACCTTCACCGCCATCCTCCAGGAGGGCCTCGACCACGCCGACTTTGTCCTCGGCAACATCATCCAGGCCCTCAAGACCGCCGGCATCTACGAGCGCACCGTCATCATCGTCTCTGCCAAGCACGGCCAGTCCCCCATCGACCCCGAGGCCGTCATCAAGCTCGACCCCAACGCCCTCCAGGCCGGTGCCGGTGTCGAAGTTGCCCAGCTCACCTCTGATGACGTTGCCCTCTTCTGGCTCAAGGACCCCACCCAGGCTGCCACCGCTGCCGCCAACCTCCAGGCCAACGGCACCTTCCAGATCAACCAGATCTGGTACGGCGATGCTGCCAAGGCCCTCTTCGGCAACAACACCCGCACTCCCGATGTCATCATCCAGCCCAACCACGGTGTCATCTACTCGCTCTCTGGCGCCAAGCACGCCGAGCACGGTGGTGGCTCTGATGACGATCGCCACGTCCTCCTCGTTCTCTCCAACCCCACCTTCACCCCCCGCAGCGACAGCACCCCCGTCTTCACCACCCAGATCGCCCCCACCATCCTCAACCTCCTTGGTCTCCCCTACACCGACCTCGATGGTGTCCAGAAGGAGGGCACCACTCTGCTCCCCCTGTAAATTGAATCATCTGTTCCATAAATCCCTCCCCGTCCCACTTTTGTACGTCCACCATTGTCACCCCAAATCGACTTGTCGCCGCGAATGCGCTGCCATATGCTTTTACAGTGAAATATAGACGGCTCTATAAATTGTCGCCCAAACTTTTGCGCCGACTGTGAGAGAGAGTGTGTGCGTGTGTGATCGGCATCGGGTTGGTATCAAATGTGGAGTGCGTGACCCACAACGGCGAGAGGACTTTTGACGTAAGCCGCTGGACCATGTCGCCCTTTCCGCCCGATCCACTCTGTCAGCACAAACTTCGCGGCGATATGAATGGGGGCAGACGGATGTCTGCTGTCGGATCGAGCGACCGGGCCGAGACGGCGCCGCTACATGATTCCTGTTGTCGCCATGTCAAGCTGCATGATCGACAGCGTCACCATGTTCAAAATGGTCTTGATTTGCCTGGTATCGGTCGCTTGGGTGAAGTAGTGGTACATGATTCGGGCGGGCGACTGGTTGACTGCGATGAATCTTTTCTTGAAGTAGCCCTGTGCGTGCTCCATGTCGTTGGGTTCTGAAAGACAGACAGCCATCATGCGAGATGTGGGTGTCCCAAAATAAGCCAGCCGTCCAGCCTTGGAGTGCCCGTCGTTTCTTTTTGTATCTTGACTACCCTCCTTGCCCTTGACTCTCTGCTGCCACCCTTCGCTGACCTCCCAGCCCACGCCGACGACATGTCCCGGAACAGAAGCGGGAAGTGTAGCCCCACCGTCAAAGTCCGGAAAGTACTTTTTCAGTGGCTTGGTCGGGTCCTTGAGCTTTTGCTCGAGCAGATCGATTTTGTTGTAGAAGATGAGCATGGGAATCTTCATCATCAGTGGATGGTTGCACACTGTTTCGAAGACCTTGATTGACTCTTCCACTGCCGAACCGAGCCAAATTGCCGTTCAGATTGCGGAGTTGGTCGTCAAAATCGGGTCCATAGTCGATACACGGCGGAGGAGGAGGATCCGACCTCTCGTCGTGGCCACAGTCCAGCCATAGCCCAACCATAGTGCCATGTTTGACTCGCCATCCTGCGCTCTTCGTCGCCCCAACCAAGCAAGTACGACTCCATACTTCTGTTCGTTTGGCTGTCCTCCATGATCACTTGATCGTACGACCCTACTGCCGACACAAACAGCACGCCATGGACGTTGTCAAAGTAATGCATCCACTTCTTGCGCTCGCTTCGCTGTCCTCCAACGTCGTATATGCGGTAGTCGATGTCGTTGATCCTGAACCGATTCTCAGAGATGGAGGAGGTCATGATCCGAACATAGAGCGCGTCCTGCTCGGTGACCTTGTAATTGGCATCACACAGCCGAGCACAGTTGTCCATGAAGCTAGGGGCGCACAGATCGTTAGCTTCGCCGGAACTGAGTCCAGAAATGAGCCAAGGTTTCATAAAGGGCTGGGGTGGTACACACTCCCTCGACGGAATCGTCTCTTCTCACGCTGAGACAGTGCCGCACCCACGCATCACATCTGTTGCGACGGCTTCTCTTACTATGCGCAACAATCCGGCAGCTGGAACTCGTGCGAGAGCGCAAAGACCTCCTGGATCGCTGGGAGCTTCCATAGCGACTGGATTGCCGCAGACGTTTCGGGTTGCACGATCTGCTCGCCAGGCGTCTCGGAGAAAATATCCGGAAGGGCGAGCACCGCATTGACCCGCACCTACAGAAATCGAGATATGTTGTGTACGATCTCAGCGATGTGCCCTGGACTCGAATGGCACCCCTCGAGATCCCCCCACAATAGAGCCTGAAGCTCTGGCTCCATATCTTACATCCGTGGTCGGCTCCCGCGGCAGGAGCTTCCGCGCATTCGCTTCTCTGATCAGGATCTTCATGCAAACCGCCAGGTTGCTCAAGGCAGCCAAGCGAAAGGCCACATAGTCCGTATCCGTGAAGCCAGTGCCGTAGAGCAGCTTGAATTGCTTGAGGATCGTCGACTTGCCCGACTCTCCCGAGCCTGTTTGTGGACATGACGATCGACACGCCCCGTCAGCGAGTGCTTCAGTGCAATTCGGTCGGATGAGCACAAACACCCTCCGGAGGCAAAGTATGCCCCACACACCAAGCAGCAGGATTTTGATGGAGTTGGTATCCTTCTCGCTCTTCTTGTCCTTCTTGATTATCTTGTCGATTTGATTGCTGCGGGCTCGGGCCTCGTTAGCCGCATCGTTCTTGCACATCTTTAAATCTTTCTTTCGGTGACTCTGCTGCCGCCCCTCGTGGCAATGTTATGCAGGGAGCCAGAGGGCTTGACGAGATGAATCCAGCGGCAAAATTAAGCCACTTCTCTCGGGGAGAGGGCAGTTGAGGATGAAGCCGGGCACTCCAAACCCAATCCGCCTGCCCAGTCGTGCCCAGCCTCCGAGTAAGCCCCGGATGACGCATGCACAAGCCTACTGTCATTACTCCGAATCGTCGCAAGCGAATCAACCGCACGGATGCACACCAGTGCATCACGTTGTGCAGGGCGATTGTGGAGACTGCGGGTCGCTCCTGAACACACTCAGGACGGAAACAATCTCTCCCAGATGGCCATGACCAGTAAGCAATGCTTTGGGGCACACAGTGGTTGGTGTGCGGACGCAGTCAGATGAGTACTGTCCCGTTCATTCTGAACACGCTCTATTTGAGGATGCACCGCTATGCTACTATTGCCCGCAGACCAGCAAGAGCTCGGGCCGGCCTTCAATCGCCGACGATCGGTGGTGGTCGTTGTCGAGGCAGCAATCTTCTCGGAGCCACTGAGGGCCATCACTGTGCAGGCGTCAGGAGCGAGTCGATCCATTTCGCGCTGCGATGACGCTGTTTGACTAAAGCCAGGTGCTCGCAAATGTCGTTGCGAGGGCCAATCTGCATCGCTCGTTGGAGAGCAGCATGTGTCGCAGCCTGCCCGATTGCGAAAGTATCAGCATATGCAGGATGGAGTCAAGGACGGAAGCAGCATCGAAAGGCACCACTGTCGGATGGAGTGCTTACCTGGAGGCCAGGGTTGGAGTCGTCCATGTGGATCGTCAGGATCTTCACAATCGACATCCAATGAACGCTGTCGAACTTGACGTCATCGATGTAGTGGTCCTGCGGCTCGCTTGGTCGCTCCACCGCTCGTCTCGCCTCCCATGCCTCAACGGCGTCAAACAGCGTTTGCAGCACCGCACAAGTTGCGATGCGAATCTCATCGTTGGCATCGTCCAATCGCTTGACGATTTCCGGATACAGCTTCCGGAACAAGTCACCAGTGAACCGGATGCCAGAGCAATTGAGGAGAGTGTGGATGCAGCTTAGAGTATCCTTGCGAACTGCAATCTCATCCTCGTCCAGACAACTGATGAGCACAGGTATCACATCGGTTCCGATGTACTGGTTGAGTACGCCGACAGAGACCACGCCGACGACCGAGGTGTCGCCGCTATGCGAGGACAGTGCGAGCATCAGCGCATGAACCACGGCCGCCCTCAGCGCTGCGTGCTTCCGTCCAGGTTTCCATATGCCGTTCTTGAGCAGTATGTACTTCAGCAGTTGCTCGGAATACGACACAAGCTGTCCTTGCGAGTTGAGGGTGGCTATCGGGTTCTGCAGGAGCACGCTCAGCAACAACATGAGGCTAGATAGGCCGTACCGCGCACACCCGAGGTTAGTTGCAAGTCTTGTGCTGATCGGCATCATCATCTAGTGCCGGGCACTGAGAGTCTGCGTCTAACGAAACACTTACGCGATCCGGACATCGACATCTTCACAAGCTGCCGCCGCCAGAAACGCCGGCATTACCAGTCCGAGCTGGTTCCCAAGGTTCTCGCCGAGCTCGATCGCCACAGTCCTCAGAAGCTTGCCCTCTGGAGCATGTTTTGTCCATGTTTCGGGACGGGAGCCCACAATGGCTTGGCTGAGAATGCGCTCGCTGTACCGAGCATAGAGCTGCCGGCGATCCGAGTAGCCATGGGCCAACACGAGGAGCCCGATCGTTTCATCGACCTGGGCGTTGGGGGGGGGAGGGCATATACGTGAGCGTGACGGCATCTATCCAACCTGTCTAAAGCATGGGCAGCGGGTACTCGCTGGGCGACCACCTTGCTATCTGCAACCGCACACCAATGGGCCCAAGACACGCTGAACTGCTGCAACAGTGAATGCCGAGTAGCGGCTGAATACATACGTTCTTCCTCATGTCTACGTATCCGGGAGTGCGCTCATTGCCATCGGACCCACACAGCGTGACGGCCGGCAGAAACAGCCCGTATGCGATATCCGCGCCGGTTTCAGTGTCGCCGGCGAGTCCGTTGGTTAAATACTGGCCGACCTGTTTGGTAGCTGTCTTCAGAGCGATCGAAACCTCCAGCAGCGTTGGCATGTTTTCGCTGTTAATCAACTCGGACTCGCCAAGCAGTCCCGTAATGGTCTTTGCGTGTGGCCAAACGTGTTCCCCCGATGAACCGGAAAGCAGTGCCCACAGAACTCGCAGGCAGCCGATGCAGAACTGGCTGGTGCCGTGGCCGCCGGTTTTGACTTGGGGCAAGATAACCTGGAGATAGACCGCGGGGTCCACAAAGCGGCCGATCACGGTTGCAAGCTGGACGAACTGGGGCCGAGTTGTGTGAGAGCAGGATTCAAGTCAGTGTGTGGAAGCGCGAGTCAGTCAAGCAGGATACACTGTCCCGGGTAGATCACTTGACTTTATGGCTGCTCTCACGAGCTTGATGCATTGGTACGACGGTGTACTCACGGCATCCATGACGTGCGCATCGTCTCCAGAGAGCACTTTGACCATCCCCGGCACAATCTGTGCAATGTAGCCGGTGATGTTGCTCTCGGTAAAAGTCACAAATGTCGCCAGCACCAAGGCCGACTTGTGACGCCGCTCCGCAGTCCAATCCTGGATGCCTGCGACCAGCTTTGCAACAATCTTTTGTGTGTTGTCGCGGGCAAGATGCCGGCACCCAACGCGCGGGCGTCCTGACGATGCACGAGCAGAATAAATATGATGTGGGAACTACTGGCTTTGCTTTGCACCGGATAGAAAGCAGGGAGTAGTCCACATTGGTGTGCGCAGACGAACCAATCCAAGGCGGTCACCTCGAGGCAACACTCGAATCGTCCTTGTGCTTACCGCTATTGGCTGGTGTGTAGTCCAGCTCGTCCTTCAACCGATCCTCCCACTCGGCTTCGTACAGGGCGCCCACCTGGTCAAAAAGCGACCGGGAGAGCTCCACGAGCTTGGGCACCTCGTCGCACAGGCCAGCCAGCAGCAGAGGGAGAATCTTGTAGCCGATCGAGTAGCGATCAGGAGTCTTGGTCAACCAGGCTGCGCTGGTCACATAAAGTTGTTCGCGAACTGCCGAGGTCTTGTCCAGGGTGAGGGATTGGAGCAAATCCGCCAGGTCATCAAATCCGCTGAAATCGACCAGGATGGCGGCCTCCAGGGCGACAAGTCCGCTGATGCGCACAGCGGAATGGCGGTGATGAAGACACGGGACGATTGCCTTGGCGATAGCGCCGCCGTGATACGCCAAGATACGCCGACAGTGCTCTGAGAGGAGCGTGACGACCTTGCATGCCTCCTGGATGCCCAAATGGATTAGTCGCGACGCATTTGAAATATCCGATCCGACGAGACAGCGTCGGGGCCGAGCCGAGCCGAGCCGAGCCGAGCCAGAATGGAAGGAGAGAGCAGCAACCGGTCAGTTTGTGACTCGGACCGTGCTGTCGAACCAGATCTTGGGGCCGAGTCGACGTTCGCTGCCGAGCCATACCTTCTTGACATCAGGAAACGGATCGGCCAAAACTCGGGCCAGGATTTCGACGGTGCTGTCGACAAAGGGCGAGTACTCGAGCTTGGTCGCTTCCAGCAGCTGGCGCAGGAGCTTGGTCTCCATCAACCGCACCTCCTCGGCAGTCTCGACGATTTCGGGCTGCCCAAGGCGAGTGACGAGCGTCGGCAGAATGTACTCGAGGAACGGCAGCGGTGTCGGCACTTGCTCGACAAAGCTGACAGATTGAGTGCGCCATCGATGTGAAGTTCGAGGCAGCCAAAGTCGGCGAGTCCAACAGATCGCATTAGCGCGGCAATCCATGGCAATCCATATAGACGAACAATCCATCACATCCACGATATGCCGCAGACACCGATGAGCCGACGCTATTGCGATGGCATTATGGCGGTTCTTGGGCACGGATGGGACTCACTCACTTGGACAGAGTCTCGACAGCGAGCTCTCGGACGCGCTCGATCGGGTCTCCGAGGCATTTGAGGAGGGTCTTGACAACGGACTTGAAGACGAGCGAGAGAACCTCGGGATCGATCTTCTTGGGCCGCTTCACGGTCTCTTGTCGGATCTTTTCGAGCGAGCGTCGCTTGGCCGCGCGGTCCGACGACGATTCCGCGAGGATGTTGATGTCTCTCTGGAGGGTCTATTGCGCGATTGGCCGTCAGCACATGATCGTGAGCGTGGACGATCATTCGATGCCCGCATGCTGTTCAGCCAGCAGCCTCCGGGCACGTAAGCGGATCGGGCTGGCGCTGGGGCGAGACAAGCGATCGCAGAACCCACCTGGACAATCTCGTCGCCGAGGGCCTCGGTGGACGCGGCACTGGGGCCTGCCGAGCCGGCCGCTGGAATCTCACTGTCCAAAGCCATCATTTTACTTGCAGATGCTGCTCGAAGCCTGGAAGACTCGAATGCGTGGTCGCCAGAGTGCCTGGTGCGGTGCTTGTTTGGCCGCTGCGATGAGCCGCGAGAGCAGAAATCAGTCCAGCAGCGGTTTGGCGCGCACAACAGCCGGATCGATCCGGCTGGCTGGCTGGCTGGCTCGATCCGCGGGCTGGCGAATCAGAGTGCGTGGCCAGGGCGGAGATTGATTGGGTGTTGGCCATCCAGCCCGGCCTTGCAACACTGTATTCAGGGGGAAATGGGACACTTGCCCACCCATATGTCAGCGTAGTATGCGATGGCATGCGTCCAACTATGCCATAAGAAGTATAACAGATCACTTTGGCAGCCTCCGAGTGAAGACCACCGGTCGCAGTGCAGCGATGCGGAAATCGAGGGTGCTGTGTTTGGCCATGATTGCAATGAGTGGGTGGGTGTATTCAGGTTCCAGAAAAACATATGTCATGGCTCAAAACGGGGGTGTCCCATTTCATTTTGGAAACGCCAAGTCGCTCTCGACCAAGTGCGCGGTTCGGCTTCGGCCTTGGCATACTTATGTCCGAAGGCAAGGATGCATCCGGGTCGGCGCTATCCCGATTGTGATCCAGCCGCACCCGGTTCACATGGCTCCAGCGACAGTCAGCAGGGCGCTTTGGCCGAGTCAGGATCGATGCACCGCGGATGCAGGATGATTGCTGGGCAGCATGCTTGCACCCCCGGGAGAGCCCGCGTGGTCTGTCGCAACACCACTCGATATGGCTGGCCAGTCCGTGCTGGTGCCGCCGAAGCCGAGCGAGTCATGATGATCTGTTTGCCGATCGGAGCTCAAGGCGGAGTTGAGGGGGAGCTTTGCGGGTGAGGGGCTATATATTAGGTGCGGCCCGCGGCGAAAGAGTCGGCCTGATATTGTCAGCCGCATCGAAAAGACACCACCATCTAACAACCACCAGCCAGCACCATGATCTCTGAGCGCACCGCCCTCCCAGACGGAGCGAATCCCCACACCATTCTGGTCGCCATCAGAGGCGCACCCTCTCCAACGGATGATCTGCACACCCTCGAGCAGGTCTTCACGTCGCTCGTGCACGATGGCGATGTCGTCCATCTGCTCGCCGTCGAGGCCATGCACGAGCCGATAAGCCAAGTGTTGAAGCAACAGAGCGCCGAGAATGCCCGGTTGAGCTTGGGCGAGGTCATGCAACGACACCCCGCAAAGGTCAAGGTCGCCGTCCATACTGCCCGTGGTGACCTCCAGACGGCCGTCATAGACTATGCTCGACAGCTGGAGCCCCAGTATATTGTCCTGGACGACGTGCACGTACTGGAAGGCTACTACACGTACGTTATACTCTCAGACTTCTCCATCTGCACCATGCAAATGTCCCCTCCCCCCGCTTCGTCCTGCCTGTGCTGATCGCCTGCCCCGCTCCGGTCGTGGATCTTGTCAGGCTGCCCGAGAGCGTCGTCGAGGTCACCGACGCCAACCGTCTCTATTACCAAGCCAAGGGCTATCCCCATCCAGGGCCCGAGACAAACCTGATCCTGATGTGAGCAACGACGGCTCCATGGCTCCAGATGCGAGTGGGGTGGCCCTGGGAGGTTCTCCGTCGCTTGGAGTCGCTGCTTTCGTTAGTGCCAGCCACACATCACATTTCATCGCATTTAATCACATCCGGACTGCCGGATGGAGGTCTGGGCAACGATAGCGCACCTGCGCTGGGTTTGCGGGTGCGCTGCTGGTTCATGTGCGGGCCTCCCGGCACGCTCCCCAGCGCCGTACATCGCCATCTTGATTCCGGACTCAATATACCAGCCGTGTGCCGCCCGTATCCACCTGTCCTTTGGAACGAGCTGGGCTATCTATTTGAGCGTGTGCGTGCAGTGGAACAATGAATGAGGCTGTCGCTTTATTCTACTTGTTTTGGAGTTGGTTTTTGAAACTGAAAACGGAGTGAAATCGGGATCGGAATCGGAGTTGGAGACAAATGAACAGAACTGGTATGGTCCAGGGACAGACCGATTCATGAAACAATGTGAGGTGGAGGGCATGCATACTTCACTCAAGACAGCGAGACAGGGGCATCGACAGCTGATGCGGCAATTGGTGCTCTTTACAACTCGGCGAAGGGCTTGAATGGTCCTATTGTCGTCGTCGGGGGAAGCGGTGGATGCAGGAGTGGATCTTGTGCGTCTCTCTCACATCTTCCAGCTCCATTTGAGGGCGCCGTATTGGTAGGCCTGTACAAAGATCACAAAATCAAAGATCAGGGTGCCCAGCGATCCCACAAGGTACGGGAACTTGCTGCACCAGAAAAGGTAGTCGACGACTGGGAATCGAAGAATGATGCTGAACGCATAGGTGAGGTTGCCGACAACCGTGAAGCTGAAGAGCGCCAAGCTGAGGCCTTCGACTGACTGGATCCGGTGGTTTTCGATGATTTGCGGGATTCTGGATGAGGGCGGGGGGATATGCGTTCGTCAGTGTCGAGCACCTCATGTTAGCGACACCAAATCGCTGCTCCAATCGACCCCATTCGGGATCTGGATTGCTTTGGACGCCGTCGGTTGTGCCCAAGCTCGGTGTGGCTGCTCTTTCTCTCCAAACAAACCTGCTGACAAAGTACAGCGTCCCGGAGATCCAGGCCGAAACCGAGCCGATAATCAGTGTCGTCGATGTCATGGGAAGTGGTGCATCGCAGAGTGGCAGAGGGTCGTCCAAAGCCGCGGAGCTGATGCTCGTGCCGAGCAGGCTCAGGCCCGAGAAGCTGTAGCCCAGATACAGGAAGCTGACGATGATGGCTACGATGGAGCTGAGTCCATAGGTGAGAAACCGGTTGCTCCAAAGTGTCTGCCACCGGACGACTCCCTCTTCACGAGTCTCCTCTGGCTGACTCGACTCGCTGGTCCCGGTGGCTTGCGATGCAGCGCCGTAGCTCGAGGAGCTGCTCTGGTCCTCCAGAAGTGAAGTTACTTCATCGCCCTCGTGCTGGGTGCGGGACGAAAAGTAGAACCACTGCAGAATCATCACAATGTCCGACAGGACAAAGTAGCCGGCGAGGAACTTTTGCGTCGACAGCTGATTGGTAAGGACGGCACCCAGAAAGTTGCTGAGGTCGCCGGCTGACCAGAAGGCCACCAGCCCAAAGCTGAACCCTTCGACCGAGCGACGCTGGTAGTTCTTGATCTGGGCAGCAGAGCGACATTAGACCATAGGACCAACATGCGGCCGCACGACCGACCGGCTGAGGGGCATTCGCGCCGATCAGGACTGAGACCGAGGACAACACAACTCCAGCCGTCGGCAGCTGCTTTGCGGGCCAAGAGGCAGGGAGCGACCGACCGCCCACAGAGTGAGGGGAAGCGGGGCCCGGCGGGACTGCTCACCATCTGCGGCAACATGGCCACGACGAAGGCGAGGATGCTGATCATGCCCAGCACAAAGGCGGCGATTTCATAGTCAGACCGGACGCAGTCGCCAAAGTACGTGCCGATCCATTGGATGTAGCGGTGGCCGTCGATGCTCTCGGGGGAGCATGTGCATAGAGACATTCTGGTGGCGGAGGACGGCGGGATGTCCAAGTCCGCAGGACGGTGCGATGGGGGGCTGGGTTGGGCTGGGCTGGATGGATAAGCCGACCGGATTCACACTTTTTTTGGCCGGCGGCGGCGCGGCACAAACCAGTTTCGGCGTGACACGAAGCGGCGCATTCGAGCCGGCTGCGGCTGGCTCGATCCGATCTTCCATCGAACGGCAAGTGCCACAACATCGGCAAACGGCGCTCTCGGGTTTGCTGGAGATGCATCGAGTTGCGACATCGCGCTGCAGCCGTGTGGAGACCAAGGCTCCTCTCCAAAGAAAACAAAAGAAAGAGCGATGGAAGCTGAGCGCCCCGTTTCCTTTGCGGGCACGCAAGAGAAAAGACCAACCAGGGCCCACCGGCCAGGGCCCAGCGGACAGAGCCCGTATGCACCCCGTCGGCTCCGCTTGGCGACTGCCTGTCCCGCCAGCTCTTGATCGACGCTCCAAAGTCCATCAGCTCGCAGCCCGTCCGATCAACGCTTCAGTTCCTCCGCCGATCCGTCTCCTGCAGCCGGGCCCATCGCGACGCAGCCATGTCGGCAGACATACCCATCTTCATCAGCATCCCGACCGATGCATCTCCGCGACTCGTGCTCACAATCACACGGACTCTTGGTCTGGCCTTTGGTATCCTCTGTAGCTTTGTCTTTGTGTATGTGTGCTTCCACCTCGGAGTCAACTGGTACCAGAGACGACACAACCCAGAAGCATGGGCACAGGTGGGTGACCCGATGGCCAACCAGAGCAGCCCTGAAGCAAGCCAGGGCCAATCGCACTGCACCACAGGACTAGATATACGAAAGCGGATGTCCCCTGCGCTCTTGGACGAGGGTGGCTGATTGCTTGCGAGGTGCTGCTACTTCGGGTTGCTCGGCACTCGCCCAGCTGGACTAGCCTTCAGTGTTGCTGACCTTCTGTCTGCGACATGGTCAACATGGACTTTCAAACCAGAGTAAAGCAGAGCAGGAGCGCGCGAGCGAGAAAATCTCCTGCAACTTTTTCAGGCTCGGCAAGTGCTTCTTCCGCCTGAGCTTCTCCGTCGAGGAGCACAAGCGCTCCCGAGGCCGCAAGAGTCTGCCCTTTCTGTTTGCCCTGGTCTTTATCATCAGCATCATCGTGATCAACAGCGCCATCAGCCAGAAGAATCCGTCAACCAACACGTACGTGATCCAAATGAGTCTTCTGCAAGTCGGATTTGTGCTGTGGTTCCTCGGCTTCAACGGCTTCTTGATCAACAGAATCATGTCGTACCACAAACGTAAGCCCTGTGACAGCCCCCATGGATGGGATGTTCTGCTCGTGGTCTGGCCAGCGCCGATGAGGCACGGGACTGAGCAGCTCATACTCCAGCTGTTACCTTCGTACAGAACGGACTGAAGAGCGCAAGCGACTGGCCAAGCTCCGGAGACTGACTTGCAACCCTGGGTATGCTGATGCCGGCATCCCAAAGCCCGATCTGCCTCCAAAGGACCAGCCATACTTGTTGCCGTCAATGTGCACTGGTCCATCTGCAAGTGGCCTCAGTAACAGCTCGGACGTCAACTTGACGCTATCTGCCCAGTCACCGCCGGCCGACAGCGACACCGACGGCTACAGTGTCTCCTCTTCCCTCGACGATCCACACTCGACTCTGTCCAGCACCCGATCTGGGCCTCCCACCGACACGCACAAGTTCAAGAGGCGCATCAAGCACATCCAGCCGCAGCACTGGAAGATCAATCTGACCCTGTGGAACTCGATCCAGATCACCAACATCTTTATCGAGTTTTTCCAGCTGGTCTCGTATCCGCTCCGGGATCTCCTGCGCAACGACGCCTTCCAGGAGTATATCACGAATCTGCAGCTCAACGACACATACAGCGACGACGGCGTCATTGCCCTGCTCAACTCTCTGCGCCTGTTCTTTTCGACCCTCTCAAGCGGCGTGCCGTCGCTGGACTATGCCCTGCTGATGCGCGTTCAGTTTGTCGTGGCGTGGTGGACCATGCTGTTTGCCTGGGTCCTGGTGGTTGTCAGCCGCCTGCTGCTCTGGGCCCTCGCCCGTGGCCAGGAGCCAACCCAACTGGCTGGATGGAGGCTTGGCTGCCGCAAATTTTTGACAGGCACATGGATCCTGTACTTCATTCCGCTTGTCAACCTCTTCTACATGATCCTGCTCAACGCCTTTATCGAGCCGCTGGGCTGTCTGATCAGCAACACTGTGCCGCCCTGGCCGCCACGCACCGACGCAAACCACTCACAGATGGTCCAGAATCGCCTCGATGCTATCCAGAGCCGTATTGCATACTGCGCCCCGATACACGACAACAGCCCCCCACTCAACACATGGTTCGCCATGTCAGGTTATCTGATGTGCTACACACTGCTGACAATGTTCAGGTAGGTCACGTCGAAGGCAAGACCAGACTTTATGAAAACTGGGGCTGTCGTTGCTGTGGTGCCTGCCGGGTGATCGATGTTTGTCAAGTCCTTGGCTGGGTCGGTACCGATCTTGCTGCATGTTGGCTCGATATCGAGATACGGCCAGGCTTTGTGCCTACAACCCAGCATGGTGAGCTTGCCACGATTGCCGGATAGTACGAGGCGGCTGACGTCAACAATGACTTGCATTGGCATTTCTTGGTCAGGATATCAAACGAGCCTGACCCCAAGGCCGGCGTCGTGTCCTTCACGCCGCGATCGGAAGGTGTGTTTCGATCATATCCGATCCTCCAGCCTCCTTTCCAGAGCCCACACAGCAAATGAGTTCCTTAATCAATGCCGATGCCATGTAGCGGGCCTACTTGCCTGCATGTCATTCGTTCTGATCTCGCCAGACTGACCGAGCCGTATCCCTTGACCCCGTCCAGTCCTCAACAAGAACGGCTGCTTGACGATCCTGCTGCTGTATACACTGCTGTCGACCCAGGACTTTTCCACAACGAGGGGTGTGCTGGCTGCCCTGGTTCTCGCCGCCATGATCGCCCACAACATCATCATAGGGTCGTCATACTCGATTATCGCCAACCACATCAAGTCGGGGTGCTACATCCTATGTTGGTGGATGTCGCTTGTGGTGGTGTACTACACCCATCCAGCCAACGCCGACCTGCTGACCGATGTTGGAACCGGCGCACTTGTTACCGTCATTGCGGGCGGAGCGATGCTGATCGCGATTTACTTTGCAATCCTGTGGTGGCTCAACCGCTTGCACTTCCCCTGAGCTGGCCGAGAAGCGAGACTCCCTGAGACCTGATAATGAATGATGGCACATTCCACCAACACAACGTCCTGCATGAGCAACTTGATGTATTGTTGAGTGGCCGGCTGGACTATTGGATGGTTGGACTATTGGATGGTTGGACTATTGGATGGTTGAATGGTTGAATGGACACAATGCCCTGGAGCTCCGAGAGTGGTCCAGCGTGCGTCAGGCGCAATCTCCTGGACCATCGGCATCCAGCCAACCGTCTGCCGAGCCCAGCCAACAGCGATCACATGCCTTGTAGACCCACGTCACCAATCACCGACAGGTCATGATGATTATGGGATGATCGGACTGGCATTACACACTTGGCCGGCCGAGGAATGACGCGCCGTCGATGGATGGGGCTCTTGGACCCACTGAAGGCGGGTGCAGCTTTGTGCCTGCTGTGAATCAGTGCAGCAGTGCGGGAATCGAGGGCGTGATGGATAGACACTGTGGATGACATGTGTGTGTGTGCTCCCAGCGATCGAAATCCACACAGGTGCCTCGCTTCAGTTTGTGATCCGGGGGCCATCGGGTTGAGGCGGATCCGCTCTATTCGTGTGTGCGGGTTCGATGCGGCCGGCCCATTGCTTGTCCAGGCGGACCATTCGAATTTACAGCACTTTTGCACTCAGGGTTGTATACATCGCTGGAGCGACAGACGCTGCCGAAAGAAAGTGCGGTGATACTCGAGCAGCAGCATGGGATACGCGAATCTCACCCACACCGAGATCCTCGGGCGCATGCGCTTCCTGGAAGAAAGGGTTGCCACGACCTTCAAGGAGATCCAGGAAGATCTCAAGGAGCTCCTCTTCGACTACAGCCGGCTTGTGAATGAGGAAACACCCGAAGGCAGCGTGAGCAGCAGCCTCGAGTCGTTACCGCCGAACCCACAAGCGATCATCAAGAACAAGCAGCTCACAGAATCCCCTGCCAAATCAGTGGGAAATCTAAGTATCCCAGGCCATGTACCCAAAGGTGTGCGTCAGTGCCACGACTAATTGAGAGAAGGATGACCCGCTATCCGGCCAACGCACCCTCCTACATGCCACCGTGAGAGGCGATGCAGAAACTCGACGAACTCCTCACTGACATCACGATGGTCCCTCCTATCGGAACAACAGGGTTGATGGTCGAAAGCGAAGGACGGTCCGTACGGCCGCGATGTGAGTGTCTTGGCACGGTCTGGTGGATGTTGCATCTCCGCGTCGATGCAGATCAATGTTTCGTGGTCGCAGAAACCGCTACTTATTCGTGCTGAATGTGGCCTCCCGTCTCTTGCCACAGCATCATCAACATCGGCTCGGACGCCTTTCGGGTCTTCAATACCAATGAAGGCGCATTCACCGCTTGCCAAAGGAGGTAACAACGATTGCGTCGGAGGCCAGTCGCGACGCATATGCGAGATGCATGTGAGATGGAGCTTCCTCTGCTGATGCGATGTGGTGTCGCTGAATCTGGCTATGATGAATGGCGACGAGGATGTATGGCGACGAGGATGGCAAACAAATTTAGTCGCCACCTCTGATTTGGTGAGCTGAGACTCATCGAAACACTTGGATGTTGAACACAGTCGTTATTCCAGAAGGCTCCGAAAGCTCTATTCGGCAGGCGAGTCCTGAGGAACACCCCATTCTCAAGGCAATCCACACGCCGCACCCAATTGACTTGGAGAGAGGCGTTATGCCGATACCTGCGTTTCGCATCGACGGCCTCAAGAGCTCTGGGGCAAACGGAATGGGTAGCCAGCACAGCGTGGCGTCCACCGCCAGCCGCAAAAATCGTGCCGGTATGTAATCGAAACGAGACTGGCTGTTTGTCTACCGCAAGACACGATTCAGTGGTGCTGTAGTTCTGTCGGGCAAAATGGAGTGGATGGATTCAACCCGTTGCCCACACGAGCGCTCGACCAAGTCAAGTTGCTGATACATTCCTTCGATCTACAACATCAGATGAGCTCAGCAGCATGTCGAGCAGCTCGCTTGCCTATGAGCCGCCGGTGATGTCGAACATGGGGTTTTCACGGCGCGGAACCGGCATGCGAGGTGAGAGCCGGCGCTCGTTCGATGAGGGCTTGCAAGTGTCAGTGCCTCGGTCTTGGCTGGCTATCCAACAGTTCTTGATGCTATGTGCTTTCACATCTCGTGCCGAGCTTGCTTGGCTGCTGTGCTGCACATGAATCAGTGGAACGATGTGCGCCTCGCTCGACTTGGTGAGGCCGACATGATCTTCACGGTCTGATGGACTTCCGCTCTCCATCAATTATTCGATATACTCTTTCATCGATCGGTTGCTCCTACCCAGCCTCGATCGTCCACAGCCTGTTTTTAGCCCCGGTTATCAATGACGTAACAACTCTGACGGCTGGGAATGGAAACTATAATGCGCAGCCGCAAGCCAGCTCCGGGGTGTCGATTGCAAGTGCCGCTCAGTCGGTCAGCAACATTTACGAGGAGATCAATCGAAACGCCGAGTCGCAGCGAGTGCTGGAGCGAGATGCTCATCACTCACGATCCGTGCGAAGCAGCAGACATGGAACAATCGACCGGAAATCGATCACAAGCGCCAAAGCGGAGAAATCAAAAGGGCTGCAGACTCCTCGAATCTCGTCATCCCAAGTGGACTCAAGACTTTCAAAGGTCAGCTCGATCGACGGCGGATTCAAGGCCTGGGCGAACAGGCTCAAAGACCGACTCGATCACATCTTTGTCAAGGACCAAGACGACCGAGAGTTTGTTGGAATCGGAGACGACACCCATGCCGATGCTGGAATCGTTCTGCATCCACTCTCGGTCTTCAAGCGGATGTGGAATGCCATGGAAAGCACGGTCCTGACGCTGCTGATGATTTTACTGCCGTTGTGCCTGGGATACCAAGAGATGGCGGCATATCTTCGACCCTTCATGGCCTTCACAACAGTGTTTTTCCTCATCGGAATCTTCATCCACATTCGAACGGGATACCTCAGCGGCGGGCGCGTCATCGTCAGCCGGACCAAGATCCTGCGAAAGTACATTCGGACATGGCTCGCCTTTGACTTTGTCACCATCTTCCCATATGTCTTTGTCGTCGACGGATTATACCCCACATCCGACCCCTCCGCACCTGGGCAGCCGACTAGCCCGAACTTGATGCTGGCGCGCCTTGTGTGCCTCTTGAATGCCGCTCAGTGCTTCAAGTTTATACTGACTCCTGACGACCACAAAACCACGTTCGCCTCGATCGGAAAGTACCTGCGCGTCAACTACAACATCAATTCCAACTTTTTTGAATCGCTGCGGGTCATAATTGCCATGGCGATCTACTGGCACTGGTCAAGTTGCATCCGCAACTTTGTGAATCTGCAAGATTCGACCATATCTGGGACATTCTTTGAGCGATACACATTCGGATTCTACTGCAGCGTCGCCGAGATGCTGTCGGCCGGGTGAGTCGAGATGCTGCCGTGATGCTGCCGTGATGCTGCCGTGATGCTGCCGTGATGCTGCCGTGATGCTGCCGTGATGCTGCCGTGATGCTGCCGTGATGCTATCGGCTGGTGGCACGATTGAACATATCTCTTACCCGAGACGATGTCGGACGGATGAATGCAGATTCGGAGCGCTTCCTCCAGGGACGCCAAGCGAGCGATGGGTGACCATCTTCAACATGATCTCGAGCTCGATTCTGCTCGCTGTTCTCGTCGGAAACATAAGCTCGGTCATGATTGGACTGGACAGGTATGCGTGTACTCGGCAGAAGAGGAACATTGTTCATTTTTGTAGAGGGGGGGGAGAAGAATTGATCAGTCTGAGACAAGGACGATAACGAGGTCTGCTGAGAAGCCCAAGTTGCGCTCGCTCTCCACCTCGCTCTTCACCTCACTCCCCGTCTCCTGCTTCGCTCCTTGCACCGTACTCATGCCCTGCATCTCTGTCAAAGCTCGGGTCGCAAGTTTCGGGAGAGAATCGACGAAGTGAATCAGTACGCGGCATACAAGGGCCTCGATCCAAGTGCAAAGCAGCGGGTGCTCGAGTACTACGAGTTCAAATATACCAACGGCAAGTTCTTTGACGAAAACACGATTTTGTCGGATCTGAATGCCTCGATTCGAAAGGTGGGCATGCGTATCCGCTCCCAGACCGACCCGCCGATGCACCCGGCCCAAACATCAACCATGCTGGAGTGCTAACTCGCACTTGCCTTCATTCTTGTTTCCATGGCGCTCTGTTTGCAGTCCATCTGCCTCCACAACTCACGGCAGCTGATTGTCAACTTTGCCTTTTTCCGGGATGCCGACGAGACCTTCATCAACTCGGTGGTGACCGCCTTGAGGATCAACCACTTCCTGCCAGGAGACTACGTGATCGAGGTCGGCACTATTGGGGAAGAAATGTACTTTATCGCCGTGGGCTTTCTCGACGTCATTACGGAGGGAATAGTCCGGGCGCGACTATCGCCTGGACAAATGTTCGGAGGTAAGTATGGAGAAGGACTTGCGCGGTGAAACGCAGTCATGATGAGCAGCATACGCATGGCTCTTGCTGCAAACCGTAGCAGTAGAATGAGGCAGATGGCTGTGGGGGGGGGGCGAATGGTACTCCCACGGCTTTGGTGATCCGCCCTTGTTCCCACTGATCCCTCGTCTCTGTGGCGACTCTCTCCAGAGATTGCACTGCTCAAAGGCATGATGCGAAGGACTGCCTCGATACGAGCTGTTACCCCATGCGTCCTCTACAGCCTCAGCAAGTCCGACTTTGACGTCATCCTACAGCACCACCCGACCCAGGCCGAAGTCATCCGCAAGATTGCCGAAGAGAGACTCGAGAACTCCAAAGCCGTCGCCGAAATGGAGGAAAAGAAGCGGCGGGATGCCGCAGAGCAACTGTCCGAGTCCGAACTTAGCAGCTCGCGGACGTCACAGATCTATGAATCGGAGTGAAGCCGGGCCCAGAGAGGAGATATGGCTTTGGCGGGATGGCTGACCGAGACCAGCGCCGTGTGTAGCTAATTGCGGCGACCGACTCGACTGGTCTTTCGCTGGTCGGACTCTACCTTGGCTCTGGTATTTCGGAGCCTCAGACGTGCCCTCGGCAATAGAAGGAATGTGGGCCATTTTGATGCTCTCGGGAACAGGAGCTGTATGTACAACTGATATTGATATCATGTATCTGGGCTTCCGGGCAAATGCTTGGATCGCGACAACCGTCGGCTGCCAGTCGGAACAGCTGACAGAACAGTATGCAGGGGATACAGGAAAGCGATGAGCGGGATGGAAAGGAGGGGGGGTGATATCTCAGTCCCGCAGAAGCAGGGGTGAGACGGCGGGTAAGAGCCTCCGGTTGCTAGGGAGAGCACACCAGCGACTCCAGAGCCTACAAGCGGTCTGAGCAGCGACTTAGTCGTCGTCTTCTCTGAATCCAGCCAGGACAGAGTTTTCTTCTTCGTCCTCTTCGACGTCCAGACCCTCCATTTCCTTCTGCAGCAGCTCCTCGGTGATATCGGCCGTGATGTCGCCCTCCTGCAAGACGGCCAGATCGGACTTGGCCAGGTTCTTGTCCTTCTCGAAGAGCTGGCGGCCCGTCCGGGCAGACTTTTTTTGGTTGTTGATGCCCTTTTCTTGGGCCTCCTTGGCAGCCAGTTCGGCCATCTCCTTCAGGAACTTGGCGTTCCACTGCTCAAAGACCTGGGGAGTGACCTTCTTGCCTTCGTACCGGGCAGCTTCCTCCTCCTCCTCGCGTCGGATGCGCTCCTCGATCTCTCGCTGGATTCGCTCGGCTCGCTCGACGACGTAGACCTCGAGGGCTTCCTTGGCCGTCGAATGCATCGTGAAGACCATGGCCATGCCCCGGTACTGCTCCGCCACCTCGGTCACCTTGCCCAGGAGCATCGCGCACTCGTCTTCGCTGAGCTCGGTCGGGTCTTCGATCGACAGGAGAGGTAGTTCGTCGGGATAGGTTTCGGTGTAGGTGATGTCGAGGTAGAATCGGGTATCACGGGCCGAGCCCTCCACCACCAGCGGCAGGGCCGAGTCGTCGGGAGCGACGAGCAGTCGGAAGTGGGCCGGAGGGCCTTCGTCGATCTCCTCGAATTCTTCGTAGAAGATGGACCGGAGGGCCTCGAGCTCGTTGGTTTGCTCTTCCTGATGGTCGGTCATGGCGGTCCTGAAGGGCAGCGAGGAAGGAACGGACGGATGTTGGTGCGGCAGGCGCTTGACGGGGCCTGTGGGATCGAGATCGTCGGCTGGGCAGATGGGCAGGGCTGGGCGATCTGGGATCAAGCAGGAATCGGAGCGAGGAAAAAACGAGAGCGAGAGCCGCGAACCAAGCCCAGCGCGAATGCCTCGGTCTCGCCGAGAACAGCACCCGTCTCGTCGAGAAGTGCGACAGAGCACACAGCCGCCAGAGCTGCGTGCATGTCCGGGCGCCCTCTGGCTCATACCGGATTCGAGATCCCGGCAAGGCAGCATTGGTGCGTCTGGAGGCGGCTCGCCCGGTGCTCGGCGACGCTCTCGGTGTGGCGAGCGGGTTCTGGGATGCTGGACTGCCTGTGGCGCAAGCCGGTGTGACTCCCACATGACCGAGATGTCGCGCCACACATCGATCTGCCCACACCGACCCGATCTGCACAACACCACCCCAGCCGGCCCTGCCACGATCAGCCATGATGTCCTCCTCCTCAGATCCTGCATATCGCACCACCGAGATTCGGCTTGCGCAGCATATCGAGCGCCTGCTTTCCGACGACGGCTGCCACGTCGACCTCCCTCTGCGAAAGCTCCTTCTGGGGGACCAGGGCTGTACGTATGCGTCCGAGCAAATCTCACTCGACATTGCCCGAGTGCTTGTCCTGTCCTGCCGGTATGGCCGACCACGGCGAAGACGACACGGTCTCAGGCGATTGCAGATGCTTTGACCGGACTGCTGATGTTGATATGCATCTTTTGCGCCACAGGGGTTCCGATCGACTTTCTGCTCAACACCAAGCGGCTCTCGGGATTTCCCAACGACGACGCTGTCATCGCCAAGGCTCTGCGAGCCCATGCCTCAGCGTCGATAGAGGTTCGGCAGTGCTGCTGTTGGAGCGACATGTGCCCGATATGAAACACAGCACCGCAAGTGCGAATCAGTTCATGACAAACCAGATAACCAGTCTGGATATGGGCGGATCGTCCAGTGGAAGCTGAGACTTTGGACTGACCCGCTCGTCCCGTATTGCAAGGTCAACAAGGATGGACGACGGATTCGCCGCAAATCGCCCGCAAACGTCTCCAAGCTTGCCGAACTCGACAGCCGGACCATATATCTTGTAGGGTCCGTTCCGCATGGTATGCACGATGAGGAACCGACTGCTCTGGTGCTGACATCTCCCACGCTCGCTCCCCTGCCTTGCACACATCTGGCTGGTCCAACGGACGATCGAAGGAGCGGCTTCCCCCCAACTCAACCGCCGATGACATTCGTGGGGCTGTGGCTGCGCTTGTGCCCGTCAGCTCGGTGTGCATTCCATTCGAGGGCCGAAATGGCGCCGATCGGACCCTGGGCAAGTTTGCGTTTGTTCGACTGGAGCGCCAAGCCGATGTCGCAAACGCTGTCCAGGCTCTCAACACCATGACAAAGCTCACGCCCAGGATGGTCAGCAACCAAGCAGCCCTGCCACCAGGTGAGAGGCTGCTGCGGTGTCTCGACTTGTAAGTCACAGTCCGGGGCTGCTGGTGCACTCGCGCCAGTTGCCTGCTGATCTGTGCGATCCTGAGCCTGAAAATTCGAGAGGACTCGATCGCTTGCACTTGGGATGGTCGGCCTTCAGGATAGCTTGAGGCGGTGGTGGTTGGCTTGGCCAGATCGATGATCCTGAGTTGCACCGAGGAGACAGTGGATGCTCTGTGCGTCGTGTGAGGCTCTGGGTGCTGATTTGATTAGGGTCTCTGGATACTAATGATCCGATGGCCCATTGTGTCCTCCCGTCACAGTGCCAGCTGGCGATCCCTGAGCGAAGAATACCAAGCACTGCTGGAATATAACAAAAATGTACTGCGAGAAACGCTTGAACAACAGATCAACCGGCACGGCCCTGCGGTGTTCGAACAAGGTGTCGTTGCCGAGTTCACCGGGACGCATTCGCAAACCAATACCAAGACTTTGAAGGTTGGGGGATCTGACGTTGTCGGCGGGAGGGAGGATGCTGGATATGGAGTTTGGATGAGGGAGCATATTGGATGTGCGCCGCCGCAGTCAACAAACGCAGTCAGCAAACGCAGTCAGCAAACGCAGTGTAGCCGGAATCTGATGCCAGTTCCGTCATCAACAGCGCATGTTTGAGTCGGTAGCGCCTGTGGCATATTTGGACTGCCGACGATCGAAAGGCAGTGGCCGGGTAAGTTTGGCATATGCATGTGGGTGGTAATACTGGATGGTGACAGTCGCGATCGCCAAGTATCTCAGCGTTGACTCTGATATGGTGGCGGGGGATTCGCTTTGCAGGGCCACGTACGATTCAAGACCCCTTATGGCGCTCAGCTTGCCGAACTGTATTTCAAGCGCGAGTCTATAGTGCAAATTCACGGACAAGATATCGGCACCCTCTATTCCAAGGCCAAGCAGAGCATGGCGCATCGCAGCAACCAAGAGCCGGGGCCACAGCACGATCCAGCGGTCCGACCCGACCCGGCTCTGATCAAGCTCAGGATCATCAGGGGCGACGAAGAGCGGCAGTATTGGAGCCGGATTCAAGGACAGCAGCATGAAAAGTACACCGAACACGACGAAGAACAGCAGCACGGCGAGGGCGTCGAGTCCATGCGTACTCTCGATGCAGCATCCACGAGTCATGTTGCTGCTGACTCCATCGCAGCGAGAGCAAAGGATGAGGCTCCCCCCAAAGCAACCCGAGCGGCAAGCACACCCGAGACCATACCCAAAGTCACCAGGCAGAAACGCCACGCAGCAGTGAAGGCGGCGCCAGTGATGCATGTTCGGTTCGATGCCTCCGAGCCAGAGGACGACAGCGACGGGGATGCAATCGATACGGCGCAGCTCCCGAACCATAGCGACAGCACCAAGCGAAGCCGAGCCAGCAACGACGACGGGCCAGAGTCAGATGGCGAGGGTGGCGAACGGCCGCTGACCAAACGGGCTCGAAGGGACGACGAGGAATGAGGCGAATCGCCACCTTTGCCCGCTGAGGCAGCATTGCTTTGTTTCTGCAAAGCGGAGACATGGCAGCGCAGGATTGCGCAGCAGAATACATGAAGTATCTTGCGAGAACCCGCATGGGAATATCAGGATGGCGCTCCTGGAGCCGCAGGGTCGGCGATTCTGGGCCGTCAGAGTGGACGAGTGTTGTTCACGCAGAGCCTTCGCCGCCACGAGATCCGCGAGATGAGGACCGATGACGATCTGGGCGTCACGAAGATGCAGCCGCTGTGCCGCTCTGACGGCACCGGCTCGGACTCGCCTGGAGCGACTGGTGCAGCGCCGGCCGGAAGGTGGTCCTGAGAGCGGCGTTCACATGGCGAAGGCCAACGGCAGCGCCAGCCATATCGGAGACAAAGACCCGCCCGTTTCCTATCTCGCCAGCGCTGAATCTCCACCCGATCCGAGTGGCAGCTGTCACGATCATGAGGAGCGCAGGGAGACAAGCACATGAGCAGGGCGTCCGGGCCCAAGGGCAAGTCACACGGGCGATGCCAATCATGAAGGTTGAGCGAATCAGGACAGACCAAGGCAGCGCAGCGACAACATCGGCGACCCACCAGAGCAGCTGTGGCTGCTATCAGGCAGGGCAGTTGTATCTGCTATCAGCCGGCTCTGGGGTGGATGGGCTGCTGCCACCATCGCACAGACCGCCGTTGTGCGGACAGGCAGCACGGCCGATGGTGCGGCAAAGGCACAGCAGCGACGGGAATGAAAGCGGCGGTGGCACCGGACTTTCCAGCAAGGGCAGGTCAGGAGGGGGGGAAAGGATATGGGAAGCCAGGGGCACACGGCAGTAGTGGATTATGCCGTGAGGATGGGCCATCGCAACCCTGCTGAAGCACCGAAACCATCCGGCCGTGATGCCGAAACTGCCCAGCCGTGATGCTGAAACCATCCTGCCGCGATGCCGACCGACACAGCTCGGATATCGCACCTTCGGCCTGGCCGGGACGGGCTCGGGAAATACAGGGTGACACCGCCCACGCGGAGCGCGGGTGCACGGGCGCACAGGGCGGGGGAGTGTCGGCCGCACGTGAAGGCGGCGGGCGGCCTTGTGGGCGGGACCCGTCCGCTGACCTAATCTGGGCCGCGCTGTCGCCGGACGCCGTTGTGCTTATCGGGCAGGACCGGAGATTGGCCTCCAGCTCGTGCATGTCCGTCGCCGTCGCTGGCTGGCTGGCTGACTGGCTTATCGGCTGGTCCCGCAATTGTCTCCGGGGAGCGACATCGCCCCGAAGCGCCGCCGCCTGCAAGCCGCCTATAAAACCTCCCCCCATGCGCAGAGCCCTCGGCGGTCTGCACGATCGTCCCAAGTTGCGCCCCTTCTGCGTCGCAGCCAAGCTCTGTCGCGGCTTTTTTTTCAAGAGCCGCTGCTGTCCGCAAGCGCCTCACCGCAATTCCCAGAACCTCACTCTCAAACACCCTGCCCTTGCGACGGCGCCACCCGCGACGACGCGGATCCCTTTGTCCAGCCGAGCGCTGTTACCCGCCTCTTATCTGTTTCACAAGATAGTCACGCCGGCCTGAAAAAAAATTCCCACCGGAGCTTTAAATTGCACACGCTCGGCCCCACGCCAACCTCTTGAATTCCATCCACCCGCTCCGTCTCAGTCGACATCCCACAATGTTCGTGTCGTCGATCACCTCCAACACATCGAGTGCTGTCTACTTTGCACCCACAAACCCGTCCGACACTTCGCCCTTCATCGAAAATGGCTATCCGTCGACGGGTTTCATTGCCTTGAACTCGGCCCTGGTCTTCCTCATGACCCCCGGTCTCGGCTTCTTCTACTCGGGAATGGCCCGCTCAAAGAACGCCCTCCATCTCATCATGGCCTGCTATCTCGCCATCGCCATCGTGACCATCCAGGTGAGCACGGATATGCATGCAGTTGCGTGCGTGTGTGAGTTCCGAGTATGCATGTGGTTGCCAGTATGCATGCAGTTGCGAAGAACTGACTGCGATGGCGGAGGCTCTGGTGGCTGAATGAGATTGCTGACAAGTCTCGCTGCATCCATTCCATCTCGGTCGCAATCGTTGCTCTTGTGCACTCGTCAATTCTTCAGTGGGTCCTGTTCGGGTTCAGCCTTGCCTTCTCCGAATCAAGCGGTCCGTTCATCGGCAACTTTGCATTCGGAGGCATGACGGGTGTCGGCGCCAACGCTCTCGCCGTTGCTGCACCGAGTGTTCCGGCGGTCGCATTTGCGCTCTATCAGCTCCAGTTCGCAACCATCACAGTGGCGCTGATCTTTGGCTCAGTTGCCGAGCGCATCCGACTCCTTCCGGCCATGTTCTTCATCTTCTTCTGGACCTCGCTCATCTATGATCCCGTTGCCTATTGGACATGGGGTGCTCACGGATGGATCAAGAATATGTCCTGCCTCTCGACGACGGCTGCTTCGGCTGTACCCTGCGGCTACGGCGGCTACGACTACGCCGGCGGCGGTCCTGTCCACATCGCCTCTGGCTTCAGCGGTCTTGCCTTTGCAATCTTCCTGGGTAGCCGCAAGCACGTCGAAAACTTCAAGCCACACAACATCCTCAACGTCTTCCTTGGAACAGCTCTCCTGTGGTTCGGTATGTCGATATACCACGCTGTTGTCGCGGATGGTTGGGTGCGAATAGGCGACGTGGCATGTGTATGTGAATCATCAAAATCATTCGCTTACTGACACTGTCGGAAGCAGCGGTGAGCACCAAACGTATCTGCTCTCGCATCTGTCTCACATGTTTCCCATTCTGCAATGCAACTCTTGCACCATCAGGTTGGTTCGGTTTCAATGGAGGCTCCGCCATCTCTGCCACTCCCCGTGCCGCCATGGCTGCTTTCGTTACGACAATTGCAACCTGCGCTGGCGCCATGTCGTGGCTGCTCTACGACTTTGTCAACAACAGAAAGCTCTCCGGCCTTGGCTTCTGCTCCGGCGCCGTTGCGGCTCTGGTCGGAATCACCCCGTCGTCTGGATTTGTGGCTCCGTGGGCCGCCCTGGTGATCGGGGCCGTCTCCGGTGTGGTCTGCAACCTGTCGTGCCACATCAAGGTCAAGTTTGGATTCGACGACTCGCTCGATGCGTGGGGTGTCCACGGCGTCGGCGGCTTTGTCGGCAACATCATGACGGGAGTGTTTGCACAAGCCTGGATCGCCACACTCGACGGAACATCGATTCCCGGCGGATGGATGGACGGCAACTGGATCCAAGTCGGATACCAGCTTGCAGGATCAAGTGCGATTGCAGCATACTCGTTTGTTGGCACATACTTGATCCTGTACCTGCTCGACTTGATTCCCGGACTGGACTTCCGACCCACCGAGGAAGAAGAGAAGAAGGGCGGCGACATTGCGTGTATGGGCGAGACGGCGTATCAGATCCTCGAGGCCGTCGGCATCGACCCATCGCTCCCTGGTCCGTTCAACAACGTCACGCTCATCCCTGGACCTCTCGTGCCGCTCAAGGAGGAGGATGAGGATCCCACCGAAATCCATGTCCCTTCGCGCCGACAAAGCATCATCGCCGACCTCTCGAGCACCACTCTGACCAACATCAAGATCGCCGGAGCTGCCCAGCCTGTCGAGGATCTCCACATCACTCGTGACGTTAGTCGCTCGGTCAACGATGTCAACCGTGCCATCAACGATCGCCACGTCAACGTCTATGCCGTCTACAACCGTGGTCGAGCCACCTATACTCGCGGATAGACATCTGCCATGGTCTATCGACTCAGTCCCAGCTGCTTCTGTCCACCCGGCCGCAATCCTCCCCACTATACCGTTCAATCCTCCCGGCATGCCCGTCTCGTCTCCTCGGAGGGTCTCTCAGACCCTCGCTTTCCGATTGCCACCCGACGCCGACCGCCCGCTGCCCAAGGACGACGGTGGCACTCCATGCGCACATATCGTCGTATCTGCTCCACACTTTGCTTTGATCTACGAGTGCCCCTACCATCATCTGTGAAAGTGTTTTCTCTATCCACACCCGGCCGCGCCGATCCTTTCTCTGCCCGTGTCCTGCGAAGCACAACCAACAAGCAATCGCACTCCATGCTCTGTGATGAGAGTCACTGCCATTCCTTCACTCTCGTCCAACGCGCATGCGGCTCCTCTGTCCTGTGCCTCAATCAGTGCGCGGCGACTTTGCTCAAATGTACCGATAGCATTTTCCATACTCCCACCCACCTCAGTTGTCGACCATTTTGCTTGTCCTCAATGAACTCTCGCTCACCAAAGCAGCCGCTGCATCACCCGACAATATTATTTTTATTGTGCAGTCACGCACGCTACTCTACGGTAACTTCGGATGTGTTCCTCTCAGTGTGATGTCTGCCCGAACCAGCGGGTGTTCGGAACGATGGTAGCGGGAAGGGTCCTGAAATTCTGCGTGGCTCTTCAGGGAGCTCGAGTTATGGTTACGGAACAGAGATATGGCGAAGTGGGGTTCCATCCGATTGCTGGAGCGCAAATTCAAGATTCCCCGCGCGGAACTCATCGATGCATCTTGACCGAAGCCTCGCTCCGCGACTACCCGCTTGGCTACCACATCCACCCGAGGGCAGCGCATGCAGGTAGCAGAAAGCTGGCGGTTGGCAGCATGGCAGCCCCGTGGGTGTTATCGGAGTGGCCGAGCTACAAGGTTTGACTTTCAGCGCAGGAACGATGTCGTTGCTGATTCACGATTTCTAGATCAGCCGCAGAGATACATCGATGGAAGTCGTGTGATCGGTACAGATCAGCTGCCAGCAAACACTCGTTATCGGCACAAACGGCGACGAGCAGCATGCAGGCACGCCGTCGAATGATTCGCAGCGATGCTGTTCTCCAAAGAACGAGTCCGACACCTCGATAACGCCATCTCAACAAACGCTCCTCGGCGAGCTGCTTCGAGCGGGCGGTTTATAAAGCTGGCAATCTGGTTGCAATGCGGGTGTTGTTTCAGCTGCTGCCAGGCAAGTCACTTCAACTCCCAGCACCAGACCCAGAGTGATCTGTGTTGGCTTTGCAACTCAAAGGTGCCGCACCACTCTCAAGCCATCGACATTTAACTCGGTACTGCACCTCATTCGTTGGTGTGGAATCATATACACTCCAAAGCCTGCCATTGCTCCTGATCCTCGCCAAGGACCCCCAAAGATACGCAAAATGGCAACGACGCTGCTTTCGAAGCAGATCTCCAACGCATCGACATCGTTTTTCTTCTCTGCTACCAACCCGTCCGAGACTTCGCCCTTCATCGAGAATGGCTATCCGTCGACGGGTTTCATTGCCTTGAACTCGGCCCTGGTCTTCCTCATGACCCCCGGTCTCGGCTTCTTCTACTCGGGAATGGCCCGCTCAAAGAACGCCCTCCATCTCATCATGGCCTGCTATCTCGCCATCGCCATCGTGACCATCCAGGTGAGCACGGATATGCATGCAGTTGCGTGCGTGTGTGAGTTCCGAGTATGCATGTGGTTGCCAGTATGCATGCAGTTGCGAAGAACTGACTGCGATGGCGGAGGCTCTGGTGGCTGAATGAGATTGCTGACAAGTCTCGCTGCATCCATTCCATCTCGGTCGCAATCGTTGCTCTTGTGCACTCGTCAATTCTTCAGTGGGTCCTGTTCGGGTTCAGCCTTGCCTTCTCCGAATCAAGCGGTCCGTTCATCGGCAACTTTGCATTCGGAGGCATGACGGGTGTCGGCGCCAACGCTCTCGCCGTTGCTGCACCGAGTGTTCCGGCGGTCGCATTTGCGCTCTATCAGCTCCAGTTCGCAACCATCACAGTGGCGCTGATCTTTGGCTCAGTTGCCGAGCGCATCCGACTCCTTCCGGCCATGTTCTTCATCTTCTTCTGGACCTCGCTCATCTATGATCCCGTTGCCTATTGGACATGGGGTGCTCATGGATGGATTCGCAACATGGCGTGCTTGAATCTGACCTCGCCTTCGAGTGCGCCGTGTGGATACGGCAGTTACGATTATGCTGGCGGCGGTCCCGTCCATGTCGCTTCTGGCTTCAGCGGCCTCGCCTTTGCAATCTTTCTTGGGAAGCGCAAGAATATCGAAAACATCAAGCCACACAACATCCTCAACGTCTTCCTTGGAACAGCTCTCCTGTGGTTTGGTAAGTGATTTCATGAGCTTGCTGGGTGTAAGAGTAGGTGATGTTCATTCACATGTCTCACATCTGTGGTTGCTGTTTATAATCCGGCGTAACTCTTGCACCATCAGGTTGGTTCGGTTTCAATGGAGGCTCCGCCATCTCTGCCACTCCCCGTGCCGCCATGGCTGCTTTCGTTACGACAGTTGCAGCTTGCGCTGGCGCCATGTCGTGGCTGCTCTACGACTTTGTCAACAACAGAAAGCTCTCTGGCCTTGGCTTCTGCTCCGGCGCCGTTGCGGCTCTGGTCGGAATCACCCCGTCGTCTGGATTTGTGGCTCCGTGGGCCGCCCTGGTGATCGGGGCCGTCTCCGGTGTGGTCTGCAACCTGTCGTGCCACATCAAGGTCAAGTTTGGATTCGACGACTCGCTCGATGCGTGGGGTGTCCACGGCGTCGGCGGCTTTGTCGGCAACATCATGACGGGAGTGTTTGCACAAGCCTGGATCGCCACACTCGACGGAACATCGATTCCCGGCGGATGGATGGACGGCAACTGGATCCAAGTCGGATACCAGCTTGCAGGATCAAGTGCGATTGCAGCATACTCGTTTGTTGGCACATACTTGATCCTGTACCTGCTCGACTTGATTCCCGGACTGGACTTCCGACCCACCGAGGAAGAAGAGAAGAAGGGCGGCGACATTGCGTGTATGGGCGAGACGGCGTATCAGATCCTCGAGGCCGTCGGCATCGACCCATCGCTCCCTGGTCCGTTCAACAACGTCACGCTCATCCCCAGGTCCGTGGTCCCCATCACCGAAGAGGATGAGGACGAAGATCCAACGGTCATCCTGCCGTCATCGCGAAGGACCAGTGTCATGGCCGAGTCGATCTCCACGACGCGTCTGCCCCAAGCCGTGCCCGAAGCTGCCGATTCCATGTCTCTGAACAGACATGTGAGCGTCTATGCCGTCTACAACCGAGGCAAGGCGACGTATACCCGCGGATGAGCGATTCTGGCGGGGCACACCAGGATCTGCAGACCACTGTATCTCCCCTGGCTGGGGTTGTCGGCTTTCCGCACTTTGGCTGTCGTGGGCTCGAGCAAATGCCTCGATCCCAAAACGAAACAGGCACACCCTCTTCGAGCCATGGCTGTCGCTTCTCTGGGCACTGAATATACACCAATCCATCACCCACCACGGCCAACAACAACGCACCACTCACTCTCGCACCCCGACATTCGTGCTTCTCGACCCGAACATGCATGCCGTCTCCCGAATGCCCCATGCAACCCCGCAGCACGACCCGGTCGCGCACGTGCTTTGCACTACCCACCACACTCGCACAGGGACGCGCAGCAGCGGCATGCCGTCCCTTGTTGTGCTGCCACGTTCTGCGTCTGTACGACCGTCTTCTGTGTCGTCTGCACGGCCGCGTCCGCCATTTTTTTTCTTCGCTGGCCGATGGTGTCCAGCCGCAGACCATAAATACCGGACAGCCCCCCCGATGCCTCTCTGGCCGCCCAAGCCGTGAAGACTTCGTTGCTTTTCTTCATCGGTTTTCCGTTCGAAAGCACACAACCCCCCCCAGCGCCATTGATCCGAGTTTCGAATTTAGCTTCGAATTTTGCTTCGTCCTGCCGCCGTTGTCTGCTTTCTGCCACGCTTCCTGTCTATACTTTTGCATCTTCCACTTTCGTCTCCATCCAAGCGACCTCAACTTTGCTTCCAAATCCTAACAACTCAAAAACCCCCACCCCGCTGCCATGTCCGATCCCGTGCTCTTGCCGCTGTCGCTGACCCTCAGCATCATCACCTGCATCGTCTTTGGTATCTTTGCCGTCCTGGTTGCCAAGCGACGCTATGGCTCTGCCATTCTGCCCTTTACCAGGGGTGGCAAGCCTGCCTCGGACTCGACCCAGGTCACCGAGCTCACCGGCGAGGAATTCGTCACGGCCAGAAAGAGTCTGAACCAGTGGACCATTGCCTGGAGTTTCTACGCCAACGCCGTGGGCTGCGGAACGCTCTTCTTCCCGCCCATGTTCGCCACCCTCCCGGGCAACGGCTACATCGGTCTCATCGCCAACTCGCTCGCCAACGCCTTCCCGGTCCTCTTTGTGGCCTACTTTGGAAACCAGATCCGCCAGCGCTTCTCCGAGTCGTGGTCCCTCAGCGACTACACCCTGCGTCGCTTTGGCCGCACCGTCAACATCTTTGTCTTTGCGCTGGTCTTCTTCAACATGGCTCTGGCTCTCATTGCCGAGTACAGCGCCGTCAGCAGCCTCTATACCTCTGTCCTCGGTGCTGATCCCTACAGCATCGTCTTCATCGTCGGCATCATCACCATGATCTATACCTACATCGGCGGGCTCTATGTCTCTCTGTGCACGGACCAGTGGCAGTCGATCACGGGAACCGCTCTCTTGGTTATCCTGATCATCTACGTCGCCATCTCGTTCCGCAACCCGCTCCCTATTCCTGCCCCGGATGTCATCCAGCCCACGTCCGACGGCTGGGCCCAGCTCTTTGTCATGCCCGCGGCCGTCTTCACCGGCACCATCTTCTCCGAGGCCACCTGGCAGCGTGCTTGGGCTGCCCGCGACGACAAGGCTCTCCGTAGCGGCGCCAACATTGCCTTTGTGATCATCTTTGTGGTCATCTCGCTCTTTGCCCTCGGAGGTCTGCTCGTCGCCTGGGCCGGCATGGACATCCCCAACCCCAACTCGGTGCTCTTCCAGCTCGTCGGGCCCGGCAGCGCCCCGACCTGGGTCACCGTCGTTGTTGTTGTGATGGCCACCGTCATGAACGAGTGTGCCGTCGACAGCATCCAGAATGGCCTCGCCGCCTCCATCACCACGACCTTCTTCAAGAACTCAAAGTCCTCGACCTGGAGCCGTGTCCTGATTGTCCTCACCAACATCCCTTGCATGGTCCTCGGCACCCAGGGCTACTCGCTCAGCGTGCTCTTTGGCATCTCCAACCTGATCACCATCCAGGCCACTCTGCCCATCCTGCTCGGCGCCATCGACGACAACGCCAAGTACATCACCGGGGCCAACGTCCTGTTCTCGTCCCTGTTTTCGTTCGTCTCGGTTGCCGTCTACGCCACCATTGCCCAGTCGGGCGACTTTGTCGGCGGCATGACCAACATCTACGTCAACAACCCGTACATCTGGCAGCCCTACCTCGTGGCCATCGTGTCGTCCCTCGTCGGCATGGTCATCTGGTACGCCATCGAGCATCTCTACCGCGCTGTCTTCCGCAAGGGCCACAAGAGCAGTTCCGGCACGACCATCGTCCCCAACGACTCTTAGAGGTTCCACGGCCTTGGTATCTTAGCTTGCCCACGTCTCTGGCAAGGTGATTCGTTTTGCACACAAGCAATCCGAGGGCCCTCTACTTTTCATAACACGCTTTCCTCCATGTCCATCCGTCGAGTCTCTTTCTTTGTCATTCTTTTTCCTTCTCCCCTCCCGTCTCGCCCCGTCTCATGTCGCTTGAGCCCGAAAGGCAGAGGCGGCCAACGCGGCAGCGCCTTTGGCCAATGCAATGCTCAATACAACCACATGGCGGCGAGCCTTGAACACAATCTCATGTCTGTTGTCGATCCATCTCTTCGAGCCTCATTTGCCTTTACCAAATCCAATTCAGCAAACAGCCAAACACGAGCATGTCTTTGTTTCCGCTCCGCACAAAAGTGTGCTTCCTCGGTGCCCAGATGGTCGAGCCAAACGGGTCGCTCGCCGACAGATGGGTGTATTCGCATCCAGGAAAGAGGGAGCAGCCCTGGCTCAGCCGGCACATTCGTTCGGGCGCGATGTATCTGGGACGGCTGCTGGAATGGCAGCGGCGATAGTGGTAACGACGGGCTTTCCTTCATTGCCCTTGCCTTTCGTTTTCCTTGGACCCCAGTCGCTCGCATCTTTGACCGCGCTCTGGCACCAACCAAGAGCACGCCTCCCCTGAACCATATGTCTTGGGCTCCTTGCTGCCCCGGCCTGCAATTACTTTCACTCACCCCTGCCCGGCCCCAATCCGTCTTGGATCGCCGTCGCATCGATTCCGCAATTCGAACCTGGCCCGGCCATCGCTCGGGACCTCCGGCATTGTCTCGCATACATTCGGGGCATCCCCCCGATCCATCCCTCTCGTCCTTTCCCTCCATCCATCGTTTTTTGCGGGCCTCGTCAGCGGTCTTCTAACACCGCCCTCTCATCAACCGGCCGGACCTTTCTCCCTTCGTGCCAAGCAGCTTGCTCGACCATCGGCCCCCTATCTTTTCTCTCCAGGAAGGTGCAATGGCATCCGTTCTCCAGGACTCGCCTCCGCCAGCACAAGATCCTCCGCCCTTGCAATTCCGTGTGCGGGGCCGCATCTACCCCAACAACCAGTGGATGCTAGGAACGACATTGCATCTCTGTCTCAAGCTATTCACAGAGATTGCCGCCGAGCTAGAGGTGCATTTGCACCACTCGGGCTCTGTCCCGAACAATGACAGCGTTGGCAATGACACTGTTGATGGCAGCGACAACAGGGCTAATGCCATCCCCAACGGCAACAACACTGACCATTTCGCCCGGTCGCCACCGATACCCCAGCCGGCCGACCCGGTCTCTCGCCTGATGGAGATCCAGTATGCTATCGTGGCCATCCAGACCTGCATCCGCAGCAACCGCTTCCAGAACGTCATCTCGGACGACTGGAAGTTCAACCAGCGATGCGAGTTTTCGACCGAGCTCGAGAATGCCCTCGTCAGCGACTCTGATGCCGTCCTCCCCAAGATCGCAGATCCCTTGGATGCGGTCGACATTGTGAAATGGTACAAGCTCGAGCAGCCGCTCCGGCCCATGTTCCTGACAGGGTCGGTTGCTGCTTTGGATGCTCGTGCTGATACCGCCAGCAGCAGCAGCAGCAGCACCAGCAGCACCAGCAACAGGCGAGCTCGCCTCTGCAAGTCCACGATTGCCCGCACTCTGCCCATCGAAATCCTGCAGCGGATCATGAACCACTTCTCACCAGGAGGAAACCGGCCGTACTCCTCCGATGTCGTCATCAAGCCCGAGCAGAAGAATCTGGTGGCCTGTGCCCTGGTCAACCGCCACTGGAGCTCGCAGGCGATCCCCATCATCTGGACAATCCCGCAGCTGACGTCCCTGGAAATGCTCGAAAAGTTCACCATGAGCTGCCTATGCAACTACATGGAGGAGTGCTACGGTAAGCAGCATCGCCTGGACGAAGACGAGGGACGCTACCAGACCAGAGACAGGGTTTCGGATGGCACGGGCGAGGGACTGTGGGCCGTTTTCATAATCCGGTCGGAATGAAGAAGGCGATCGTGGTGCACTGGAGGCAGCTCCGGGCTACCGTAATCTTAGATATGCTTCGCAGGGGCTCGATTTGACAACATTGTGCTGACCGATCGCTCTCTGTCCCGTTCTGCCCTTCTCCTGCGTATCCTTCGCATGGCACCATACCAAATCCACATGGGTTCGGCTGCTCTGGCTGCTCGGTCCAGGCAAACGTCGATCGTCGCTCACCCGCTATGTGCGCGAGCTCTATGTAACCTACCACTTTGACACCCACGACCGCCTGACCGTCAAGGAGCAATGGTCGGGACTGGAATGCGTGCGAATGGTCTCCAAGTTCCTTCCCGAGCTGCGGAACGCATCGGTCGACCTCGGCGAAGGCTGCCTGGGCCCGTTGACGTTGCAGAGCCTGCTTTCGTGGTGCCCCAAGATCAACCAGCTGAGCAATGTCATTGCTGGAGTCGAAACCGTTCTGGCGCCGATGGCTGTTCCTGGATACTTTGGCAACCTGAAAAAGCTCATCACGCTCGATCTGGGTGGAACCAAGTATGGGCCGATGATGAAAACAGAGACGGGAAGCATGTTTCTCAAGGCGGTGGCCCACAACGTCGGCGTGAACCTGCGTGGCATCGACCTTTCCGACTCGCCCCTCACATCCGAGATCCTGTACGAGCTGTGCGGCAACTGCCCCAACCTGCAGGTGATCGACATCAACTCGGTGGTCGGGCTGTCGCCCGAGTGCCTCGCGATGGTGCCGCGGATGTGCCCCAATCTGGTGGCCTACATCATCTTTCCAAATACCGGCCTGACCACAGAGCACATCGAGATGCTGTTCCAATCGGCGCCGTATCTGCGCATGATCGATATCGAAAGCGATGCCCTGGATGCCCGACGGGTCTTTGAGGCTATCAAGAAGTACTCCCCCAAGCTATCAACGATCTCGCTCGGCAGCTGCAAGCTGCAAGAGGAGCGCGACATTATCGAGCTTATCCAGGAGCGTGGACCCAAGCTGATGGACCTGCAGATGGGCACGCAAACCATGACCGAGGAGATCTTTGTGGCGCTGGGGCGGTATTGCCCAAACCTCTATAGTCTCGAGCTGCATGCCGACTTTGTCCCGACCGGCAGCATTTCCTATGGCAGCGGCATCAGCTTCATGGCCAGTGCATGCCCGGATCTCCGGCATCTGAGCGTGCAGGATCACGAGGGCAATGAAGATCTGTTTCAGCACGTCACCAAGGGCTACCGGAACTGCAACTTTCTCAATCCGGTGCTCGATGCCACGTTCCTGGGATACCCGCGCTTCGATCAGCCGCCCGTGGGTCTTGTCGGGGACGAGAGCGCCGACAGGATGGATCTGGGCTGATGACTGATTCTGATCGATGGGGGGAGGGTGGCCGACTGGCTGGACAGAGAGAGATGGCGATGCTGTGTATCTACCACACTTTGCACTGTATTCAGTGGGAAATAGGTCACTTGCCCACAACTCATTTGTCAGCGTAGTCTGTGATGGCATGCGTCCAACTATGCCATAGGATATAAATCATATCACTTTGGCAGCCTCCGAGTGAAGACCACCAGTCGCTCTCCGGTCTCCACAATCGACCTGCACACTGGTCTCGGAGTGCCAGCGGTGAATGGTGCTTTTGGACATGGCCGTCGGGATTGAGGGACGATGGAAGCGCCGCCTCGTTCGACAAATCGATTGCGAGCGAGTTGGGACCAGCGACCGCCCTTTCATGGGGAAGCACGTTGAGGAGGGGACATGCGGCTGGCCCAAATGGGCAGGGTCGGTCGCAGAGGCGCCGGCTGGACGGCTTGCCGTTGGCGTTGGCAGCAAAGCCCGGGCAATGTGTGTGCCGGGCGCTGTTGGGCCCAGAGGCGCAGGTCGCCAGGCGCCAGCGGCGATGTTGGTACTGATGCAGATGCAGATGCAGATGCGGTGCGCCAGCAAGGCAAGGCCGAGGCAAGACCAAGTCAAGACCAAGTTCGCAGCCATGGCGACATCACAGCGCCTTCTTGTGCAGTCCAACGCCCGCCAAAGTCGCCAATGCCGTCCACTGCCTTCCACTGCCCGCAGGCGTCGGTCACGCCCACTATGGCCAGTGCCTCTGCCTTGTCCATTCCGCCCAATCCAGCCCGTCTCCCCTGTGCCGATCCCACCGCAGCGAGGCGCCCAGCCTTCCGCGCATACATTCGGCACAGGGCCCGCGCTGCGCCTGGCTTTGGCGACGTTCCAAGGCGCGCGTTGGCTTGGACCGTCACCACTTCCCACGCGGCGCCGACGCTCGCCTGCTCCCCACCCTGCCGTCCTTCTTATACCGCCCCTCCATCGGCCGTCCCGCTGAGCATCCCAGCACATTCGGGAACCGCAAACCTTCGCCAGTGCCCTCGCTTGCAACCGCCGCTCCCTCACTGACCCCCAGCCGTTCCCTCTATCATGCGCTCTCTCACCCTGACTTCCTTTGCCGTTGCGTCCATGTGGGCCTTTGCCCTGGCGGCTCCCTCGCAGCAGCGTCTGCCCCAGGCCGACCACATCCTTGCTCGCCGCGACTACTCGGCTGTCCCTTCGGTCACCACCACCACCGTTGCCCCCTCGGTCATCACGACAACTACCTCTGCTGCTGGCTTTGCTGCCACTTCAACTGTATCTCAAAGCTATAACAGCAACAACAACAACAACAACAACAACAACAATGGATATGACCAGAAGAAGAAGGACGAGCAGAAGAAGATTGATGACCAGAAGAAGAAGGACGAGCAGAAGAAGATTGATGACCAGAAGAAGAAGGACGAGCAGAAGAAGATTGATGACCAGAAGAAGAAGGACGAGCAGAAGAAGATTGATGACCAGAAGAAGAAGGACGATCAGAAGAAGATTGATGATCAGAAGAAGAAGGACGAACAGAACAAGAACCAGTATGGTCAGAACAAGAAGGACGACCAGAACAAGAACCAGAACAAGAACCAGTATGGTCAGAACAAGAAGGGCGAAGATAAAAAGGTCAACTATGTCAGCAAAAAGATCATCTCCAGCGACCAAAGACAGAGTGCCGACGTCTTCTTCCCTGGCTTCCAGCACCAGGCCAACTCTGGAAAGAACTCGGCCGACCTGTTTGTCCTCAACTTTGCCCTTACTCTGGAGCATCTCGAGAGCGCCTTCTATGCGTGAGTAGCTGTCGTCTGCATATTTGCCTTCCAGATTGAGGTGCGCTTTGATCACTGACCGTGTATCCTATGCTATCGCCACTCCTATCCACCGCCAACAGGGAGGGCCTGTCCAGATTCAAGAACAAGGACTTTGAGCGTGGAGGCTTCTCCCGCTATATCCGCGACGAAATCAAGATCATTGCCTTTGATGAGTCCACCCACGTCACCACCCTGATCAGCGTGATCGAGTCCTCCTTTGGCAAGGGCAAGGCTGTTTCCCCCTGCCGCTTCAACTTTGGTCTCCGTGATGTCAACAACTTCCTCGCCATCGCCCAGATCCTTGAGCGCACCGGTGTTCAGGCCTACGATGGCGCCATTCGCTTCATCGAGAACGACGACATCAAGAATGCCGGCGCTGCCATTGCAACTGTCGAGGGACGCCACTCGTCTTTCCTCAACATCCTTAGCCACCGCCACATCTCCGATGGTCCCTTTGATGCCCCCCTGGGTGTGCGCTCCGTGACTTCGATTGCTGCGAGCTTCATCGAGAGCTGCCCGTTCGAGTTCCCTGTCCAGCCTTTCGATGTGCTCGAGATCCGCAACATCCGTGTGCGTATTAATACCGAAATCGAGTTCCGGGTCAGCGGCTACGGTGCCTCGGACTTTTCTTCCCACTTCTGCGCCATCGTCTACGGACTGAGCCAGAAGCGAGTGGGCGTCAAGGTCCGCAACAACAGCGTCTTTTGCGATATCCCCACGGACCTGCGCGGCTTCAGCTCGGCCTTCATCTTCCTGGTCAATGCCGATGCCGATGTCTCCGTCGAGGACGACAGCCACGTTGTTGCCGGACCCACCTCCATCGACATCATCGACTCGATCTACTAAGGCGCTCTTCCACGACACCTGTGGATCACTGATCTCAGAACCCCCACCTCCTGGCATATACGGCCCGCGCTGCTCTTGCTGCTGCTGACGGGACCACCTGAGCCTCGATTTCTCCCTTTTTCTCTTGCGCTGGTACTCCTTTGCGTCGTAATATGTTCCAGGCAAACGAAACTGACGCCCAGTTCTTGCGGGCTTGCAGACGACCGTGTCCTCCCCACGCCCTTCGCTTCATGTGCATCCCACACCACTGCCTTTGTAATATTGTGTATTTCTTCATTCAGTTCTTTCCTTTTGTCGCTGTAAAAGCATGTTTTCGGTTCCATTCTGACTTGCTGGCAGCCAGGAGGACAATCTCCGGTTGCCAAGTTGTGAATCCCTGTGGGAAAGCAACAATACGACAGGTATCCCAAATGCTTCATAACAGACCGGCATCCAGGGTGCGGCTGCTCACTTGCAGAATCAGAGCAGAAGCGGCTCGTTGTGGGTCGCTGTGCTGTGAGGGCTGACGGCTTGGACTGGCTGGCTTGGACTGGCTGGCTTGGACTGGCTGGATTCGATCGGTTGATTCCCGCCAGAGACAGATCGCGGTTGCATTTCCGATCCGGCCCAACCATCGCACTGCTCTGCCCTGCCCAGATACATTGGCTATCGCTCGCTGCTGTTCTGGGTTGCCATCTTTGCTCATCTGCTACTCTCTGCCTCGCATCGCCATGGCCTCGAAAAAAGCCAAGCGGCCCGATTCAAGCGATGGCGATCTCGATCGCATCGTCCAGATGATTGAAAGGTGAATCTCCATCCATCAATCATCTCAAACGAGCTCCAGTCGCACGACCGACTCTAACACCAGTCTATATTCTGCTCAGCGATGCGCCGGCTCGCCCTGCCAACCAGTGCGCACTGCCGCAGTGCAAATCGAAACTGTCGCTGATCGCATCCAAGCCGTGCGAGTTTTGCAACCGCCAGTTTTGCCCCCCGCATCGGTATGGGCTGCTCTGCAATGTTGGGCAAGCAATCCTTGATCCGCATCGCCCTTACTTCCGTCATCTCTGCTTATCCGGTTGACCCATTGCCGCACGCCAATGACTGCTGGACATGATCTTGGGCGTCTATAGGCAGCTCCATCCAGACCTCCTTCCCCTTTGGATGATGCTGACCCATTCACCATCGACGATCCGTCGCATCATTTCCTAATTTTGATGCGGAATCGCTAGACTCCCCGAGGCACACTCCGAAACGTGCACAAAGAAACTGCGAGAGCATAGCCGCTCAACCTTTCGATCGGATGCGTTGCGTCATATCGAGCTCTCCAAGCAGGATCCGATCGCCACGAACCGCCTTGGGAGTGCTGCCAAGGAAAAGGAGGAGCTGCGGCGAAGGCTCAAGAGCAAGATTCAAGTCGCCCGCAAGAGCGCCGGCCGTGAGCGTCAAGAATAACGAGAAGAATCGAAGTCGGGGCTGGGGCTGGGGCTGGAGCTGGGGCTGGGGCTGGAGCTGGGGCTGGGGTCGTCGCCTTGCCCTGACTTGCTGCTGGCGGTTGCAGAATGCCCGCGATGTTGATGCAAAATGCTAGTCCTCCGACAACCCGTGCCAATCTTCGATTCGAAGATACAACGTGAACTCTGAGCAATGGCACTTGAAGCGTCCTCGGATCCAATTTTAGACAGCCAAGGAGCATGGAGTCTCTCAATCGGATTGGAGGTCAGCCCTTTGGGGCTGCTGGGCACTCTGGAGTTACTGAGCAGATTGTATCTGTGGCTAGTCCCGCAGGGATGGTATGAATGAACGAAGTCAGGGGCTTGGGGATATGCAAGGGTGCACATGTTGGATGGAGATATGCTCCAACGACACGGGAGAAGGAAGAGACGGGACTGCGGAAGCATATTCAAGAGCGAACAGACATATGCTCCTGTTCGCCCGCAGATGTCACGGCAGGGTGCGGATGCCATGGCAGGATGTGGTAACAGAGCCAGATGTGTTTATGCACATCAGGCCGTGGAGGTTGTACCAGTTGTGGAGGTCGTACCAGTTGTGGAGGTCGTATCAGTTGTGGATATCGTACCAGTTGTGGAGGTCGTACCAGTTGTGGAGATCCACAGCCAGACCCGAATATCCATACCGGGGGTGTGGATATCCATATGCTCAGGCGGGGGATAGAGGACCTCACACTCGGAGCACAAGCTGCTCAAGGGCCGACACAGTCGCTTTGGTACTTTGAGACGAATGCGAGGCACCAGCGAGGCAGGAAGCAGCACAGTGAGGCAGGATGCAACCCAGCGAGATGGACAGCAGGGCAACAGGACAATAGACAACAGGACAGCAGGGCAATAGACAGCAGGGCAACAGGACAGCAGGGCAACAGGGCAGCCAGCCGGCTCGGCGCTCGAGCTGGGTTGGGTCGGTGGCGCACTTCCAATAATGATATATCTGCGCCACCTCCCCCTCAGCGGCCTTTGCCAGCATTTGCCAGCACTTGCCAGCATTTGCCAGCCTTTGCCAGCCTTTGCCAGCCTTCTGTCCCCATCGAACCTTTGTCTCCGCAAGTGCCCTCCCTTCCAGGCGTCCGCCCCTGCTGCCAATCCGCTGTTCCGCCAACACCATCACTCTGGTCATCTCTCCTGCCAAATATCTGTCGGCCAGACGCTCCTGCCAAATTGGTCGTTCTGCCTGGTCCCTGTCGTCCTGGCCATTGTTCTGGTCATTGTTCGGTCATTGTTTTGGTCATTGCTCCGGTCACTGCTTTGGCCTTGGTTTGACTGCCGTTCCTGTCAACCCCCGCTGCTGCAAGTGTCTTGTTTCCCGGTCACTGGGTCGTCTCCCGCACTGCGTCTGCTCTCGGACGCCTCCCGTTGCATCCAACCTCTGTCTTGCCTTGCTGTCTTGTCTTGCCGTCTTGCCTTGCTGTCTTGTCACTTGCGCCACCGATTGCCATCTGCCATCTGCCATCTGCCATCTGCCATCTGCCATCTGCCATCTGCCATCTGCCATCTGCCATCTGCCATCTGCCATCTGCCATCTGCCATCTGCCATCTGCCATCTGCCATCTGCCATCTGCCATCTGCCTGCTCTTCCCCAGCTGCCAATATCCTGCACACTCGATCACCCCTTGTTGCAATTATCAAGGCCGCCCACAATTGAATCGTCCCCACTCCCACTCCCACTCCCACTCCCACTCCCACTCCCACTCCCACTCCCACTCCCACTCCCACTCCCACTCCCACTCCCATCTGGACCTGAAGGATGCTGATCCCGGCGAGAAAGAGATCGCTGTGCGATACTCATGGCGAACGCCACGACTACTTTTTCGGCTATCGCTCCAGCTCCGATCTCGACACTGCTCGAGGTCTCAAGAGACTTGTCGTGTCGGTTTTCTATCGTCGCTACGGCGAGCATCTCGCAGTGTTCCTGGACCGCGACTGCCTCTCTGACGCTGACAGTTGGCAAAGAGTCTTCCTTGAGGAGCTTCCAAACAGCTCGGTGGCCGTCTTCCTCATCAGCAAGGAATCCATGGATATCATGCAGCAGAACGTTGAGACCAACAAGGAAGACGGTGTTGTCCTCGAGATTGAGCGTGCCCTGCAGCTGAGGGACAGCGGCTCGGATCTCCGGATCTTGCCACTGTCGATCGCAACATATGACGGGGTAAGTTCGAGGACCGGCATTGTGATGTGAACGATGCCAAGCAGGGCACAATCGCGCGGGCTGCCGATGTTGCTGCCGATGTTGCTGCCGATGTTGCTGGCGAGTTGCTGCCGATGCTGTGATTGCACTAATGCTGCTTCGTTTGTTCCTGCTTGGTTTGTTCCTGCATCGCTGCACTAATACCCGCCGCCGTACCATGAATGTCCCTGCCCTGCCCCGACTGTTGCTCCTCTACTCCTTAAAATCATACGATCTGCCACGCCTGTCGTCACATCGATATCTCTCCGCTCTCATGACCCTGCTCTTGTTCGGAACATTACCGAATCGCCACCGAATCGCTACCGAATCCACCGCCCGCGACCACCCTTCGTTTCCCGCGATCCGCGGACCCCTTCATGGCTCTCCATTGACCCATCCAACCACCCGGCTTGATTTGCCGTCACCAACCCACCCGGATCCCTGGCCTGTCTGTTCCTCGGCCTCTCGGTCCCAGACATCGTACACAATCTTCCATCCTTACAATTACGCCTTCCCAGCCTCCCCAAGGTTCGACAGGCTCAGGCACATTTTCCATCAATTGAAGCAAATCCAGATGCTCACTCTCCGACCCGACCAGGCGCACAGACGGGTCTACCGCCTGCTGAACCTGCTTCGGCCAATCTCGTCCGCCACCAAGGATGTTCTGGACCAGCTTCTCAAGCGCCACTTTTGCGACGCCAAGTTTTTTGGCCACATTGACCACCTCGACAGCCTCCTCGAGCAAGTCACTCGGACTGGTCGAGCAATCATCTCGGGACTGGGCGGTATGGGAAAGTCGGTCCTGGCTCGGCAGTTTCTCCGCTACATGATGGGCACGCTCGAGGTCAGCAACCAGGATTCGCTTGTGGAGTTCATGGACAGCACTATTGGAACACGGCCGCAGTACTTCAAGTTCTACTGGATCAATTGTGCGACCGAGGCCACCGCTCTGGACGGCCTTATCAAGCTGTTCCCGTCCATCAATATCGAGGAGATCAAGCAGCATGCCTCGCACTATTTTGCCAACCAGCATGGATATCTCCTCGTCCTCGACAACATTGACGATATTGACGCCGTCAACTCTGTCTTTGAGCACTCCGAGACCCTTGGGTTCGGAGGCGATGTCATCGTCACCACTAGGCTGTCCTCGATCAGCACTGGGGCGTTTCTCTCGGCGTTCAGGGCCAAAGTCTCGGACTTTCAGCAGCAACCCATCCGTCTCCTTCCCTGGTCGGACGATCTGACCTACAGCTATATCTTTCAAAAGTGCAAGATTTTGTCGGAAAGAATCACCCTCGAGACTTCTGTCACCAGACTTCGAAACATTGTCACAAAGCTGGAAGGAAACCCTTTGACCATTCAGTCTTTCATGTTGTATTATGAGGCGGAGGAGCCTGCTCTGAACGAGCTTGGGTATGCTTTTGATCAAGTGTTCGAACAAAAACATGGACCGAACGAGACACAGCGTTCGCTCAGGGTCCTCGTCTCCCTTGCTATGGAGTTCATTCGGAGCCACGGAGACGAAGGGCTGGCAGCGTGCAAGCTCTATGGTGGCCTCTGTCTCCTTGGCTCTGAAGACATTCCCTTTGACCTGATCAAGCAAGTAGCGGGTACTTTGGGACTAGTTCCAAGAGGTATATACCGTTCACTCGCGTCCACGGCAACAATACGCCCCCGTGGCTTTCGACTGGATCATGTCCTGACTCTTCTTCTCGACTTCCACTTCAGTGAGTTCCACCTTGCGCAAACTCGTGCAAATCGGCCTCCTTCGCCAGTCCGCCGACGATTACTACTACACAAGTGCTCTCCAGCAGCGCGCTGCTCGAGAGTACCTTGAGGGGCGTCCGGATCTGGATCTCACTTCCATCAGCGACGCCGTTGGTCGTGCCTTCGTCTCCAAGATTCAATTCCCATGCGATCGACCAACATTTTCACTCAGTCACCATTTTGATCAGTATCTGCAGCTCTCGTTTGACCACTGTCGCAATCATCCCTTGTCGTTCGAAGTTGAAATTACCGCAGCCAAACTGGATATCGAAAGAGGCAGATTCAAGGCTGCTTCAGATCGACTCACCAGACTGTGCGACATCGAGGACGATCTCAACACCTTGGAGGCACAGCGGCGATATGTCAGCATACGGCTCTATCTTGCGCAATCGTGCACTGAGCTAAGACAATTTGATTCTGCGCATCGCGCGCTACAGGAGGCTCTGGCTTTCTTCCAAAGCCCTGTTACCTCAGACGAACGCGAGACCCAGGCACTCCTCGTTGCCCAGCAGGGACGGACCTACTTGAAAGCCGGGTGCTTCAGCGAGGCGGCTGGTGCTCTGGAGCGGTCCATCCAGATTATTAGCTCAGTCCGCGACAGTTTTTACTATCAAGATGTTGCCAGCGCTTTGATTCTCCTGGGCGACATTGCAAAGGCTGAGAAACGACCCAAGGATGCTCTGACCCACTACAACCGTGTCCTTGAAATCGAACCCAACATCTCCCAGATTCACGACCAATCCTATCTTGCTGACATCCATGTCAATATTGCCGTCATCTCAAGTGCCAATAACAAGCTCGACACCGCGCACAAGCACTTCCAAAGCTCGATAGCCGTACGTACGCAGCTTCTAGGAACCAGTGTCCATCCCAAGGTAGCTTCGGCCCACTTGCAGTATGCGGACTGGCTATTTCGCATTGGGTACTTTACCGAGGCGCTGGACAACTACAATCGGGCTTTCGCTATTTTCACGCAAGTATTCGAAACATGCTGTCTCCCCGAGACAGCATATATTTGTTCTAGAAGATCGCTGGTGCTCATGAAGTCCGGTGCCCCGAAAAGCGCAATCGACGCGATCCAAGAGGCACTCAAGTTGGCCCAAAAGGTATATGGCCCTTCGTTGCGTGACGCTGAAATCGACACCCTGAAATCCGATGCCAGGAATGCTCTCTCCAGCCTCGGCGGCTCGTTTGAGGCAGCGTTTAAATCGTACTTGGAAGCATTTCTCCTCTACCCGAACGTCTGCGGACACACGGAAGCAAGTGACGACACAGCACAGGTGCGAAAAGCAAGTCTGCTATTGTCGGGGGACTGCACGCCCTTGGAAGCGTTACCAGCGCAATCAACTGACGCTGTAGTTTCAGCTTTGATGCGCATGGAGCCGAACGACCTGAACTCTCAGCAACCACACGGCAGTGCAGCGATGCGAGATCATGAGACCGGAGTGCCTATGTCGAGCAATGTCTGTGTCGAAAAACAATTCCACGGAGAGGAACTCAGTCAAGATGATTTAAAGAGCTTCAAGAACGTCCGGAGCCCCCATCAAACACCAAGCATACTGCTTCCCTCACTCATCGTGCTCGTTCTCTGCATCATCCTCGCATTCATCCGATCTTGAGCAAGCGGTACTATATTGAACGATAATTGATGCTTGCAAATACACAACGTTCTCCAACCTCGTGAAGCATTGCGTTAGAGCAGCGCTTGGAGCAGCAACTCTTTGGCTGCCGTGTCATGGCTGTGTAGCCAATGTGCTTGTTCACTTTGAATTCTTGGTCAACCCGGACAGTTCCAATATTCTGGAATGAACAAATTCTGCGATCGGGTCCTCCAAGTCGCATGAGATATGCAAAAGATCATCCAGGGCGCGGCAATAATGTTTCCGCGCCAAATCGCACTGATGCTGACATTCGTTGAGAATACCAAGGCTGGTCATTATTCCGGCACGTACAATGTTACTTTTGGAGTCGAAGAAGGCTTCATTGAGATCCAGCGCTTCTTGAAGGGTCTCTTCGGCCTCGGCATATCGCCCAAGATGAGTAAGCACGGTACCGATGCTGACCAGCGACTCGGCGACGCTGACATGAGCTCTCGTACCGTAAACTCCAATTTTGATCTCCAAACCTTTCTGGAAGTAATCGAAAGCCTCTTGAAGTCGGTTTTGCTTCATGGAAAGATCGCCCAGCTTGTGAAACGACAGCGCGATCAATAAGTCGGTCTTGTCGGGAGAGAGTATGCTCGATATGATCATGGCTTCACCGAGATAACGGGCAGCCCCGTCAATGTCCCCTTGGACAGTTGAGACGTCAGCGAGTTTTTGGAGAATCATGAGGATCATAGGATCATTGCGAGTTTGAAACACGGCGAGACCCAGGTCGAGGGAGGCTTCGAGAAATGTCTGTGCTTCGCTGTGCTTTCCCAATATATAATGTGCAGACCCCATGGTCATCAGAATATCGACCGTTGTCTCTGAGCCGCCCTCTGGATCCGTAGCAGTTGTGATGGCGAGAGCCTCCTCGAGCCGGGACAGCGCTTTCTCAACCTGGCCCTCCTTCATGAGAATCGTACCGACTTCGCGCAAAGCCCGCGCCACATCTGCATGGACTCGGGTTTCGTGGAGTTTGGTGGCGATTACGACACACTGCTCAAAGTAGGATCGTGCTTCAAGCGAATTCCCCATCTCCGCGGAGACGATGCCCAGGTTATTGAGGATGGGGATCAGCATCGGATGAATACGGAATGTGTCCATATTTTGCAGCATTTCGAGCGACTCCAGAAGATATCTTTCAGCCTCGGCGCTGTTTCCAAGCGCTCTCTCGAGATCTCCCAGATTGTTGAGAGACTGAACAATATCCATGTGTTTCTTATTTGGAAACAAGCGCAGTCGAAGATGGAGGCATTCTTGGTATTGTTTCTGCGCTTCCTTGAGCCGGCCAAACTGTTTCTCGATGTTGCCGATGTTGTTGTGAATTGTAGCGATGATGGGATGATCCCGATCCGGGTAGGCGCTGATCCCTTGTTCAAGAGCTTCTTTATAGAGATTAAGAGCGATTTCTCGATGACCCAGTTGCGACTCGACCGCCCCAAAGTTACAGAGGAGTACGGCCATCAATCGAGCACTGCCTGGCTCTGTGACGCAATCGAGGATGTGTCGTGCTTTGGTAAAGCAATCTTCTGCCTCCTTTAGCTTTCCCCTGTCGCTGTATATGGAACCAACGTTGATTGTGGACTGGATGATGTCCGCTGTAGCTATTTGATCCCGGATCGTCAAGCGGATGTCCAATGCTTCTGCGAAGCAAGCCATGGATTCATCGAAGCGTCCAAGAGTGGAGAAAACAGTTCCGAGCGTATTCCGAACCGATGCGTACATGGGGCTGAACTTCGTGCCATAAAATAAAAGGCACCGCTCCAAACACACGGAGAGAGCTTCTTGGCTTGACTTGTAGGCACCACGATCGTTCAACACCTCCCCAAATCTCCAGTGAATCCATGCATGCATCTCCTTGGTGTAGCGCTCAGGAATAGCTCTTGCTGCATAATAATCAAGGTGGCCGCCAACCACCACGCTTTGAGTGTCCGGAAGGTCGGTGAGACCAAATATGACCACTCCAGTATCTTCCTCAGCTTGCTCGAGGTCCAACGCTTCAATACACTTGAGAAAATCGTACGAAGCAGCTTGGATGAGGGAATGCGTGTAGTAAACATCGTCGGCTCCAAGTCGGAGGAGCCCTCTTTGGCACAGCAGTCGCACGGCCGAAGGAAGAACTGGAGCAAAGAGCGTCAATATTGCACCACGGTTTGTATGTGCATGTAAAGAAGATGACGTGCAGAGTATCGATGCTCACCGTCGGTGGATATGCCCAGTCTTTCTCCGAGTTTCTTGATAAGAATGTATGGGATGTCGTCAGGACCGAGCAAGCCGATGCTTGCCAGGAGTCGACGGGCAGCTTCCCCGAGCTTCTCTTGAGCAGAAATCGACTCAATAGACAAGCTGACGATGGCTTTGAGAGAAGAGCGCTGATCCTGGTCATTTGTGCTCTGATTGAGGAAATTTTGGAAGTTTCGATCAACATCGGAGAGCGATACATCAACGTTGTCCAAGAGAGTCAAAAGTGTTCCGAGAACAAGAGGGTATCCCTGTATTTTCGATACGATGCGTGAGAGAGTATCCAGATCTTCTTTGGAGTCAAATTTGCCTTCAGTACGAGAAGACTCGGAGAGAATATAGCTGTAGGTCAGATCGTCCGACCAGGGAAGGAGACGGATGGGTTGCTGCTGAAAGTCCGAGACTTTGGCCCTGAACGCCGAGAGAAACGCCCCAGTGCTGATCGAGGACAGCCTAGTGGTGACGATGACATCGCCTCCGAACCCAAGGGTCTCGGAGTGCTCAAAGACAGAGTTGACGGCGTCAATATCGTCAATGTTGTCGAGGACGAGGAGATATCCATGCTGGTTGGCAAAATAGTGCGAGGCATGCTGCTTGATCTCCTCGATATTGATGGACGGGAACAGCTTGATAAGGCCGTCCAGAGCGGTGGCCTCGGTCGCACAATTGATCCAGTAGAACTTGAAGTACTGCGGCCGTGTTCCAATAGTGCTGTCCATGAACTCCACAAGCGAATCCTGGTTGCTGACCTCGAGCGTGCCCATCATGTAGCGGAGAAACTGCCGAGCCAGGACCGACTTTCCCATACCGCCCAGTCCCGAGATGATTGCTCGACCAGTCCGAGTGACTTGCTCGAGGAGGCTGTCGAGGTGGTCAATGTGGCCAAAAAACTTGGCGTCGCAAAAGTGGCGCTTGAGAAGCTGGTCCAGAACATCCTTGGTGGCGGACGAGATTGGCCGAAGCAGGTTCAGCAGGCGGTAGACCCGTCTGTGCGCCTGGTCGGGTCGGAGAGTGAGCATCTGGATTTGCTTCAATTGATGGAAAATGTGCCTGAGCCTGTCGAACCTTGGGGAGGCTGGGAAGGCGTAATTGTAAGGATGGAAGATTGTGTACGATGTCTGGGACCGAGAGGCCGAGGAACAGACAGGCCAGGGATCCGGGTGGGTTGGTGACGGCAAATCAAGCCGGGTGGTTGGATGGGTCAATGGAGAGCCATGAAGGGGTCCGCGGATCGCGGGAAACGAAGGGTGGTCGCGGGCGGTGGATTCGGTAGCGATTCGGTGGCGATTCGGTAATGTTCCGAACAAGAGCAGGGTCATGAGAGCGGAGAGATATCGATGTGACGACAGGCGTGGCAGATCGTATGATTTTAAGGAGTAGAGGAGCAACAGTCGGGGCAGGGCAGGGACATTCATGGTACGGCGGCGGGTATTAGTGCAGCGATGCAGGAACAAACCAAGCAGGAACAAACGAAGCAGCATTAGTGCAATCACAGCATCGGCAGCAACTCGCCAGCAACATCGGCAGCAACATCGGCAGCAACATCGGCAGCCCGCGCGATTGTGCCCTGCTTGGCATCGTTCACATCACAATGCCGGTCCTCGAACTTACCCCGTCATATGTTGCGATCGACAGTGGCAAGATCCGGAGATCCGAGCCGCTGTCCCTCAGCTGCAGGGCACGCTCAATCTCGAGGACAACACCGTCTTCCTTGTTGGTCTCAACGTTCTGCTGCATGATATCCATGGATTCCTTGCTGATGAGGAAGACGGCCACCGAGCTGTTTGGAAGCTCCTCAAGGAAGACTCTTTGCCAACTGTCAGCGTCAGAGAGGCAGTCGCGGTCCAGGAACACTGCGAGATGCTCGCCGTAGCGACGATAGAAAACCGACACGACAAGTCTCTTGAGACCTCGAGCAGTGTCGAGATCGGAGCTGGAGCGATAGCCGAAAAAGTAGTCGTGGCGTTCGCCATGAGTATCGCACAGCGATCTCTTTCTCGCCGGGATCAGCATCCTTCAGGTCCAGATGGGAGTGGGAGTGGGAGTGGGAGTGGGAGTGGGAGTGGGAGTGGGAGTGGGAGTGGGAGTGGGAGTGGGAGTGGGAGTGGGGACGATTCAATTGTGGGCGGCCTTGATAATTGCAACAAGGGGTGATCGAGTGTGCAGGATATTGGCAGCTGGGGAAGAGCAGGCAGATGGCAGATGGCAGATGGCAGATGGCAGATGGCAGATGGCAGATGGCAGATGGCAGATGGCAGATGGCAGATGGCAGATGGCAGATGGCAGATGGCAGATGGCAGATGGCAGATGGCAGATGGCAGATGGCAATCGGTGGCGCAAGTGACAAGACAGCAAGGCAAGACGGCAAGACAAGACAGCAAGGCAAGACAGAGGTTGGATGCAACGGGAGGCGTCCGAGAGCAGACGCAGTGCGGGAGACGACCCAGTGACCGGGAAACAAGACACTTGCAGCAGCGGGGGTTGACAGGAACGGCAGTCAAACCAAGGCCAAAGCAGTGACCGGAGCAATGACCAAAACAATGACCGAACAATGACCAGAACAATGGCCAGGACGACAGGGACCAGGCAGAACGACCAATTTGGCAGGAGCGTCTGGCCGACAGATATTTGGCAGGAGAGATGACCAGAGTGATGGTGTTGGCGGAACAGCGGATTGGCAGCAGGGGCGGACGCCTGGAAGGGAGGGCACTTGCGGAGACAAAGGTTCGATGGGGACAGAAGGCTGGCAAAGGCTGGCAAAGGCTGGCAAATGCTGGCAAGTGCTGGCAAATGCTGGCAAAGGCCGCTGAGGGGGAGGTGGCGCAGATATATCATTATTGGAAGTGCGCCACCGACCCAACCCAGCTCGAGCGCCGAGCCGGCTGGCTGCCCTGTTGCCCTGCTGTCCTGTTGCCCTGCTGTCTATTGCCCTGCTGTCCTGTTGTCTATTGTCCTGTTGCCCTGCTGTCCATCTCGCTGGGTTGCATCCTGCCTCACTGTGCTGCTTCCTGCCTCGCTGGTGCCTCGCATTCGTCTCAAAGTACCAAAGCGACTGTGTCGGCCCTTGAGCAGCTTGTGCTCCGAGTGTGAGGTCCTCTATCCCCCGCCTGAGCATATGGATATCCACACCCCCGGTATGGATATTCGGGTCTGGCTGTGGATCTCCACAACTGGTACGACCTCCACAACTGGTACGATATCCACAACTGATACGACCTCCACAACTGGTACGACCTCCACAACTGGTACAACCTCCACGGCCTGATGTGCATAAACACATCTGGCTCTGTTACCACATCCTGCCATGGCATCCGCACCCTGCCGTGACATCTGCGGGCGAACAGGAGCATATGTCTGTTCGCTCTTGAATATGCTTCCACAGTCCAGTCTCTTCCTTCTCCCGTGTCGTTGGAGCATATCTCCATCCAACATGTGCACCCTTGCATATCCCCAAGCCCCTGGTGGCTTTCCTCTCGTTCCATCTAATGTTTTTCCGCCCCATTCCGACCAATATTGGCCGCTCTCCTGCCAATTGGTCGTCCTGCCTGGCCCCTACCGCCCTGGCAGCGCTCCTCCCACTGGACAACTGCTATGGTGCAAGGCGAGACGTATTTGTTCCAGATTGGATCATAAAGACGCCAAGGGGGGGGGGAGGAGAAACATAACAGAAAGCGTAGAAAGGGTGAGTGGAAATGCTGTTGGGTCGGATGGTGGCATCCGCAAAGTTTCGGCCCGGAGCCTCGCAGCGACCCCGCATTTCGCCCTTGTGCCTTCGACGGCATTTGAGATGCGATGGTGGAGTGCCCGTTACATCGGCCCTGGGAGAACGATGAGCGTCAGTGTCAAGAACAGAGTAAGCAGCAATGGGGATCCGGCCGATCGCCTGGTATCTCAATCCAACCGACGGAGTCTTGAGGATTCCAACATCCATCCATTATTCTTGTACATACATCGAGTCGTATCGGACCACTTACCGATTCTCCATCGGGAGGCCCTCTTGTTTGTAACTCATTATCGGAATTGGTACAAAGACTGTATCGTTTTGTTGCTGTTCAGCCGCTTGCGTGTGCTGGCAGCGATGGCCACCTGGGTCGAGATCTTGAACGAAGGTTGAGCTGGAAACATCGAAAGGTTGAGGGGAATGTCCAGATTCAAGAATTTCAAGAGCTGTCTGTGCTGGATAAGCAACTCGCTTCGACTGCTGCAGTTGAGGAGGATGAACATGTAATGCTGGAAGCCTGTGCGCGTGATTGCGTAGCCCAGGTCGTGGTACTCGATGTTCGGCGGGATTTTGGCACACTCGACACCGAGCTGCTGGTAGAACTCAAACTCGTTGCCGTATCGGGTCAGGAGCAAGCCTTGATTGATGTAGTCGTCGTATCCGCGGAAAAAGTTGCGATGGAAGGTGTCCATCTTGGTTGCTTCCAAGAAGCTTGTTCTCTCGGGGAAGACCGAGGCGTCGAGAGCATCAAAGATCCAGCTGTACAGTCGGCAGCCCAAGGGAGTGAGTCTCTCCGCGTTCAGCTCCGACAGATACATGGCCTCCCCAGGAATAAACTGAAACGAAGGGCTCTGTGGAATGGCCACGGGGGCCGGGGTTGGGGGCTGGACAACTTCCGGGGCTCGCAGAGGCAGTGGCGGAGGAGTGGCAACTACCGGTGTTGTCTCGGCAGCAGCAGTTGGGGCGGGCGACGCCGGCGGCGCTGCGGCATTCTGGAGATCAAACGTGTTTGCGTAGATGGTGGCAAGCTGGCTGAGGCAGTTGCTGACCAGCCGGGGAATGCAATTGATGCCCTGGATGGCAAAGATGAAGGCCATCGTCTCTCGAATGGTGTGCTTCTGAGGACTGTTTGGATGGCAATGTAGCTCATCGGGGAACTGGTCGAGATTGAAGGACCGGAAGAGGGAAATTACGTCCCCGGACTCCTCTGCCACAAGGAAGGGAACGATCTCAAGCTTGCCGGTCTTGCACAGGTCGACAGCGAACTCCCACTGTTACGACGAGCCAAGGCAGTTACCGCATTAGAACTCCTAGCTCGTTCATTCTCCAGCAACCGAGCCAAGCAGCAGTGGGCACCTGTGCATACCCATACTGCTGGTGCAGAACATATTCCACCCATCGCGGGGAGCAGAGCAGAGCAGAAAATATACGCCGCACATCAGCACTGATTTGGACGCCAGGCCAGACAACAGCCACTCACCTCAAGCAGAAGGTTGTCGGGCTTGTCGGCGGTCCTGACACGCTCAAGCGCCTGGTCGCTGATGAGCAGAATGGCGATTTTCGAGTTGACGAGGCCACTGAGGAAACCCTGCTCCCAAGCCTTGCCATAGACGAGACAGTTGACATCGAGATAAACGTGGGGCAGCTTGGGAGCTCCGCCTTTCGTGTATGCCTTTAGACGGTCGGTAAACTCGGACGACTGAAGGTAGAGTGCCAGCTTTTCGGCGAGGTTGTGCTCGGACGAGACACGGTAGGAAATGAAAAAGTCATGGGCGGTGTAGCCGCTGCGGCACTTCCAATCCTTGCGGCTGGTGAAAACCCGAGACAGGGTGCTCTTTTCGTTCTGCGGGGGAACCTTGGGACGGGTTGGGGGCTGCGAGTCGCCTTCAGACGCTGGTTCGGGCTGGGGGCTGGGCTGAGGCTCTTGGGCTGTCTCGGAGACAGGGGGGCTGGGGATCGGGGCTTGCGACGGCTCAGGCTTGATAGCGGGTTGGGAGATGGCACCGGCATCGAGGGCCTGGGGATACGCTTGATCAATAGAATCAGCCGAGCTTGGGAAAGGCACGGATGGACGACCAAACGAGCTCTGCGATTGCGTACGACCAAACGAGCCCTGCGATTGCAGACGACCGAATGAACTCTGCGATTGCGGGCGTTCAAACGAGCCCTGCGATTGCGGACGAAACGAACTCTGCGACTGTAGACGTTCAAGCGAGCCAGCATGCGACAGCGAGCCGTATTGGAGAGGAGCCTGGTCAAAGGTCTCGGCCACGAACTGGGGCTCCTGGACGAAACTACTGTTGGTGACGGGTTCGCCGAGGAAGCTCTGTTCATAGAAGGTGCTCGAGGAGTACCCGATGGACTCGTCAAAGCTGGGAGGCAGCTCGCTGTGGCCGTGGGTGGCGAAGTCAGATGCACCACTGGTTGTGGCAGCCGGCGCTGCGGGTGGCTCTCCGTCGCCATCCATGACGCCCTGTGCCAAGGATCGATGGTGGCGGAATGGCCAGCGACAGAAGTAGCCAAAAAAAAAAAAGAGTCACGGAAGCAACCAGATATCAGAGAGGCAGTTGGAAAGCCTAGAGACGACACTGCAGCCGAAGCAGAGTGATATGCGGGCAAGCCAGAACATATCCATCAACCGCCTTACCGAGAGCAGAAAATCAAGGGCGGTATCGGCGTCGTTGTTGGTCAGAAGCAGTGTATGTTCAACCTTGGTTCGGGAGAATCCCATGGCCATGAGCCGCTGGGTCGTGGCCTCGATATTCGCTTCTGTGAGCGGGGTGACAGCAATGTCGGTGTCGGTTCGGACAATGGATTAGGTCGGGGAGAGAAACTCTGCAGTGCTGCATTGATGTGGCGAGTCGACGACCAGGCGAGATGGCAGGAAACCACAGGCAAGCCAAGCCAGCACCCTGTGCAGGTATGCAGCAGCCGTTACCGGAGGGCATCACTGGCAGTCGGAGGTGGGAGGATCGAGACGGATGATCGAAACGGACGATCGAGATGGACAATCGAGATGGATGATCGAGACGGATGATCGAGATGGAGGAAAGCGGCGAGCCAAGGGGCTGAAGCAGGTGGGTCAACCGCCAGCGGAGCGAAGCCACCTGACCCAGGCCAAGAAGGACCGTTGCTTGGCCGCGCGACGCGCCTGGGGCGCACAGAGTCATGCAAACTCTGGCTGTACGACCCTGTGCGCGTCGAGCGGTGGCGCCTCCCTTGATCGTGTTTGTGGCCAAGGCGCCCAACTTTGGATCCCAGAGATCGTTGGCAGGCGATGAGCGAGCACACCCGCATCCAATGCAAGCGGGCCGGCAACGGTCGAAAGCAATACACATCGTGTTTTTGACTGAATACCGGGTATTCAACCATCCATACGAAAACGAAGAAAAGAAAAGACTATTGGTGTCAAAAATCCAGGGTGCCAGTTGCATTATGGACAAGCTATCGAGACAAAGACTACATGGCGCCGCTGACAGCACGGTAAGTATGTTGTGCTGTAAGAAAATACAAAGCCGGAAGTGGAGAGGGAGGTTCGTTGACCAATAAATACGGATAGGGGGTTACTCCTCAAGAGGAGGAGGAGGAGGAGAGAATGCAGTCTACATAGATCGGATATTGAACAAACAACAAAGCAGAAGAAATGGAAGAGAAAAGGATGCTACCACGCAGGAGATCAAAAGAATGCCCGATGCGCTTAGTCTGTCGGCAGGGCCGGAAGCGGCCCGCTCGGAGGAGGACCTTTCAGGGGCGGGATCGTGTAGGAGATGTGGCTGAGGGCTGACAAGATGGGTGATGCAAAATCGCCGTTCAAGCCCGAAGAGACGGGGGTTGCCGGGAGGGAGCCTGTCAGAGGCTGCTTTTCGTCATAGATAGAGCCGGCCTTGGACGGAGGTCGGTTGGGATAGGAAAAGGGATGCCGCTCAGTCTCGCTCGGCGTCAACGGGCTCTGGGGCATAGCGGGTTTGTAGATCCGCTCCGGTGCCAGGGGGCTGCGCGGCGATGTGGCCGATGGAGGGAGGCGTGTCTGAGAGGCGCGGAACGAGGCTTGGCCTCCGCGAGGATGGTTCTGGTTCGCACGAGGAGCGGGACTGCCGCGGTGCATCGCCTGGCTGATGCGAGGTAGCTCCTTGGCGAGAGCTCCAAGTGGGAAGATGCCGCTTTCGTTGGTGCGGGTATTATATCCCGTTGCCCAGCCATCCGGCCAGATATGTCTGTGAGAACAGCGACATTGGTTAAATCACGACAGGCGCAAGGGACTCTGCATGGCAATCGCCGGGGAAGGCGTTGGCCGCAGTCGCGTGGCCATGGTTTCATCCACGAATGCAGGAACATGCAGGATCAAACGCCCGATTGCCATTTGCCTCTCTCCGAGGCACTGTCCTCCTTCCCTCCCGTCCCCGCTCCGCGCCATGGGCTGTAGCGCGTACCTGATGGCAATCAAATCGCCTTGATGGATCGATATCTCGTCATCGCGGGTCTTGTCATAGTTGCGCTGGGCCAAAAGTCGCTTGCCGAGCAGACAGGCCGAGTCTCGCATGGCCGTCGGAGAGACGCCCATCTGAGAGACCGACCGGATCGACTCGTTGCGCTTGCCAGGGGCCCAGCGACTTTGAACGGCCTCGTGTGTGGCTCCGGGCGGCGTTGCGGGGCGACCAAATGAGGTATTGATGCTCAAATGAGGTTTGGTGCGCTTGGATGCTGGAGGCATACTATCGGCGGGCCGTGACGGGATGAGCTGCCCCGACGAAGTCTGCAGGTACGGCGTGCTCGACGAGTCAGACCCAATGAGGGTTGAGCTGACGGCAGGTCGATCCCCGCCGGACGAGCCGTTGCGGTTGTGCCAGTCCGAGTTGGACCGGCGGTGGGAGTTGGCGGCATAGAAGGGACCAGGCTGCAGCGTCGCTGGTTTGGCCGGCGGTCCGTCTGCACGGAGAGGCATCCGCAGCTCGGGATTGGAGGGAGCGCGCGGTCGACTCACGACATGGACTGGGGCGAGCGGACCCGAAGACGGAGGCGAGAATAGGATGTTGACTCCGTGAGGGCTGCGAGGACTGGCGGGGCTGTGCGGCTCGCCGGCCGAGCGATGTGACCGAGTGGGAGACGAGGGAACAAGCAATGAAGGCAGCGTTGACACCTGGGGCGAGCTGACGGGACGTTGGCCGCGGACGTTGCGTTGGAAATGAAGCAGCTGGTGAGGCTCGGAGAATCGACGGCGCGAGAGCATATCGCTGCTCGGACCAAATTCGGTGTCCTTGATGGGCGTGATGCGGATATGCGGCTGAGTCCGATGCTGTTCAACCCGCTCGGAGCGAGCAGACCGGACAGCAGGAGGCACGCACGTACTCATGGGGTTGTATGTGTGAGGAATCCGCACAGGGAGCTCGACGACTCTGCCGCTTTCAAGAACCGACGACGAGGACGACAGTGAAGACGAAGATGACGAAGACGACAGCGATGAAGACGAGGAGGAGGAGGAAGAAGAAGAAGAAGGAGAAGAGGAAGAAGAAGAAGAAGACGCTGAAAAGACAATCTCGACATCGTGACTGATAGAGACCTGCGCTGTGGAACAGTCAAAGTGGTAGTCGACATCGCTTGGGCTATCGATGACGACGACCGAGCTGCTTTTGGTTGGGTGGATCGACTGCCCAACTAGACGACTGGTTTCTACCACTTTGTCATGGAGACTGCGTCGCGTCAGATTGGATACCAAGTTGTGCGTGTCGGCGGACGAATCCAGCAAGTTGTTCACGAGTCGAAATGCACCGAGGATAGCCGTGTCGGGTTGTGCATTGAAAACATCGTTTTTGCATCGGATATGTTGAGTCCCAAGCGTTGTAAAGGATCAGCGACGGAGCAGGGAGCCAAAGACGCCCCAGATGGGATATGCGAATAGTAGCAGAGATGGACATACCGGAAAGTGAAATGCTCTCTCCACCTGACAAGAAGAACGAGTTCTGGGTGGCTGGTTGAGGTTGGATGCAGACTGAGAGCAACACAGGGACGTGTGGGCTTGTGGTCTGCTTCAACGACCTTCCACATTACGGGCACTGCGAGGACACGCCAATCAAACGGCAAGGATTAGAGCTACGGATAGATGCGTCGGCGTGAAACCATGCTTGCCACAGATTCCAGCCGAGTGTGTCCAGGCAGCGCCATTTGTTGATGATGCAGCCAATGGTGATTGTCGCGGTAGTGGACAGAGTCGTTGGCGAACTTACCACTCGAAAGCGTGCCGCAGAGAGCAGAGGCAGTCGTGGAGTCGCCGATTTCCTTGCGAAAGATTGCGATGGGGAAGTGCTCGAGCACGGAGAGCGGGACCTTGTTTCCCGCAGCATCGATTCTGGCGCGGCAGTGGTAGTCGATCTCGTAGAATCGGGAGGTGGTGTCGGCAAAGAGGCGGACGGAAGGCGCGAGATGGTTCACGGGCAGGACGAGCAGGAACGGGGTGTCCCTATGGAGACGAGTTTGGCGCAACAGTCAGGGTGTGTGGGCAGCAAGCGGCGGCCGACGGAGGGGTAGAATGGCAGCCGCCAAGGTGCGACAGCAGGGCAGAGCCATGGACGATCGTGGGCGATGGTGCACGATGGCGCACGATGGTGCATGGTGATGTGGGGTGGGCGTGTCCGACTGCGGGTGGAGCCGTCAAGCCCCATGCAGACAGATATACAACGGCGACCGGGCAGGGTATGCCGACGACAGATGGTCGGATGCAATGCTGTGCGGGATGCTGGGGTACGGTGTGCGATTCATTCACCGTCCGGCCAAACATACCGTGAGTCTTGCATAGCCGAGCCCAGAAGCGAGAGACTGAGCCGCAGCGGGGTCTGGGCGACAATCTCGACAGCAGCGTCTTTGGGATCGCTGGCATTGGTGATGGTCTTGACGAGCTCGATGCAGATGGTGATCGAGTCCTGAGAAGCCTCATACCAGGGCTGCGAGGTTGCCCAGGCATGGAAGCCCTTGGGTCGCAAGCGCAGGATGCCCTGCAGCTCGGATGAAACCAAGGCCGAAGTCTGGGCAACCCGGACGGTGTATGCGGGTGGAAGGATCCACTCGCACAACGGAGACATTGGGTACGAAGCGGGCTCGAAGCGGGCTCGATGCGACTTGTGGCGGCGGGCTGGGTCGAGAGTCGAGGCGCTGCCGACGTGGGGGATGAACCGAAATTGCCGGCTGATCAGGGAAGCTGGAGGAGGATGGGCTGGCAGGGCAGACGAAGAAGCGAGAGCAGAGAGCTGAACGCAGAGCTAAACAGACAGCGGATGGACAGACAGGACAACCGACGCCGAGGGAACGAACCCGGAGGCCTGGCTGTCGACTGGGGGGGGGATTGCGGGAGCAGATGGCCAAGGCAGGCCGAGGGTGGTTGAGATTTAAAGGGCGAAGGCGGATGGATGGGAGCCAAGTTCAGCGCCCCACCGACCGCCGCCACAGGACCACGAGATGGTCCCAGCCAGAGGCCTCCTTGGCCGCGGATCAGGGCCATGGATCGGTCTTTGCCATTTTCCGCGAGGGGCGCTGTGCCGCTGTCGCTGTTGCTGTCGGTGGATGGCATTGGGAAGTATCCGAGCGCCGGTGTCGATTGCGCATGGGAAAGCAGCCACCATCGGAATCGTTAGGCCATCGGAGTCGTCGGACCGTCGTAAGCATTGGACTTGCCAACTTTTGCACTTGCCCCGAATCGAGCAATCACGGCACCTGATCCACCACAGACACTGCACATCACAGAAACTGAGCGTCGCGGTCGCAGAGTGCAGTGCAGTGCAGCTGTGCACAGTACACACGGTGGCAAGGCTGCCCAGCCTCCAGAGTCGCACCGGGCGCGCAAGTGTGGCGTGCGTGTTACGCCGGGGGCGCACCGCGTGGGCTGTTTCGCCTGAACTGGCGCGCACAAGCGCAGCCCGACTGTCTATGTGATCCCTGCGGGTCGGTGGGGGAATAGCCGCTGGCTGGCTGACCAGGCCCCATGTCGATAGCTCTCGCCGGCGATTGTTATTGATTGTCGCTTGTCTTGACGGAATACCCTCCACCGGGTGTGGTTCTGCTGCTGCGGTCGCAGCTGCCATCGGTCCCGGGATAGCATCCATCGCTGCATCGAATGGCCCTGCAGCGGACGCCGGCCCCAATTGCACACCCGTGCGCGGCGGGTCGGCTCGGGGGCTGCCGCCGGCTGTCAGCGCCGGCTGTCAGCGCCGGCTGTCAGTGCCGGTGCCGGTGCTTCTGCTTGTGCCATGCTGCACATTTCCGGTGCTTGGCCGTCGCCGCCTCCTTCCCCCTGTCCCAGCCGACTCGCACTCCTGTGCGGCCGGGGGGGGGTCTCCTGTGTTTCTGAGACCAGCCGGCCAGGAGAGCCGGGATATCCGTGCCGAAGCGCATCTCGTCCTGTCGCTGCCGCCGCCGCCGCCGCCGCGAGCAGCCCGCCTGTCGACAGCGACGCCTGCATGTCCATGAGCCTGGCGAGCACATATCCAGGACGCGGGACCTGCAACGTAACGCTGACAGCAAAGAGCGGATGGGCATCCTGTGCGGCACTTTTTCCACACCGGCCATGGCTGCCCAGACGACGGGCCAATGCATCACGAACAACACTTGGTCTCGGAGGGTGACAGCTGCAGGAGAGAGGCCATCTGCCATCGGGCCGAGTCCAGGGATATATCTGCCACCCAACCGAGTCCAGGGAGACGCTGCCATCGGGTCTCTTGCACTTGGCCCGAGCAGCCTTGCAAGACTCGTAACGACATCCTGCGGGTCGCCGATCTATCCTGCGGATCCGCTCGCCGGTCCTGTCCATCGCATGCTCGGCTGCAATCGCCCCTGTCGCATGGCTCGCCGATCGTCTGCTTGGACAGTCATCTGCCTCGGCCGTGTCCATCCCGTCTTGCGGTGGCCGAGACACCAGTGTCTTTCTGCTTGCCAGCCGCTGGCCGGGTCAGTCCCCGCCCCCGGCCTGCATCCCAATCTGCCATCGCACCAGAGACCATGTGAGCAGCACTCGGCCAAGACTGCAGACGCAAGCGTCCTCGTGGGGCAATCTGGTCCCCAATTCGCCTTGGCTGGTCCACCGACTCGCTGTTCCATTATCCCGTTGCGTGCCTATCTGCCCTCTCGGGCTCTCGAGCAGCCTGGCTGATTCTCCTCTCCGTTACGCCTGTCTGCCTTGGTGCACTTTGCCGGTTCGCTGTCGGTGTTGTCCGCGTTCCTGCCCCTTACACTTTATTCAGAAAAAAACGGGACAACATAGCCGTTTCCATGAACATGTAGTATGTGCTGTGCTTGCGTCAAGCAAAGCCACAAGAAATAAAACAGATCACTTTGGCAGCCTCCGAGTGAAGACCGCCGGTCGCTCTCCGATCTCCACAATCGACCTGCATACTGTGATCATGTTGCGCGCCGCATTGACGTCGCGATTCCACACTGTCTGGCAGCTGGGATTCTTGCAGCTCCTGACAAAGTGGGAATTCGCAACACTGGGCGCATCGAGTCCTTCCAACCGAACTGGCTCCAGGCACTTGGAGCACACTTGCGAGGTGTTGAACTCGTTCGTCGAGGCCACCTTGACGCTTCCATGAGGGTGATTGGGACGGCGTCGGTGGTGCTCGAATTGCTCAAAGTACCGCTGCCTCCGAGGGCTGGATGCATAGCCCTTGCCTTGTCGCCATGACGCATTGCCAAAGGCGATCACCACATCGGTCCGTATCGGGGCGTGCTTCAGGACGGCCTTGCACATCTTGTCAACGGCCACTTGGCGCCTCCTGTGGCCCGTGAAGCGATGGTGACGGGCCTTCTTGCCAAGGTGGAAGTCGAGCTGCACTCGCAGCTCCGGTCGCAGGACATGGGTGAGATGGACCTTGAAGGCCTCCGAGGACGACACCTTGGGCGAGGGGGTGGTCGACATCCAGGTCTCGATGCTGAGTCGATACTTCATGGTGTTGTGCCACTTGGTGTTGGACGTATGGCCACACATTTGCTGGTAGTGGCCATTGGAGAATGAGACCACCTCGTCTTGGTGGCCCGGTGCTTGGATGACCGCCGTGAAGATGGAGCCGACTCCAGGATCGATGCCAATCCAAGTGGTACGGTTGGGGTCTGGGTCGCCGATGTGGGCCTGGATACGCTGCTCGGCAGTCGGAGGAGGCTCGATGGTCTCGGTGTGATCAGTTCGACGCACAAACTTGACGAGGCCGATGGTGCATCCAATTCCATCGGTGCTGATCTCGTAGTTGAACAGCTTCTTGTCCCTGACCCGCTCTTGGAAGAGGGAACTACGCAGCTTGAAGCAACTGCGCCAGAGACGATCCTGGTTGTTGATGCCGTCCTCACCTTCATCCTTGAGCTTGTCCCGGGTGAGTCCAAGGCGCTTCTTTGGACCAAGGAGCTCCCAGAGTGCGACCGTGTCGATCTTGACATACTTGGCCGTGGCAGTGCATAGAGGAACCATCGTGCACACGGCCGGAGGAGTGTCGAGAGCGAGCTGCTTGAGCGCCCAGTTGATCCTGGCGGCCAGCTTGTTGATCTTGGCCTTGGTGGTGCCGAGCTCAGACTTGACCGTGGTGAACCTCTTGTCGTCGGAGGGAATGCCTCTGGCAGTGAGCTCGTCCAGCTTGGCCTGGCGCTGCAGCTCGGTGACTCGGAGGGCGGGCATGTCACAGTCGATCCACTTGTGGACATTGTCGACCATCTTGTCTCGGGCGAGGATTCTCACATGGTGTGAGAGGCGATGGAGGGCCCGGAAGCGGTCCTGGTCGTTGCTGTACCGAAACTCGTCCAGGATGTGGCCAAACTCGGGATAGAGGAACTCGAGATCGGCCTTGGGTGGAGTCTGCCCTGGTTTCTCGAAGAGCTCGAGACAGGCCTCGATGGCTTCGTGCTTATGCTTGTTGGCTGGGAAGACGGCAGCGCAGAAGCGGCGAAGGAGTCGCCAGTAGGCCAGGTCGAGGTGGGTGGTGCAGTTGGTGGCATAGGCATTGACAGCCAGTGTGAGAAGCTGACTGTGAGCACCATCAGGCAGACGAGGGGCCGGAGGCAGGTCTGCGTGTCGAGTGGTCTGGTAGTCGCGAAAGGAAGCGACCAGATGCTCGTTGTATTTCTTGGTATCCCTGGCCGTCGAGAGGGCATCGGCCTGGACGATCTTGAAGCATTGGCGAACGAAAGCAGGGGTGGACTTGGAGATGACGAGGACGGGAAGATCCTGCTCGATGCACCGGAGGATGTGCAGGTTGAGCAGCCTGGATGCCTCGAACTGGATCTGTGTCATGGCCTCGACGGTGGCCTGGATCTTGTCGCGGAGAGCGGGATTGAGACAACAGCCATCCATCGTCTGCTTGAAGCAGCTGAACTGAGGGGCGGATGACCTTCCATCCACGAGTGGGACGACAGAACTCTTGAGGGGCCGGTATTTGGGACACTTGCTAGTGTTGCAACGTTCGTGATCGGTGCCATCGCACTGGCGACATCGCTTGCCGGTACTCGAGGAAGTAGATGGACCAGGCTCGGTGGGATCGACATCCATTGGATCTGCAGAAGCAGTGGTGGTGAGCGACGGAGCAACAGACGACCAAGCATGCGTGGGATCAGAATACGAACCAGAGACAGGCTCCGACTGTGACTTGGCTTTCTTGGGCCTGGGTGGCCGAGGCTGGTCATCACCGGCACCCTTACGCTTCGGAGGCATGGGGGCAGAGGATGCTGGATGCCTGCCAGTGGTACTGGTCAGAGCAGAGACTTCTCTTTATCGTACAATAGCGCGATGATCAAATCAAGGCGAGGTGAGGGAAGAAAGCAGCAGGACAAAGGTGTGGCATTTATACCCGAGAGCAGGAACCCGTCTGCGCGGGCTGGTTGGGGAAGTGACCCTGTTCAAAAATCGCCGAGAGGTTCAAGCCAGGGATGTGAACGCGAAAACGGCGGCTTGATTGGAGGGAACTCAACCCCAAATCGGTGGGGACTCAACCCCAAAGAAGTTCTCGATGGGATTGAAGTCGGGCGAGGCAGGTGGGGTGAAGATCACTGACCATCCTCGGCGCTCGATGCAGTCCAGGACAGCCATTGTCTTGTGCATGCTGACATTGTCCATCACAACCACAGAGTCGTCTGGGAAGGCCGCTCGCTCAAAGAACTCGACCATCGAGTGTGTCTTGAATGATGTGGGGATGTACATGCGATGCAGCACACCAGAGTGGTTGATGGCAAATGCAGCTGAGACAGACTTGTGTTTCATGTGATTGCGCTGGCGAAGCGGAGCACCCTTCGGTGAGTATCCGTAGAGAGGGAAAATGGATTTCCTGATCCCCGTCTCATCGACAAAAACGAATCGTCGTGGGTCGATGGAGCGGACCTGGTCCCTGAACTGTGCCACTCGCTCATCCAGTCGCTTGGACTTGTAGAGGTGTGTTGCCCTCTTGTGTGAGAGACCTGCTCGCTGGATGGCAGTGTGGCAGAGTGAGAGTGATACTTTCCTCTGGAGGATGGACTCGAGCTTGCATCGCAACACAGGACCAGTCTGCAACGGGTCCTGTTCAATCAGGGTGCGAATGACTGGACATGCCTGCTCGAAGATAGTGGATCTGCGAGCTGGGACCCGGGATGGGTCATCCAGCTTGCATCCTCGGTGCCATCGATGGATGGTGCTCTTGGACACACTGAATATGGAGGCGACCTTACGCAGGCTATGGATGAGGGCGTAGCATCGCAATGCGGCGGTGCGAAAGTCGGATGTGTGGCGAATGGTCATGGCCAGCGCGCGATAACATTGGGTAACAAAATATTCGATGAATGGTCAAAAACCCGGGTGTCCCGTTTTTTATTGGATCGCCCTTATTCTGCTTGTCTCGCTGCCTGCCCGTTGCAAGCCTGCTCTGGCGCTGCTCTCTTCATCGCTGCCCCACCCGGCCTTACAATAAAATCCTTCTCTCTCTCTGCCGGAGCATCCAGTCTCGCCGCCTCTTCGCAGAACCCTGCTCTCGGATCCCAGTCCCGCTCGCATCCCAAAGCCGTCGTCGTCGACAAGCCCTCCCTCCACCTCGCCTCATCGCCCCGCCACGCCGCCTTCCTCGCTATGAATCGAGACCGCACCCTGGACTATATCCAGAGAAAGGGCTCGCTGGCCTCATTGGAGAGCACCGACTCGCAGGCCACCATGGCCCTGGGCTTCCATGCCCCGACACCGTTAAGGGTCAACACTCACTACAGCACCTCTTATCAATCGAACCCGCTGCTTTCGCCGCCGCTCGGTGGGCCGACGTCGCCCCGGACCGTCCACAACAGCCCGGCGCTGACTCACCTTCGCCAGGACACTCCTTTGCTCCCAGGCGATGATTTCCAGCTGGACCGGCCTCTGCAGCCCAAGGTCATGGCCGCCCATCACTCGCTTTCTGCCCGCAAAATCATCTTCCAGACCACCCAGCCGCGAAGCCTGTCGCCTTCGCAGCCCACGTCGTATGCTCGCCTCATGATGAATGCCTCCTACGGTGGCCAAGTGTCGTTCGCCCTCAACCGCAGGGAAACCAAGCTGGGTCGCAAGGAAGACAACCACATCGTCCTGACCTGCGCCAAAATCAGCAAATACCACGCCGTCATCCGCCGGGACGACGAGGACAGGTGAGGCACGCTGTCCTGCTTGCATCTGCCCTTCTCTCTTCTCTCTTTCTCCCTGTTTTCCCGCTCCACTCTCTGTTCCAAGACCGGTGGCTATTTTTCTTGCGCTCGCGCTCGAATTTATGGAGTTTGCCCTTTGCTGGCTGTCTCCCGCTCTCGACGGGTGACCTTCGTCATCAGTCTCCCACTCATGTTGCGGCTTTCAGTGCCGATCCCTGCAATGCGAGTCGCTGGCAGTATGGGCTTGGGGCTGGTTCGCAGTGGGGGGGGGGTAGAGGCGCAATTCCTTGGCCGGATGCTGTTGGCTTGGCTCGCCGGACATGTCGCTTGAATGCCGTTGCATTCGCCAACGTGCCGCTCCATTTGCTGGCGGGCGTCTCTGCGTCCGGACTCTCCGATAGCCCCGCCTCGGCCATGCTGCTCATTTGCGAGACGGGCTCTGGGCCATGCTGGGCTCTGCACCCTTTCCTTCTTGTGCATACTCTGACACTATTCTCGGCTTGTTGCTCGTCGACACTGGCTCGTCTCTGTCGTTCGTCCCTATCGACTGCCGCTCGGCCAACTGCCCCAGCCCTCCCACGTACTATATCAAAGACAACATGTCCGCAAACGGACTCCGCATCAACGACTCAACCATCGAGCCGGGCGAGTTCTACCGACTCGCCGACGACGATGTCATCAAGCTCGGCACCATCACCCTGCGTCTCCAGTACGCATCCATCGACGACGGCACTCCCACCACCTCGCCGTCCAAGCGCACTCCCCGTCCCACCTCCGGCAACGCCGAAAAGTTCCTTCGCCTCGTCACCATCCTGCCCTTTGAGCAGCGCTACGAAGACAGCGTCACCATCCGGGCCGAGCTCGAAGCCGACGGCGATCCCGACTTCAAGCGCGTCGACCAAGTGACCGATATTGGCACCCTGCGCGAGGACTATGAGAAGCTGCGTCTGGCCTACAAACTCTCCCAGCTGTCCTTCAAGATGGACATTACCGAGCTGCTGGCTCGATCCCTCGACCTGATCTTTGAGATCCTGGCCGTTGACCGCGGAGTCGTGCTTCTGGTCGATCAGGCCACGGGCATCCTGAGCACCCAGTTCGTCAAACTGCGCGAGGGCAAGGCCGACGACTCGCAAGAGATTCTCATGAGCTCCACCATCATCCGCAAGGTCTACTACACCCGCACCTGCCTCATCACTTCGGACGCATACGAGGATCCCCTTCTCGGCAAGACAGCTCGGTACGGCCAAATGCGCAGTGTCATCTGCGTGCCACTCATTGCCCGCAACAAGGTGAGAGTCATGTTGCTTGCGACAATGGCGGTACCATGCGATTCGAGCGAGTGGAGGATCTGCATCTGCATGGATTGATGCCGCAGAATGCGGATGCCTCAATTCGCATATCCACTCACTCACTCACTCACTCACTCACTCACTCACTCACTCACTCACTCATGTCCAGGTCCACGGCATCTTGCATCTCGATTCCAAGGATCGCATCAACTCCTTTTCCAGCAAAGACCTGTCGCTAGTCAAGACCATCAGCAACCACACCGCCATGGCCATCGAGAACAGCATCCTCATCAAAGAGGTCGAGCAAAAGGCCCGCATCACCGAGCAGCTATCTCGCTTCCTGGCGCCTCACGTTGTCGATCGCATGGTCAACCGCTCCGACATTTCGCGCAGCGGAGGCCGCGAGCTTGTCGGGACGATCGTCTTTGTGGATATCCGTGGATTCACCCACCTGAGCGAAACCTGCGAGCCCAGCGAAGTGGTCAGCCTGCTCAACGACTATTTTGAACGGGTGGGTAGTGTAGGCACTGTCGATCCAGTCCAGCCAGGCTATCGGAGATCTGGCCCGGACAGCTGCATGAACCACTTTGCCGACGCGAGCTCAAGAGCAGAACGGGCCCTGGTCGCCATGAACTTGCCTCTCCACACCTCGATTGACGACTGCTAACACCACGCTTCTGTCGTTCAGCTGGTCAGGATCGTGTTCAAATACGAGGGCGTTGTCGACAAGTACATCGGCGATGCCCTCATGGCTGTCTTTGGAACGCTCGAGGGTGAAGTCGATGCAGAGTACCGCAGCGTTGCGGCAGGCATCGAGTTTGTCAAGGCCATCGACGTCATGAGCGAAGAGCGCCAGCGCATCGGCAAGGCACCCATCTCGATCGGCGTTGGAATCAACACAGGTACGCAGAAACCGGGACACCAAACCGACATTCTCGGCGTAGTCTCGGAGGACCAGTGGCTGTGATATGAGATGCCTCGCTGCCTCGTCCTCCTGTCTTGTTTGTCTGCCAGCGTGCATGTCGACGTCACCCGTAGCCACCCTCCACGATCCTCGCTGACTGTTCTCGCTCACAGGCGAAATCCTTGCTGGATTCATTGGCTGCTCTCAGCGCCTCGAATACACCTGTATTGGCGACGCCGTCAACACGTCGTCGCGGATCTGCGATAGCGCAAAGTCTGGCCAAGTGCTCATCAGCGAGACTACCTATGAATTTGTCAAGGACAGGATCGAGTGCAGGCCCATCGGCTCGCAGCACTTCAAAGGCAAAACCAGGGAGGTCATGATCTATGAAGCTGTCCGCGTTCTCAATGAGTGACGTGTCTGACGAACCAACTAAGCGACGCGGCTCTGCAAGCAAGCAACCTGGACTGCGTGCCGCCAAGCTGCCGCTTCAAGGAACAACTTGAAAAGCACACTCTGCCAGTGTATGCGCGTATCGAACTGGACAGATGCGTCCGATGACACCTATGGTTGAACGGACGTCTCGCCCCCGATATCTCCTGGACGTCACTTTTCATGATCTCCACTTCTGCTTCATTATCTTTTGCTCCCCCCCCCACTTTTACTTTACTTCTTTTTGGGCCTGCAAGGGTTGGTTTTCTTTCTTTCTTTCTTTCTTTCTTTCTTTCTTCTTCTTTGTTGTGTCGCTTCGAGCCAGGATGAGACGGTCTACCATTCGATTTGCATTCCGAAACACCTTCGTTATCATCCCACGATCATCATCATCATTATCACTGCTCTGCATATTAGTGTATCTGTCTTCCTTTTATGTGTCCATGCCCTGCTTGTCACCATCCGGAAGGATGATCCTTCCCTCTGCCGATGCTAGGTCTGCATTCATACCCGCCTCTGTTTCCCTCCTTCTCTCCCTCCCCCCCGACATGGAAATTCCTCGTTTGACGGAGGTGTGCCGATTCACCTTTTATTTATCGAGCGTGCACTCATGCCACTGCCGCCGCAGACATGTGCACACGCCCGCTTTTTACCATCCAGAGCGCGGCTCATCATGTTCAAGCATCGGCATCTGGATGCCCGTGTTGGTGCACAAGTCTGCGTCTGGCAAGTCAGTCGCCCAGCTTCTCAAGACCGACCACCCTTGTCGACACACACCCTTGGATTCCCCAATGCATATGGCACCGTTCTCGGCCTCCCTCTACATTACTTTTGGCGACAGGTGGCCCTTTTGCCTGTCTAACCTTGCATTCGTGGCTGCCACGGTGCCCACCTCCTTCCCGTTGCTCGGCCTTGATCTTGGCCTTGATCTTGGCCTTGATCTTGGCCTTGATCTTGGCCTTGATCTTGGCCTTGATCTTGGGCTGCCTTCTGTCTCTAATTTATTCGGGCGGTGGTTTCTTTCAACCCTTGACCTTGTCTGCCTTTACCGCCGCCGCCGCCGCCCCCTTTACCCTGCACTCCAAGCTAGACGCCATCGAGCCCTTTGGCAAGATGTTGCCCCCCATAGACGCTTTTGTTCTCTCGCTTTTCCTACTTCTTTCTTCGCCTTGTCGTCAGTTGCTACGTTCCTGTTATCGGCGACGCCTTTGTCATCTCAACACTCTCCTTGTACCCCCTCGACCTTTTTCATTCTTCGCCTTGGCTTCATGTTTACGACCTTTGCGATCTGCGTTTGCCATACTTTCAGTGCCGTCAAGCGTTCCATCCCGCACTTTCCGCCACCGGCAGACATAATGTCTGGCTCGCTCCGTCCTTTGAGTACATGGCACCCACTGGTGCTGCATTTGCCGCGATGCCCTCCTTGGTCTTGTATCTGGACCACAGGCCATTTCTCCTGTGTATGTGAGCGGCGCTGCGATTGGATATGAAATACAGACAGACTCCCTTCCTCAAGATCGCGAGAGTGGACAGGACTCTGGGAGTCGTCTATTGTGTCTCAGATCGAAGCACACACTCTTGCACCCATACATACATGCAAGCGCGCGAGTCCGCCGCAGATCAGGACTTGTGCTCAAACTGCGAGAGATACTCGCCCAGAGTCCCGTCCTGGATCGCTGCCCGGACCTTGCTGAAAAAGTGGTTAAACTGCCACAGGTTGTGCGAGTTCAGGAGGGCATGCGGCAGCATATCCTTGACCTTGAACAAGTGATTGATGTACGCCCGATGGTACGGCCGGGTGCAGACGGGGCATCCGCAGTTCGAGACCATGACGGTCTGATCGTGGACCCATTTTTGCGGATCGGACTTCATATCCATGGTCTCGGGCGTGTTCTCGGAGAGCCGGAGGGCGATTCCGTCCTCGGCAAGCTTGCAGACCCAGTTGCTGTCAAAGAGATCAACGCCCTCGCGGATGCCGACCAGGAGTTGCTCGAGCGACGAGACGCCGTAGCAGATCCGGGGCTTGGTCTCGGTCAGATGGCCGATCGTCTGGCGCAGACTCTGCTGGAAGGTCGGGAGGTCCGTGCGAGCCAAGAACGGCAGCACGTAGCCCGAAAGGTCGTTGTCAAAGAGCTGGATCGTCTTGGATGCTGCGCGGGCTCGTTCGTCCATGTCGCTGCCGCCATCGACGACGCCAAAGATGCACAGGCTCGCTGCGGCCAGGCTCTTGGCCTTTTCCTTGATCACCATGTCGAGATAGCCCAGGTTGCGGTCGACCTTGCTCTTGGTGCGCGTGCCCGGCTGCTCGGCCTCAAAGTCAAAGAGACTCACGAGAATGTCAGGCTTGAGGACCGTTGCAGCCTGGATGTAGTCCTTGGGCGAGACCTTGTAGTTCACGCCGCCGATGCGGCCAAAGATGAACTTGTTCCGGATCGAGCCCACACGCTCGGAACAGGCCCCAATGTCGGCCAGGTCGGCAATGAGGATCGGGTTGATCGAGTTCTTCTCGTCAAGGGCCATGTACGAGGCGAGTGAGTCGAAGCGGTTCGAGAAGCGGGACACCCGGGCCGGGTCGAAGCTGATCACTGGTGGCCGCGGGAAGCCCGGCGAGAACATGGGCAGAAAGTCCTCCATGGCCACCGTCATGCCGATCGAGTCGGGCTGCGTGGGCTGGCCCGACTCGGAGGCGCCCACGGCCGAGGCAGCCGAGCCTGCGATCTGGAGTGCAGGCAGATGGGTGTTGATCAAGTGCGGGACGGCTCCGAGGCGGTTGTAGTAGAGCAGCGCCGGTGTCGCAAGCGAAGCACCCGACGATGTCTGCAGGCGGCCGACCCGGACCGAGTGCTTTGATGTGGTGGTGGCGACAAACTCGATGTGCGACATGTGCAGCGGCTCGACGGGCGTGGAATCAGGACTGGTCTGGGATACGATCAGGGAGATGGCCCAGGTGCTGATCAGGGCGATGAGTCGAAGATCTGGAAGGCGATCCAGCGAGAGCCCGCCGAGAGCGTGCCGAGAGCATGCCGAGAGCGTGCCGAGAGCACGCCGAGAGCGTCGGAGCTTTTGCGTTTCGGCTCGGCCAGATCGCGGCTCTGATGCTCTCTCTTCGTCTGCCTCCTCGCTCGGCCCGACATCCAAGCTCGCTGCATGCGCCTGAACCTGCTGGCCGCTCGGGCATCTCGAACCTGCATCGCAACTGCACCCAGACGCCTTGGTCCAACACAGACGCTCGCCCTCCATCGACCTGCGTCCTCGGCCGGCCCTCGTCCGATCCGCTTGTTCCCGATCTGCTCGACCCACATGTCTCAAAAGCCGCCGATCGTCGTCATCGTTGGAACAACAGGCGTCGGCAAGACGTTGCTGTCCCTCCAACTGGCCGAGCGGCTCAACGGCGAGGTCATCAGTGCCGACTCGATGCAGGTTTACAAGGGCCTGGACGTCATCACCAACAAGGCCACCCAGTCGGAGCGGTCGCAGGTGCCCCACCACATCATCGATTTCTTGGACCCTCTCGAGGAGTATTCTGTCGGCGATTTCGAGAGGGACGCCCTCGAAGCTGTAAGTGCAGCACCACAAGCTTACCCAGCGATTCGCTTGAGCTGCTCTTGTCGTTGCCATGACCCCGTCGGTTCTCACTGGCGCAAATCCGTCACCGCTATCGGCCCCAGATCGAAGCAATCCATGCCCGCGACAAGGTGCCTATTATTGTCGGTGGAACCAACTATTACATTCAGTCGCTGCTCTGGAATCGCTCACTGGTTGGCTCAGACTCGTCGCTGACCTCCGAGGGCATCACCACTGAGATTGGCAAACTAGTCCCGCATGCCTCGATCGACAAAGCGCTCTTGAAGCAGGTGGCAGCTGCGATTGCGGCTCTGGAGCCCAAGGGAAAGCGACTCGTATACCCCGACGATGAAGAGCTTCCAAAGGATGTTGATGGATACAAAGTGTTGCAGACCGTCGACCCCTGTGAGTGGCAAAAGGAATGGCCGCAGCGCTGGCATCGACAGCGTCCCAAGATGCAAGGGTGTCTGTTTCGGAACAATAGCGCTTACAGCCAACCGTTTCTGGTATATCTGCTGTGGGGCAAATCGAACGACGTCGGCATCGGTGCTGGAAGTGATGGCCCAGCGATGGCACCAAAACGATACCCGCAAGATCCTGCGGAGCCTCGAGGTACACACCGCACTCTGTTCGGGAGATGGACTGCTGCTGAGTGCATGTGTCGATGTCAAGTACGGCTCACCAGCGGACACTGCCAGGTTTACTATACCACAGGCAAACGACACAGTGACATCATCATTGCACAGAACAGCGACGACAGCGGACGCAGTCTGCGGTAAGCGATTTGGACCGACAGGCCTTTCAGGCATTGTGGATGTGCACTGAAGATCCCCAAATGAGCGACTGCCCCCCCCCACCGGATCTTGTCGGCGTGTGTCTGCAGGCTGTATATGAATTCCGCCACAATTGGGTCGATATCCGAGCCAACAACGCATGATCACCGACCCGCTCATTGTTCCGCCGGTCTAATCTTGTTCGTGTAGATTTCGCGCGTGCGTATTCTGGATCTACGGCGAGCATGAGCAGCTGGCGCCTCGGCTGGATGATCGTGTCGACGAGATGATCAAGGTTCGATCGACTTGGCTGAGTACACGCATCGCCCGGGCTGGACGAGCACATGATGGCAGCGGTGCTGACAGAGATCGATTCCACACCCTGGCTCGCACCGAGCGCCTCTAACCATGCACACCAAACATTGTGTCGGGGACGGACTCGCTCCTATCCAGCTAGGACTGTTTGACGAGCTGAACACGCTGTTCGGGCTTGCCCAGCAGAAGTTGGGCGGCAAAGTCGACTATTCGCGCGGGATATTCCAGGCAATAGGTATGCACCATGCGCCGTTGTGCAAGATCGTGAATTCAGTGCATGGTTGAGCTCCGTTGCTGCATGGGCCATGAGGATGGGGCGGCCCAGTTCTGGCATCTGACTGTGTCATAATCTGGGATCCAGGATATAAGGAATTCGATCCCTATCTCACAGCACTACACTGCGACCCACCGGAGGAGCCGCACGAGCTCGAACGACTCAAGACCAAAGGGATCGTGGAAATGAAACAAGCCACTCGACGCTATGCTCGCAAGCAAATCACCTGGATCAAGAACAAACTTGCGCCTGTGTGCTTGAAGGAAATGGCGTTCCGGGATTCAACCGAGGCGTCTGGACAGGCCGCGGAAGCCACAGACATGGCATTCTATATCCTCGACGGCAGCGGTGCGTATTTCGCCATCCCAGAGCTCCGTTAGTCCAGAGCAGCACACAGCCTCTCCCAATACTGGGGCACCTCGATCGAAATGCTGCCACTCTTGCTGATTGGTCCTTTGCTTTCCCGCGCCACCGCATCGCTCAAATCGACTCTCCACATGGATTTCTTGGGAACGCAGATTTGAAGGAGTGGCCAAGGAGCGTCGGCGATAAGGGCCTGTCGCTTTGCGATGGTGCGTATGATGACGCTTGTTTGGGATGGGGACTCGATCGCCTCAACGCCAGGGATGCGCACTGATTGGCCCTGAATTCCGGCCACTCCTCGGGCCCCGATCTGGAAATACTTTTCTGACAATCAAACTTCTCTCTCAGACTTTATCAACAAGAACGTCGCGCACGATCCGGCCAAACAGAGCCCGACAGCGCTGGCCGTGATCGCAACGCTGCCGCAGCAGACGGCGGAACTCTCGGGCTGGACAAAGCGGAGCTGCCCGCTCTGTCTCGACAGCAACAACGAGCCCAGGGTGTTCAACGGACCGAAGGAGTGGGATGTGCACATCCACAGCCGCAACCACAAGCGCAACGTCGGGCTTGCGAGAGAGCGTGGGGACGACGACGATGTGCAGGCCGTGATGGGACAGCCGATGCGGAAACGTGGCGGATCGCCTGTGGAGGACGCAAGTGCTGCGTCGACGGCGCCGAAACGAGGTCGATCCGACGCCGATGCCCAATAGACGCCCCAAATGATCCCGGCGACCAGCTGGCTCTCCTATCGCTGCCGTGTCCGGCTTGACCACCGCTCGCCTGGGATCTTGCCATCACCACTCACGATGTTCCCACGGCGCGGTGGCGCAGATCATGGCAGCGACGGCCTGTGATTGGCTGGCCGGCCCGGCGCCAAGCCCTGGGCCACCAGCCGTGGGGGAAATCCAACGACGATATCAACGATCTCGCCGTCCCGACCGTCGCAACGGAGCCTGCGTTCGCCCCTGACTCTCGATCTGACGGATCTTGTCTTCTTCTCGATCTGCCGAATCCCATCTGCCGCCGCCATGTCCAGCAGTGTCCAAGTCGCCATCGCAGCCGAGCCCGAGTTCACCACCGATCCCTGTCTGACTTGCGATCTGCCATGCCGGCTCCATCCCCAGCTGCCCGAATCGCTCGCCAAAACCATCTCGGATGAGCCTATGGATGGCTCGGTCAAGCCCTACAAGCGCCACATTCTTATTCGGACGGGCAAGGGCACCCAGTGGGAGGAGCGGCTCGAGGAGGTGCCTGATCATTTGGCCACCCTCATCCAAGACGCCATCAACGCTCACCGCGACTCGATCGGATACCGCACCATCGTCACGGCCGTCGAGGAATCGGACGACTGGCATCCGGAAGGCACCGAAGGCACCGACATGATCGTCTTGCCGGACATGCTGCGTGTCTCCGACATCACCACTGGAAACGTTCACGCCATCACAACCGAGCTCTTCAAGCCCACGCCGGCCGAGGAAGGCAGCGAGAATGCTGCCGTGCAGCATCTGCAGGCCAAGACGAAGCCCTTGACCCACAAGGCCGTCGTTCTGGTGTGTGTGCACAAGAAGCGAGACAAGCGCTGTGGTGTTGCTGGTCCCATGCTCATCCAAGAATTCCAGCGAGTCCTGGCCTCCGAGGGTCTCACCGACGATGTCCTGGTTCTCGGCGCCAGCCACTTTGGAGGTAAGGACGATACGCCGTTTCCTCGATGCTCTGGCCCAAGCCTCCAAGTCTGCAATCTCCACAGCGAGAACGTTGAGTCGCGGAGGTAGCAGCGTTGTCATCGCCATCGCTGTCTCAGGAGAAATCGAAGCGGTAGTCGAAGCCTTTGGCGCAACATCAACCACAGCCTCCACCGTGAACGCCGCTTGGATCTGAGCAACCAAACTGTTGCTGCGAGGACAGCCCGTTACTTTGATCGGCTCTGAATCGATCAAATGACATCGTGCTGACGCCCAAAACTCACATCTATACTTGCAGGACACAAGTTTGCCGGCAACATCATCATCTACCAGAACGGAACCGGCATCTGGTATGGCCGCGTGAACACCTGCCATGTGCAGAACATTGTCGACAAGACCATCAAGGAGGGCAAGGTCTTCAAGGAGCTGTGGAGGGGACAGATCAACGGCACCGATGCTCGGAAGCAACAGGGCTGGCTTGGATATGGCGTCGGCGTCCTCAAGAACACAATCGGCGGCATCTTCAAGTCCTGAATGGCATTGCTGGCACCCAGACAAATAGCATCGCTGGCACCGGGCAAGCTGTCAGCTTGCCGTCCAATAAATTGCGTCTGTGAGATCCGGTGCCGTCGTCCAGCAATGGGTGCATCGACTGAAGTGCGCGAGCGCCCCCGTTTCCTCGGCTGCATTGATCTCCTCTGCGCCAGAAAGGCCCGCTCGTCTCCACCCCTGCCGTCGATCTTTCGCCTCCAGTATGGATCCATTGGCTCTGCCCCTCGTCGATTGCCATGCGCACCTCTACCCGCCCAACTTCGAGAGTGACGAAATCGATGCGATCGTGCTGCAGGCCGAGCGCGACCAAGTCTCGGCCATCGTTGTTGTCCCAGAGTTCCCGGACGACATCCAGACCGTGCAGATGCTGGCCAAGAAGAACGCCGTGATCCACGCTGCAGTCGGACTCCATCCTGTCCAGAAGGGCCCGCTGCCGACGCTCACCGAAACCCCAATCGCACCGCATCAGCCGCGATCCATCCAGCTGTCCGAGTTTGCGTTTCTGGAGGCCCTCGACTTTTCGGCGCTATCGAGGGTCGTCTGCATCGGCGAGTGTGGCCTGGACTACTCGCCCCACATCTTGAACACCCTCCTTCCGATCGCATCGGTCGAGCAGCAGAAAGAGGTCCAGGCGGCAGTCTTCCAGAAGCACATTGATTTGGCAAAGTCGCAGTCGCTGCCCCTCAACATCCACTCGCGGTCTGCGGGTCACTATGCTGTCGACATGGTCATCCAGAACAACGTCGCTGCGTCGTCGCTGCTGCATGCCTTTGACGGCAAGCCGTCGCATGCGCTGCAAGCATGCTCGCACGGCGCCTTCTTTTCGGTCGCTCCCATCGTCGTTCGCTCGCCGCATCTGCAGAAGCTGGTCAAGGAGCTGCCGCTGACCAACCTGGTGCTCGAGACGGATGCACCGGCCCTCGGCCCAGAGAAGGGCGTCCCCAACCATCCGTCCAATCTGGCTCTGGCCGCCTGTGAGATTGCCAAAATCAAGGGTATCCCTGTCGCCCAGGTCGCCCAGATCACCACCGAGAACGCCCACAGGCTGTTCCGGATGGAGAAATAGACGACATCGGCTCAGAGCAATATCTGTTGTGGAAACGCACAACCTTGCTATTGGACACTGAAGGAAGGCCGCTTGGTTCGTTACAGAGGGCAGCGACTCGACTCATATAATGCGACGGGAGAGGAGGGCAGCAGCGAGCAATGCCACCATGAAATGCGCCACCGTGCTCGAGAATGTTGTGCTCCTGGAATGGCTGGCTGCGGCGGGACTGGAGACGACCGATGCGCTGGACGGATCGTTGAGATAGCTCCACATGGCAACGAAAGCCTGGGTCGTATCCTCGCCAACGGAACGAATGAACGACGGAGGTAGCAGGAAACCTGAGGGCATTCCAGGCCAGACCGCCAGTGAATGCAAATTGCCAGCGTGAGCACAGCCATGGGGCCCGATGATCGTCGAGGCGTCGTGCGGTTACAACAAGACATGCTGTGTTTCGGTGCATGCACGACGTACCGTAGGTTCCTTGGTCGGGCAGCTCGACAGTCAGGGAGTACTAAAGTTCGATTGCGATGGTTAGCTCACCAGAGATACACTTGACTGCAGGAGGGGGGAGTCTCGATCCACACATATCATATGGCGCGGTGAGCCATACCTTGATATTGCCGCTCACATAGCCATAGTCCAACAGCGTGCCTGAGGCCTGGTAGATGGTGTTGCAGGTAGGTCCGTACTGATAGTACGTCTTGCTTCGGTTAGCGATGATGCTTGTGGCAATGATGCTCGCATTTTGAAGAAGTGGACCTTCAGGGATTGTCCTGTTGCAGTAAGCTCCGTAGGGATACATCCAGAGCTGGCTACTGCAGATGCATAAGAAAAATCGAGGCACAGATGTAGAGTCATGTCAGAACCAATGCCATCGAGCAAGATTGATGCGGCAGTCACTGGGATGCTGCACCACTCAATCGCTGCCGACAGGTCTCAAAGCGAGGCTGGTGTGGACGGTGCTAGCGTAACTTACTACGAGTGGAAATCCATCCTATGTGAAGATCGAGGAGAGCCATGTACAGAGTATCCATTAGCAAGCGAACTTGGTGTGGGCAAAACGGTACAAGCGGAGCGCTCTTTGAACGCTCATATGACGGGAGACGATGCTGGGACGGCCCTCAACTCACAGGCCAAAAGGATTTGGCAGACCACTGATAAACGTCTTGAGCAACTGTGTCTCAGTGGCGGATGCGGCTGACGGACCCGAGTAGTCCTCGTCACAGGGACTGATGCCATGACCAGGCTGATCCCAGGCAGTGTCAAAGTTGCGATTCAGATCGGTGCCGATGCAAGAGGAGCCGTTGTTTGGCTCAAGGTTTTTGCGCCACTGCAGGCCAACGGACGTTGTCGTTCGAATCAAGCCAGGATCATTAGTATTGGGCAAGACAGCCGACACTATCCCCGGTGGCACGCGAAGTTGATGTCGACTCCAAGCAGGAATCTCACTCGAATCAAATGGCCGCGGGTTGATGCAAGGGCACGGAATAATCGAGCATCGTACCATTCTATCAACCGTTCGTGTGTAGTTCTGGGGAGTGCCCGGGGAATATTAGCAGTCAGCTACAAGTCGCCAATACCAGTTGACGATGCTAACGGCTTTGGCTCAGGGCACTGGGGCTTGTCGGCCAAGGAGCAAGTCGGGACGTTCTCTTTCGAATCACACGGTCCGATGGCATAGTCGTACTTACATATCCTGTCCATGAAACAGAGCCGGTGTGAGCAATGACAACAGGGACGATGTGGTGGATGAGCACGCAGGCAGTCATGAAACAAAAGCTCCGGTCATGAAACAAAAGCTCCAGGCGATGCGCTCTCACCATCGACATTGAGGGTTGGGATCACAAAGAACTTGAACTGAGAACGAAGCGTCGCTGCAAGGCCATCGTCCAGCACCAGAGAGCTGGTGATGTAGGCGGTCGTGGACTGGGGAACATTGTGATTGATGTTGTTAGCCCATGAAAGGGACCTGGAAGGGACGAAGCCAGCCCCACTCCTCCCAGACCAAAGTTGGGGACAACCACAGAGTCGAACAGGGAGTCCCACATCGTGTACTATTCGCTTGGGTGCTGAGGCATGCCGGCAATCGTACGTGCGATATCCACTCCCGGGCATGGATGCCTCCTTGATAGAAGATGCTGCGCGAGCCCGAGCCGAAGGAGAATGCATAGATGGGTGTTCCCAGATACGAGAGGCCGATGCTTGTCTTCTGGAGGTTGGGAAGCGATTCATAGTAGGCAATGATGTCGGAGTAGCTCTGATAGTTGTCAAAGAACGACGAGTTGCGCCAAGTGCTGGCTGTTGGGACCGATGCATTCGTGGCTGCCGCAAAGATCCGAGGAACCGGCGCCAAATTGTCCTCCTGCAGGACGGCTTGGACATTGGGGATGTAGACGGTATTGTCGATCTGCGACAGAATCGACAAGGGCTCTGCCCGAACCGGCAGCTGCACATCGACGGCTCCAATGCCGATGGAGTGGCTCCACAGCGCCGTGTGCAGGTCGTTGTGCCGACTCTGGAGGAACGAGCGAAGAAGGGTGGCGTCGCTCTCGTTCTGGATGTTGAAGCGGACGACCGAGTCCAGGGAATAGTCCGGCACGGCGTCGGCACGGGGCAGCAGGCAAGCAGAGACTGCGAGCAGCGCAAGGGCGGCCGGCAGCATGGTAGTGATGGCAGCGCTCGCAGCGATGGCGGCGTTGGCACGATAGGAGGGCAGATGGTTGGTGAAGACGAACAGCCTCAAGCAGGACGGCAATGCCGACTGGAAACCCAGCAGACAGACAAACCGGGAAGGACGCGACGCGGTGGGGCCGCACAGCCACGCGGCCGTGTGTCACATCGCGATCCAAACAGTGTGGCGGTGCGGGCAGGATCCCGAAAGCCAAGCGAAAGCCAGGCGAAAGGCAGGCGAAAGCCAGGTGAAAGCCGATTTGGCATCGACAGCGCACAAGTATGGAAAACACTCCTATTGATATGCCGCCGGCGCCAGTGCAGTTTCCGCGTGCAGGGCTGCTTTACAGCGGGAGCTGCTGCAGGAATCCCTCCGTCGTTCCCACGACAATGTTGCTGAGATCCCGCGGGAATCTCACGCACATGATGCCCATGTTGAAGACCCGGATTTGCCGGACCTGCGTAAAGTCCAGCGTCCGGAAGATCAGGACGTTGTTGTCGAACGAGCCCGTGGCAAAGTACTCGGCATCGCTTGAAAACGACACCGTGCAAGCCCACGACGGCGCCAGCGAGACGTGGTGCAGCTCCTTGCCCGTAAGGTAATCCGTCAGCCGCACGGTCATGTCCCGCGACGTCGACAGCAGCAGGTTGGCTCGGTGCAGGGCGAGGTCCAGAATGTAGTCACGGTGGTTCTCAAAGACTCGCGTGTGCGTGATGGAGCGCGAGTTCAGAATGATCCGCATGTCCCACAGGTAGATCTTCTTGTCGAGCCCGCCGCTGGCAATGTACCGGGCATCGAGCGAAAATCGCACGACCTTGACCCACTTTTGGTGCTTCTTGATCGTCGCCAGACAGTCTCCCGTGTTGAAATCCCAGATCCGGATGGTGCAGTCGGCCGATCCGGAGCAAATGTAGCGGCTATCGAAGCTGACGTCGCTCGAGTTGATGGCATCGCTGTGGCCACTCAGGGTCTTTTCACAAGAGGCTGACTGCGAGTTCCAGACCTTGACGGTGCGGTCATACGACGACGACACGATAAAGGCGTCGTCCTTGGTGAAGTGGACATCCGTGACAATCGACTTGTGTCCGACGTACTGCGACAGACAGGTGTGTGGCGGGCGCAGGTCGTTGATCCGGATGATGCAGTCGTATCCACCCGTCAGCCAGATCGAAGGATCGAACTGGGAAAACTGAGCGCACTTGGTACCCTCCTTATGGGCCACAAGAAAGTTTGGAAACAGGTGGATGTCGGTGCCCATGAAGAGCTCGTGCAGCAGCGTGAACTTCTTGTATAGCTTGCGGATGCGGAACCGCGGCACCCGCCCGTCGGCGGCCCGGAGCTCCAAGATGGCCCGGATCTTGTTTTTCAGGCTGGAAAGTTCGTGCAGCTCAGCCAGGGTCAAGCCATCGGGTAGCTCGCGATGCAGCAGAATCCACACCGTCTTGAGGGTATTGGAGACAAAGTCCGAGCAAAGCTCCTGGGCGAGCCCAGAGAATTTGGCGTATCTATCTCTGTCGCCCAGCAGCTCGGCAAAGCCCAGGATGACAATGACATTGGTGATGCACAGCAGCGTATAGTCGGTCGAGTGGTCGACCTCGACGTAGACGTGGTTGATGTCGCGCTGGACGGCCTTCTTGACATCCTCCTGGTCAGGTTTGCGCATAAGGCCAAGTCCCGGCTTGCTGGCGAGCGAAAAGCCGCCTGTCTTGGTGTCCAGGCTTATGTTTTTCTGCTCAAAGAGCTCGGCAGAGCCTTCGTTGGATGAGTGCTTGGCCTCACCCGGGGTCGTTATCGGACGCCCCGTGGACGGCCGGGTATGGTCTTCTCCGCTTGAAACCCGCGGGCTCCCGGCAATCCGGCCCTCCTCAGGCTGCATCATGGCTTGCTTGCCCAACTGGGGATCCTGGAGAGCGTCGAGATCCGAGTCGCGGCGATGCGGGGACTTGACCTTGCGTTCCTTGGGCTTGCTTTCGAGTTTGGTCGTGCGCCGAACAACCATTCCCTTCTTGCGGGTCGACTTGATGACCTCGTCGAACCCGTCCTGGTCCATCATGCCCTCCTCGCCATCGGAGGCAGTCTTCTCCGCGTCGTTTTCGCCCTCGTCTGAGGACGGGTTGTTGCGTTGCCAGATCTTCTCGACGTCCTGGCTGCCCGGGGTGGTTGGGTCAGTCGCCAAGGCAAAGTTGCCGGTCAGGGTCTTGAGGCCAGAGCCGACGCGCGGGATCTCTTCCTCAATGTCGAGGTAGTACTTCTTCAGCGCTCGTCGGGAGAGGCCCAAGAGCGTCTCGAACGTCTTGATGATGCGCTCGCACTCTGCCCGCTCGGTGGAGTCGTTCATGTCAATGTCGCGGGGCATCCGCTTCATTCTCAGGCTTGCATCCTTTTTGCCCTTCCCGAGGCCGCCGTCGTCGGCGAAATTATTCGACAAAAGATCACCCGAGCCAAAGAGGATGCCATTGCTTTCGGAGTTGGCTTCCTCACTGACGTTCCAGCCGTAAAACCAGTCGCATAGCTGGTGGTATGCAGAGCGGTAGTCTGCGGACTCGAGATCGCGAAGATGAAAGTACTGAATCGCCGTGTCGAGGGACGACGAGCTCAGCGGATCGAACGATCGGAAGAGATGCTGCAGGAAGGGCACCTTGAGTTTGTGGCCGAGGACCATGAGGTCCTCCAGGGTTTTGAGGCACTCCATTTATATGGCAGTCGAGGCAATGCTACTTGCAGGAGCAGAGTCGAGCGTGTGGCGGACGGGAGCAGTGTGATGAGCAGCCAAAGCGCCCCGATTGCAAGTGCGGCACAAGGTTGGTTAGAATCAGCCGCAGCGCATTGCAACCCATAGAATCGGCGAGCGGAATCGCCATCGGAGAACGAGCGAGCACTCAAAGGCGCACATACAGCGGCAAAAGTTCTATAAGCTTGGCTGCCCAAGGCTGTATTGACGAGGTGATCGCGACGCGAGAATGGGTGCAGACAAAGCACCGGACATAGATGAAGAGGGAGGGAAGGCGAGGGAGGGGAAGGGAAGGGAAGGAATCGTTGATTTGGCGCTTGTCGGATTCTGATTATTTTTGGCGCGCAGTTTGGGAATAGTCAGCCATATCGCCGGATGGAAGGATGGCCCGACACGGCGATGGGGGCGCGGAATGGCGATGAGCATGGGCGCCGGTCAGTAGTTGAGCATGTAATTCAGGATATCAGATGGGGTAATGACCCTGGTTGGGATGGCGCCGTCCTTGAGGAAGAAAATGTGATTGCGGACGTTCACGACCATGGACCGCAGCAGGTTGCGGAGCGACATGCTGAACTCGCCACAGATTTCGCTCTCCTGGAAAGCGCGCAGCCGGATCGTGCTTAGAAATGGAGGCGATGGCTCTGCAGGCAGCGATGCAGGCAGCGATGCAAGTCTCCAGGAATGCGAGCAAGCGGTGCGAGCATACATAGTGTTTCTTCACAAACGCTTTGGCATTCAAATGCATGTCTTGTAGATCGTCCTCGGTAAGGAACTGTAATCAAGGCGCCTCAGTCCCGGTTCCATGATGCAGGGTGTGCCGATCAGACAAGCACCGCATGAATCGCCAGAATGCAGCGCCACCGAATATACCTTGACCGACTTGAGACTGAGACTGCCTGTCATCGCCTGGTTGATGTTGATGATGGGCAGCGCCGTGAAGCCACTCCGAATCATTTCCTGGTACGCCTCTGTAAGCGTTGCGTCCTCCTGCAGGCAGTGAACCGGCGAGGTTCCGTAAAACTTGAGCCTCGTCAGCGGTTCGTCGGGGCTCGGGTGTCTGCCGAAATGGCACACTTGGTTAGTCTACGCTTGGGATGAACACGGGGGCGATCGGATCTCACTCCGACAGCATGAGCTTCACTCCGGCAGCATGAGCTCCACCCGGTAGCATGCGTCCCACCCGGCAGCATCGAGCCCCCGACGCTGCAGCTGACCAGTCGCTGCGGCTGCCTCGCGGACACTGCCAGCCAGAGGAAGCTGACTTACAGGGTATCCAGATTCAGCAGCATGAACTCGACAATATTCATCTGCGAGATTATGTGCAGCAGCTCGCCGTCAGAGTCCACCAGGGCGAGCCGATGGCTCTTGTTGTTCTGCAGCATGGGAATGACGGCGCGGATGGTTGTTCGCTCGTGGACGGTGATGGTTGGATTCCGACCCGAATAATCTTTTGTCCAGAGCGGCCGTGTCCAAGACAGCAAAGGCATTGTGGTGAGCTGGCTATTCGGCCTCAGAGTCGAGACCATCGATCCAGTTGCGTCGCCCAGCACAGCTGATCCAGCCGCTACATACTCGCCAGCTTGCTGCATGGGACATTGAGGATCCTGTTCTTTTGCTTCTGGAGCTCGTCAGCCGACAGGCCGTGTGCGCACTCAAGCTGGAGGTGTGCCAAAGCAGCATGAGTCAGATATGCTCAACCAACAGCCAGCGGCATCACTCGTCTATGAGACGCATCCGGGCCGCCTCACTGACAAGCCAGCGGTGCACTTGGATGCGACTCAACCCACCAGATACTTGCACTAGATCCCGGAGGGTGCCGGGGGGTAGAGCGGAGGGCAAACGAGCGGGTGAGTGGGTGGAACTCGCCGACTTCTCCCTTGCCAAAGTGAGAATCAGGCGTGGCCGACCTGACCATTATACATCCGCATGGAGCATTATGAAGACAGAGGCTGTGCAGATCCAATCAGTTCCAAGCAGATCCCATACTGCGAAACACACTTACGATATCGACGATATCTACAAGCTGGAACTCTGGTGGGAGAAGGGAGTCGATGCGGCCGGGTAAGCTCACAGGTTGGAACACAGTGTCGCCTCGGAGGAGCAGAGACGAAGGCTTCCACCACAGAGCAGCGAGACAGGTGCAACGGACTTGCCATTGTTGGGCCAGCATATAGGCGCCGAGGATATGTTCTTGCTGCGAAATTTCTGAGCAAACAGCAGGCATGAGACCCGAGACGTGCTTGAGCCAATCCATTCGCATCGACAGAGTCACACCGGAGGCCGCCGGGACATGCGTGCATCGGGCAGGACGGTGCAAGTGGCCAGGCTCACCCGCAAGCAGCTCAGAAGGGTGTCGCTCGGCAGTAGACGGACGAGCGGCTTGTTGAGAGGGAGCACCTCGGCGATGGTGCGTCCAAGGAGATGCTCCCGGACTTCAGGGGTGAAGTAGCTCTGTGTGCCGCCCATCTTGGCGCTGCGAGGGAGGCTGGTGGCGGTGGTGATGCCGATACGGGTTTGCTGGGTGGGCTGCGACGATGCCCGGCGATGGCGGCAGCTGGGTGGGAGGACCAGCAGGCCGTCGAGATGAAGTCGAACCAGCCAAGACCCGGGGCCAACACGCGGCACAAACAACAGCGCGAGCACCTAGTGCCTGGCATGGTCGCCACAAACCCCGGCATCGTTCTTTGCTGCTTTGACGAGCGCTGTCGATCGTATTCTGAAACGAGACACCTTCACACGCAGATGGCTTGTGGATCGGTTGATGTTGACCGATCTGGCTGGACGGCTTTGATCGGCACCCAAACCAGCAATTTCTCTCTTTGCCCTGCGCCTTCCTCACTCGCTCAGGGAAATGACTAGATCCACTCGGCTTGGTGTGTGATATGGTTGTCGGAATGGGACGATGTATCTCATTTTTTCCTTAACACGCTGTATCTGTATTCAGGTCCCACGAGCGGCAACGGCCATCTCATATCGCCTCCGCTGCCTCGCTTCGCACAGCTCGTCTTCACAAGATGTACTGGTCCATAACCCGCGCAGAGCCACGACGGGCTATGTTTTCGGAGCTGTAGTAGCATTCGCCGGCATGCTCAACCGACGGCGCATAGACCGCACCGCTCGACTCGAGCAGCTCGGCACAGGAGCGCACTTGGCGGTCAGGCTCTTGGTGTGCCAAGGCCGAGTTGGGCAGACCCCAGATTCTTTCAACCCGAGCGATGGTCACGGCCAGGGAGTGTGGAAGGTTGGTATGGACCATTGGTGCAATCAGATCCAGCGACTCTGCGCGGGTGCTGGACGTCGGCTGAAGACAAGTGCAGCGGTATCGGGTCTGAGGGGTCCACCGAGAGCCGATTGACGAAGCCGTCGAGGCCCTTGGACTTGCGAGACTCAGATACGACGACGAGTCCTGCTTGGAGTCATGGCGCGTGAGCCAGGGCTTTGAGTCGGTTCGGGCCTTATCCTGCAAGACTCGCATGCTCATGACGTTGATCGTGTCCAAGAGTTGGTCCAGGAAGGCGCTTGGGAGGCTTGTGTTCATAGACTCGGTAGTTACAGCGATAGATAGTTTGGGCGGGTGCTCGAAGCGTCGGACATGCAAGCAAGGGTTTTTGGCAAAGGCAGATGATACTTTGGACCATACGTGCTGGCGACCCCATCCGGAGTATTGACGTCGCCGTCTGCATTGTGTCGTTGGATTGTGTCATTTGGATACCGACAAACCAATCACCCTGACGCAGTGACGGCATCATCCGAGCCGCGCGGATATGAATACAGGGCCAACCTGGCTGGATTGATGCTGTGGTCTTGATCAGTGATGGTCTCGATGACCATGATCGCAGTGAATGCCAAGCTAGATACCACCGATTGTGGAAATGAATGGCTGATATACCGAGATCATGCTCGGACATCAAAGTACTCGGAGCGAACGAGTCGTTCGGCCTCGAGGCACCGTGAGCACAACCAGTGGATGAGGCATTGTGAATGACAAGTGTGTATGTATTCGTATCCAAAACAGAACCTATCGGAGGCAAACACGTATCCCGTTTCGCTTCGTGAGCACTGGTTCAACTCATGCGCTGGTACTCGTCGGCATCGGGGCTACCAAGGGGAAGCAGTCGGCCGGGGTGATGCATCAGATCCACAATGGCGTGGTCGATTTCAGAGTCCTCCTCAAGGTGAACGGTCAAGACCGGCGTTGTGTCGGCGGTGCTGTGGGATCGACTGGCGGTCACCAAGCCGCCTCCGCGCTGGCTGCCGGCCGAAGACTGCCGGGCATCTGATCGCTGACTCCCGGCACTGGTGACAGAACGGGCGCCTGTATTCTTGGGAACCGTCACCAGTTGCCGTAGAGACAGTGCCTTCATATCGACTACATTCCAGCCGCGGTTGTAGTGCCCACGAACCAGAGTGCAGGGGCCAAGCCCGATCCGATCGCACAAGGCCTTGAAGAGAAGCGCTCTGTGGTAGAAGATCCCTTGGCTGATCGATCCAATGGGCAGGACATTGGTACCGAGCTTGAGCTTTGTCTGGGTGATCTTGAACTTGTATGGTGCCTCGCTGAGCCGGTCGACGTCGATGGGGCCGCCCATGGCATTCGACACAATGCGGGCGATGTATTCGATTCTGCCGCGTCGGTTGAGTTTCTCAAGGACGCCCTCCCGGCGAGCTTCTTGAATCAGACTCTCAAAGGCTGGATCTTGGGTGGCATCGACGAGAATCACCTCGCGCCGCTTGTCTACCGCCTGAGCGGTGAGATCCATAATCGACGGGAAAGTTGCGATGGCATCGAGGTTGGGGCCAGCCGAACCCATGTCAAAAAAGCCGTCGCGGATGATGTTGTCTCTGGTAAGCTCGTTCTTGAGCCAGTACTTTGCCGAAAGCTCTGGATCATCCACAGTCCCACGGTCCCACAGCCACACGGCCGAGCAAAGGAGTCAGTTTCGAGGACTTGTGGGTGCGAGGGCACACGGCAGATGTACAAGTTGACGCACAACATGCAGATCCTGCCCAGACGACCACAGTGATTATCGGAACTGGCGCCGACATGGACTTACGGTGATTGAGTAACTTTTCCAGGGCATCGCTGGCAAATTTGACTGCGTTCTTGGTGGCATCCCGACTGAGCGCCAGCAAGGCCTCGATCCCGCCGAGCTGGCAGGCAATAACAGCGTTCGGCTCTGGAATCCCCAGAGTCCATGGCAGCATCAGAGGCGAATCAGACAAGGTTCTGCTGGTACGGAGCGAGGGCAGCGTTCCAGAAAGCTCAAACCTAAACCACACATACCGTACTGGGCTGCATTTGCGATCGCGTATGCAACATTACGACAGACGTTGATCTCCCTGGACTTGAGGAGTTCAACCAGCCGCGCAATTGTGATGTCCTTGCTGACAGCGAGGCGTCCTTCGGCTGAAGCAGCCGGGTTTGTGGGTTGTTGTAGTTAGATAGGCGGTTCAATACAGCGAGACAGTTTTTGCGCCAACGATATGGTGGTTTGACGAGCTGTCCGTTTGGACGGAGCATGGAGCTTTCGAGTTGGCCAAGCCTGTCCCTCGTTCACCTGTCGTCGCAGTCGAGGGTGATGCACAGGCATTGACTCGCCGCCCCCTATGCAGCGGCTCAAACGCTTCAGCATACCTTCTTGGAGACATCGTGCCAGGGCCAAGGCCGCCGCCGTCTGGATCTTGGGGTCGTCCCGGGTCAAGTCTGAAACCAAGGCAAGTGAGGCCCCGAGCTTGACGATCTCTGCACGATTGGTGGCTGCAATCGGAACGGTTCATCATGTCAGTCAGCAAGAACACCTTCCTTTCTATTTCCACATCGAGCAGGATGAAGCGGCGGAGAATTGCAAGACTCGTTCGAGCGGTGTTGGCAAAATCAGGGCCCCGCTTCCACAGTTGCTGGCAAGATGCATTTACTTACTGTCTTCAGAGAGATTGGAGATGCACTCGGCTGCATTTGCAACTGTCTGCGAGTCTTCGTATCCCAGGAGCTTGACAACAGGCGAAAGGCCGTCGAGGGACTTGACTCGTGATCGAATCTTGGCTGTCGTATCAAGGGGTGGTGGTTAGAGCCGCAGTCCGAACGGTCACGTCGATTCGCATTTTAGCACTGTGAGGAATCGCATCGAGTGACATGTGTTGCACGACACTGAGTCTGGCAAGATGCCAGATATCGCTCGCCGTATGAATTGGCTCTGCGCGATGCGTCGGAATGGAATGACGACTCACCAGAGAGGCACAGGCTCGAGAGTGCTGCAACGCTTTGTCGGACAACATCCGCATCTTCGCCTGCCATGTTTTTGATCATGATCTCGACAACGCCGAGCTTGTTGAGCTCAATCTGGTTGATTTCTGAGGAGAAGCGATGTGCGGATGGCGTTAGTCTTGTGCGGCTCGGGACCATATTTGTCTCCACGACGTCGAGATCGAGCCACAAATGGCCAGAGACGGCCCCGAAACTGACCTGTCTGCGCCAGCGCTGCGATTGCCATGGCGGCATGGCTGACGACTCCAGGATCAGCGTGTCCAAGATTCGAAACGAGAGCCGATAGCGCCCCCATCTCCCGCAGGTAGTTCTGGTTGCGCTCTGGATGCGTTTGTGATGAAGGCACCACGGCATTGTGAGAAGCAATTGGATCATCCGCACATTCCGACCCCTGGCACGGAGAGTGCCGAGTCATGATACCCTTCGACATACCGATCTTGGCGGCCTCGCAAATTGCAATCGACGCATTCTTCCTGGCGCGAATATCTTCGACGCTCAAGAACTTTGTCAGCGGCTGAAGACCTCCGAGCTCTGCAAACACATTGGCGGTTTCGTCTGCAGGGCAGAGCATCAAAGTCGTCAGTGTGGCAAGGGATTATGAGTACTCTCGGCAGAAGCTGCTGCCAATTAGGCTGCTCGCAATCAGGCGGTTGCGTACTTTCTTTCAAACAGTTGGCGAGGCAGTGGAGCATCAAATAGTGCAGATCGGGGAGATCCTGGGCTGTTAGGTCTATCAGCCGCTTGACCCCGTTGACTCGTCGGATTTCAGTTCGGCTTGCGTCTGGTTGGGGGCGGTCACGGTTGGAGCAGAGAGATCGAGGATGTCGACGCTCATCAGTGATAAAGCATCGAACTGGACGCAAGCCCCTTTCGTTTGTATCATCGCCTGCTCTCCTGCTCATTGAACCGACTCTTGGGGCTATCGCGATACATACAGTCTTCAGCGCACTTGATGAGAGCATTGAGGGCATTTTCCTGAATCTCTTTGAACTCTGAGCCCAGGAGCTCGAGGAGGGGAATGAGGCCGCCGACATATCGAACCTCGGTCCGATTTGAGACTGAGCCCATGCAGTTCGTCGCATACAAGGACGAGTGTTTGGCAATGTCGTCGCCGAGAAGCAATCAGAAGCGAATGAGCGACTGTGGATTCGCGGAGGAGCAACAACGGGGCAGCCTGAGGGTCGTTGTTTGGATGCGCCCCTCATTCGTTGCTGCTGCTCAGGAACGCCGGTTCCTTTGCGCCGCAACCCTGACATCGATTGCTGAAACATACAGTCGTCCAGGAGCGCAGAGAGGGCGTATCCGGCGTTCTTCTTGGCATCGGGATCCGCAACCTCGAGCAGCTTGACGAGAGCCTTGATGCCGCCGTACCGTCGGATATCGGATTTGTTAGCGACTGCCACACGAACAGAGGACGGGACCAGTGAGTACTTGTGCGGCATAGCCAGCATATGCACTCGGTATCAACCAACAGGACTCGACCGAAGCAGACCAGGGCATCTGAGTGGATCAGGGAGCAAAGTCGCCTTACAGTCGCGAGCCAGATTGGCGATAGAGAAGGCTGCTTCGTCTTGGATCTCTGGGGGCTCCTCGGTCGAGAGAAGGGCGATGAGGGTCTTGAGGAGATGCGGCTGCCTCATCTCGGGATGAAAGTCAGCTATACAATCGCAGTGGGAAAGGCGGTCGGGAGCGTCGGGATGAGGAGAACGCAGCGATGGAATTGTGATGTCGCCGTCAGGGCGGTGTGGTTATGAAGGTTGAGTAAGTTGGCCGAAACGTCCCCAGGGCGCAACCCGAAGAGCATCGAAGCGTCGGCGGTATGCATCATTAATCGAGGGTGAGAGCAAAGCCAAGCCGCCAATGCGAATCTGCATGCACGCCAGACAGGCGTGAAGCGAGCTTACTGGGCGATAGCTCTGTTGTCGCCGCGATGGCAGCCACAGCGGCCTTGCGGATGGAAATGTCCTTGGACGCCGAGAGCTCCAGAAACGGCTTCAGCACCGAAAGCGACAGCAGCTGCAGCCGGTGCTTTGAAGCTGAGACAAGTTGAGGAATGGCAGAGTGTCCGAAGGAGAAACGTTTATGAGAAGCAATTCAGTCGGAGGTTGCGGAGTCAGCGGACTGAAGGCATATTGCGGGACTGAAGGCATATTGCGGGACTGAAGAGACCGACGGACCGACGGAGCCAGCGAACGCCGCGGGGACAGAGAGCAATCGGTACCTGCTTCCGCATACTTGGTCAGGGCTTCGATCGAGCTGAGGCAGACGGCCGGCTCGGGCGAGGCAAGAAGCAGGATCAAGGTGCGAACGTCGGTGACGCCAAAGTTGGACGTATCGCAGTGGGTGCTCTGGTGATGGGGCGATATCATGGCGTTGAGTGGTTGTGGGAAGCGAAATGCCAGCGTCGGGCATCAGGCCGGTGGAGCAAGGGGCCCTCGAGAAGTGCTCGGCTTTACCCTCAGCCTCTGCAGGCAGGGCACATCGCCCAGCATCTGCACGCCCGGCGATTCGAGCGGCTTCCCCAAGAGATATGTAGCACTGCTCTGACTCGAGCAGCATATCGACGTGGTGATGCAGCATCACCGCGAACGAGACCAGACCCGACCAATGCGTCGCGTCAGTAACCCACCGCTGAATCAGCCATCCAGAGAGATGATTGCGCTTGGAGAGGCAGCGGCGGTGCGCTTCGGGCGGCTCGCGATATGTTGGGGGCTGAAGGTGGTGGTGAATGGCGGCCGGGAGAGGCAGCGATCCAGGATCCGGCAGGGTCGTGAGAAGAGCGAGGGGATATCAAGAGTAGCGTGGCAATGATCGAGGGTGCGGATCCATCGATCGAGAGGGCGCAATCAGCATGGGCCTGCACCCTCCGAAATATGTCGGCCACGAGTGTCTGTGACGTCACCCGACCCCAGCGGCAAGGCCAAATCACTCAGGCCCTTCCCTCTTGATCACAGGGACATTTGCACAAAGCCTCCATTGTCTGAGCCTTGGATATGCACATATGTTGCATTGCTGTGCTGTCTCTGCGTAGAACCACCACGCACTTTCTCTTGCCTGCGACGCATCAAAGCCGCTAAGAAGATCGTCAAAGACCCACGGAGCCCGTCGAGAGTGCGAACGGAGCCCTGCCGACCGAAACCCTTGCCCACCCAGCCCCGAGCACCTTCGGACAGCCTATCGATCGACTTTCCAGTTCAGTCCGACGCAACACCCTCGAAAGCAATCCACGACAGAGCGAACCCGTCGGGACTTTCAGCGACTCTGAGGATATATGGACAGAGCGTCCGCCAAGGCTAGCCGCGACCGATTGTCCACCAATAGCAACGAGCACCCAACACCGAAGCAAACCCAATACTGATCGTCCGCGCACCAAAATGGAGGCCGATATTGCCAAAGTCAAAGCCAACAACTCGATCGTGTCGGCGTACGAAGCTGTTGTGAGCGGATCTCTCAGCTGGTTTTCGCTAGGTTGGCATCGGGGGAGGAGATGAAACGGCGTGGGAATGGTTGCGATCAACGAGCCCAGCATTTCCGCTGCGGCGTATTTGATGCCCATCGGTGGGGGCTCGTCCTCGCTGTGGACTCGTTCTTTCCGATAATGTCTCTTCCGATATCCGACGTGGCTCCTTTGGTTTCTGACATGGTGTCTGCCGATCCCCCTCCCGCGGACTTGTTCCTTTCCCCACTCGCCCACCAGCATACGAGAGCGACCTGTCGACTGATTTGTGGTATGTCTCCGGCCAAGATACGCAGCCCTGGGTGGCGGTGAAGCCAAAGCAGATCCAGGAGATTCAATGCGCGATGGAGTGACACCCGACGGTGTATTGACGAATGTTTTGGGCGGAATGTTGCTGCCATTTCATTATCAGCATTGGCTCGTACGGAGTCGAGGGCATCGAGGAACTCAAGCACACCCTTGCCGCCGGACAGCTGCCAGTTTGCATACGCAAGTGTCGATGGACAGGTCATGTTCATCATCTGGGTACCGACCGAGGTGAGAATCCAGATGGAGCTTGATTTGACGACGATTATGGGACTCAAGCCGAGCACCATCGAACACCATCGAACACCATCGAGCACCATCGAGCACCATCGATGCTTCAGCTAGTGTCCTTGCCCACCAGTATTATATTGGCCACGGTCCCATCAAGGACTCACTCTCTCGATACTTTGTGCAGGCCACAATGATCCGTCGCGGACAAGCGATGGTCACCGCAAGCATCCTGGGACAGGTCTTCCCCAAGCCCGACATTCAGCTCACGGCCACAGCCAAGGTCGAGATCACCCAGTTCCAGCGCAACGAAATCGGATTCCGGGTCCGCCTCTCGCCGTCGCGTGATATGATGGCCGAAGGGAGCGGTGCCTCCGTCATGATCAGTGCTACTTCTTCTTCTCCGGCATCCGTCACGGACTGTTCTGCTCCACTGACCCGGCGCTCGTCATCGTACAATCCTTCGAGGTCGTCGGTGACGACGCAGCAGCGCATCAAAGAGGCCCAGAAGCGTATGCAGGACGATCAGAACGAGGTCGTCCGCAGCAAGAGTCGGCAGGAGCGAATGATGATGGAGCAACGCCGCATGGAGGAGTGTCGGATGTATCAGAAGCTGATCCGGTCGCTCGAGGCGCAGGAGCGGGCCGAAATCGACGAGCTCAAAGCCAATTTTTGCCGCAGTGTAAGGCCACGCCGATGTGCATGCTTCGGTTCCGTTTGTTCAGCTTGTGGACCTTCCTCGAGAGTCAAAACATGGTTGCCGTCCCCTGGGATCGAGGATCCCGCAGCGACGATGCCAAGCGACTAACTCCAGTCCCATATGACGAGCAGAAGCCGGAGCTGAGTTGCTGGATCCACCATCAGGCCCCCTGGCAGGACGATCTGGAGGAGACGATGGGCTGTTGGCGCTGTGAGTACGAGATGGCATCCTCGCTCGTACTCTATAACGGACGAGCGATGTCGACAGCTGTGGGGAGTGATACCAAGCGCTGGAGACGCAACGCCTGAGTCGGCGACCCAATGCAAGCACCGAGCACTGGAGATAAATCCTGTGTGCATGATGCAAGTACTGACCACACTCACTCTGGCCCAACAACCTCTCAGCTGCCGATCTTGAACCTGTATAACCCGGTAAGAATGTGCTTTGAGGGCAGCAAATGGCGCCTGCTTGATAAGGCGGTCTGCACGAGGTGTCTTTGTGCGATGCAGTTGTGGGATGCGTGTCGCACTTGGTGAAAATGTGGCCTTGGGGTTGCCTCCACCTCGACACTGGGGTTGCCTCCGCCTCGACACAACCCATTCGTGGTCCGAAACTGACACATCCAAAACAGGATACATCCGCTGCTCCCCCGGTGGCCCAGATCGACCTCACTTCGGCCAAGATCAGCATAGCGACACCCGACACGGCCATACCCGAGAGCATCAAGGTGATCACGGACCCCGGGACGGCGCGCAGCCAGGAACACTACTTTTACTTTGAATCGCAGAAGGACAAAGTCAACGCCATTGCTATATTTGAGATCTTTGCAAATGGACAGTGAACGCGGGATGGAGTCGGGTTGAATCAGATCGGGTCGGGTCAGATCAGATCAGGTCAGAGAGAAGCAGAGGGCCGAGGAATTCAAAATCTGGAGACTGGGCCGAGCGAGTCAAAACCCCCCCCCACATCCTATCGGCACGATGAAACTGAACAGTATATCCTGGTTGGCAATGCAACACAATATAACTCACCAACAGCAGACTCGACGGTCATGGATGCCACTTTGATGTGAGGTGCTGTCTATCTTTGATGGGTGGATGGATTGCCGTTGCTGGGGCGGGGGCGAGCTCCTCTATCTCAATAAACACTCAGCGGGCTGCACGCCCTCTCGTTTCAATCGGCAGCCGCGCCATGCACACCCCCGCTGCCGTCAATATAGCGGCGCCGACATAGAGAGGGGCAAAGAGGCTGTGGCGGAGCAGCTGGCCCGTGAGCAGCGGAGCCATGGTGCCTGTGATGCGGCCGAGCGCAGCGGCGATGCCTGTGGCGGTCCCACGATACTGTGTTCGGCACAAGAGTGAATCGAGACAGGTTAGCACGAGCGTGTGGGTGCGAGAATGTCTGGTTGCAGCCACAAAGCGCCAGGATGCTTTACCTTGGAGACAAAGACTTCGGGAGTGTAGGCGTAGAGCACACCGTACATGACGTTCTGGAGAAGCGACGTGCAACAGCTGGCCGCCAATTGCATGGTGGGTTCGCGACTGAGCGTGAAGAGGAACATGGACGCCGCAGTTCCAAAGGTTGCCACCGCCATGGTTCCGCGGCGGCCGAACGAACCATTGATGGTATACATGGCTGTCGCGTTGAAGTAGTCAGATCAGCGAGGACCGTCGTGGCGGTGATTAGCATGTGTCCAGACATTACTGCTGGCGCAAGCCTGTGATCCCAGACCCGTGATCTGATCGTAACAGCAGCAGCGGTGCCACAGATGCAGCCGGGCGTACCAATGATGGATCCAGGGATGCCGAATATCGACGTGATCACATAGTTGCGATATATTTCGTCGACCGAGATGGGGTTGTTGGGTTCGCCCGAGTTTCTGCACGAGGGTTCATGGCCGAGCCGATTCAGGTCAGGTGCGGTCGCGTTGAATTGAAAGGAACATACGGACCTGTGTGTCCAGCGATGTGCAGACACAGAGTCAGCCTTACCCAAGGTACTTTGGCAGAAACCCGTTGAACATGGTGTATCTGGCGCAAAAGAGGATGTAAGGGGCTGTCAGACGGAAGTGTCGCTGTGGATGCGGAGTTGGGGCTCGACGGCCATGCTGGCAAAACGAGGCGCCGCATATTGCAGAATCGGCAATGTGCCACATACCCGACTGAGATCAGGGACCAGATGAGCCAGACCAGAGTGGTGGTGCTGCAGTGTGGGTTGTGTTCGCGTGGCAGGACGGAGAGCGGAGGCAGAGTGAGATGGGGGGGGGTTGTCTCAAAGTTGCTGGACTTGGACTGATACATGTCCAAGCGACAGAGAGTTCTTGCCACCGGCAGTGTGGAGACAACTGGTGCTTACAGGGCCATGTCATGGCTGAACAGCTCGCGGATGTGGGTGAGGCTATCGCTGTAGGCCTGGCGGATCTGGGCCGACATCCGAGACAGCGCCGGAGGATCGCTGACAGCGGCCTGTTCGAGATCATGACTGGCGTCCGCGACGTGCTCCAGCTCCAACGTGTGGTCGATCCAGGGCTGAATCAGTGGCCGGATCTCTGAGCCGTTGGCTGCAGAGAGCGACTCAACGACTTGGACAGCATCCTTGAATCGCTGCTTGTTGATCAAGAACTTTGGCGACTCGAGAAGGCCACCGCGCGTGCCCAGAAAGCGCAGACTCAGAAACGACGTGCTGACGAGCCCGAGGCCGGCCATGACAAGTCTCCATCCAAAGTTGCGGGACGAGTCGCAGGGTGCAGAGGATGCACACGAGTACCGTGGGATGAAGATCCAGCCGAGGAGCGAGGCAACGACCTGGCCGATGGGCCAGAAGCACGACAGCAGCGTCAGCAAGTTCTGGCGAGAGGACGGAATGAACTCAAGAAACAGGGCCCCTGGCGCAGATGATTGAAGATCGAGTGAGTTGTCGTTGCCCGCAGTGTCAGGGCACCCTTGGTGCTGATGAGGCAGCATGGCTTGGCGGGGTGGCCGATACATCAGCCATGAGGGGTTGGTCCAGTGCCTACCGTCGACAGGGAGGTTGCCTCCAACGCCAATGCCGAGACCGAGAATGCAGAAGAGCAGCGCCGTAAAAGAGCCGGTGACTGCACAGAGGATGCCGAAGACGGAGCCGAGAAGCAGGGTGTAGATGAATGCCGGCCGACGACCAAAGTGGTCGCTGACGAGGCCCCAGAGCAGCCCGCCGATCATCATGCCGATGAAGAGGAAGCTGGAAACGGGGACGATGGCCGGCGGCGTGAGCGGGAATAGGATGGCGACGTGGGATAGGATGGCGACGTGGGATAGGATAGCAACGTGGGATAGGATGACGATCGCAGCTGCAGCACTGGCGGCCATCGCGAATGAGAGGAGCACACCTGATGGTGACTCCGATCCAGGTATCCGAGACGCTGAACTCGGCTTGGACAGCCGGCAGAATGACGGCAATGCCTTGAATCCACATGTTGTCTGCCAGCCAGCCGATGCCACAGCAGGCAAAAATGAACTTGGAGTGGGGCGAGAAGCAAAAGGAAGGATTCAGCGAATCGGGTTGGTGGAGGGATGGCGGCGGCTTGTCTCCATGCTGCTGCTGCAGACTTGGCGAGTCGGCGACAGCGGGCCGGTGACTCACCCACTGATACCGGCCCATGCCGATGGTCTCCATGACATGGTTCAGCAGGACAAATTGGTCATGGCCGGGCAGCAGGGGTTCCTGTGGCGACGGAGAAGGAGCGGGAGCCGGCGGCGCGGTTCAGCACAGCTGGATATCGGATGGTGCTGGGTGTCAGATGCCGGGATGAGATCGGGCAATTCGACCGAGCAGATGCGAATGGTGAAGGATAGTGTGCAAACGCCCCACGCGAACGACCTCATGCAATCGCCCCCATGCGAACGACACCACGCGATCGAGACCTGCAGGACTGAGGGTTGCTCCATCGCAGCATGCGAGATGGGAGAGGAAGAGGGCGACATGCAGACAGAGGCAAGGGCCGAGAAGGCATGTCCCGGGGCGCGGATGCTGTCATGGGCCGACAGGTCACGGGACGGCTGAGCGTGCGGCTGTGCGGCTGTGCGGCTGTTTGCGCGGCTGTGGCTATAATTGGCGGGGGTGCTGTGCGACGGCAGGCGCGCGGATCCGCGCGGCGGCGTCACATGGGCGCACAGCACGCGCAGCAGTGCGCAGCATCGTGTGGCGCATGTGGCTTGGCGTGTGCGACCGCCGTGCGACCGCGGCAGCGCCGAAGCTCTTTCGGAACTGCCTCTGTGGGCGGCGCCGCTTGTGACGCGCGGCGGCGAAAAAAAAAGTCCTCGGGCCATTGTGTTCCTTGGCCCGCGCGGCGGTATAAAAGGCGCTGCGTGCTGTCCCGCCGCCTTCGCCTCCATCTCGGCTTTCCCTTCTTCCAGCCCGGTCCTGCTGCCCGTTTCTCTGCCGCCGGCTCGTTGCTCGCTCCTCCGTCGCCCGTTGCTCCCGCTCGCCCCTGTGCTCTCGCTCGCCTCTATCTGTTCTGTCTTTTCCCCCCCGCGCTGCTGTCTCTCCCCGACCCTCCGAGAAGACGCCCCCACACCCCGTTCGTCACAGAGTAGATTGGGATTATGAGTTTCCAATCTATCTTGAATCTGTAAACCCGCCTACAATCCTCCCTGTGCTATGCTCTTTTCGTCCCAACGAAAGAATCAAGAATCGCGCTCGTTGAACTCCCCCTCGCTGCCTGACCTCGCCACTCACCCAGCGGATCTATTTTCCACCTGTCCTGAGCTCTTGTTCACTGCTTGCCGTAACCTCAAGCCACCCTAATATTGCCTACACCCCCGCCTTTTTTTTCACCTAACCCCTACCCTTTGGTCCCCTACCAAATCCCTAGCCTAGCTCCTCCGCTTGTCTAAAGGCCCCTCGCCGTCCCGCTTCGTCACTCCTCCCTCCCGGTCCAAAATTCTGTTCCATCGCCATGACTCCCGCTCCGCCTCCCTTCCCCACTTTTGGCCCTGACATCCCCCACGCTCTCAACAAGCACATCTATCAGTCTCTCGTTGCTCCGCCCACCGAGCACGTCACCCTCTGTGGATTTGAAGGCCCCGAGAAGCTCATCGAAGTCTCGTTCAAATACCCGGCCGCTCTCTCTGTGCGTGGAGATGCGCTGAGTGCCCTCGATGCCTTGAGCCTCGACGACGCCCAGAGGGATCTTTTTGTCGATGATGTGGACGAGCCTCTCTCGCCCTCGGCCGACTCGATCGAGGACGAGTCGACTGCCTCGAGCTGCGCGACCCCGGAGCACGACCAGTGGCACAGCCGCCGCACGGGCCTCCGAACCGTCCCCCGGGCCGTGTGGGACGACATGCTCGAGATTGTCAAGGCGCGTGTCCTCAGCACCCTCCACAACGAGCATCTGGATGCCTACCTGCTGAGGTGAGTTGCTGCTTGCCCTCAGCCACCGCGACTACGGACCATGTCGTCTGCGTGAGGTGTGAGATAATATGGATGCGTGGTATTTTCACTGCCGCCTATTTGCACTGCCGCCTATTTGCACTGCCGCCTATTTGCACTGTGGACTATTTGCACCGTCCCTGTGGCCTGCAACTCGTGTCTGATGGCCCTCTCTCTTTCTCGCCACCATCCAGCGAGTCGTCTCTGTTTGTCTACCCCGACCGGGTCATCATCAAGACCTGTGGCACCACCACCCTCCTCAACGCCCTGCCTCGCATTCTCGAGATTGCCAAGGAGTACTGCGGCATGAGCGAGATCGATACGCTCTTCTACTCCCGCAAGGCCTTCTTGTTCCCCGAGAAGCAGCTGTGGCCCCACGGCCGCTGGGGCGACGAGGTTGCCTATCTGGACGACATGTTCCCCGCAGCCGAGTACGAGACCGGCGGCTATGTCGTTGGCAAGATCAACGGAGACCACTGGTGTCTCTACATGGCCACCATGCTTCCGCGCGAGGCGGCCTGCGCTGCCGCTGAGGAGGAGGCCTCCGAGACCTCGTCGATCGAGGAGCGCCACACTCCCGAGAGCTGCTCCTCTTCCGACTCTGAGAACGACGACGCCCCCGAGGAGGACGAGGTCACTCTCGAGATCATGATGACGGGCCTCGACCCCGCAAAGATGAAGCATTTCTGGCGCACCCCCGAGGAGCAGCAGCGTGCCCAGGAAATCGAGCGCGGCGAGTGCGCCAACGACTATGCCTCCGAGTACCGCGTCTACAAGGACACGGGCATCCAGTCCATCTACCCAGATGCCAAGGTCGACCACTTCTTGTTCGATCCTTGCGGCTACTCGATCAACGGCATCCTCGGCAAGCACTACTTTACCTACCACGTCACCCCCGAGGAGATTTGCTCGTACGCCTCCTTCGAGACCACCATTCCCGTCCGCGGCTTCTTCCCGCACAGCCACCAGGGCGACGGGTACGACTACGACTCGTTCGAGGAGCTGATCCACAAGGTCATCCAGTCCTTCGGCCCCAGTCAGTTCTCGGTGACGCTCTTCACCCACCGCTCTGCAGGCCGCCGCCACGGCGTCAAAGGCACCGGCCTGCTCAACGGCTCGATCGAGGGCTTCAAGCGCAAGGATCGCATCGGCCACTCCCTCGGCAAGTGGGATCTGATCTTTTGCCACTACGAGAAGGCTGGCGGTAGCCGCGCCGCTGCCCCTAAGGGCGTTCGCCAGCTCCGCTGAATGGAGCGCTGTCTTATTTCTGCCATCAACGAGCAACTTCTCTCCGTCTTCGCTTTTGCAAGCCCTTTCTTTTCTCGTTAGATGCCATAGCGCTTAGTCGATTGAATATATATAACCCACAATTTTGTCAAACCCGCGAATGTGCTGCGCTGTGTGAGCTGTTGCTGTATTGAGAATTTCGAACGTGATGAGGTGTGGTGTGGATTGGAGGGATGGGCACATGGCACTATCCCTCTGCAAAGACCAGGATCCAAGATCCAAGATGCGGTCGATATGGCGGCATCTCTGAGTAGGACCGACCGGCTCACAAGCCCAGCACCTGGAATCCATAGGGGACTCCGAAGATGGCCATCCATCCGAGCACAAAGTAGGTGATCATCCTGGTGATGGTCTCCGGCTCGAACTTGGGCAGAGACGAAGCCCGCTGTCCCGGTTTGAGGCTGGATTGACTATCGGTCGAGCGTATGGATCAGTTGGTCGAGCGTATGGATCGGTTTGATCAGGCGTATGGATCAGCCAGCAAGGAAGCGCAGATGGGTTGCATAATGTGAGTTTTGGAGAGAGCATTCCAAGCAGTCGCTCTCTCTGGCAGCCGCTCGTCTCCCACCCATCATCACCACAGAAGCGAGCACAATCGAAAAGCCAGGCCCGGATACGTACATGCCGAGCAGGGGAAGGATTTGTCCGCAGAGACGCTTGACGAGCGTTCGGGTCAGAAACACAACCACCAGACCTCCCACGAGCTTGGCGGTCATAACGGCGACAGCGACTAGCCAGGACGGGCTGGGGCTGGGGCTGGGGCTGGAGCGGGCGATATCGTTGCTGACCCCGATGAGATGGGTGTAGTGCCATGAGCCCACCAGCGCCCCGATAGAGGCAGAGGTGGCAGCGACCGAGTCGTGGAAGCAGGGACACGCCTGGTCGGGCTCCGGGTGGAAGGCGATCGAGAGCACGGCAGCGGGGACTGTGAGCCAGACAGCTGCAATGATAGAGCAGGCACGAATGCCATGGCGGCATGGAAGATGAGGGGGCCGTTGGAGGCAGAGTCGAGGTTAGATTGGCTCGCCTACATCCGATGGGAGCTCGTGCCCCTTCGCCGATGCCAAGAACAATGCGTCCTCTCTCCATATCCAGTTGACGAACCTGGCCACACCGTGTGCGAGATCATATGCTCCATCGACGCCATCCATCCAAAGGCATGAGCCGCTGCCATCACGAGTCCAAGCAGCAGCCCCACCGAGACATCCAGGAATCCGTGCATCCCCGTCAGCACCCGGGAGAACGCCATCACGAACGGATACAGGAGCAGGGCGGCGCCTCCGAGCCAGTAGAGCGGGCCGTTCGAGGCAGCAGGCGCATAGAAGTAAAAGTAGATGAGGGCAAAGAACGAGACGACGGAGGCCTGGGTGGCGTGCGAGGAGGGCATGCCGTACTCGAGCGAGTGCGAGGACTCGTGTGAGAGCCGCTTCATGTTCGAGAACGACGGCCGGGGCAGCCCGAAATAATCCTTGAGATAGCCCGAGGCAATGACCGAGTTGAGGAGCAGGAAGGTGAGCGAGTGGATGAACTCGCGGTGCGAGGTGTAAAAATCGTGGTTCCAGTAGAGCAGCGGCAGGACGGCCACAAAGAACTCGTGGGTGCCGAGGAACCCGAGATGATACGACGGCACGATCAGCGCCTGCAGCTTGGGATGATGCTGCAGCCACTGGAGCACGGGCTGCTCGGCCTCGACGATGGCGATCATCTTGCTCCGCAGCCACGACTTTAGCGAGGACGGCGATGGCTGTGTGCTCTTGGGATGCATGTGGTTGTGGTGGTGGTGGTGGTGAGGCATGATGGGCGGTGAGTTTGAGCGAGTCGATGGGGGGGGTGTTAGGCGAGCATCCGAGGGGATAAGAGAGTCTGAGGTGACCAGCGGCAGACCAAGCGCCAGATAGCAGCAATCCCGCCGAGCGAGGCAGAGGCGGTCCTCAAAAGCGCCGGAAAAAATAAGCAAGCAGGAAGCAGACATGTCGCACGATCCCGGAAAAGGGAAGCGGGTCTGCCATGGAAACCAAGGGAAACCAAAGGAAACCAAGAGCCTGCGAAGGGGCAGGATACACCGGACTGGATCTGGCGAAGGGTCGGGATACACCAGCCCGGGATGGACCGGGGCCAAACACTTGTGCGGGATCTGGGCTGGGTGCATCACATCCGCTTAGCATGCGGCAGTGCTCCAACTCAAAGTCTGTGGTGCACGCATCGTATCAGAGATCGTATTGATAAGACAGCGGCTGTACATCACAGACCGATACAATGCCCCAGCCTCAGCTGCGGATTCAAGGAGAAGCCTCGCCTCGCCACCCAAGACGAGATGTCAGACGCCGAGGTGCCCAGACCAGTGCCAGACGGCCTGCCGATTGCATGGTGGCTCTATCGAACACTGGCCTAGCCCATAGCGCTCGCTCTTGCTCCTCGGCGATGCAAACTCATGCAAGTCATGCATCACAGGCAGAGGGCCGGGCCGGGCGAGATCAGGGTGCGATGGATGCCCGTGACAATCTCGAGGAAATGCGGGTCGTTTCCGGCATGCAGATATCCGTGGCGGATCAAAAAGTCAATGACCACAAAGGCAGACTCGAGCACAAACTCGCCGTTGAGAATGTGCTGCTTCACCTGGAGGCAGACCGCAAGCAAAGCCGTCAGCTACGGAATCGGAGGCCCGGATCGGGCGGCGACCATCATCAGCCTGCTGCCCTGCAGCCATGCCAGACTCACCGTGTCAAGGTCCCAGAGATAAAACTGTTCGACCTCGCCGTCTTCGGGCTGGGGTACAAAGTCAGGGCTCAACTCGAGATCATAGACATATTCGGTGTCTTGGTAGAAACCGTTCCGGGACTTTGCCGGATCAGACCAGTTGTTGGTGATGTACGAGATTGTGCCGCACGGCGTGACCTTGGAGGCGAGGTGGTCCGGGATGCCGGCCTCTTCCGCACATTCCTTGATGATGTTGGCGAGCGGAGAGGAGCCAGTGGGGAGGCCACCTAGAGGATGGTGCTGTGAGTGCAAGGGATGTGATCGTGCCTCGGCCGTCGTCCGGGCGGCCCGATGCGATAAGCAGCCACAGGCACATGCCAACCGGGTGCGCTCGCGCCGTCGCCATACCACCAACGATATTGTCCAGGGCGCCGGGGTGAGTCGGCTTCTTGAGGCTTCGTCGGGCGATCCACATCTTGATCTGGCCCGAGGCCGGGTCCCTGATGTAGCCGTTCAGGTGACAGCCGTAGCAGCGACTGCCGAGGAGACTGGCGCCGCTCCGCTCGACAGCAAAGGCAAGGCTGCCGCTGTTATCGTAGACACCGAAGCGTTCGTGTCGCCAGCCATTCAGGCCGCGAAAAGCCGGAACGGAGAGAGACTTCCAGTGCAGGAGCACGGCCTCGATGGCATGTGTTCGTTCCTCCGGAGTCGAGAGGGACGGATGGATCCGGAAGCCGACAAGGGCGTTGGTGGAGGGATCGTGGATCGGCGCAAAAACATGCGGGGCTTCGCGGACATACGGAATGGCTGGGGGGCCCAGCAAGCCGACGATCGAACTATCATCCAGATAGAGTGGGTAGCCGGTGTCGTCGGATGGAGAAGTGAGCAAGCGGCGTTCGTCTCGAGGCGTGAAGGTGCTTGAGGAACAACGGACAATGTCGATGAAGGATTTCTCGGCCGCCATAGTGGGCTGGGACACAAGAGCGAGGGAGGGGTGGTTAGCTGACAGCATGATGCCTTGCGGCCGGTGCGGCGAGTGCGGCGGTGGAGTGTCGGCGGTTGATTGCGGGAAGGGAGAATCACGCAACCAACGGCAAGGGGAAATGCGTGCGGTCAAGACCATGGCGATTCAAAGTGGGATAGGATCAACGCGGCCGATCTGAATTGACACCGAATCGCAGCGGGCGGCGACGGCGACTTGAGAGATCCAGACGACGAGATCGGCTCGAGCAAGTCGTCGCTGCGGCCACTGTTGCGCAGACGCATACATGAGGGTGTCTGTCGTTGGTGGCGTTGGTGGAGTTGATGGAATTGGAGGCGTTGATGGAATTGATGGCGTTGAGTGGATACGGATGTGAGATGGATTTGAGATCGAAGATGCGATGGAAGGAAACGAGGAACATGAGGCAATGAGCCCGGCTCGATCTGGCTGGAGTGGCTCGATCTGGCTGGAGTGGCTCGATCTGGCTGGAGTGGCTCGATCTGGCTGGAGTGGCTCGATCTGGCTGGATCCGTGTCCGATCGCCAGATCAGGGTGTCCAGAACCTGCAGCTGTACCACCCCGGCTGGGCGTGTGGATCGGCTCCGGCGCACCAAAGCGGCAAGGGGAGGGGCCCAGACCAGCGATCCCTTGTCAGAGTGGACGCGATCGCCACAGAGTTGGTGCGGGCGCAGCGGTTCGGGCGCATGTGTGTGTGTGTACAGCGGCCACTGCGACAAGCGCACCCTGGTTCTGCTGTGGGCCAATTGCTTGCGGCCTGTGTCGAGCGTGTCTCGGTGCGACGCGGCGACAACGGCCGGGGAACAGGGCTCTTGCCGCGGACGCGTCGCTCCCTTGCTTCCCTTGACACACATAGAGTGCCCCCGCCGCCACAGCGCGTGCGGGGACAGACGCCGCTCCAGCACACCGCGGTCGCACCAATGTCGCACATGGATATCCAGCGCTTGGCACACATGCGCTGTGTCACGCTTCTCGCTCGACCCTCTCTCTCGCTCTCTCGCTGTCCTTTTGACGCGCTTCCACCGCCCTCGCCGCGCCCTCGCCGCGCTCTCGCCGCACAGCCTCTCCTTTCCCAACGCCCACGTCCGGTTCCCGACTCCAATATCCCCCCCGACAAAGCCGCACCACTCGGCCCCGTCGCCGCCCGTCCACCGCCGTCGTCCCTTGCGCTCCCCGCTTTTCCCTTTCGGCCCCGCACCTATAAAAGTCGCTGTTTTCCCTTTTGCCTCGCTCTCGTCTCGCCCTCGCTTCCCCACCCATCTTCCCGGAACCATCGTCCAGGCATCTCCCAAGCTTCACCTCCTTCGCCTCGCTGCATCGTCAATCCCCGTTGCCCGAAATGGTCTCCGCTTCCTCGATCCTCCTGCTTGCCACCGCCGCCTCGGCCGTCCTCGCCAATGACTGCGCCAGAGGTGTTTCTCAGTGCGCTACCTGGTACGGTGAGGGCCATGACGGCGCTCCCTCGCCTTCCAAGGCTCACCCCGGTGCCTGCGACCTTGGCTATCTGCCCTCCAACCCGCAATACTTTGTTGCCCTCAGCGTAAGTCTTTCTTTCCAGCAGCGGCAGCGAACACTCTCGGCCCAGGATCCGAGGCTGTGCATCAAATCCCCTCTGTATTTCTTGACTCACATCCGCTCACCCCGACTCTGACTCACCCAACAACACATGGTGCATCTTTCGTCTTGCCCACGACAGCCCGCTGACAACTGGAAGCGCAACTGCGGCCGCTGCATCAAGGTCACTCGTGGAAGGTAGCTGTCGACCCCGCTTGGCCGTCGACCCCTGTCAGCGATGCTTGCCCTGCTCCGCCGTCTGGCTGACTGACTGGCTGGCTGACTTGTCCATGTTCCTTCCGCTACAGCAAATCCGTCGTTGTCCCCGTCGTCGATGAGTGCCCCGAGGTGAGCCCCAGCTGTGCCTTTTATCGACTATGCTTTCGACAGCGATGCCTTGCCAGCGAGCGGTGCCATCACTTTGCGGCAACATCGCAGCAGCAGCTAACATCGCCTCTGATCTTGCCATCCGCTCAGTGCAAGAAAGGCCACATCGATCTGTCCTGGACCGCTTTCTCCAAGCTGGCTGCTACTTCGCTCGGCAACGTCGCCGTCAAGTGGTCCTACACCTCGTCTTGCGGCAGCCACGGCACCCGCAGTGGCCGTTCCAAGTCCAAGTCCTTTGCCGCTGTCGGCGACAACTCGACCATCATCACCGAGGCATCTGAGTCGTCCGAGACCGAGACCGAGACCACCAACAGCGCTTGGCAGCAGTGCCCCCAGGGCCAAGACAGCCAGACCTACGACTGCAAGGAAAACTCCCTCTGGGTCTGCGAGCTCGGTCGCTGCGAGTGCCAGCAGGACTATGCCTACGACTCGGACACCGGCTCGTGTGTCTCGGCTCCTGGCGTCGATGACCTCCAGTACATCCATGTTGCTCAGGGCCAGAAGGGCTTCCGCCTCTAAGCGTGCTCTGCAGCGTCCGTGTCCAACCCAAACCTCGGAAGTCTCCCTTTCTGGACGGACACGATCGGATGCACACGCGCTTTGGGCACTATGCCGTTGCACTTCCCCCTGCTTGCTCTCATATTCTTAGACCACAGACATTTACCTCCTGATATATCTGCACACACTTCCGCGGCCTCGTGGCTTGCTCCACCCGCCATACCTCGCCATTTCCTTTTTATTTTTCTGCTGATCAAAAAGACAATCGCTTTCCTTCTGTTCGGAGCCGAGCCAAAGATCATCTGGTCGGGCGAACTGGCTTCGCTCCGGCCCCCCGTGGTTTGCTTTGACTCCTCCGCTCCGTTCAAATGCCACAACACTTTCGCATTTCGTATTTGCCTTCTGAACCCCCTGCCTGCCTGCCTTGTCGCCACGCTATGCCCAGTATATGTTCTACCGGTATCATCCCAACGCTTCCCCCCCCCTTCTCGCCCTTGGAATTTGCGCAATTGTTTGAATCGAGGATGTGTCATCTGTCCCTCGCGCAGTAATCGTCGGGCTCGTGGTGGTGGTAGTTTGGTGGATCACCATAGACCAAGAGCAGAGACTTACATATATATTCTGTTCAAAAAAAAAAAAAAAAAAGAAAGGCAACCAGGCGATGATGCTGGCATTATGTGGTTTTCGGTAACGTTTCTTCCAGCCCAGAATCCGTGATTCCAAACACATATCGACTTGTGAGCTTACACCGCCGTGAATGTTTTCGGCCCAAACCAAAGTCCACAAAAAGCATGTATTCCACCAGTTGATGTCTCGCTTGAGCCACTGATCCAACATACAGCCCAGCTCATCCACAAAGACGAGGCCGTTGCAATCACACCGCGCCGCAACCCCATATTCGTTCGGCTTTTGCTCTGGGTCTGGCTCAGGACAGCGGGGCAAACGGGCAGCCGTATGCGCTGGCGTTCTGGCTCTGGCGGTGCTCGCGGATGGGGTCCCAGCTTTCGTCTTGGGACAGCGGCGTTCTGAATCGGCAGTAGATGCACTGGATGTTCAAGGGAGAGCCCTCGAACGGGATAAAGCGAAGCCCGTTCACGGCCATGGCGTGCTACAGGGCGAGAAGGAAACAGGGACGAAGCAAAGCTGCATGAGTGTGTGGATCTCACTGGATCATCCAGAGATGCGGGGAGTGCGAGAAGTGCGCAAGCAGCCGAGTGAATGGTCGCTGGAGCCGTGTGCGCTCCTCCCGAGCCAAGTGTCTCGCTGGTTGTTGGGATCCACAGGCGACTGCGCCGACGGATCTCCATGATGAACTCCATTCTCGACTCACCGCTTTGGCTTCGTGGTTGACCAGTCGAGGGCAGGCAACGCTCGTCGAAGCTTGGGAATGGTCGCTCAGAACTGCTTGAGGACTAACAAAGCTGTTCTCACGGACTTCCAGGCGTCGCTGCGCCGCCAGAGTCATGCCCTGCTGCAGCGATTGGTAGAAGCGCTGGGCCTCTGCAAACATGGGTGCAAGGACATCATGCGTCGTGAGTGGACAATGGGACGAGAGGATACGGGGCGAGGCGGGACAGAGCAAACAGAGCAGTGCTCGCTCTCACAGGTCCAGCGCCAACGCAATCATGGCCAGAACACTCACACGCCAGCCATCGCCCTCGAAACACTCAGGGTTCCTCCACGGCTCATCCACGCACCTTCGCTGTCCATGAAAGTGAACAACCCGACCGAGGGAGTCTCCTCCTGGACCACAGAGACATCATTTTGGCAGAGGATGACGTCGGCCTCGCCGAGCGACTTGAGGTTGACTTGCGAGCTCGCCGACACCGGAACCGAGCCGCCGTAGACCTGCTGCAGCTTGATGCGGTGGGGCGTCGTGTTGACCTGCTTGACGGCGTTGAGGCGGCACGTACTGAAGATGAATCTGTTCTGGTCCACAAACTTGAAGTTGGGGTTCATAAAGTCGTAGAACACTAGCATTGGATTCATCGAAACCACAGCGAAGGAGCAAGTGTGTAATAGGGGAACAATCGATCGAATATACCGTTAGATCGTCGCTCGGGACTTTGCTGGTCAGTGCGCCGCTTCTCTTGGCCCGCAAACGACCCAGACGCCGCCCGGGCTGGCTTCGTCAAGAGACCCAAGCGATCCCGATGCACGGTTGGCTCGCACGGTCGATTTGCTGGGGATTGCTTGCACCTGACCCACTCCCAGACCCCGAGGCCAGCTTCGGACTGCTTTCGGACTGCGGCGGCGCTCTCGACGGCCTGGCCACCGGATATCTGCCTGTCGACGGGCACACACAGGTCGTACCTTCCATGTTGAGAGCAACCGAATAGTCGCCATACGCATAGTATGCCAGGATGCGCGGGATCTTGGAGACGGACGAATACCCCGTGTGGAGACCGCCATCGGTGATGTAGATCACCACGGGACCCTTCTTGACCCAGCGCTTCTCGTCCTCGTTGCGCTTGCGGTAGTTGGCCAGATACGGGCCTTGAAACTGGATGTTGGTGCTCTGGAAGACGAGCATCATGGCGCCGTTGATCTTTTGAGCGCGATGGAGGTACTTGTCCCTCGATGACTTTGTGAGGCGTGTGAAGACAGGGCCGTCCTCGTCGCCGTCGGACGGGAAAAAGTCGGATGCTATTGCATGTGGGCCCAGACACGACCAGTGTCAGCAGGTGAACAACAACACCGATACGTCGAGCAGATGGGCCGAGAAGGATAGAGCGATCGCTTATGCAGACAACCCCGCGGTCACGGCCAGCAGCATCTGCCTGGGCTGGCGTCGCCGAGCCCGCTCCAATGACAATCAACTTGCCGGCCACAGAAGCACACCCTGCATTCTATACGCTACCATCATCATCAGTAGTCTTGTGTGGCTCCTGCGTGTGCTGTGGCGTATAAGTGGAGCCGTCGAGATCGTCGATTTCGTCGCAGTCAAGTTCCATGTTGGCGCCGCGGTTCAAGGAAGGGTGCTCTGCGGGAGGAACGAGCCGAGTGAGCATCCAAGCGCCAGAGAGGAGACGTGGCGGCCAAACCAGGGGCACACATGAATATATGGACGAGTTATGGACGTCGGGCAGAGCCACTTGCAGATGACAGGGCGTCACCGACGAGGTGTCAAACGATGATGTCGAGAAGGGTGGGGTTTCTGGAAGCCAGAGGGGTCACGTATGGCGAGGGCAAGCAAAGACGATACCGACTCGGTAGTGGTAGTGGTGATGATGATGATGATGGTGATGATGATGCCGAAGAAAAGGGCCGAGACAAACAGCAGCCCGGTCGGCAGGACAGCAAGCGAGGGCCTGGTCGGTGTATTGGCCGCTGCGCAGTTCGGCCAGAGTTGGCATAATGGATCTGCGGCGGCTGCTTACTCAACCAGCCCATGCGCCAGGGCATCATCATCATCACAGGCTAAAGCTTACCATCGTCAGCAGCCATAGAGGCCGGCTCGTCTTCGTCCTCGGCGTCGCTTTGGCGGTCGATGTACGAGGCGTCGGTTCCCTCGTCGTCCTCGTCATCCAGAGGCAGGGTGTGGATGGTTTGGGGCTCTGTCCACAAGCAGTCGAACAAGTGTCGAGCGAACGAGTCAGATCCAATAGCCATCCTTTTCTCCATCTCTCTCATCTCAGGGCATAGCGTTGAAGGGTTTAAGCTGCAGCACATTGCAACGCACCTGCGGCAGAAGCCAGATCAAACGGACTGGAAGGGCCGGCAAAATTGAGGCCAGCGATCCGGTCTGCCACTGGGAGCAGCAAACCGCGGGATGAGGGAGAGTGCGAATATGTGGTTAGCGCATCCGAGATACTGGATGACCAGCGTGATCGATTACTCAGTCAACGAAATGATCCCTCCGCAGATCATCCGGCAAGCGGGCATAGAACAGCCCCCTGATCGAGCATCTGTCGCTGCGACGATCATTCCGAGCGCATTGATCGAGCGAGCGAGCGGTCACGATAAGCGGCACCGATTTAACGCTATGATCAACGACCATGATCCGATGCACCGATGGGGGGTGACATGCCTCCATCGTCAAGAGATGCTGCCTCCCTCTCCTCGGCTGGGCTGGCCTGCGCAACTGCGAGGTTCTGTCTGTTCAGCGCAGAGGCAACGCGTGCAAGGACGAAGGCAAACCGCAGGAAGAGGGAGTGGATTTTGGTGGAGGGGGTTGCTAACAGAGCCGAAAGGGGGGCACCGGTGATAGATCACAGGGTTTGCCATTCAGAAGAGCCCCCGACCGCGGAGCCTCCGAGTTCCAAAGCAGGAAGGAAAGGGACAGGCTTACTGGTGTTGATGGCCTTGGTTGGTGAGGCATCGGGAGAGAAGACGGCGGCGGCTCGACTGCGGGTATTGACCATGGTGGCTTGTACGGATGGTGTAAGAGCAGTAGGCGACAGATGCGAAACGAATCGAAGGAGCAGCAGCAACAGTAGCAGCAGCAGCGCCAGCGGTAAGAATGGGGGTGGTAGTGGAAACGAAGGGTATCGGCCGACTTGACAAAGAGTGGGTCTGCAGACGATCTATCGGAAAGACGTCGAGGGCACTGACACCAGGAGGAAGTGCGGCGGCGACGCTTGGGGATGCTCTCGGGGCCGAAACAGCCGGAGCAGGGTGGGCGGGCGAGGACAAACTTGTGGGCGGGAGAGCCGAGCAGGGGCGGGACGGGGAGGGGAGATGGCGAGCGAGTGTGAGATTGGGAGACGACTGGCAGCGTGGACGGCAACAGCAGACGATGGCGTCTCTCTGTCGATGGCGATGGCGATGGAGATGGAGATGGCGATGGAGATGGAGATTTTGCTGCCGGGGGAACGCGATGGAGATGTCGTTGCAGAGGAAACGCAAGGCAAGACAAAGCAAGGTCGGACCGAGCCAGCCCCAAGGGCTTTCCAGGGTTCGCTGCGACTCCAGCCAACGAAGCCATCGACTCAAAACGGATCGGGCATGGATGCGGAGGACATGGCTGCTGGGATCAAGCCCCGTTGTATCGGGCAACAATCGATGCACTCCGTGGCACTCCATTGGCATATCGATGAATGTCGGTGGCATCGGTTGCCGAAGCACATTGGAGTTCTCGACCCCATGCCAGACAACATGCTCCCAGGCGACGCTCATGGACTCGTTTCGAGGCTTTGCACGGTGTATATTATCGGATGCGCAGGCGGGACGAGATGGGCGATAAAGTGCAATCTGGGTCTATGGATGAGGGAAGGAAGCAGGGGAAGGCGTCGAGCCGGATGAGAAAAGCCTTTGGCAATAGAGAAGCGGCAGTCGCCATTTCTCGGTATTATTTCGCAAGGCGCCTGAGGGGTTGACGCCGGATCTTGGTGCTTGTCGAAAGCAGCAGCAGGGGGAGGGCGATATGGAAAGCCATTCAGACTTTGGATACGATACATAGAGAGACATGGTGAGGGGATCAAGTCAAGGCTGCAGGAATCTGGTCGGCAGCCGTGAAGGCGGAGGGGGCGAGTGTGGGCGATTGTGGGCGGCGAGTGGTGATGACGACCGATCAGAGCCGGCACCGGGGATATGGCCATGCGGAGAGAATGTATCCAGAAGAGGTACCGGCCAACCACCAAGAACTGCCCGGCCCAGCACAGGAGATGGGATTGGAAACGAGCCCGGCTGGCCACCGGCGGCCAGGGTCGAGCCGAAACAAGCGGGGGGTTGGACAGGCAGGAAGAGGACTGGAGCTACTTTGACTAGCGCCATCTTGTTTGGTCGGGGACTAGACAATCCGACCGAGGTCTGAGCCGGTCAGCGTCGACGCTGTGGCGGCAGATGAGTTGCTCTGCAGCCGGCGAGGTAGCCGCTCAGCAGAGGAGCTCAGATGGGCCTCTTCATCGATGGACTGGACGAGTGGAGGCAGAGGAGGAACGGGTGGCACTGGCGACGGATTGCTGATCCGGTGTGGCGAAAGGTGGGTCATGGGTACGACATTGGTCGAGATGCTGTCGATGGGAGGCGGCGGCATCGCCTCGTGGCTCTCACGACCAGACGAAGTCGAGCGCGGATAGGATGGGTGGTTGGGCTCGACGAAGGTGATGCGGGAGGCCCGCTTGAGATTGCTGTTCTCGCGGGTGGCGAGCGAGTTTTGGCGGTATGTGGCGACGGCTTGCTTCTTGAACTTTGCCTCGCGGGCCATCTGCCGGCGCTCCATCGAGTCTTGAATCTTGCGGATGGCAAAGCGAGCGAGAATGACCGACAGGAGCAGGAAGACGGTTGCTCCGGCGGTGATGTAGATGATGGTGTTCTTGGAGATGGGAGTGGAAGGCGGCGGCAGAGGCGAGGGACTGTAAGAAGGGGAGACTGGGGTGGAATGCGTCGGATGGATATGGGCAACGGTGGATGGCCGGAGAGTGGTGTGCGTTGCTGCAGATGTCGAGTTGTGGGATTTGACGACCATGCTGGAAGGGCAAACGGTGATGAGCGACGGAAGGGAGTGGGAGCAACAGCGGTGGGAAGAGCAGAACACAGAAAATAGGAGGCGCCTGCAGAGCGTGGACGAGATGGAGTCGATTGAGTCGAGTTGAAGCAGAGAGACTCGAGATGGAGTCGAGATGGAGTCGGGATGGAGTCGAGACGGAGTCAAGATGGAGTCGAGATGGAGCCAAAAGCAGACGACAAACGACGGCAAAGACAACGCAAGGCGGACCGGCGTGCCCGGGGCGGGGGTGGGCATGGCGTGCGGCCACAGCACGCGTCGCGCCGGCGCCGTCGCACAGGCGGCGGGCGGTTGTGTTGTGCTGTCGTGTGGCCGCGGTTGTGCTGTGCTGTCGCGAGACACTGGACACAGCTACACGGCCACAGTGCGGCTGTGCTTGCATACATTCGCAGCTGTACAGCGTGCCTGCCGTGCTCTCCACGCGCCCGCGCCCGTGCGACCACTGGCTCAAGCCCGCCGCCGCTGTCTCTGTGCCCTTGCTCTCCACCCCGCGCCACGTGCTCGGCACTCAGTGCCTCTGGACAACAGTCTCTGTGTGGGCAAGCCCGCGGCACTGCCCCACACCGCAATCTGTGTTGGCTTCTGTCCAACACAAGCGCATTTCCACAGTACTCCCGTGCGAATCAGCGCCCTCGTGCTGTTCTCCCCATGCACGATTCCAGCTTGGTCAGCGGGCTTGGTCAGCGCGCTTGATCGTCGCGTTCTCGGCTTGATCTTTCGCTCTTCCCCTTCGCTTTGATCTCCGCTCGACCGCCATGCATCCTCCACACCAACCCCCGTCATCCACACCGCCCGTCGACAATCCATATCTCGCCCACTGGGCCGATCGGCGCTCCAACCCACGACCAACCGACCCACATGCCCACAAGCGGCTGGCCTTCCTGGGTCTGCCTGCTCGATCGGCCAACAAGCGACCCAAGCCAGATCCTGCATCCACGCAGACCCATCCGCAAGTGACCGATTCGGCTCCAGCACCCGGTTCATCCATAGCATCCGGCTCACCCACAACTCCAGGCACACTCGCAGCCCCCAAGCTGCATGCAAGCTCTCGGAAACAGAGCTCCACCACCCACGGCAACTATGACCAGTACTATGCCACCCGCAACCTCAACACTCGGATCGACCCTCGACTGCTTCTGATGGACCCGAGCTGGTTCGCGGGAAAGCGCATCCTCGACATTGGCTGCAACGCCGGCATGGTCAGCCTGCAGCTGGCCATGTACTATCTGCCCAGACATGTCCAAGGCATCGACATCGATCCCAGTCTGATCCGCAAGGCCAACCATGATCTTGCTGCTCGACTGAGCCTGGCACAGCACTTGGTCTCCCCACCGCCGTCAGCGGATGCGTCGTCGTCCACCGATCGGCAACCCTTGGCCGATCCGCCATCATCGATCAGCGCAGCGCCATCGCCCGATCTGCCACCGTCCATCGACTTGAGCGCCTCTGCCGATCTCGCCCAGTCCGCCGATCTCGCCCAGTCCGCCGATCTCGCCGAATCCATCGATCTGGATGCAGACCCCTCACAGCAGCCGCTGCCGGCTGATCGGCTGTCCAAGATCCACCCGGCCACCGATCCTCTTGACAGAGACTATGACTACTTTCCTCAAAGCTGCTCGCTGTTCCATGGCCCACTCAAGCCGATCCATACCCACGGCGAGGCCGATCCCTCAGGCTCGGCGCCTGATCCGCCGATTCTGCCCTTCCCCGCCAACGTCAGCTTCCGGTGCGGCAACTGGCTGACCGAGCCGATCCCCCATGCCTCCATCTGCCCAAGATTCGACGTCATCCTGGCCCTCAGCATCACAAAGTGGATCCACCTCAACGGCGGAGACACCGCCATCAAGCACTTTTTCACAAAGATATACCAGTCCCTCAATCGCGGCGGCCGGTTCATCCTCGAGCCGCAGCCCTGGCACAACTACAAAATCCGGAAGGGCCTCTCGCCCGAGATCCTGGCCAACTACCGCTCCATCCAGCTGCTCCCAGACGGCTTTGATGAGTACCTGCGGACCCAGGTCGGGTTCTCGGCCGGCCATCGGATCGGCGTCAGCCCCAACGAGTCGGAGGGCTTTCGCCGCGAGATCTATGTCTATATCAAATAATACGAGATGCCAGCACCACCAGATCGAGCTCTTGCCAGTGCGGAAGCAAGTGGGTGGGGAGATGGCGCTGTGTCGCTGCTTGCCGATGGGTACGGTCGTCCTGAGCGAGTCGTATCAGAACCGACAGAGCCATGTTCGCATCGGCGGCCGGCTGATTGGGCTGTCTGGCTGCCGCTCTTTTGCGCAAGGGTCTGTACATTGCGGCCGCTGCCCGGCAGGTCGCTTTGCCGGTTGTTGCCTGTCTGTCTGGCCTTTGGCTCCCCTCCATCCATCCATCTGCATCGTCTGTCCCTGCAGCATCCCCGCTGCATATCGACCCAGTCCGCCCCCTTCTGCCCACCGACCCTTTGGCGCTGCTGGTCCTCTCTCTTTCTTTCTCTCCCATCCTTACCCCCGCCCTCTTTGGCCAAAATCGCCTCCACGGTCTCCTTCATTGCCTCGCCCGTTGCTGCCGCCATGTCCTTCATCGGATCTTTCTTCGGTGGGGGCAGCGCCCACTCAAACCCGAGGCAGCAATCCTCCGTCACCTCCATCTCGGGCTATGCCGACGACGACTGTGACGTCCACGAATCGGATGTCCGGCGGCCAATGCTCACCGAGCCCGAGCTGGACGAGCTCGTTGCCCACACTCTAATCAAAGAATGCGGTACGGATGACCGGGATGACCCAGACGGATGCCTGAGATGATCTGGATGCATCGCTGAGGCTGCCCTGGATCATATGCCCTCTCTCAACTGGCCTTGGCCTTGGCGAAGATGCACCCGTGCCCCTCCATCGTCGTGATTCTTGGTCCCCGATAAACATCACCCTCTTGGCTCATAATCACGAGCAATCCACTTCTCGGACCAAACACCCACGCTCGCTGGCCTCCTGAAATATTAATGTTGATTTTCTGTCGCCGTGCATATGCGTCCCACCCAGGTGTCGATTTTGAATCGCGGCCGGTTCTGGCCGTCTACGCCTGCTATCTTCCCGACCAACGCTCTGCCGATTACAATATGCTGCTGGAGTAAGTCCTATTCCCCAACACAATCTGTCCGTCCGTTCGTCACCGTGTGTCAAGCAATCGAGTCTCCAAAACAGGAGTCGTCCTTGCAGAACGATAGGAAGAGGGTACACTCGCTTCGATTGACCACTCCCTCCTCTGCATTCTCCTTCCATCGCATTGCGCCATCACTGCCGTCCCATATCCACAGCAAGGCCATCCGTCGCCTGACGGATTTTGTCAAGAGCGATTACATCGTCGTCTTCTTTTCCTCTGGAGCAAAGCACCATCCCGCTTGGTCCTGGATGATCAAGGCGTATCAGAAATTATCGCGCGAGTACGACATTGATTCAAAGTTGCCGAGAGGGAAGGCGGGATGTGGGAGTGGCTCGACGGACAGTCGACTCTGCGTGCCCAATCAGCGAGTCGATGGCATCGGAGGGGGGGGGAGGCAGGCAAAAGAATGGAAGGGGGCGAAGCCCATCTCTTTTTGTCAACATAGGAGACGGCGTCGATGCAAAGGGAGATGCTGCATCGGAAAGTGGTCGTGCTCATGGCTTACCTGCAACTTTTCGACCCAAACGACCAAACTCTGCTGCACTTTTGCGACTTCACATCCGTCAACCATCCAACCATGAATCCTGGACGACTGCACCGCCGACGTTTTGCTAAACACACCCATCCGACAACGCTGATGTCCGTCACTGGCTGGATCGCGATATCGACGCCCATGGTTACCCTGTCGATACTTGCGGTGTTGTCGACGCTGATGGTGATGCTGTCGATGGCGGCGAATCTGGCGGAACACCTCTCTTTGGATCGAAGCTATCGGAAGAACCTCAAGAACCTATACATTGTCCATCCCACCATGCTCGCCAAGCTGATGATGCGGACCCTTGGCGCCTTCATCAGGTGCGTTGAACATGTTGCCAAAGTGAAGAGGAGATCTGCAAAGGATGTTTCATTGCCCCTTGATTCGGCAGACAGTCCCGTTTCCATGATACTTACCTCTGAGATACCAATGACTCTGCCATTCACCAGCTCAAAGTTCGCCGCCAAGATCGTTTGGGTCCCGAACTTGACGCACCTCTCGAGCTATGTTCCGATCGCCCAGCTCCAGATCCCTGACGTTATTTACGAGTACGGCTCATGTTCTTGGTCTCTCCCCGTGCATTTGTGCTGCTCGCTTTCTGGGCTCGCCTTCGAGTTGGACGGAATCGGGACGATGAACCGCATTTGGCGTGTATGGTTCGATCTGTATCAGCGCCTTTGCCGATCCAGCACCACGCAGGGTCTGCATGACTAATTCTAGGTTCTGCGCCCTACCTTTGCTCATCCCCACTCCGACTTGCTGTATCGATTGTACCCAGGATCAACTACACACTCGAAGAGACGCCTGCATCCTCATCACGCCATCTCGATCGAGTCGATCTCGTGCGCCGAAGTGTGGATTTGTCTCCACACATGTCCGCCAACTCCCACCGGGTCTTTGGCGTTCCTTTGCAAGAGCTGATGGGTCAAGACGGCGAGAAGGGTTTGCCGATTGTTCTGGGAGACTGCATCGAGTTCTTGATCACGGAGGGTAAGTCGTCTCGCTTGTGCAGTTCTTGCGAATGAGGGAGGTCGATCCAAAGAACAGGTCCCCGAATCCCCAGGGACAGGTGGCTAGCAGCTGGCTAGCAGCTGGTCAGCAGCTGGTCAAGCATACAGTCATCTTGGTCTTTCTCTGCACAGCGCTGTGTCAACATGTTGTTGAATAATGTCTCACCGCCGCGGTCCTGTCGTTCCCAGGGCTGGAGGAAGAGGGTCTCTTTCGACGATCGCCCACCTCGTCACATCTGCAAGAGGCCAAGCGCAGCTACGACCAAGGCGGCGAGCGGTTCGATTTCCACAAGACTGGCGGCGTCCACCTGGCTGCGGTCCTGATCAAGCTGTTTTTCCGTGAGCTCCCGGAGCCGGTCTTTCCCCCGTCCATGTATGACGCCATCAGGCCAGTCGAAGGTTAGGGCTTCATCCATGTGTCCATGCGGCTTTTCTGTAGACACACAGCACTCATGCCACCACCGTCCTTTCCCCAGCCCTGACCCAAGATTCCGAGCGCATCCGATTCATCCGATCGACCATCATCCAGCTGCTACCCAAACCAACGGTGCTTGCGATCCGTCACGTCTTTTACCTGCTTCTCCTCGTGCAGCAAAATGCCGCAAAGAACTTGATGACAGCGACCAACTTGGCGATCGTGTTTGCTCCCAACTTTGTGAACGGACACAACCCCATCGTCGACTTTTCCATCGCCGCACACGGCACGGGCGCCGTCGGCATCTTCACCAAGCTCTCGATCGAGCACTATGACGAAGTGTTTGCGCAGTAGTACCCAAGCCACCGGTCTGTTGTCCCGCTCAGCGACAAGTGGGAGGTGGAGAGAGAGGTGCTTTTTTCTCTGTAGAATACACAGCTACTGCATGGTATCATAGATGCCATTGGATGGCTTCGACCAGAAAGGGACGGGGAGGGGGCACATCTCTGGTGCTCGGTGTGGCTGCTGAATAATGAAGGGGCTTTGGCGATCGAGATACTTACAGCGCTTGCCAGATACGCCGACAAGACGCCTCGTTTCGTATGGCACGAATAGGCAGCGAGCGCCGTTCATGTCGGTTACTGGCGGCTGCACTTGCCCAGGCTCTACTTTGCTTGGCCCACACGCTATATCACACTGGGTTCACAGGCCATGTCACACTGGACTCGTGCTATATCACACCGGGTCCGGATATGCACTGCAGCATATTCTTTATATTATGCGTCGATCATCGTTGCGTCGCGGATACTTTTGGGACTCGTTCCTTCCTCCGCGGCTCGCTGTGGTGGTGACCGTTTGACCGACCTGTGCTCATCGGCTCAAGCGCCCATGACCTTGTTCACCAAGCGAGATGCGGGAATGTGGACGGTCTTTGCATGTCCGGAAAGGCACCAGCTTTAGGCACCAGCCAAGAGACCGTCCTTTTGCTCGTCGGTAATGGGCTCCATCTTTTCGACCTGGTTGGGCATCAGGAACGGAAGCGCAAACAGGAGCTCGGGCAGCAGGTCGAGGGTGAAGAAGATGATTTCGGGCACAGTCACCGGAGCCGGACCAAATACGCCGACCGAGTACAGCTTGTAGCCCGTGCGGACGGTGAGCGCCAGGGACTGGTAGATCAGGATCTGCGAGCACGACACGACAAAGGAGCCCGTGCGTGCCTGGAAGGGCAGTGCCTGCGACACCATCAGGGTGTAACCAGCGGCGAGCAGCTCAAGCCAGCTGATTCCGGCGACGGCCCAGGTGCCGCCCAGGCGCATGGTGACGGCAGTCGGGTCGGGAGGGGTGCCGGCGGGCGTGTTCATGATCCAGATGATGGCGGCAATCAGATCGACCACGACCAAGAGAATGACGATGGAGGTCATGTCCTGGAGCCGCTTGAGGCCGGCAAGTTCTCGGCGGCCGAGGGTCGAGTGGTTTCGACGGCCTCCGGCATTGTACTGCTCGCTGAATGCATGCTTCAGGAAGATGACCGACTCGTTGACCTTGAAGAGGTTGGCGATGGTGATGCGGATGAGGGGGAACATGGCCAAACTCATCAGGAGCTCGGTGACGATAAAGAGCGTGAGGTTGCTGGCGTACTGGTCAAAGTTGAGCATGGTGCGGCACACCATGGCGGCGGTGCGGAAGGTGGCCCACAGAACCAGGTGGAAGAGGGTGCGCCTGGCCGGGGGAATGCGGCACGCCCGCCAGTAGAAAATGAAGGCGAGATCGACGACGGCAAAGATGCCGGCCGAGATAGCGGCCGGAAGCATCGTCCAGCCCATGAGAGCGGCATAGTCAACGTTGTTGGACGACATGGTGGAGGCGGAGATGGAACTTGGATTGGCGCCGCGTTGGCCGTTGGATGGAAGTTACTGGTGGCTGGCGAGCTTCAGGATGTGGAGATATGGAATACTGCAATGCTGAGATGGGAGATGCTGAGCCAGCGATGGATGCCGCAAATTTATTGCCGCGCCAAGGCTGGCTGCCAAGGTCAGGGGGGGGGGAACAACCTGGCTGCCGTGGACACTGGTCCAATCGATGGGACTCTGGCCCGGCCTGAAGGTTGGAGCACAAGGGGCGTTCGCAGGGCCGGCTGTGCAGTGTATGGATGGAAGGCGACTGGAAGGCGACCGCGTGCGCGGCTGGAACGACCGGGCGAACATCGCGACAGAAGGCGCACAGAAGGTGCACAGGAGACGCGCGTTGGCAAAGGGGCCGCTGGGGCTTTGCTGCCGATGGACGAGATTGGCGGGCCAGGCTGGCCAAGTTGCAGAGGGCAAGTGCAGAGGGCAGAGGACGGCGGATCGGATCCCGATGCAGGATCGTTCGTCTGTTTCCGCGCAGAATCATCGGCGTCGGCGATGCCACAAATCCATTCTTGCCGTCGGCCCTGCTCTCGCAGGCTCTCGTCGTGCATGTGTTCTCGCTTGGCAAACTGCCGTTATGTTTGCGCACCCAGGCGCTGCGCTCTGATGACACTCCCACGACGATGCTGCAGGGTGGCGGCGGATGCGCTTTGTTGTCAGGAAGGCATTTCTGGCTGAATTCGCATCGGCGCGTCTGCATCCGCTGCTAGCCCATGGCCGGGCTGGCAAATGCGGGCTGCGGCGCCGCGCTCAGACATCGGGCTGGTCTCTGTGCATTGGTCGCTCCGCATTGGGAGCTTGTTGGGTTCATTCGCAGTAGCTGCGGATAGCCGAATCTATTGCTATGTGCCGTGGGTTGGCATCAGCGACATCAGCGACATCAGCGACATCAGCGACATCAGCGACACCAGCGACATCAATTCAAGTCTCTCGTTCGCTCGTTGAGGTGCCTGCTGGCGTTCGACTCTTTGCTGATTTCATTGATCAGTTGGAGTAAAAAGCGCTGGCGGATCTGGAACTCGCCCAGGAGGCAGATCGAGTACGACACAACGCACGCTATCGGAATGGCAATCATCTCATAGCTCAGTTGCGGAGAGACGAAAATGTGTCGCGAGCCAGCATTCAGTCCCAGCAAGAGCGGAAATAGGGGAAGGTAGAACAGAAAGAGCAATCCGCTCTGCGTTGATGCCGACAGGATCGCAATCGATATGGCCGTCAGGTTGCTGTGGAACACAGCCGAGTATGCTGGGGTGGCCGTAATGTCGGAGCCGGCACAGACGACGTGGAATGCGATATACCCGGCAATGTTGGCCACCGAGCAGACCAGGATGACGATCTGGACGATCAGCGGAGACGAGCGAATTCTCTGCAATCCAAGCAGCAACGTTGGCAGGACCAGGACCAGCGGAAAGTAGCACAGCATCATCACCAACGCATTTGATATCTCCGGACTGTTGCTGTACACGGGGTTGAGCATGCTGAGATAGCACGGGACCATCGATCCGAGCAAATTGACTGCTACCGTGATCAGATGCTGCCGGACCGACAGTGGATTTTGTTGTCTGTGACGGGTGGCGAGATGGGGACATTCCCAGATACCAGATCCCAGACAGCAGACGCCCGTCAGTAGTGCACGTATCGATGCCGACTGCTCGTGGCCTGACAGAGCTTGCTGCCAACAAGATCAAGCAACCAAGATAAAGCAATCAAGTTCACACAACCAAGGCCAAGCCATCGAAGCCAAACAATCGAAGCCAAGCCATCGAGGCCAAACAATCGAGGCCAAGTTGGGCCGCAATTGGCGTCCGGTGGTCAAAATCGTCGCTGGCTCACACTTACAATCGGAACTGCCGCTCAAGCGCAGCGTCTTTGAAGCGCAGATCCACGGCTTGGTGCCAGACAATCCAGATATTGGACCAGATCCACCCCGCGATCGTCTGGGGCCTCTTGGCAACATCTCCGTGGAACAGGAAGACGGGCTCCCCAGTGTTCAGGTAGACTCCCTGGAAGTACAGGGGGATCTCGTTGAGAAGCCCCTGGTGTTTGAGTTTTCGAATGCTGATCTTCTTTCGGATCAGGAGAAAGGTTTCTCTGCGGATACGTTCCTGGAAGCGAGGCAATTGGCGGCTCAGAGCGTAAGTGCATCGCAGGGTGGGTGGCGAGACGAGCAACCTGAGCAATCAGCGACAAAAGACACATCCATCGGAGCATTTCCGGCTGGTCTTGGTATCCCAGCCATCACGGTGTGTCCCCCAAGTCGGTTGGGGGCATGTACACTGCATCAGACGAGCGCTTGCCCAACCCGCTCATATCAGCAGACACCTTACATCAAACAGACAAGCGACAGCCGCCCCGAGTATGACCTTGACGTATCCAACGGTGATCGAGAGTCCCGCCGCGCCTTGGTACTCGACCGGGTCGATGAAGAGCCAAGTGATGCCGCTCCCGATGACAAATAGGACCGAGATGACGAGCTTGGCCTCCTTGGGAATGAGCATGATCGTCCCCAGTGCAAACAACACTGCCGCTCGGTTCGACTTGTCTGCAACACTGACTGGCACTGAATTGAGCGGGAGCCCGGTGAGAATGATGTCCACGCCGCCAAGTGCAAATGCCGCGACGTTTAGCGGCCGATCGAACGGTAAGTAGAATCGTTCTGTCTTTGTGATGCGGGCAATGGCCTTGGCAATAGTGATGAACATCATAACACTGATGACAGGAACATCTGTGTGTGTCCGGGGCCGGTCAGTAGCGGTAGTGTCCGAGGATCCCACCATCGGACCAACAGCTGTATCATTTCTGTGACGACCCGGCAGTGTATCGACCCCCAAATCCACCGAGCGTCGAGGAGTCCACTGTGATTTGTGCTATTGCGTACTCACCACAATAGCCGACATATCCAACCGAGAGCCATGTCATGGCTACGCTTATGGCGTAGGTGAAGCAAAATACATGGTTCGAGTGGAACACATTTGAGCACCGCACCATGAACGACGACCACTCCTTCTCGATCTGCATGGATGAAATTGCAATATTGTGCATGAGCCGGTGTCCGCCTTCATCAGTGTCCGCCTTCATCAGTGCCCGTACAAACAGAGGTTCGAGGCAGATGCAGCGAGCCCACAGATCGTACGATGTTCAGGGTCGCACACCTTCTTGTCCTTGAACACGCATGTGAAGCTTGTAATTGGCGACTCGGTCTCCATTGCTTCCGACCTGCCAGGATCCAGCAAGGCTCGCAAGGTTCTGGAGGACGCAATGGCGCTTGCCGATGCTCAAACTGTCGGTAGTTTACCAGACCCGACTTGCAGCGGCCCATCGGCGGGATTATAGCCGGTAGTTGTGCTGGTCGTTCAATCGCTGAAAGGAGACTGCCGATAGCATATCTCTGATCAGGCAGTCGTCATCGCTGACGATGGCCAGCGTCTCCACAGGAGAGCGCTTGGAGCATCCGTGTTCTGATTCGGCGTTCTGATTCGGCGTTCTGATTCGGTATTCTGATTCGGCTTCATCAGCCCGCTCGCTCGCTCGCTGGACTGATCATGCTTCGTCCAGCCGCCCAACTCCCACCACCAGAGCAACCGCCGGGCCTCGAGAGCCTCCGTCGCTGCTGGCCTTACTCGTTCTCGGGCGGCCGGCGGGTTTCAGTCGCCCCCCGCCCGCCCGATCGTCAGCCAGGGCGGCCGACCAGCCAGTTCGTCCCCCAGGCCGTTTTTTGCCCCTTCCTTTCCTCTTTCCCACACAAAACAGCCTTCGCCACAGCATCTGAAGCAGACAAAATGCCGTCGCGGACGCTCTCGACCCTGCAACGGGCCTCCGAGGGAGCCCAAGCAACGATCTGCCGGGGAGATGCGGCGACTCACCAGCGACGCTGCGCTGGGATGCTGGTCCGCCGGCTCGGTCGCTGCCTTGGGCTTTTCTCTGTCCTCTGGTCTTCGTCCGTCCTCACTATCGCGGCGTTGCTCTTGGTTGGAAAGCCTCCGTGCACTCGCTCATGACTTCCAACAGCTCGTCCATCCCGGTCAGCACCTCGGCTGCTGCCGATCCATGTGTCCAAAGCTTCAATCTCACAGGATGTTCCAGCGGCGGCTACGACTGCTGCTACGGAGGGCCATGCTCTCCGCTGCCGTCGCGCCCAAGCTGTTCGCTACAGGTATGCCTTCGTTTCTGACTCGGTCATGGAGTAGAGAATCCCCTTGACTGAGCCAAGACTGGCGTGGACTCGGCTTGCACTTCCATTGATCTGCTCCAGAGGCTAAATCGCCCCTTTGGTCGCTGCAGTGTTCCGGGATCGCAAATAGCTCGACCTCGTCGCCATGGAGATGCTCCATGCGGCTGTGTCTGCAAGACAGCAGTATCTGCTCGGATGGCTCGTATTGCGACGTCGTTGCCCATTCGTGCCTGTCGCAAAAGGGCATGCTGGAGTATTGTTCGGTAGATCAAGCGGCGTCCGCAAGCAGCCCCTGCCAGTCCGGCTACTGCTGGCTTGGCCGATGCACCCCAAGTCCGGTCCTGGTTCTGTCGCTGAGCTCTGCGGCGCTGCTGCTCCTAATCGCTGGTCTGGGCTGGAGCTTGCGCCAGTTCTGCCAAAGGCGATCTCGCAGATACCCCAAGGCCCCGAGCCCTCTGAACTCACTCAGCAGCTCGTCCGGCTCATCGGGCAAATGCTCCAAGTGGGGCGATTCCCATGACGCTGGCGACACCATCGAGATCGTGAGTCTCTCGCCGCACCACAATGCAAGATCCGGTTCATGGGTGTCTCGCCAAAGTTCCCGGTGCTCAGGCGTCGATTCCGAGCCCGCCGGATGGGTCGCTGGCGACTGCGATTCCGATGCCATGTCCCGATCGTCTACCCTTCGGGTTCCCAGCGTCTCGGGCATCTCCGAGTCTGATCGCACATATCTCAGGTGCTTCATCGAGAACCCTGGGGCACATACGTTCCTTTCGCCAGCGACTCCCACGGCTCGGGTCTGTGCCGTCCCTTGGCTCGACTCTCCCGAACAGGGCTCTCCCAAGCACCAGGATCCGGCACCCTCCCCTCGGTGGCCGATGCTGTCGCCGTGCTTGAACAGCCCCACGAATCCGCGATGGACGGCCTCGGCAGCGTCGGCCACATTCTCCGCCAGCCATGAGAGCATCATGCTCACGGGCATAATCGATTCCTATGCCTTTGATGAAAACGACGACGGCGACACCGGGCCCCACTCGATAGCCCCTATGCCGACCTCGACCTCGATCTCGACCCCAGAGGGGCCGCCTGCTCTGGCGACGCACAAAAGTTCTAATGTCGCCATCGGGGAACCGGTTCTTCTGACCATCCCAGGTCCGCCGGCACCAGCAATGTCGGCCACGTACCCCAGGCACCTGCGAGACTGGGATGCAGTCCAGGTTCACCGACCTCGGCTCACCCTGTCGTCGTTCCAAGAGCGCTGAATTGGCATCGGGGTGATCACTCTCGCAGCCTACATCCACGGCACAGTTCTGCTGTGATCGATACTCGCTATCCGATTCCTGGCGGACAACACTTTCAACCCTCCACAATTACTTTGCACGATCAATCATCTGTTCACAAGCCATTTCTTGTTTTACTGCACACCCAAGCGAATGGGACGCCCTGTTTGGCCAGGACTGTCGCTATTTTCTGGGTGCCGAATACACACCCATCCATTGCCCATCATGGCCGGGTGTGCTCACAAACATTCTTTACAACATCTTATGTGCGAATGTACTCTCCGAGTTTGTGGATGAGTCAATGTACTGTTATTGAAGCGTGGACGATAGAGGTCGCACGGAGTGATGGCGTATGTCACAAATGGTTGCAAAAACGGGTAGGCATGGAAAGGGAGAGGCATGTGTGATGCGGAGGAAGGATGGGCGTTCTCGCAGCCGAGGAGGCCCAGGCCGGTTTCATCGAGACTACGACGGCTGCTTCCAAGAGGGGTGGGTGTGCAGATCCACCGACCACCGCAAAGGAGCATCAATGCGGTGCAGAGCCGAGTAGAATCTACCGTACAAGGCCGGCGGCAGTGGCGCTAAGGATGACGACGATAGACGTCGATAATGTGGTATGTGCAGCCTCGCTTATCCATGGCCGCGGCCCATGCTGGCGATCGTCCGGTGCGCTTCCATCACCTGCGACTCGAGCTTGGCAATCCGCTCAGTGTACTCGCGCTGCTTGCGATCCCACGAGGCTTTATCAGACTCCAGAACCGCAAGTCGGAGAATGATGCCGGACTTTTCGCTCTGAAGCGCCTGGACCCGGTCCTCAAGAACCTGAATCCGTTGGTTCTTCCGGGCCCTTGATCGTCGCGCTGAAGGGAGGGGTAAACGAAGCCGCAAAGGGAAAATGTACATGGGCAGTCAGTATTGTGCTGGAAGATCAGCTCAATGGTACCTCGGAGGACTGGGTGCGAAGGAGTGGCACTGTGGGTGATTTACCTGCTTCAGTGTTTCTGATGCGCTTGAGGGTCTCGGGATCACAGTTCATTGAGTCGTGAGACTCGTGATCGTGATCTGGAGGAGCAAGTGCGGATCATTCCGATCTAAAGGTCAGATACGCATTTCACGGGGAAACGGCCACTACCCAGGGGAAGGGCGCAGTTTCAGGGGGGGGGATCAAAGGCTTGAGCACGCCGTCTCAAGAACGAGCACTCTAGAGCATCAGACCCTCACCATCGTTCTCGTCGCTATGGTCCCGATTCCTGAGCGTGTCATTGGATGAAAAGTTCTGAGCATGTTCGACGGGTGATGCCGAGGAGAAGCCCGAGTGCTTCGAGAGACTCGGAGAATGAGCCGGTGAGCTGGCTCGCTCAATCTTGACACTGCCGTCGCCCTGGAGCGCCGGTGATATGTCCGATATGTATCGGTCAGCGGTATTGGCTGGTTCCGTCGAGGGCGGGCCGAACGATGAAGCCATGTTCGGTCCTTCGGTAGGATAGAGGCCGTTGGTAGAGAGGGGATAGATCCTGGAGTCCATGGGTGACGGAAAGCCTTGGCTCGGATTTGGTGCCAGCATTGGCTGGGAAAGGAATGCCGGGCTTTGACGCTCGTAGAGTTCTGTGAAGCTGAATAACCGAGAGTTTGTGTTAGTCTCTATGCAATTGGTGTGACAGGTACATGGAGGATGGGGGGAGACAGTATGTGGTACACAGCAAGAGCAACAGCTTTTTTGGGGGGGGGCAGGCAAAGCCGAGAGCACCCGATCCATGAAAGGGTCAACCGGCAATCTTGGTACCTTGGAGTGGACTTTGGCATCGGTGGGATCATGGATTGGGAGCTGGGCACGAAGGGCTGTTGGTGTGGGAACGGCATTCGCATGTGCCCGTTCGTGATGGGCTGTTGGGGCATGAACGGATACGAGACCGCCTCGGGGCTGAACTGAGTTGCCGAATTGGTATCTGCAGAGACAAGTCGAGTTATAAACACGGAGTGGCAAGCAAGAGTATGCTGATACCCTGATGCACTGTCGGCGCGAGCCCGGTCCGCTTAGACACACTGGGCACTGCCAGCGCTTGGCGTGCCCCATGGCTCCATCTCATCACACATGGGAAGTGGGGCCAAAAAAGATACGGAGTGTGGCAAACGTGTGCAGGGGAGTTTTGGATCGATGAAGTACCATGTGTGATCGACATATCGAAGGATGGGGTTCTTGGAAATTGCTGCGGGAGCACGCTGGAATACTGATATGATTGTTGCTGTAGCTGCTGCTGTAGCTGCAATTGTTGCTGCTGCTGCTGCTGGTTGGGCTTGTAGATCTTTTGCTCTTTGTTTGGGATCATGTTGCAAAGCGCTGCATTGGAAGCCCAGGTCCACCAGAGAGAGGTTGTGGCAAGGGATCAAGCAGGAACAGCCAGCCAAATACGTCAGTACAACACGATGGAATGCCTTTGGCCAAGAGGAGAAGCTCAGCCTCGCATAGTTGTTGGAAAGGATGATCGGACAAGGTCACAGCCATGGGTGGATGAATAAGGGGGAACGACACAGGGAGCGAGAAGGATGCATGGACTGGCAGGCCCGAGTCAAGCACACGAGCCCTGGGATATACGAGGCCAGCGGCGCGGATCGAGGCAATCTGGTGGAGGAGCCGCGCAGAAATATCACATCGGCGGCGTACCGTGTGGACAGAGGAAGCTTGGCCTGGAAACGGGGTTGAGCGAATCGAGCAGAGGACCAGTCGAGGACACCGACGAGTGGAAGCAAAAAGGAGAGTCGTGCTGCTACTGCGGTGCACAAAGGGCTGGCGTTGGGTGGTGATGTTGGTGGATGAGCGGGCGAATTAACTGAGCTTGAGGGTCGTGAACCACGATGCATGCATACGCATGTTCCGACGCGGGAGGGGCTGTATCGAGACGGTCTTTTATTCGGCGGGAAGCAGGGCAGTCATGTCGGTTTGGAGCTGGCCGGGGCCGGCGGCGGCTATGGGGAAGTATTTATAGCCTCGGCTCAAACTGACTCAGCGCCTGGGTGACCGGGAATGACTCACACGCCTTCACGCTGCCGACAACGCTGCCGTCGCTGGGTCGATCTGAGTCGTCGCTGGCGCTGGGTCGGCCTGAGTCGTCGCCGGCGCCCACTGGATCGCGATGGATCCTACCAGACCGCCACCCATCCCTGCTATGCGATGCGATGCGATGCCGGGTCCAGCGAGTGCCTGCCGCGCTGGGTACTTGTGGCCGGCTCTTGTGCCTGTGCTTGCGCTTGAGAGTCTGTCGCTTCAGCCCAGCCGGCCAGCCGGTCTGCCGGAGCCGAGAAAGGCATCCAGCAGGTGGCACGCCGTCCTGTGGCTGACATGGTGGCAACGGCGCCTGCAGCAAAGGCCCTCTGCGACTCCAAATCTCTGGGAAATGGTTGTCAGGATGTTGGAACAGCAGCCGGTGGCGGCTTTGACCGGCTCATTCCGATTCCGCCCGCGCCCTCGCCGCAAGTCCTCGCTGTGTCCTCGCTGTGTCTCGCTGGCCTGTGTGTGTGTGCGCGCAGCAGCGGCTGGATCCGGTTTGTTTTTTTTGTTTTGGGCGGATCTGTTCTTGCATCCAAGCCGTCGCCAGCATCCAGCACCAGAGCCTCCCGGACCCACCACAGACACCAACGCAATCGCTGCTTCGCCATGGACTCGTCGCCGTCGGCATACGGCAAGCTGAAGAGCTTGCTCAAGAGCTCCTCGAAAAAGAGAAAGCTGGAGCGCGCCTCGTTGTCAGTGTCCAAGGCTGTCTCCAAGAAACAGCGACCGTCCACACGGAGCACCCCCAGCCAGCAAAGCCGTGCTGGCGACCCGGAACGGGACAGCGATGGCCATATAGAGTCCGACGACGATGCCGACGATAGAGCGGATGAATATGGAGAAGACCATGAGGGTGACGAAGACGAGGATGAAGACGAGGATGAAGACGACGATGCCTTGGACAGCGAGAGCGATGGTGCGTTTCCCGTCGAGGCGTCCGTGGATGGCTCTGCTCATCGGGCAACGGGATGGAGACCCTGTCCGCGGTTCAGGATCTGACCCATATCATCGTTCTATGTCGCTTGTTCAATGTTGGCACCTCTGGTATGCAGATGATGATAATCACGAGGGTAAGACACTTGTTTTGCCCACTATGCGGAGCTCCAGCTCCAGCGGGGACCAGAGTCGATCTGGCGTAGAGCATTGCCATACCTACCTTACGCCGCTGACTTCTGCCGTTCCGGAGGCGGCTTTCGCATGCGAGAGAATGTAGTGCGACTGGCATCTCACCCACAAACTCTGTGGTCTCTCCAGACTTTTACAACGTCCATTTCAGCGACGGGAACACACAGGACTTGGACTACCGCATCGCTGCCGTCGAAAACAATGCCCTGCAGCTCGACCACTTCGAGGACGATACGTTCGAGAACATCATCGTGTACTCTCCCGAGAACTCAGGTCAAGCCGTCAAGAAACCCGACTCACATGCAAAATTGGTGGATTACAAGGTCAGTAGCCTGTTCGGCGGCATTTGTGTTGGCACAGGGACACACCCGTCTGCAGATTGCCAGTCGTTGGTACCCGAAATTGAAATCACCCGTGCTGACATTGCCCGTTCGGTTTAAACCTGTTTCACCCCGACGCGATCTCGTCGTTGTGTGGATCGACATGGCAGGTCAAATCCAAGTTGGTGGATAGCTGGCCGAAGCTAAGCGCCGGATCGGATCAGGCAGAGGGTACTGATGCTGATGTTGATACTGACGATGGATCCAGGAGTGCAGATCATAAGGGTGGACACTGACGTCTGTATCCTTGCGCATTCACCTCTCTGCGGCCCTGCAAGGCCGCATGACGCCGCTGCAGTCCAAGTTCTTCCACTTCTTCAACCAATACGCCGACGTATATCACCCCGATTACAAACTGAGCCAATGGGATCAAATCCGGAGTATATATTGTCTTCACGCCATGAACCATGTCTTCAAGTAACGTCAGCTGAGCAGTTGCAATGATATCCTGTCGATTTGTGCCAATATCTCTTTGAGATGCGTTCGAGAATTGGACGGCGCTTCTTGTTACTATGCCAGTGGCTCATTCGATGCTGGTTTTATGTCCAGGACTCGCGACCGTGTGCTGAAGAACAATCAGAAGCTCAAAGCGCATCCAGACCAGTATGCAGAGGGCTTTCGTCGAGAGATATCCGTATGGGCAGCTTACTCGGCCCGAGCATGTTGTAACCGCTTGGACGGACTTGAATTGCAGAGAAATCCGAGATCAAGGCTACACTCGACCCAAGGTGTTGATTCTCGTGCCATTCAAGAACGACGCCCTCGATATTGTCAAGAAACTCATCGTGCTTTCAGGAACAAGCCAGCAGGTATGTTGACTAATGAGCAACAAGATTTTACCATTGCCAGCCAAGCAATGGCCTCGTACTTCTGCACCGCCATCTGCTGACAACGCAGCATATACGAGCAACATACAGTCTATCTGAATAAGCTTGTTGACTCCCTTATCTGATTCTCGATGGCCGGATCGCGGTCGGGCAGGAAAACAAGAAGCGGTTTTTTGACCAGTTCAAGATCGACGATACAAACGACGTCATCGATCCTCGAAAGCCAGGTATGAAGCAGAACGGGCTTTGTAAACGCATCCCATTGCGACCCATACTGTGCTCACACAATCGCACTCTTGATGCCGTACTGTTCGCTAGAGGATTACAGGAGGATCTTTGAAGGTAACATCGACGACTGCTTCCGAGTCGGCATCAAGTTCACTCGAAAGAACATGAAGTTATTCTCCAACTTTTACGCATCCGATGTGATTATCGCATCGCCGCTTGGGCTCCGGTTGATCATCGGATCCAAAGGGTAGGTGACTGTGCGGGGTGTTGCAGAGACAACGCTTGCGCTTAGAGCGCTCCGAACGAGGCTTCGCGGCAGTCGCAATCGCAATCGCAAGTGCGGCTGCATCTTGGTCTCGCTGCATCGCTGACGCAGTGTTGACTGCTTTGTCGAACTTGAAGCGACAAGAAGCGCGACTATGACTATCTATCGTCAATTGAGGTAGTTGTTGTCGACAAAGCCGACACGATTCTGATGCAAAACTGGGACCACGTCGAGGTAATATATCCCTGACTGGTTGTAAAATGCATGCCGTAGCCTGGATGCGTCTGTGCTACCATATATGAACGTCGTCACCTTGGTAGCGCAGCTGCATCGATGGCAGTAGCCAATGGTGGCATGAGTGACCAAAGTGCAAAGTCCAAAGCGCCAAGAGGCAAGACCTGCAAAGGTCGTCGATAACGTGATACGTCAACGAGCCAAATCCAGAGGGACAGTCGAGCTAAAATCATCTTTGTCCAACGTAGCACATTTTCAATCATCTCAATCTGACGCCGACCGAAGCACATGGATGCGACTTTTCTCGGGTCAGATCTTGGTATTTGGATGGAAGGTAGATTGACTTTCAATAAGCCTCAGCTCATTTGCTATCGAAGAGCTCTGCGATATCTGGATCTGGTCCGATATCTGGATCTAATGCCCAGCTTCACCCAGAGCCAAGAACTTGCGACAAACGATCGTGCTTTCGGAGTATGCGACGCCAGAGCTGAACGCGCTGTTCAACCGTCGCATGAAAAATGTGTTCTTGAAGACGCGCACCAAGTCGCTCTTTGCCGGAAGTATATCCGATGTTGTCGTGCAAGTTCCCCAGCTGTTCCATCGAATCAACTCAAGATCGTTGAAGGAAGAAGACGATACTCGATTTACGTACTTTGTTGAGAAGGTAGATGCTCAGATATGACGACCATGAGTGAGCTAAAGCCAGTTGGTCGTGATAACGAGGCAAATGGCAGGCAAATGGCGGCTTGAATGCATCTCCCTAAGCATCACCATCGCAGCAAACACTCGATGAGCATACGGACGGAAGGGCACTCGTCGACTTGTCAGCAGATGGCAGACGGATCGTGACCGAGTGCTGCAACTAACGCGCGCTTCCCCGATGGGTTTCGATTGTGTCGTGAATACTAGGTTCTTCCCACCCTGAGACAGTCCGCCGTCTCTCAAAAGCACACACTCATCTTTGTCCCATCCTTTGTGGACTTTGTCCGCGTGCGCAATTACTTTTCCGAAAAGGAAGAGAACTTTGAGCTGCTTTCAGAGTAAGCATTCCTCGTCCTGTCCTGTCCACGCATATTCCTCCGCGACGGAGAAAGGGATAAGGCAGCTCCGCAGCTCAGCCGCTGTCGGCTGGTTTCGCCAGAGGCAGGTTTGGTGGCGCCCAGAGTTGAGTAACTTACGCATCGGACCTTCACGCGCTGATCACTGCCCAGATATTCCTCCGGAAGCGATATTGCTCGGGCCCGCTCGGGTCTCTACCACGGCAAGCTCGACTTTGTTCTGTGTTCCGAGCGCTTCCACTTTTTCAAGAGATACAATCTCCGCGGTGTTCGACATCTGGTGTTCTATGGTCTGCCTGATCACCCGGGTTACTATCCCGAGTTGATGAACATGATGCACAAGGCCCCGGACAACACCTGCACGGTTCTCTACTCCAAGGTACGTTGTAGGTTGCAGACACGAGGGGGGGTATCTGAATGGTCTGCTGCTGTGTGCGCATAGCATTGGTCGCAGCATCCAAGGCTGACGGCTCTTCGTGCGGCATCTATGCAGTATGACAAGCTCAAACTCGAGCGCATTGTCGGCAGCAAGCGCGTGGACCGCATGTGTGAGGGCGAAAAGGATGGCTTTATGTTCACCTAGTTCGTTCTGTCGTTGCGCATGGACGAATACATCTGCTCGAGTCGCAGCCGAATCTGTCGATCCCGAAAGAGCGCCGGTCGTTCGCTTGGCTGCGCGCAGGGATTGTGCTTGTGTTGTCCATCTGTCCATCTGTCCATCTGTCCATCTGTCCGTGCTGGTTGGTCCCGCTGCTCGCGTCGCTGACGTGGTAGCCTCCGGTGGTTGGCTCTGATGTCTTCCGCGTCCATCCGGCGTCACCACAACAACCTGCCCGTCACGCTTGCGTGGCGGTGACCGAGAACGCGTCACGCCGCTTGCTGTGCCGGGAGGCAGCCAATGGAGTACGTGCGCAGCAGTCGCTCAGCATGACTCGCCACGCATGGGCACCCACACGTGACGAGGGCGGCACGACATCAAATACGCCCGCCCATCCGGGTGTCGGCCAGAGCCCCATCGCAGAAGCAACAGCACGAGAAGCAGCTACAGCCGATTCCGAAATCCGATACACCCACAGCCAGAGATCCCGCCGCCCGGTGTCTCTCTGATCCAATCCACGACAGTCCCTGCCCCGTCCCACCCAAGCCCGCAATCATGCTGACCCAGGAACAAAAGATGCAAGCCGCCCTGCTGAAGGCGTCAAAGGCTCTGATAGACTCCAGTATCCTCGGCGAAGGTAAGATAGATGTCTTATCCAGCGGAGTGGCAGACTGTTTGCTGAGAGTGCGACCCACGACTAACCGTGACCTGTGCCTCTCGTGCCACAGTTGTCCCAGCCGAGTTTCGCCCCTCGGTCGAGCTCAATGTCAAGTATCTGTCCAAGAAAGTGACGTACGGCAAGGAACTGAACATCGATGGTCAGTATAGATTACGTTTTGGTGGTCGCTCCACCGGAGACGAGGCGTGAGCGACACGACCAGCTGACCATATCCTCCCGCCTCAACGCTCATCCCCGGCTATTGCAGGCACCCATCTGATTCCTGAAGTCTCGTGGATCCCTGAAGAAGGAGCATACTATACCCTGATCCTGACCGATCCCGATGTCCCGTCAAGGAAAAATCCCGAGGATGGAGAGTACCGTCACTGGGTCGTCTCGAACATCCTGAACTCGGACTACGCCAACGGCGAGGACTTGACCGAATACGAGCCGCCGTGTCCTCCGGTCGGCACCGGTCTTCATCGGTACATCTTCCTTCTCTACAAACAGCCCGGCTTCCTGGACCTGTCAGTCATTTCCAAGAGGCGAGAGCGCTGGGAAGCTGATTCATGGGCCAAGAGCTTCGGCATGGAGCTGGTTGGCTGCAATTTCTTCAAGGGCCAGCAAAAGCAATAGTCAGATGCATGAGTACATGCCATCACGCACATTCTCCTCTATAGACGCGTCGTGATTCTGGACGCCTATCTATCACAAACGTATGTAAATATATTGATATTTTGGCTCTACTGCTGGCTGGACAAAGCTGCAGGTGTGAAAGGAGGAGCACTATTCTGCAGCAGCTTTTGAGTGAAAATGCAATCGATATCATTTCTATCCGAATAACTGAGAAATTGGAGATGGATGAAGTATGCCAAATGAAGTCCATGAATCACATGGTACATCCTGAGTCGGATTGAGCCTCCCGTGTATTGATGGCAAGACAGCGACTGCCGCGCTGCTTTGGCTCGATTCACTGAGGCTCGATGTTATCGTACTTTGGCAGAGGAGTTTCAGGGGTATTGACTTGGGTGTCGGTCGGGAGTGTCGACTTGCTCTCGTTCTCCTTGCTTGTTTTCTTCAGGGCCACCTGAAGAGGCGCTGGCGAGCCACGGGCCTTGACCTCCATTGTTTTCTCCGACGGCTGACGATCCAACTTGGGTCGAGCCTGGGATACGGTAGCGTTTGAAACAGAGGAGCCGTGGCTGTCGTCTCCGCTGCTGCTTGTTGCATAGGTCTTGGGTTTTTTGTTTGCCTCCTCTGGATCTTTGACACAGGTGTAAATCTTGGCGCCCATCAGCAGCAGCACCGTCACAAGATTCGGCAGCAGGACTGAGACGCTCTTGATCGAGAACGCGACCGTAGGGTCCGGAATGAAGGTGCTGACAAGCAGCAGCAGCGCACCAAGCAGGGCCTGGCAGTCCGTGGGAGAAAAGTTAGCGTTTGATAGCGAGTGTCGTTATGTGATATTTGTTGTGGTATGCGTTATTCCGAGGCAGGGCCATCGGCGATGCCAAATCGTACAAACATCGATACAAAGCCTGGAGGCATTTGAAGCACCGGGGACAGACTCACCCAATTGTAGCACGTGAATCCAATCATCTTGGCCTCGTTGAAGTCCTGGAAAGTCAAGGTGATGCCAAAGTCAGCAACACGCCCCGGTCGCCAGGGCTGCGGCGCTATTAGGTTCATCAGGATCGGTACAGAGTATCCCAGATCACTTACAGAATGAACATTTCTGATGCTGTAGGCATAGAACACAGCGACTGCCTCAAGAACAAGGTGGATGCCCAGGCTGACGGAGGTGAAGATCGAGTCGGTGCATCGATCCAAAGTGAAGAAGTTGTAGATCTTGGTCACCTGGGGGGTCGGAGGGCTGACGAGGGTCCAGGCAACAAGGTATCCCTTCGAGGTAGCAACGGTATGTCGTACTCATGGTCAATCACAGTGTCCCATTGGTGAGGCCGCTGGGGAGCAAGCGAGCTGGATCGATCCGATTCCAAAGCTTGATCTTTTCGTTCAGAGTGTACGATACTTACGATGATGGCAAAGAGGCCAACGATCAAGAATCGCGATAGATAGGCGTCGGTCAGCGACGCCGCGCTAGATTTGCCTCGCTTCGTCGTGAATATGACAAAGATTCTGTAGGTTTTGAGGATCTGCGTTTGCAATGCCAGTTCAATTTTGGAACGGTATCAAGGACTCTGAGCGATATACACAGAGACTCGAGCATTGTGTTCTTACCAGCGAGGGGAATAGAACCATGAACCCAAGGTTTTCCAGCCATACACTTGTGAGACAGTCTGTCACAAAGACAGAGCAGAATGCCTGAAGAGCAAGAGGAAAGATGTCGTCAGTCTCAAAGCCTGTGCATGAGAGTGCGGTGGCCTCGATGTGGTATCGTTTTCGTGATTCGTGCTGACAGAAAACTGAAGTAGAGCGCCAAAGGATCGGCACAGCGGTTGCTTACCAGCATGGCTCCAAAGACCATCAAAATGGCAAAGGTCGGGGCAGTCGTCTGCGGAATTGGATGAAGGAATTGTAAGTGGCGGCTGAGAAGAGCTCTTGAACGATCGCAGAGCGGCCATGCGATTTACCTTGATGATGTAGATGCCCCTGTATTTGTAGAGCCCCGCCAAAACCGCCAGGGCCACGGCAAAAAACAGAGCCGCTATGACTTTGAATGCGATTCGGGCAGACGAATCGATCACCATAACGGTGAGGCACTTGAGCGAGTCCGAGTCCCATAGCTGTCCAGGATCACAGTTTTTGACGTAAATGTCGTAGGTAGGGAGGACGGCATTTGACCCAGCCACAGCCTGCACGCCAGTGAGGGCTGAGATTTGAATGCGATATTGCCCAGGAAGCCCTGGGATCACGATATCCTTGAAGGTGACTTCGTGGCTTGTGGCATTCAGAATCGTCTTCATGGTCTCGCCCTGCAAAGTTACGTTCTGTAAAATCTCTGTGACGGCCAGAATGACGGGCTGCTGCAGATTGATGTCTAAGCGCGGTGAAAGGAGCATTGTTCATCCTTTGTCAGCGGAAGCGATCAGGTAATTTGCACACCCTGCACCGTCGGATCGCGACAGACTTCTAATATTGCGCAAATCGATACACAGCCTTTATGTTGTAGTGATGACACTCTGCTTACCAGGTGGGTTGCCAAATGAGTTCACGGCCTTCACGTTGAACGGCGGGATTGGTTGGGTCACCTCGAGCGTCGGTCTGAGCAGGCTGTTGCTGAAGTCAATGACCAAGGTTGATGCGGGGCTCTTCCACGCGATTCCTCCATTTCCAGAGTTGACAAAGGAGCCACTCGTCAGGGCCTGTGAAACGCCATAGGCAAATGTCGTGTTGTAGAAGAAAACATCGCCACTTCCGAGCAAGCTGCCCTGAGAGGTGAAGCTGATCGACGGGCTGGATTGGAAGTAGGCAACTGATCCGAGGGAGGCTGTTGTGCCTCGGCAGGTAACCGATCCATTCAGAACCAAGGTCGGGTTGTCGTCCATTTCGAGGAAGCCGCCATAGGTCGCTGCGCTAGCCGTGTTCACCTGGGTGGTGCTGCCGGTGAGAAACTGGAGCGTCGACATGCCTGTGCTGTAGATAGCGCCGCCTGGGCCGAGGCTGATAGTGTTTTGGAAGATGTTGTTGTTGGCAAAGCTAACGGTCGAGGAGGCAGGAAGACTTCCTTGTGGAGGCACGGTGTATAATCTTATGGCACCACCTGAGGGGCCAACACCACGGTGCAGATTATGCATGAGCAGATGTCACCAAGGACGGCATACCGATGAGCACGTTTTTGGCAGGTAAACGACCATCGAAAGAAAGCAGTAGTACACCTCCGAATGCATATGCGTCACCGTCCGGATGGTCTGCACGATGGCGTCCGATGGCATGTGTTGGGCAGCCGAGAATGGCTTACCTCCGAGTGCGGCCGTATTGTTGACAAAGGTACAGCCGTCAAAGGTAAAGACGGAGCCAAGGTTGATCTTGGCCACACCACCGTTTCCGCCTGTTGAGGTGTTGATGAAGGTGCAGTTGCGCAAAGTGGCAATGTTCTGTGGTCCCGGAGCGTCCTGGACTTCGGTGTAAAATACACCGCCATCAAACTTGCCCAGGATCTGACTAAACTTTGAATTCTCTATCGTTAGGTGGCTGTCGATGAGGTCAACAAATCCTCCCATGTTGGCGGTGGACGATATGACAGTGATGTTTCGGCAGTAAATTTGCGAAAACTCCATCACGAGCATGGTACCACCCGAACCGCCGGCTGTGAGATTCTGGAAGAGAGTATTGGTGATGTTGAGTTGGACGTGATCGTACGAATATATGGCCGTCGCTTGAGTATTTGCGATCGAGTCTCGGAAGACAGACTGGTCGATTGTCATCCGGGCCCCTGTATTCAGGAAAATGATTCCTGTGTTTGTGGTTGCACCGGCGACGTAGAGTCCGGTGATGCTGGTCCATGTTATGGTCGTGCCGTCTGTGTTGTCCATATAGACTGAGGGGGTGGCAAGTGGGAGACTTAGTGACGAAGCTGGATACCGGTGAGTGGATCGAGAGCACCGACTAATCCCGCAGCATATTCAAGGCCGGTCAGTATCACTGTTGTAGTCACAACGCACCGCATGAGGCCCAGGGGCCATAGCTATTGATGCAGTAGCCTCCGTTCCACTGAAAAGTCGAGGAATGGGTGATAACGATCCCTCCAATAGATCCGCCGGAACACAGGCTGATGCCGACGTTATTGAAGACAAGGCTCGATGCAGAGTCCATATAGGCTATGGGGCCGGATTGGCTCGCAGTGATGTTGTTGAAGACACTGTTTGAGACCACCACCGTTGCTTGGTTGGTGATATGGAGGGCGGCGGCACTTCCAACAATGCTGACCTGGGTCACAGTGGCTCCCTGCAGCGTGAGCTGGCTGCCGTCGATGGTGAACAGAGCGCCGTTGGAGCCCGAGCCAGACCCAGAGCTCGTGCGCGAGATGCCGGTGGCTATGAACCCGTTCAGGTTGACTCTAGACGACCCTGCGATTACCATCTAGTGGTTTCCATCAGAGGAGATGATACCGTTGGGTGAAGGATGTGGATGAATGAGGAGGGAAATGAATGGGGAGAAGGTGGAAGACGGCAGACCAGCGTATAGTTTGCGATGATCAATGTATCGCATCGCACGACATGCTTCCAATTGCTGCAACGATATGGTGTACTCACAAACGACGAAAAGAAACGAGCATCGATCGAAGCGCCGACTTGGACTGTGTTCACCGCAGTAACATTGGTGCCTCCCACGTTGGCGGTGCCATCGATCTTGATGACAGCAGCGTTCAGGTAGTTGAGGTCTTCATCCGGATATGGTCAAGGATGCAGGCGAATGTCAGTAATGGAATGTTCTCTCGCGATGACAGACTGGTGCAATCTGATGGCTTAGACACGCTCGATTCCATCGGAAACAACAGACTCACTCTGAAACTGCACAGTGTTCATCGTCAGAGTTCCGCCTTGAATCCAGAGCTGGAGTGCGGAGAGTCAGATGTGTGAGTATGCAGTGGATTGCAAAAGTGCACGGGCATGCGAGTTTCGAGGGTTTTCGCGGAAAGTGTGTGCAGGTCTCAGCTCCCTGGTGCCAACTGCAGATCTGCTCGCGGCGCTTCGGCGAGCGACTTTGTTACGAACCTGTCCGCCTGGATAAGTGCTGGTGGCAGTACTTGTGGTGCTCATTGATGGGAACTGAGTGCTATTGGAGGAGTTTGTGGCAGCGTATCCGACGAAGCTGACATTGTTGAGGGTAAGAGTACCAAGGACTATAATTGGAGGGCTGCGACGGGCAAGAAGTCATTGGGAATGGCGATTCCAAACGGCACAGTCAGTTTCTTATAAGACTGGATGGGCAGCTATCGATGTCACCAGCACCCTGCACCAGGGCTGGGCGGCGCCTACCAATTGACAAAGATGGTATTGTTGATGACTAGCGACGCTCCAAGGCCGATAGTATAGGCATTGGCGGTATTTGCCGGGGTTCCGCTCTGGCACACCCGCATGCCGGTGGGGCCCGTGGGGTTGAAGCTCTGAGCATCCACAAAGCACCAGAGCAATGTCACCAGCAGCCACGCCAAGCGGACATGGGCTGGCCATGCATTCTTGGGAGGCCTCGGCAGCATGTTTGTCCTTGCAGCGCTGTAGCTCATGGTCCGCGCCGATTTTGGGATCCGAGCTGGATATTTGACTGGAAAGTACGCAACTGGTGCTGGCGGGGGAGGGATATCGAGCCCGAGGACGCCGCTGCGAGCCAGGTGCAGGCGGTGGGCGGCGAGCAAGAAAGGGCGGCGGATTCTGCCGTCCTTCCAACCAGGATCCCCACTCCATCTTATATAGGTGCTTTGGCAGCCGCCTCGTCTTTCGAGACATATTGCATGCGACGACGTCACTCAAACTGCCCAGCACGATAGCACGTCATGACAATCACCTGTGGATTCGACTTTAGCACCCAGCAGGTCAAGGCGGTGATCGTGGACAATGCGACGTCGTCCGTGATTGATGAGGCAACCGTGCACTTCGATGACGATCTGCCACATTACAGGTCTCGGACGATATGTTTGCAGCCATATGAGACGCTTGCTTCTCAGTGCCGGCAATCACTCGGTGGCCGCCATGGCTGAGCCCATCTCTCTGGCGCTTCTAGGACAGTTGGCGGCTGCATACAGGACGGCCTGCGGGTCACATCGCCGACGCTGATGTGGGTCGAGGCTCTGGATCTGGTCCTGAACCGCATCCTGAGGAATGGAGTCGATATGTCCAAGATCCGATCAATCTCGGGCTGTGGCCAGGTAACCAACTTGTGCTGGAATCTAGGGTGGCCCTCGATGTCCCCACTCACCTGGATTGTCATGGACGGCGGCGCAAACGCTGAATCTAGATGCGGCTTCGATTGAGAGCAGGCTTCTGAGCCTCGATGATGGCGCTGGCCGATTGTTCCATCTTTGTCCCAAGCTGATCGCACTGTGCTCACATCGCTCTCCCTCCTTTGCCGACACCCGCAACTGGAAATCCTGCAACTTATCCCTCGTCGCCACCGGGTTGGACGGGCTGTCCTTTGGCTTTGCCGTGAATGATCCAGCAACATGGGAGTGTCTACTGGAAGCTGGGATCCCACAAGCTCCTCCAGAATCTATCACCCCATAGGCCGTTGAGAGACCAGCTGGCGAGCGCCTTCGCCACCAACGACTCGCCCATCTGGCAAGATTCGAGGTACGCCCACCGCTTGCTTGGAGAAGGATGCCAGTGCAGAGGCGAGCTTTGGAATGCAGGCAGCTTGCTGCACGATGCGCCGAGCCGCTATGATCTGAGCAGTGCGGCATGGCTCTTTTGCCCCCTCGTCCTCCCAATAGCACCCACAAGCAATGCGAAGAAATAGAGGCGGCCAAAGGCGGACCTGAACGACTCGCTGAGATTACCGGATCGCGCGCTTACGAGCGGTTTACGGGCGAACAGGTACCGGGAGTACGACTGCTGCAAGGTGTCAGGAGGGCTGGGTCTCCAGAAGCCGTCGGCCACGCTCAACGATTGCAGTTGACGCTTGTAGCTCGCAGGTGCTGGATTGACGATATGCTCACTTCCTCGGCTTTGCCAACAGATTGCAAAAATCGCGAACGAACAGCCCGCGGTTTACTCTCGGTGCGAACGAATCTCGCTTGTCAGCTCCTTTGCGGCGTCGATTCTGATTGGCGGCTACGCCGGAATCGATATGGCCGACGGAAGCGGCATGAACCTGCTCGATATTTCGACTCGCACGTGGGATGAAGATCTTCTCGAGTACTGCGGTGGCCCGGAGGGCCCGAAGGCTCTGAGACGTCGCCTTGGCGAACCTGTTTTGTCGCAGTCGGTGCTCGGATCCATCTCCCGTTACTTTGTCGAGCGATATGGCTTCGATCCAGGTAGGCTCGGAGCGCATGGATGGACGCCCTTGGCGGGCCCTGAATGATGGCTGTTTCAGTCGAACGAAGCATGCGACCTCAGCTACCCGACAGCTGTGTCGAGAGGGATCGCCATGATATGGATAGTGCTGCTCCTCATGGTATCATGTCGGTCAGCGCCTGAACTTGAGCTGGGGCTCACTTTGATGGCGTATCCGATCGTAACTGACCATCGGACCTGTCCGGCCAACAAACCAACAATAGAATGCAAGATCGTGGCATTTACCGGCGACAATCCTTCGACGCTGGCCAGCTTCCCAACCCAGGACGGCGATGTGATTGTCTCGCTTGGGACAAGCGACACTGTGTTCATGACCCTCTCGAAGCCCCGGCCCTCCCTGGACGGGCATGTCTTTTGCCACCCGCTCTACAGCCAAAAGTTCATGGCCATGCTATGCTACCGCAACGGGTCGCTGGCTCGGGAGAGGATCCGAGACAAGCACGCCGATGGCTCCTGGGATCGCTTCAACTCCGTCGTCGAGCAGCATGAAGCCGGATGCGGCGGACGGGTTGGGTTTTACTACTTTGATCCTGAAATCACCCCGCGGGCACACGGGGTCTTCAGGTTCGAGGACCACAGACTTGTGCCCGAGTTTCGGCTCGACCCATCCGAGAGCCCCTACGATCCGCGTGCGATCCTGGAAAGCCAATTCCTCTCGATGCGATACCATGCCGAAGCCATCGGACTGTCTCCAAAACGCATTGTTGTAACGGGAGGTGCCTCGGGCAACAAGACCATCGTGAAGGTGCTCTCGAATGTGTTTGGTGTGCCTGTGCTTCAAACGCAGCAGGTGAACTCGGCCGCCCGCGGGGGTGCACTGAGAGCAGCGATGGCGCTTGATTCCGAGATGTGTCTGGATGAGCGATCCCTGCTCTTGGCTGCTGTGCCCGACACCAATTACAGCAATCTCTATTCAGCCATGTTGGATGAATACGCGCTGCTGGAAAGAGAAGTCTGTGTTCTCGGACAATTCTAGTTTCAGAGACGCTTTTATGTCAAAGGACAGCTGAGCTGCGAAAGAGATCAACAACCGAGTACCCTGGACACATGTAAATAAAGGCCACCTGCGGCATACCGATGCCCCTTCAGAGTGGAGCGGAGATATCCCAGCTATCACGGAAAGTGTTGCGCGCCACATTGATTGCAATTGCATCCTCGAGCTGGATGATATATGGTCATTGTGAATGGCGGATGTGTGGATTCATATCGATAAAGTAATTCTGTGGGCACTGTATTTGAGAAGCACTGCATTTCCGTCGTCCCTTCGTTCTCATGACTGTCGCGGCTTGGTGACTTGCGTGAGGGCTGGGGCAGCCTTGGCATACTCACTCCTCATTTGTGCTATAATTGGCATCATCGTCGTCGTCATCGTATTCGTCGTCATAGTTGTCATCGTCATGATCGTCGTCGTCGTCGTCATCGTTTCCACGATGGCCTTCATCGTGAGCAACCCATGACATTTTTGGATAGTCGATGTAGACTTTGCCCAGGCTGTTCATTTGACGATATTCGTTGAGCTTCCGAACTTGGCTGTCTTGGTCCTTGGTATGGTGGTCTCGACACATGATGACGGTGGCAAGGTTTGCGAGCCGAAAGAGAGGCTCGAGCGTATCGACATGCGCACAGCCCCGAAGGTTGAGGATCCTGAGCTTTGCCAGCTTCGAGAGCGCCGAGATCGAGGGAATCAGGACACATCCCAGCAAGCTGAGGTCAACCAGATTGACGAGGGTCTCGAGAGGTTGGACTGAAGCCACGGACGCACACATCGTGAGGTCCAGATGGGTTAGGCTGGCGAGGCGGGCCAGGGGAGCAATCGATTCAATTTGGCCACATCCAACCAGAATGAGGTGAGTCAGATTTGGAAGGCCTGAGAGGAATTCGAGAGACGCCAGCGAGCTGCATCCGCTAAGATCCAGGCACTGGAGCGGAGAGGCCGCTGGAGCTTGTGGCGAAGCAAGCTGATCAGGAAGCAAGCCCGGCGAGACCTGCAACAAATCAACCCCATTGGGATCGGCAGACTCGAGCTCGGTCTGGGGTAGATCGGTGGGAGCATGAGGTTCCTCGGTCGCCCCACAGAGCCGACCCGAGCTCGGAATGGTTCGGAGTTTGGGGCAGGACAACTCTATGTGCTGAGAGACGGAGAGTAGAGTACCGAACGACAGCGGCAACCGGCGGAGCCTGTGTGATTCAATGGCAATGTGGATGGGCCTCCAAAAACAAACGGTCTCTGGGAGCTGGGTGCAGCCGTGGACATGAAGGAGCTCGTACTCGTCCATTTCGTGGAGACCAACGTCGTCGGGCATGGTGCCATGGATGACCCAGTTGGAAAGCGTCCTGGAGTCTTGGGCGGCGAACTCTGGTGCATGTCGCCAGCGCGCGGCGAGCGCTGCTTGGTGGTTCGTCGCCAGGTGCTTCATTGCAGCAGAGATACGAGGCGACAAAACGGCGGCCTTCCAGATCTCGGACTCGCAGACATACGGAGTGGCACGGGTTCGACGCAGGAACGCATCTGCGGCGATCACAGCAGCACGATGGCCATTGTCGAGCTCGGCGGCCGAGAGGCGAAAGTAGGCCCGAAAGAGTCGCCGCCAGTAGGGCGGTTGATCGAGCTGCCTTCGGAGACGCTTCGAGACGGCGCACAGCTTTGTCCACTCGACGGGACCGAGGTCGTCGATGAGCAGCCCAGCGGCCACAGGGGTATGGTCAAGCAGGAAGGACATGGAGCAGGGCGCAGCGGGGTCACCAGCGGGAGGGCGAGTGGATCGAGACGGAGCAGAGTGGCGGTCGCCAGAGGAGCGGGATTTCATGGGCAGGGCAGGGCTGGGGTTGCCCGGGCGGGTTGCCGGGCTGGGGTTGCCGGGGTGGGGTTGCCGGGGTGGCGCGTCGTGTTATCCAGCGGGCACGTGGACAGACACATGACCTTCACTGCCCCCAAGACCCTTCCTCTCCTGGCTGTCTCCACCGCGCGGGCCCCGGTCGACTTCGACGCTTCGACGCCCCTGAAGCCAACCGAAAGCCCCGTCCTTTGCCCTCAAGGTTCGAGCCGCTTGCTTTGTCGCTTCGATACCGTCAAGGGTGCTGGCGGGTCGTTTCGTCTGTCGTTGCTGCTTGCCTCTTGAGCGCCACTGCGGTCAGGGGAAGGGGACTTTGTTTCGCCTTGCGAGAAAGCATTCCCCCCCCCAGCATCACCGGGCAGCTGCCGGACTGACCTTGCCCAATGGCCGTATCCCCTGACTCGCCAATCGACGGTAAATGCAGCATGACACCTCCCCTGGTTGCCCTCTATGCCCTTGGCTCGGCTGGTGATGTTCTCCCGATGATCGCTCTGGGTCGTGCCCTACAAATCCGGCGTGGCTACCGAGTCCGAGTGATCGCAACCGAGAAATGGCGACAGCGCATCTCCGAGGAAGGGCTCGAGTATTTTGATCACCAGGTCTGTGTCATCCCAGTCTCTGCGCCGAGCGACGGCTCTCATCTGTCTGTATATGTCACTGAAGTAGCCGATAGCGCTTCGTCGCTGCTGTTATTGTTAACGCCTGTACAACAGTCGAAGGTGCTGTGAGCGGCCACCTGAAGGCTCTGCATGTCGTCTGAACCGGTCTCTCTTTCACGTCCAAGGGCGAGCCAATCATGTGTACGAGCGACGGATACGACCCCAACGAAGTTGAGTCACTCGTTGCCAACAGAGGAACCGTGGACGGCTTCAGGGCCCTCATGAGGGTGAGTATCGGTCATGGCAGCAAGCCAGGCGGATGTCGCTCGACGGCTTGCTGCTGTCGCTCGCCGTGCTTCGTTTTGCGCTGGACAGTCGCACCGGCTCAGTCGAATCCATTTCTCTTGACACCTGCATCAGGCATCCGTCCCCATCCTCGAGTTCCTGTACAAAACGGCTGACCGACATCTCGACGGAGTCAGCCTCGCCATTCTGATTCACGTCAGCATTCTGCTGCAGGACGATGTAAAGTATCAGACTCGGCTGCTGTTGGTTCTCCCGTTCATAGTATCGATGCCGCTGCTTGTCTTGTTGACGAAGGTGTGGGCAGCGAGCTGGTGCTTGCTGTGCTTGTTGTGCTTGCTGTGCTTGCTGTGCTTGGATCAGTTGCTGCCTGTATTCACTATCTATGGATCTATTCCTGTGAATGCGGTTCCTCAGTGCCAGAAGCGATCCATACCCTTCATTTCGTGCCATTTCCAGCCAGGCCGAGCCACCCAGGATTATCCTCCGCCGTTTCTGGGCCAATGCTACGATCCCGTTGATCTGCAAGCGACCGCAACCAATATGATCAGCGTATGGCAATAACTGCATTTGGATGCCGAGCAGTGACATCCTGGCTGGGGCCGCGCTCGTAGAAACCTGGTATGGGCTTGTACTGAGGATTGAGCGGAGGGTATTTCGGTCTAACGCTTCTGCCGTATATGCAACTTGGTCGTCCAGTGGGGGATGAGCGGTCTCCAGGCACTCTCCATTTTCTCGCGAATGCGCCAGGAACGCCGTGTTGCCATCGGCCTGCGTCGGTCGCTGCTGCCTCCATCGATGACGGTATACTATGACCTCGCCGTAGCCATCTTTGAGCATCGCAGGACCGAGGCAGCGATGCCGTATCTGTGTACTTTTAGCACCGCTCTCCTACCGATTCCGTCGGATGTGTAAGTTCGGCCAGCCAGTCGTAGCTACCATGGAACTGGCTGATAATCCTTCGAGGGCGGTTGAGCTTTTCCTGACTTGCCATATCGCTCGTTCACAGCCAGATGCACGATTGCTTTGTCCAAACTGGCCCGCTGTTGCTGGATCATGAACAATGCGCCAAACCCTTTTCTCCACCAAAGGATCTGGTGAGCTGCGTTTTGCTTTTGCATTTGGATGGATGCATCAAGGGGAGGCGGCGCCCCTGATGCGGTGGTCGACCGCCGCACTTTCTGACTCGGGTAGTCTTGAATCTCATCCAGGAGTCGTTCCTTGCTACCGGCACCATCGTTTATTTCGGATACGGCTCACTCCAGAAGATCGGCCCATCCTCAACCAAGGAAATCGATCATATGTCCGCCTGGCTCGACACCATCCAAGAACTCGAGTTTCTGGGTGTCAAGGTCAAAGCCATCTTTTCGTTTTCCTGGGGGCACGACGACGTCACGCTGGACTCGGCGAGCACCAAGTACGTCGCGCTGCGCCATCGTCTCGACGAACTGATCAAGGAGAAGCGGGTGTATCGGCTGCTGGGGTCCTTCCCACACACCTTCTTGTTTCCTCGATGCCACGTCGCCGTCCACCACGGCGGCGCCGGGACCTTCCAGGCTGCAGCCAAGTACGCCTTGCCTTCGGTTATCGTGCCTCATTTCATGGACCAGCCATTTATGGCCTCGGTTGCAAAGCACCACGGCATCGCCACAGTCATTGACCTGGATGAATTTTCGACGCACCGCTTGGTGGAGGGCCTGAAGGATATCCTTGTTGATCGCCCCGATTTCTACGAGGAGAATTGCGATTGGATTGCAAGTGAGATGGCGCGAGAGGATCCCATGAGCAGCGCCGTTGAGTTGGTGGAGAAAGTTCTTGCCAAATAGCAGCTTCATCAGTCGATCGACGGAGCAAAAGCTGAGCGCAAATGACTGGACGGCGCACTTTGGCTGTGCTTCGATCGAGCATGCCGCAAGAGATTCTGGGTAGTTGCAGGGAAGAGAAAGGAGTAATGGCGACAAGTGCCGCCGAGGGGCTCAAGTAGTCCTGGAACCAATTTATCGCTGTATTAGGGTGTTGTCTGCAATCTTCTATGACTTTTGGATTTAGTACCAGCGAATGCAAACGCTTCGGCTGTAATACAAATAATGGCTATGAAGAACTGTTGGTGGTTACGTTATCGATGCAGCAATATGATGTGTTCAGCAAATAGGACTCGAACAAGATATTGGGGATGCTGTAACTCGGATGTGGACAGCCAGGTGGCAGTTGATTGCAATATCAAGTGGGAGTCGTACTTGCAGCAGATCAAGTTCCAACGACGTGCTGACATCATGTCTATATTCAGAGAGAATCTGGATACGACAATGCTGTATCAGCTACCAGCAACCAAGCCGTAAATACCCGTTTCCGCGGGTATATCTGGCTGTCGAGAAAATGGATGGAAAAGCGCCGGCGCAACCGAAAGAAGGCGACCGATAGTGCTGTTCCTCTGGTCTGCTCGGCTTGAAGAAAACATGCTGAAAGTCCAATGTGGATGAGCAAAGGTAGGTTTTGATACGGACGCAAGGTTCTCGCGAGGACAATGAGTATTTTCGCTCGCACAACCCCTATTTGCGTTCCTCGAATAGGACATCAACGCCGTCCTTGTAGCCTTGGGTGATGGAGAAGACAACCCGCAGCTGACTGGGATCCAGAATCTTGAAGGTATATCTTTGCAGAATACGAATCACAAATATCTGAGGAGCAATGGATGTGTTAGGAATTATATGGTGTCCTGGGCTGAGCTCCCAGCCCTTGATATAATCCAAGCAGTGTCAGGCAATAGGCTGCTCAATGGTATGGAAAGCCGACCAAAGCCGACCGGCAGGCCACAGCGTTCACCTTTGTTTCGATGTTGGCCATCTTCTGTCCAATGCAGTTCATTGGTCCGTCACCAAAGGGGATGAAACTTCCTGGATAGGGTGGGCTGAGCCATCTCTCTGGGATATATTCCTCTGGATCGGTCCAGTACTTGGGGTTACGATGGAGGTGGGATATCACCAAGTCGACGTCGGTCTGTGTCAGCAAGAGTCCAATCGGGGCGATGTGTTAAGAATATGAGATAATGGCACGCTATGGCACGCTATGGCACGCTATGGCTGCTGGCTGCTGGCTGCTGGCTGAGGTGTCAGGGATTTGGGCGCAGAGTCTGAAGAGCCCACCGAAATTCCGTTGCGCTACGCACCCCACGCTTGACGGGATAGCCGAGGATCTGAGTGTCCCTGATGGCACGTCGGGACATGAGAGGAGCCGGTGGATACATGCGAAGGGTCTCTTTGACCACCATGTCAATGTACCTGTGTGATCGGAGGGTGATCAGAAAGGCCACATTCATGTCCAGGCTCTAGCGGTGCAAGTGCAAGTGCAAGTGCAAGTGCAAGTGCAAGTGCAAGTGCAAGTGCAAGTAAACCAGCCGCTTACTTGAACTGCGAGAGTTGGTCGTGAGTTGGGACTCCATCATGGCCCAGGAGGTCGTCAACCTCTTGTCGGGCTTTCTGACACACGTGCGGGTGCTTCAGAAGCTCGATGAGAACAAATGTGATGAGATTGGCTGTGGTACTGGATGTGGATGGATGTTAGATCATGCCACAAGATGCGCTCGCAGTCCACACCCATCGACGTGGGCCTGATACTTGCTCATGTCCAGCCAAGAAGAAGCCTACAATCTCGTCCATGATCTCTTCCTCGGTGAATTTCTGGGAAGAAAGTGAGCGGCAAAAGTTGAGTCTCTCTCAACTCTATCAAAAACACACTGGTCCGACTCGACCAACGCAGGACATTTGCAGCTCCGCCCCCCCCCCGAAACTCGTCACTAAATGGGAAGCCCTGAGTGGATGTATTGCACATAAACCCAGAGGTCTCTCGCGGACCCAAGCTATGGACTGGGTTTGGAACCCCACGAGCAACTTACTGCCTCTCCAGACGTATCGACAAAGAGCAGGCGGTCCATGAGGTCCTCGTGCATCCTGGGTGTGGGGGAGCTTCGACGCTCTTCAAGTGCCTGGCGAGTGAAATCCTTAACGGGCTGCGAATCTTTGATGCCAGCCTGGAGTCCAGCGCCAATAATGTCCCAGAGCCATTCGGCCACATCGAAGCGGTCGCTGATGACTTGAGTCAGGTGCTTGTAAGGGAGAAAGGCTTCCTCGAGTTCAGAGGGGTGATCGAGACGAGCGGTCATTCCGAGATCCTTCGAAAAGGCGATGCCACCGCTGTCGGCGGTGGCATCGAGCGAGCGACACCGAGTCAACGACACCGAGCCGGTTAATGAATGGTGCGTGTGTGCGTCATGCAACGTGCTTGCTGAGAGTTGCTATCGACGAAGCATTGTGATGGCGTCGGGTTTCCAGCTTCGTCCACAGCCAACAACAAATGATTCCAGCAGACGGTGCTTACATGACGTCGAGGACAACGGCGTTTGTAACGAGATGGGCATTGACCTTGGCGCGGGCTCCAAGCTTCGCGATCATCAGTTCCACATATTGGTTGGTGGCATCTGCAGCCGCTCGCAGCTGGACGGGACCAAAGCTGGGCTGTAGGAATTTGCGGTGTCGTTTCCATATATCGCCCGATGGAAGCGTGAACAGAGCGTAATATGCAATTCCTCTGATGGATACGCCGACAGTCGATGAGATCAGCATGTCGAGAGGGAGCTGTGGGCTTTGCAGATCTTGGATGCAACTCTGTCGGGGGAGGCATAGCAAAGAGAAGAAGGGTGGGGGGGGGCAGAACTGCTTACTTGCTGCAGTTCTGGAAGTCGTTGGAACGAGCAAAGTCCGAGTTGTCGTCGCCTTTGAGGACTCGCTTGACCTCGTCCGCATCGGAAAGCAGAACATCAATGTGGTTCAGGATCTGCACCTGACTGATGGGCCCATATTTTCGCTGGATCCCATGAAAATAGAGGTGGACATCTCGTCTGGCAATGTGCCTATGGGGCGGCGGATCTGGGTCAGGATCTGGGTCAGCAGAGAGTGGCTCTGTTCGAGCCGGTTTCTGGAAGGGCATTGAACTCACTTGCTCAGAGCCAAGAACTCGCCGATGAGAGGCCAGCTCTTGGGTCCTGGGATTCGCTTGCGGTCGTTGAACGAAGCAGTCGCAATGCAAACGCCGGCAGCAACGATGGTCGCAGCAAGGAGTTGGGCGCTGTGCTGCCTCACGAATGCAGCGCTGCCCTCAACAACGGGCTTGACGCCTATATAATCGAGCATGAGAAAGGGGAGCAGCGGGAATACGGTTGGATCGGCGTGAATGTGGTGCTTGGGTTTTGCGGACAGACCACGGACAGAATGGGGACAATCGGCTCGACCGGCTGGCGGGGAGTCTGAATGTCCGGAGCCCCAGACTGTGATCCAGGCGCCGCCCCGTGAAAACGGCGGGCTGATTGGCAAGGCCTGGTTCAAGAGGGCGGTTTGATGGAGATGACATCGACTTGATGAAGCGATGAACCAGTTCGCTGTGTTACAGCGTTCTCAAAACGAAATGAGACTTCCACATCGAGTGCATTGACCACACTCCAATATCGAGTGTATTCAAGACCGCGCTCCCGAATCAGTCAACCAATACAATTGCCAACGAGCACAAAAGTGCAATCCCACGACCTGCCTCTATCGGGGATCGCAAATCACTCAGGGACACACGACGTCGTTTCGTTTGGGATACGCTATATTCAGGTTTCGGTATTGAGAAAATAGCCATCCATCTGTTCGTTAGGACGGTGGTCATTTCTCGTTGCACACGACATAGAATTGAGGCAAGTTTCTACATAGATATAGACGGACTGTAGGGCGACAGGGGGAACCTTAAGGCCTCGAAGGGCCTGTGAGTGAGTCGGAGGGCGGAGTGCAGAGGAGGAATCGAGTCTCACCCTCCCATGCAGCCCCTGCTCAACCTTTGGGCTCTAGGAATATAGATGGAGAGCGCATTTAAGGAGCAGCGGCGGTGATGGCGATCTTGGAGACAGTGACACCGGTCAAGGCAGTTCCGGGGTCCGAAACAAACTCGAGGATGATCTCGGCAACCGAGTCGTCAATGACCCAGGTCTGGCTGACGACACGGGGAGTGCCGTTGAGGTTGCCATCGGCCTTGAGCAGCTGGGCGACCTGGCCGCTCTTGTTCTTGGCGTAGACGTAGAAAAAGTCATAGGTGGCCTCGGCATCGACGGTGGCATTGATCGAGAGCTGGTACTTGCCGGCGGGGAGCTGGGTGAAGATGGTGAAGGAGGTGTCGACGTTGTCGGCATAGAGACCGGTCTTGGGATCGACGGCGATCTTGAGGGCGCCGTCCTTGAGGATCCAGCCCTGGCTAGCAGGGGAGGTGGGGTTGTAGATGCCGGCAAAGCTGGGGATCTGCTGGAAGTCGTAGTTGAAGGGAGCAGAGGAGAGCTTGGCCGAGGGGACGATGCGGAAGAGGCGGTTGGTCTTGAGGACAGCGTCGCCGCGGGAGTTGGTGCCGGAAATGGTGGCGGCAAAGGTACCAAGAGTGCCGGGAATCTGGTAGGTGGAGTTGAGGGTGAAGTTGGACTTGCTGGTGGGGGCCTTTCCGGCGAGCGAGCCGACGACGGTGCCGTTGACGGTCAGCTTGAGGTTCTGCAGACCCTGTCGGACACCCGAGATGGACAGGGTGGAGCCGACAGCGATATCACGGGTGAAGGGCTCAGCGAGGAAGTAGAGGCTGCTCTGGCCAGTCTGATGGCCAAGGTCCTTCAGGGTGGAGGCAATAAAGTCAAACTGGCTGAGGGCCTTCTTGCCCGAGAACAGATCGTCCCAGGTGGGGCGGAGGGTGTACTCGGAGAAGACACCGTCGTCCTCGATGAGGGCGCCGCTGTTGATACCGTTGCGGACGGTCTGTCTCCATCCGACACGCATATCGGCCTTGCCGAGACCGCCGTTCTGAGCATTGAAGGTGGTGTAAGGCAGAGGGCTGAAGATGCGGGTGCCGTTGAAGGCATCGTGGTTCACGGTGCCAAAGTACTGAACCAGGTACGAGGCGTGCTCGACGACGTTGGCACCGCCTGCGCCGGTCTGGCCGTCCTGGCCAAAGATGTAGGCAGTTTGGCTGTCCTGCATGTTGGCGGAGAACATATCACACGACGAGAAGCACACGGCGTCGTTGAAGATGGCAACGGGCTTCAGGTAAACGTTGCCATACTGGTTGACGCTGTTGAAGTCACCAAAGTAGCCGACATCTCCATACTTGGCCTTCTTGGTGAGACCAGCATCGTAGGCAGTGACCCACTGGGGGCCAGCGACGAGGGGAGCAACGGGGCTGTGGAACATGGCGGTGTTGGTGTCGGAGATCAGAGCACGGGCGCCGTTCTGGACAAAGTCGGGCTTGAAGAGCTGGGGAATGGAGTTGGCCATGGTGATGATACCGCCACCGTTGGAGCGGATGTCAAAGACGACGGCATCGGTATCAGCGAGCTCGTTGACGAGGAGACCGCGGATCAGAGCAATGATGGCGGGAACAGAGGTGCTGGGTTGGAAATCAGCCAGGAAGATGACACCGAGGTTGGCACCGTTCTCCTTGTAGATGGTCCACTTGAGTTTGGTGTCAGGAGTGCTCTGGTAAACGGGAGCGACGTTGCCGGCGGGGAAGACCTCCTTGAACTCGGCCAGGATGGGGTTGATAAAGTCGGTGTTGGGTTCCAGATGGGGAATCTTGGGGGTGACGACCTCAGCCTCGCCCAAGAAGTCGTTGACGGTGGCCTGGGGGTTCAGGATGGGGGCCAGGCAAGCCAGGGACAGGCGCGAAAAGTACGGGACCTTGATGGTGATGAGCTGGCCCGAGGGCTTCTTGAAGACAAAGGTGCGGTTGTCCTCCTCCTCGGTGGGCAGCGGGTAGAAGATCGAGGCACGGTAGACCAGGATGTTGGCAAAGTTGCGCATGCCGCCCATGTCGTTGGCGCCCTGGGTCTTGTCCTGGTACTGCTCGAAGAAGGTGGGGCCGAACTCGACGCTGTCGATGGAGACGAGCTCGTCGCCGGGGGTGATCTGCTTGATCTGGTTCATCAGGTCGGCACCAAAGAACGAAGTGGGGTCAACGGCCGGGCCGTACGAAGCCAGGCCAGAGACCACCACGACGGGGTTCCAGTAGTCGTCGTTCTGGAGAAAGTCGAAGGACCAGGGCAGGATGGAGCGGACACAGCCGTAGGGGGCAGGGATGTAGTAGTTGGTGTGCTGGTCGCGGGCGGCCAGGAAGAGGGCAGCAAGATCCTCGTGGAACTTGACATCGCTGGTGTAGGACTTGTAGTTCTTGGTGATCTGGTCCTTGACGGGGATGGCGTCAAAGCCGTACTGCCAGAGCAGGGGGTGTCGTCAGTATTAGTCCAGCCATCGATCCTGGCACGCAGAGCTGTGGGAGCCAAAGGAGGCAGCGTGGGAAGGGGAAGACGAGGAACCTACGTGTTGGATCTTGGAGTCGCGGTTGGCCCAGATGTCAAAGAGCTTGTCGACCTCAGCAGCAACCTGGCCACGACCAGTCTCTCCGAGAGGCAGGACCGAGGTCAGGACGGTGTTGCGGATGTTCTTGAGGGGACCGACAATGTAGTTGCCCTGGATGGCGACCTTCTTGGCGCTGATCAGGCTGTTGAGGCCCTGGGTGAAGTTGAGGGAGTCCTGGGCCAGGACAGCAGGCGCGCCGAGCAGGGCAGCGGCAGCCAGAACCGACTTGAAGAGCATCTTGGCCGTGGAGGAGGAGGGGTGGTGGTGATGAGGATGGTGCGGTGCGGCAGGACGGCGGGGAGCGGGGCGAGATTTATAGCGTTTGCAAGCCGTTGCGGGTGCAGAACCGTCCACGGCCTTGCACGACATGTCTGTGCAATGGCCCACGACGACAATAGAGTTTCTGGTACGCGTGACTGTGTGCCTTGCTCGGGCAAACAAGAGGTGCGACAGGCTGGGGGGCACCCGTCGGACGACAAAGAGGGCGGCTCCGCACAGTGAGCCAGCCTTGCTGGTACAGTGTAACCTGGCAAGACACAACGAATAGGGCTGCTTGTGAGCATCAATGAAGCAGCTTGGGTGGTGGTGCATGACTTGCAGTGCCAATGAGTGGCCGTCCGCATTGTGAATAGATAAGGCGGACATCTCGGTGATCAACGACCAACTCGATGGCTGGCATCTGGGTGACGGGGGCTGGCATATGGTCGTGGTGTGCGGGCAACCCCTCGTCGCACAGGGCTGTCGTCGAAAGAGGAGTGTCCTGCTGCTCCCACGGACCTCGTTGAGCGCGAGCCCATTTGCAAGCAGTGTCTGTACCCCCATGGTCCCAGGCGCGTATGTATATACAACATGTCCAGCTGTACACGCTGTCAAGGTCCCTCATGGTGCCACACACTGCACCACCCGGAGCAGGTGATCACATGGACATGACTGTGCCACGAAAGCGGCTCCCCAGGTCTTGTTGGTCATGGGGGATCGCGGTTTTCCCGCTGGTGGGCTGGTTGGTTGGGTGGGCCACATGGCTCGCGCACGGCCAGCCGCCTCCAACCTTACGCGGTGGGTCAAGACCGGTGGGGCGGCGCACCGTCTGGCTCTGGGTTCAACCCAAACCCACCAGCCCACTTGTGAGATGCTTTCTGGGTCTGAATCGAGGACGCCACTGTGCAGTATCACTCCCTGCCCAAAATGCGCTGGTTTTGAGGAGAATTTTTCTTCCCCAAGGGCAGAACCAGCCATGGTCGCTATTTTCTCGCGCAGATGGCTCCCCGCAAGCGAAAGACACCAGCCAGGCGACCAAGTGGATCCAGAGCACCCACAAGATCCTTGGTCTGCAGCAATGGATGAGCACCACACCAAGTCCCAAGATCCCTGGGTTGGATCCCTTCCTGCAATACATCTGCCATGTGTTCGATGGAGACATGCTGGACAAACAGCTGTACTTCAGCCTGACCCGGCGACGGCGGTTCAAGCGACTCGATCTCCACAGCAAGCGACAGCGCACCGTCCACGAGATGTGCAAGCGAGTCATCGACCAGGCACCACCGGAGACCGAAGTGGTGATTGCCTTTGGGAATGCATCCTGGAAACAGGGGAAGGGATATGCATCCAGTCCCAGGAGACTCAGGTTTGCCAAGTACTTTGAGCAGTTCCACCACCACCAGAGAGGCCCACCAGACCGATCCGTCTCCAAGATCCGTGTGTGCTCGGTGAACGAGTTCAACACGTCCCAGGTGTGCTCACATTGTCGGGAAGCCAAGCAACTCGAGAAGGTCGAGTATCTTGATATCGAGAAACCACACTTTGTCCGGAGCTGTGCAAGCTGCCATACGCTGTGGGATCGAGACATCAATGCAGCCAGGAACATGATCTCGGTATGCCAGTCGATCATCGCCACAGGAGATCGACCGGGTGTATTCAAGACTGTGCTCCCGAAACCAACCAAAACCACTCGATTGTCAACGAAGACAGGAGTGCAATGCCATGGCCTACCCGCTGGGCCTACAAGTCAGTTAGCGGGCTTCAGAAGCCATAAAGTGACTGTCCCGTTTCTTTCTGGATAGACTGTAAGTATATTGAGTATTTCGACAGTGGATGCCAGGTCGCCCATATTCTGGGCAGTCCACTTCGGGGTTGCCATCCCTCTTGGTCGATGGGAGGTGTTTGACTCCCTTGCAAAGTGTGTGTGTGTGTGTGACGGCGAGAGGCTTCTCGCCTTCCCTCGGGGGTCTCTCGCCAGAGACTGCTCTTCTCGCCGACCGAGGTGGCTCCGAGAGCGCGTTTTTTCGTTCTCGCTCAGTTTTTTAACAAGAAATTTTTTCATAGTGTATGCCCAAGCGCCAAACGCCCATGGCAACTGAAGGGCAGGCATCACCAGGATATCATGGAGTGATCCACGGATATCGAGACAATATCGGCGAGGCCATCAACGATTTTCATTCGGTTTGAACCAGAGGCAGTCCTGACCAGTTGAGCCCCCACAGGATCAAGAAGCTCGACCTCAACATGCTCGTGGAGCGGTTGCTGGATGCAGGTGGGTTGGCGAGAGGGGCCGTCAGACTCTGCTGGTGATGTGGTGACGGACACCGCGAGTATCAATCGATCAGCATCAGGATTTATGGGACAGCACCGATTTGTATATTGGATGTATTGGATCTATTCAGTGTCAAATACAACACCACCCTACTTCCCATCATTGGAACGACACTGCAAGTGCACAATTTGGTATTCCTGTGTCTGGGATGGGTGTTGGCGGCGCGGTTTGCTTGGCTACGATATGGTTGTTCGGGAGTGGGACTCGGAGGAAATCGGGGGTCACGGCCACTTGCCGAGGCTCTTGAGTCTGATGATGGCATTCCAGTCATCCTGGTCGGCGGACTTGCGGTACCAAATAATGGCCGTGTCAAAATTACTGGGGACGCCACGGCCGTAGAGGTAGCAGAGGCCGAGCCGCTCTTGTCCGTTCCGATTACCCTGTTCGGCCGATTTGCAGAACAACTCGGCTGCCTTGGTGAGGTCCTCGGTGACTTCGTGTCCCCAGTAGTAGCACTCACCGACCATCCACTGTCCATATGAGTTGCCTTGGTCGGCCGACTTGCTGAACCACTCGAATGCCCTTTCTTTGTCCTTCGATACTCCCTCGCCGTGAAGGTAGCACTCTCCGATCCAAAACTGGCTGTCACTGTGGCCGTCCTTGGCAAGCTGTTCAAAGATGCCAGCTGCCTTGGTCTGGTTCTTCGTGGTTCCGAATCCATAGTACAGGCATGCGGCCATGAGATGCTTACACAGCCAGTCTCGGTTCAATCCTAGCTGGCACAGCTCGAAGAACTTGCGGGGTGCCAGTGAGTCCGACTTGATGTCGTTCTCCAACGATGCCAGGCACTCGCCTTCTCCAAGCTTGAACTCATCTGATTCGTTCTCTCGGATGATCCTGACACCTTTCTGCATGTCCTGGACAGTGCCTCGGCCGAGATAGTGCATCCATCCGACCATGTGGGTGGCGATGGGTTTGAGAACTGAGTTGGTAGAGTGGGAGCTGACTTCCTGCCAGCGATTGAGGGCATCAGCGTCACTCTGTTCAATACCATGACCGATGAACGAGAGCCATCCACGGAGAAACTCGATATGGAGTCGACCATCGTCGCTGCCTTGGTTTGAGGCCTTGGAATACCACTCGATGGCTGTGTCGAAGTCTTGATCGACACCTTCGCCTGCCTCATAGCATCCACCGAGGGCAATTTGGGCTTGGGCCATACCACGATCTGCAAGACTGCGGTACAGCTCGACAGCTTTGGTATGGTCTCGGTCGACCCCGAGTCCGTTGTGATAGCACTCGGCCAGGTGGAACTGTGCCATGATATGATCGGCTTCGGCGGCCTTCTCCAGCTGGCAGAAGATTTCCTTCTGGATAGGCTCCCATTCGGACGTTCTCACAAACCGCCCGCCAGAGAGATAGACTTGAAGGATCCTTGCCAGGAAGAATGATGCGGCAGCGTTTCCCTGGTCGGCTTGATCTTCAAGCCAGGATCGGCCAGTTTTGACTGGATCCTCGCAGTGCATCGAGAGGGCAATCTGGTCGCTTGGCGCGAGGCCGATCCGCAACTGTCCGTCTGGATCGCACAGTCCTGCATTCTGGCACCAGCTGTGGAAGCGAGCCAGCTTGAAGCTCAGGAGGTATTGGGCTCGTTTGCACACTCGGAGAAGGGTCTTGATTGTGTTCAAATCAAGGGCGAGCTGGAAGCTGTCGTTGCAGCATATGATAGTGAAGATATCTGGGATGTGCTCGTCGATGGCCGGTCGAACCGTGTCAGTTGAGGGATGGACACTGGCAGCCATGATGCACGATTTGTGGATTGAGTGGATTGTGATGATTTTCAGACGATGGTGAGATGAGACGAAATGGGACGAGATGGGTGGAATGGAACGGGAGTGGCACAGTCATCAAACCAGGAACATGGTTGGATCCATGGTTCGAGTGCCAGTCAATCGCTGCTTGCCATCCACATTCCCACACATCCAGCACCCATTCATTACTGCCAGCGTTGGATATCAGTTGGTTTGGCAGCAACTCACCCACCGAGACTTACAGCGCCGTCATCCATCCAACAACTGCCACTCAATCTCATCATCGGGACCCACAGATCCGATGCGAGGACTGAGATGGAATTGGCAATCGAGACACAGGCACGGATGAGGTGTAGAGATTGTCTGATGTATTCAACCCGACTCAACTGATCTGGATAGTGGTGAATGAGTGAGTGACTGTCGACGATGTCATTGTCTTGATGGACGAACCACAACACATGGATGATGCACACAGCCGAACCCAGTCCAACTGCAGAAGGGGCTGATCCAAGGATCGGTCCTGAGCCCTCTGCTCTTCAGCGCCTTCATTGACGACCTCCCGAAACTCCTGAGGAGAGAGGGAGGAACGACCCTGACGACCACCCGCGGCATCAACATCCAGATCAACTCGCTGTGGTTTGCCGACGACGGCGCACTGATCTGCAGGCCCAGGCAAGCACAGAGATTGCTCGGCATCTGCGAACAGCACAGTATCGACAACAGATACAAGTTCTCGCCGCCCAAATGCGAGGTGATCTTCTCCGAGGGCAATCCTGAACGAGCAACCGGCCTCCGACTCTACGGCCAGCCGCTGCCCATGGCAAAGGAGTTCAAGTACCTCGGAGCCACCTTCGACGTCAACGGCCTCCAGATGGACCGACAGATCCAGCGAATGACGGCGACAGCCCAAGTAGTGGCCCAACGGATCGCAAAGCAAGGGTACACCCTCGGCAACATGACCGCCAGATCGCTGGTGCGGGTCTACAAGACCTTTGTCCGACCGACGATGGAGTATGCCCTGTCCCTCGATCTGCTCGAAGCCAAACAAGCCAAGACACTCAACCGAACCCAGATGCACTGTCTCACAGCGCTGTTCAAAGTGGTCCGAAACACATCGTGGGGAGACATCAGGGGAGGAGGCGTATAGCCGCCTTCCAGAACGACACTTTGCCGAGTATCAGTGATGTTGAGGGCAGGCGCACGCAAATAAAAGTGCGCTATTGAAACAGAAACAGAAAAAAGGATGTTTCCACCGCACACAGTGTCCAACCGCAACGCCTCGATTCATGGGTTGCGATGCCGAATCCACAGCATGCTCAGGGAGATCGCCATCTCTGTTGTGCCATGCGGTATTTCAAAGCGACTGTCGAATGCAACGACGATGTATTGACACCACAAGCCTCGGATTGCTGTTGCTGGTTCGAGGTCGTGCACGCCGGAATGCATAGTCTTTTCCTCCACAGCGGACGAGGTAACGGGCATGAGCAGGGACAAGAATTACAAGAGCAGGGACGTGATACATGGGTAGTCAAGCGGCCAGCTTGATGATTGGCATCATGAGGCAGCGAGAACGAGAGGGGGCTTGTCGCGGCGTCAATGGAATCGGGCTCAACTGGGTCATATTACGACGACCGAAACAATCCAAAGGGCCGCCATCCGCCCTTGGAGCTCTTTGATCCCTCGAGGTCGCTGGCGCTGAGCTGTTCCTTGGCCAGTTCCACAAAGACGTGGCCGAGGGTCGCCTGCGAGAACGAGTAGTCCACGATGCCATATTCAGCCTTGGATCGCTCCAGGATCTGGAAGCCGGTCGAGAGCAAAATGCAAGTATCCTCGACATAGTTGGCGGACGATTGCTTCTCGCCGGCTCCGGCCTCGGCGGGGCGCGACAGAATCGAAAGCGAAAACTCGACGCTGGAGCCGATCATCTTGGAGACAGTGCACTGGATTGGCAAACCGGGGATGCTCTGGATTTGTGTCGGCAGCCAGTCCACGAGCGCCTGGGAGCGGCTGGAGGATGAGAGCTTGACAGCGATCTTGTAGCCAGATCCATACACGTTCTTGAGTCTCTGGGACGTGCCCAGGCAGCGAAGTTGGCCGTTGATGAGGATGGCGATACGGTCGGACTGGAGTCAGGGAGGGAAAGGACGAGTGAGTGAGTGAGTGAGTGAGTGAATTCCAAGCTCGACAGTAGAGCTGCGAAAGGACAAGCAGGAAAAGCAGTCTTACCAAAGCGTCGACTTCCTCCATCGAGTGGGACTAGTATGATGGATGAAGCGTGGTAGTACAATTAACACTTGCATCGAGAGCGACAGTATTCCGTCATCTTCTGCAGCGGCCCCGCACAACGAGGTTGGAGGCTTACTGTAAGTATGATCGAGGAGCGCTCCTTGAGCTTTTCGATTCCTTGCCAGATCTTCTGGCGAATCGAGATGTCGACACCTGTCGTGGGCTCTGTGGATAGATTGAAGGTCCATAGCCGTGGATGAGCGATGCGGGACGGTTGGAACCCAGAAATGCAAACTAGCACGCTGATATCTTGTCGACCACGACTGGGCTCCTTGTCTCAGCTCCATCGAATAACCTCTCCTCCACCCACCACCCACAGCCCAGCTCAGGCTGTGTGCGAGCCTACCATCCAAAAAGACCAGCTTGGGGTCTCCGATCATCGAGATGGCAATCGACACCTTTCTTTTGTTTCCGCCGGAAAGCGTCTTGGTGAACTGATTCTGGCCGTCATCCAGGCCCATGTCGCTGATGACCTGGTCGACAGCTGCCTTGAGCTCCGAGCTTGGGATGCCGCGAAGCTCGCCGTATGCCGAGATATGCTCCCGCGGCGTGAGCTTGTCCCAAAGCACGTTGAACTGCGGACAGAGTCCGATCATGCGGCGTGCCGATGGATCAAAATGCGGACAGACAGAGTATCCGCCGATAAAGGCCTCGCCGCTGTTGGCAAAGTCGTTTCCGGTCAGAATGTTCTGGGCGAGAAAGGAGAAGGTGATGGGAATTCAGGTGTATCGATAGGCACAGCGAGAAGAGGGTCAGCAGTGGCGACATGGCGAAAGTGAAATCTCAGGTTTGATGATGAAGTGCCGGCGGGATCGTCGATACAGACTACCACAGCTGCCAAATCTAGCGATGCTGGCGAGACAAGGTCACACTAGTCTCAACATCGCGCCTATTTCAGTCGCCCACCCCACTTGCATCCAAGAGTCACTCACGATGGCAGTGGTCTTGCCGGCGCCGTTGGGACCAAGGAAGCCAAAGTACTCGTTCTTCTTGACACCCATCACCAAGTTGTTCAAGACATTGAGGGTGCGGTCGCCCGAAATTTTGAAGGACTTGTTGATGCCGCGGGCCGCCATGATATACTCCGAGTCCTCAAGAGTTCCTGCGAAATCAGGAGACATGAGCTTGGTCGTTTCGCGGAGCACCTCGGCATCCGTGACCCGGGCCGCTCCAGCAGCGCTTCCGGCTGGAACAACGATCGCTGTCGAGGGCAAATCTTCGGGGTGGATAGCGGAGCTCTCGTGATGAGTCGAAGGCGTCTTGCGAGACCTGATTTGCGAGACAACCTCGCTCAGGGCCACCAGGAATCGCTTGCCCGTGGCTTTGCGATGATGCAGCACAGCAATCAGGAACGTGTAGAGGAGAATTTGGGCGATGAAGATCAGGATCATCGGGAAAACTCTGCGGTTGATGTTGAATGTATCGGCCAGAGTGTAAGGGGCTCCGTTGATGGGTCCGTGAGCATAGTCCTGAGGGACAAGAGTTGCCAAGTGTGAATTCGATGTGAGTCTGGCATACGAGAGAAATTTGCTTGACACCTGCGGGACCGGCGCCCAAGCATATCGCAGGCACTTACAACGAGGGCACGGTAGGCTCCAAAGGTTGGAAGAATAATGCCAAAAATGAAATCAAACACGGCCGGGACGTTGTTGTCGAAAGCAAAGCCGATAATTAAATAGGGCACAAACACCTATAGTGAGGGTCGAGGTGAGGGCCGTGCATATCGCAGCAATGTGCAATGGGTCGATTGACCGCAGGATCAGATATACTGTGCACCATGTCCTTTGCGCGATGCATTCAACGTGATCATGTGCGGTACATACAACGAGGGAAACGGCGACTCCAAGAATAGGGCCGACCGACTTGGAACTCTTGAAAGCAAACGAGAGGATGTAGGACAGCAGCACCGTTACGGGTCCAAAGAACAGGACGAGAAGGATCAAGGGAAGCGGGTTTGAGGCTCGGATAAAGTTGATCGGGATCGAGAAGAGGAGGATGAAGGATGCAATGGCGGATACACCAAAGGCAAGGCAGTCGACCATGAAGAGCGACAGGTAGTAGACGCTGGGCATGACGCCAGAGGTAAAGAGCATTTGTTCCTATGGCGATAATCCCGGCAGGGGCAAGCAGCCTGTGTCAGTCAGCGGTGGTGAGAGCCGTCCCGTGTTCATCTGGCTTGGCGGATCTGGGATTCGGAGAGCCACGGGCTGAGCAAGGACACAGCCGAGATCTGGACCACATATTGCCCGTTTAGCTGTCCAGATACTCACATGCTTTTCCTCGCGCTCCTTGACCATGTTCGAGGCGTGGAACGAGAGCAGAAGGGCGACGGCTATGGACAGAACACAGATGGATTTGGTAAGTAGTAGTCGACCAAAGAGGCACAAAGTATCCGAGCCAGTTGACATCGAGACAGTGCGATGACAGTCGAAACGCACAGGGCCTCCTGTGCATCAATAGGACCAAGGGAACGCCACGCCCGATCTAAAAGCGGCAGCACCCACCATTGACAACGAAAGCAGGGATAACCTCAGCACCAATGTCGATTGTGTCAGGACTCCTGTTGGACCACGGGCAGAATCGACGCCGTTGTCAGATGATGGCCTTTGCGCATATCAGCTAAGGAGCATACGGAAGACACAGAAACAGTGCGAACTACGACATTCGACCATGCCGCAACGAAGAAGATCGAAACGGGACAAAAGGCGCACGCTCTGACAATACATACGCATACAGCCCGGCGCTTGGAATGGAGAAAAAGATGTCACGACTGCTGCCCTTGGGCGGCGAGAATGCTGACTGGGCGACGACGAATGTGCTCTGAGCAAGGATGGGGAAGGTGAAGCTGTCCTGTGATCCTTCGCTGATGACCACCGAGGTAAAGTCCAGACGGCCGTCGGCTGCGGTGGCATTTTGCAGCGTGGTGTTGAAGGCCCATCCGCCGATATAATGGGGCTGCGGAGGGATTCGGTATGTTGAGATGACGGATTGCTCTGAAGAGAGAACAGGGAGGTTATTGGGGTTGATCGGGGCATGCGAATGGGTCGCCTGTGGAATCCGACTGAAGGCAGTCATATGCTAAGCGCTGCCTTGACAGAGACTTGCCAAAGTCTGAGAGCGATGTGAACTGCTCGAGGTTGATGGGGACGTGGGGCAGCTGAGCGGAGAGCAGGGTATTGTAGCCGGAAGCCAGTGCGGAGGCCAGGGGCTGGGCAGCACCCTGGAGGATGAGGCCGAAGGTCAGGTTGGTGACGCTGGAGGAGTTGAGCTGGAAGGCATTTGAACGACCCAAGTCGGCTGCAAGGACGGGGAGGCCAAAGCTAGGCGGCGCAAGCGAAAAGCATGAGTCAGCAGGATACGGAACGATGCCAGCATTGGAGGGCCAAGGGGCCTTGCGCTGAACGAAGGATGATCGACAGATGGATTCACGGAAGTGTCGGGCAAGGGTGGGAGTGGAGATGATGGTAGGCAGAGAGACGGGCGTGCATACTTAAGGATGGACGAGTCCAGGGACGCCATGATGTTGGTCGAGGCGCCAGCAATGATGCTGGCCATGCCGATCATCACAATGGGATAGACGCATCCTGTACAGTACCGTAAAGGCAGAGCATTATTACGCGGATACCGGAAGAGCCAAGGCTGATGTAGGGGCTGTGGCGGTGCACAGAGTAGAGCACATGGACGGTGTTCTCTCGATGATGACACAGGGTATTGCCGAGGTCGGCTCCGACATGGCAGGGCGACGGACAGGGAGCACGGGAGACCGACAGGATTACGCGGAGAACTGCAGCAGAGTTGGAGTGATGCCGGCGAGCGAGCCACAGTCCCGGGAACCAGCACAGCTGCGAACCAGCAACGCACCCATCACGATGAGTACCGAGTCTCGGCGGAAAATGAGGATCCGCAGCATGAGCAAAACCCAGAGCTGCTGCGGGAAAGATAATTCTAGGGCTGCCGGCATGTTGGCGAATTGGAGCAGAACTTGGATCGATTAGCGAATGCGACAGGCCGATGCAGAGAAGGAGCAGAGACGGCCTAGATGCCAGGTGAGTGTTGGATGGGAGAAGCCCTCAGGGCCGGGTGGAGAGACGGTTTATTATGCGAGAACGAGCCGAGACGACACCGGTGGGCGAGGCCGGGACGAAGCCGGGACGAGTAGACAGGCAGGCAAACGTGGGAGCAACGAGCGAGAACAGGGGTGGAGTTGCGCCATGTCCCCTGACCGATCGGGGGCGCGGTACAGTGTCTGGCAACTCGGGGCTGTATCCGAGGTTTTCTTCATCTTGTCTGACAACAGGAGTGGCAGGGAAGTGGCAGTACGTGGCAGGACATACTCTCATGGATCCGTGAGGGGGCACGCCAAGAAACCGCGCTGCAGGCTCCAGGATTGGTGCGATCGACATTGCACAATTCGCATCCCAGACCACCCAGCCCATGGAGAAGCTTCATCGTGGACTTGGTCAATGCTGGGAATACTGAATGTGTGGCTTCCTTTTTTTTTTTTTTTGCTCCTATAGTCAACTTATTCAAGAAGGCAAGTTATCAGGTTCAACAGGCTGATACCCCGGCACGCTGAGTGCACAGGCAAGCCTCACTACTGCCACAGTGCGAGCAGCGGGTACATGAGCAGGCAGCAATCCAAGTGCGAGAGGGGTGCGATTGCGAACAGGAGTGCGATCGAAACTGAGCAGGTCCAGCAGCTTGTCCACTGGTCCCACTCCGGCTATACCACTTTCCACCCATTCGCCGACGATGGAGTGCTCATCTGCCGCCCATCGTCGACATCAACGGCTTCAGGATGGACCGCCAGATCCAGAACCTCACCCACAAGGCTAGAGGTGCCGCCGACAAGCTGGTGAAGCACGGAATGAGTCTGGGCCGATACTCGGCCAAGACAGTGACGAGGGTGTTCAAGACCTTCGTTCGGCCCATGCTCGAGTATGGACTGACCCTCGAAGTGCTCACGAAGCAGCAAGCCGTGATACTCAGACGAGCACAGATGCACTGTCTGACCCGACTCTTCAGAGTGGTGCGGAACACGTCCTACGGAGCGATGCACCTCGGATGCGGACTCATCACCCTGCCCAACCGCCTCAAACAGCTGGCCCTCCAGAACCGAGCCGTCTGGGAAGACCGTCTGGACCACAACGACAAGATGGTCTCGATGGTGTTGAGATATTCCCGCATCCAGCCCAGCCTGATGGATGCATCCCTCGGCTCCCAGTTCTACCTCGACGAGTACTGGCGACAGCTGATCGTGCTGAAAGAGCAGTGCCAGCCGGACTACCCGATGAAGGAGCTGTTCAGGAATGGCTACTACCAGCTCCCAGGGCCACCAGTCAAGCTGCAGATCCACATCGATGACGCGCAAGGCTTCGACAGGTCAAAGGAACTGACCTCGGCCCGCACCGTGACGACGACCATGTCGGGACTGTGGGCCGAGCGAGGGCCCAAGAGAGATCGATACTATCACAACATGATGGTAAGATGGACCCTCGGTGCCTTCCCCGGACACCCGTATGGCCACTATCGGCTGTGTGTCTCCTGCACGAAGAGCCGAGGAGAGTTCGTCGCGATGTGCCGGACCCACACCCAGAGCTGCGTCGGAAGAGGCGGCTCGTGGCAACGGATAGTGGACGAGCTCAAGCTGCGGCACCCCGAGTGGCAAGAAAGCGGCCACGAAAAGGTCGGTCCGATCGATAAGCTCCTGGACCTGACGAACGTAGTGGGTTACTACGAGCTGGATGGCATGAGAAGGTTCAACTGGCAAGACCCAGATGTCCACCTCTTGTGGAGAACACTCCGAAGGGTGTTCAAGACGCTGATCATCGCCAAGGCGGGGTGGAAACCCCCCAGGCGATAGGCGGCATGGTCGAAGCAGAGCGAGAGACGAGGGCATATAGCCCTCATCGAACGCAGACTGCTCGTCATGTTGATCACTGTCTCCCTTTCCTCCAACATGTACTGCTAGGGCCGACCAGGCCTCGCAAGCTTTCAACTGAAATATAAACAGAAAAAAATACACGCGTCTGTGTCTTGGCCGTGAGGTTCCCAAGGATCGGGATTAGGCCATCAACGGCCACATAGGTCTCGGCCAGCGACCCTGATCCCGATGCCCTCACAAGCATCACCTCCCTTAACGACCTCGATTTGAACGTTCAATCATGCAAGCGTAATTATCATGCAGCCCGTGCCGACCACACCTATCCCTCACACCAAGGTTGCAAAGAGTAAACACACTGGGCGGCTGCTATGTAGAGGAAGTCTCCCAGGCCCATCGTTTGCCATGGGGGGAGGTCTGCAGCGCCGCCTCAGCTCGGGCGGTCTCGAATCCACAAGCGATAAGGTTTGAGTTGGCTGTTACACAAACTTTGACAAAGGGAGATCCTGTCTCATTGGTTGGCAAGGCGACATCGGCACTCCGAACATGCCAGATCCACACCCGATACTGACTTCATATTCCAAAAGTGATGTGCCCCCCCCCGAGATGGATCTGGTGCAGAGAGAGATGAATCGGGCTGCCAGCAGAGGAGTCCGGGCGAAGTGAATGGTGCCAGCCGATCCAATTGGCGATCGACCAGAAATGGCGAGGACCCAGAGTTTGGACGGGCATCAGCAGCGCCGTTGCCTGAGTCGTCGTTCGTTTGAATGGGGTCAGATGGCGAGCTCTCTGTGTGACTGCATCCATCCCACCACCATTCTGTGTTCGAAATGTCCAGCTGACCAGCCCACCTTCCCGATGACTGGTGCTTCTGACGCTCGTGCCCTTGATTGCCGAACCAATGGACAAGTGAGCGTTCGCGGTGCCTTGACGCGTAACCTTGTCGCAGCCCTCTCTTCGTCACGCGGCCGCACATGTGATCACGCCTGGGACATGCCACTCGGCACGATCGTCCCCGTCCTTGTCAGCCCGGATCGCCGATGGTCAGCTCCCCCCCACGCATCACGTACAGACTCCACTCCGCTACTGTGCTGCTCAGCTGTGTACATATGCTGGATTTATGAGCACAGGTGGGGGGGGGCAAAGTCCAATCAAAGCCTATCCACGCCACAAGGGAGCAAATTTGAGCCCTGGGTGGGGGAAGCGGTTGCGCGAAATGGCAGACACAATCTTGCCCCATGATCGGACGCCAAGATCCGATAGCAGCGGAATGAGGGCTGTCGCCTGTACCGAGCCAAAGGCTCAAGCACTCTCTTTGATGCTCTTGATGTATATAAAGCCGGAGCCATGTTCCCCGGCTCTTCCGGTAACAAG